TACCGACAACTACACAAAGCCCCGGTCTCTGGTCACGCGAACTACGCGCAGTAGAGTCGATACAAGCATTATCATGAGCAACAGAAGCAACGTACTTCGAGGTTGTGGGAGACCAAACGGGTAATAACCAAAGACAATAACACATGCCTGCGCAAGCTTACGATCTATCGAGGGTGGACACAAAGCCTATCGACAAAAGGGGCCACTCATACCTCAAGAAATATATTACTATCTTGCCTCTCGAATGCCCTGCGCCCAGTCAAGAAGGCGTGCTAGCTGCTATCTACCTACAGTAAGTAGATAATTACTGTATATAAGCCTATATGGCCGTTTTTAATGGGCCGGGATGGACATCAGACCCCCTCTTCGAGGCCCCTTAGCCCCTCCAGACCCCTCCATGCCCTCCTCTGCCCTCCATTACGGCAGATCACGTTGACGAAAGAAGGGTGCTCCCGAAGCGCATAAGGTTATGGAGGGATGTAGGCTTCGTGATAATCCTTTCTGGTCGCGGCCACTATCTACCCGCAATGCGCAACAGCGATGAATGACTTTCCGGAAAGGGCGTTTGGGAACCTGTACCCGTTTCACAAATGATCATCGTGACGGCAGCCTATGTGCATGCGGCGGTGATGTCGAGTGGAGGCTGGCCCTCCTCTATCCCCTCACATGCCCACCATCGTTGGCTCGAGCGGATGAGGGCTATCTAGGAAGACTTGGCTACCGGCCTACTAAATACGTAGTCAACTTCACTGTCCCGCTTCTAAGTAAAGAAACAAGCCCATAAGCGATCTATATACTGTAGTAGTAATAACGGGTAGATCGTTCATTACCTCCCTGGGTAGCAGTGAGACGCAGCCTTATCCTCTCTAGGAGACGAAGGTTGTAGTCCAACCCCAGATTCTTTTCCCGCCTCTGTGGATTTGGATGCTCCTATACCGCCTCGCTCAGGCTAGCTCGAAGAGACAGTGCTTTATCCAGCGCTTCGATTCGTTTATCCGGTGTTCCAGAAGCTCGTATTGTAACCTACCGACAGGTGCCTGCTTTACCCCAATCGCCAGGTTGGTTGATTCTCCCATCCGTGTATACCATGTATGTAAAGACTACGTACATACATACGCTACCTGGTGACCCAGCGCCACCAGCGGAGATTCCCGCGACTGAGGAGGTCAATGTCGCACATGCATATTGGATGGTGACTTACGACAGGCGCATACTGTACATACCTACCTAGTACAGCAAGCGAAATGCGAGAAGCAGTCTGTCCAAGGTGGGCATGATCGCGAAAGCATTAAAGAAAAACTTGACCACACCGAACCAATCAGGCTTTGCGATGCCAATCACATGAGCGGTTCATAGAGCTCGAGACGGCGAAATCCAGGACGTGGAAAGGAAATTGAAAGAGAAAAAAAAAAAGACACCCTCCCGAAAAAAACGCGATAATAGTATCTGAATGTAGAAGACTTGGTTGTAAATCAAAACTGTTGCACTCATAACCAGGCGAGCCGTGGTCGGCTCTAAAGAGCTGAGCATCCAAGAAAAGACATAGGGCGTTTATTCGGCCCCCACGAACCGTGAATTGGGTAATATTGGCTCATCTACAATGTGCCCAGCCATGGCCACAGCCTGCCGAACACATAGAGAAACGAGACAGAGAAAAAAAAAGAGGCTTGTGGATGGTACATACGCATGCTAGGTACACTACACACTACAGCACTAACCTCGAGAAGACTTTGCCATCCTGCATCGTTGTTTTAGCCTGGAAGGGCCGAATGCAGGGCCGGATATATTGTCCCGACCAATCCCCACAAGGCATCCGCACACACTCGGGGTACGTAGTGCGCAACTCCAACGAGGTTACTACAGTAAGTATGCACAAGAAGGGGGGGGGGGAGGGAGAGAAATACTAAGTCAAAAACTTTGAAGCTGATATCTGGCGGTTTTGCTGAGATATGCCATCTACTTAGTACTTGCTTCGAGCAGGAAGTCAGCGACAGCCTAGCAAGAGTACCCTGTCCAGCCATATCTCTTTTCAAGCATGTCGTGCAGGGGAGCAATTGCCCGTCAGCGCAGAGCGACGGTTTGTGACGAATCAAAGTCGCGTGCAGGGTGGAAGAGGACGAAATAGGTCGTGGAGGGACTGGACTAGGACAGAATGGAAAAGGACCACGCATGCTCTTTCGAGGTAGCAGCCTCCAACGCCGCTCTCGTCAGCAGCCCGCAGGCGTTGGATGAATGGGTGGCTTGGATATATGGATGGGTACGATGGGGTGGGTGGCCGAGGTGGAAAACCCCCCCCTTGTTCAACCCACATCGACCTCTCTCTGTTCTAAGACAGAAATAGATAGTGTGCGAGATGGTGGTGTGTATCTACCACTGAACTGCGTCCATGTACACACAGTACCTACCCAGGTAGTCGAGGGAGTGTAGGCAGGGGGGCCCGCAAGATGGGATCACGGCACATATCTGTAATCGCACACCCCCCTCCCAAGTCGGCACTCGCTCACCAGAATCTGCACATCATGTACCATTTCTAGTGTCAAAGCTCAGGCTGACAACATCCAGGTGACGTTGTTGCCGTTGTAATACTACTTGGCTACCGCCGCCGCCGCCGTTGCAATCCGAAGATATGTCTGCCTTCAACTCCACGTGTAGATGTCCGTGTAGTGTTCTTCAATCCTGTACCATCTGTTCGTTCTTCGCTACTCACCTCGGTGCTGGCTGAAATGGCTATGAAGTTGCTTCGAACGCGTTACATTGCCTTAGATGACACAGTACTCCGACATCTTGGATATGAGCAGCCCTTGGAGCTGAATCCTCCGCCACTCCTTCTCCATGCAATAAACGAGTGAAAAGTCCGGTGAAAGACGGCAATTCGTTATGACTGGAGCAGGCCGCAAGAACCAGCAGCAGGCTGAGCGGATCATCAGAAATGAACTCGAATGTGATGAGAAATTTGGTTTTCACCCTGGCCGCTCTGGCCGCCGACGTACTCGGGATCCAGTCATTAGTGATAGCGGGTTTTTGGTTTTTCGTGTGGGCGGCTTCTAGGTCGTGTATGAGTCCCTCCACAACACCTAATGTTAATATCTAGAACTGGTCATATATACGCAATACCTTGGACATATTCTGGATTCTCCAGGCTGGTATTACCCTAATAGCGGTCATTAATCAGCACCGTTGTATGATGTGGCCCAGTTTATTTCGATGTTGTTGACAATTACTACGCGACTGGCAACCACTAACGTAAGGTACGGTAGAAGCTCATTCATGATACGCACCAGGTCGCAGTAGGTTGCAGTAGGTGCATCGAGCGGCGCAAGACAGCCAGAGAGAAAGACAGATGGAAGACAAGACAGGGAGATTGATGATAACGTGCATGGCCCGCAGTGTTGAACGCACCAATAGGGACCCAGCCATTGACATTGCTCCTGCAAGTGGTCCCGAAAAAAACCTTCATCGCTCTGTACCCTCTCATCTCCCTCCCTTTTTATTTTAGTTCTTGTTGTAACCTGCCACCGCCGGGTGCTCCAACGGATCCGCAGTGCGATAGGGTCTGGACGCTCGGGTTCTCTTCCTCCTGATGTGATATCAGGATGGCCCAACCTTGCTCCGTGTTGAAGTAAGCCGTGAGAGATACCAATCCATGGTGTTGGTAAGGCCGAGCGAGAGGAGGATAAGCCGTAAACAGTCAACAGTCGGCCCCTGCAGATCTCTGAGAGTCGCAGGCGGTGCCCTTGATGTGAGCTTGGAAGAAGTCGCTAATAACAATAGAACGAAGATCTTCTCGTAATCCAGCCGAATCGGATCATGTAGGTATACGAAGGGACATCGTCGAGGCATTGTCTAGCTATGGTTCAAGTATGAGTACATCAGCTGTTTTCAATGTGAAGTCCTATGGCTTCGTGATCAGTTTCGTCTAGACCTTCTTTTGAAAACGGCAACTGTCGGTACAAGAAAACGACATAGGCTGGGACAAGCTTCGGTGAGTGGTGAAATATTTACTACGCTACAGCCGACCTACATGATAAGGGATCGCAGCTGAAATGAAACACAAGTATCCTTCGAGTTGATCTTGGCTTGGTTGTCCTTTCTCCTGAGTAATACCCCTTCCCTGGTGGACGCACCCTGAAGTGTGCATGCGAGTCAAATCTTCCAAGCTTTCCCCCTTTCGTTTTCAGGTAGTAATCGGTGAGTAATACGACATAGACGCAGGTCAAGATTGTCTATTGGAATCTCAAAGAATGATGATTAACTGCCCGATAGTTGGAAGTACGCTGTTTATTCGCAGGCTCGAAATTGAATGTAACGCAATATGAGTGGTAAGACCCAACCTAAGCGCAGGCGCGCATCATTACGCTGACAATATATGAGTATTGGAGGAAAGGGGGAAAGGGGGAAAGGGGCAAATGGGCACATAGTAATTATTGCCCCCAACTCCGAATATTGGTTAGTATTCTTTGGCACAGATTGATTACAGGAAAGGGAGAAATGAAGGATGATCCGCTATATTGGTGACACATGCAGATTTGCCATTTGCGACAGCTGCCGGAAGCCGCCTTTGAATGCGACCTTATCTGCTACGTATATCGTTGACAGGTGTGTTTGGTCTTGCGTGCTGAGTACTTGGGGTAACACGGGTGCTGTTTTGGCGATACATATCGCGGTTAGGCTCTTTGACTCCAGGATACAAAATTAGAGAATAGCACGACACGTGAATGAAAATCGCGAATCTATTAGTTCGGTTATGATCAGCTAAAAACGTTATAAGATTGCTTAAGATCATATGATGCATACATAAACTTACAGTCTTTACGTGTTGTACTGTTTCCTTTGGGCTGGTCTAAACTTTGCTTTTATTGTTCCCTGGAGCAGTGCGCCTCAGGAATCATAACGTTGTACACAGCCATGTATTAATCATTGTCGCTATCGTCCTCGATGAGATGTTCTTCGTCATTAAGCGCCAGTTGTACAAAATTCCTAACCCAACCCTCTTCTACACATTTGAAGTCAGTAATAAAAAATGAAATAGAATTTGTCTAAAAGAGGAGGCGCTGAAGGTTCACCCAATGCTTCTATAGCATGAATTACATTTGAAATTATATTGTGTAACCAGAGAGAGAATGTGAAAAAGAAGAACACATAGGGGGTTCACTGACGATGGGGTAACAACTCTGCGCCGTTGTCATATACACGGGGTGCTACTCGCTGTTCTTGAACTCGCCGAACCCTGGCACCACCCCTTCGATCAGCTCGATGACCTGCATTACCTCTTGGGTTGGCAATGAGAGGATTAGCGACAGCGGCTTCGCCGGCATTTGCTTCCCCCCTTGCTGGTATGACAGGGGCATTGCCGTTGATACGAAGAACAAGCGGACCTTCGCGAGCAACAGCAGGACGAACTGGCTGGGCCGGTTGCTGTGCAGGCTGAGGCACCGGGGCAATTTGAGCTGCTTGGTTTTCTTGTTGCCCATGGCGTGGCAAAACAATCTCTAGATGTTCGCCGTACTGGCCGGCAGGAACATTAGCGTTGCGCATGGCATCGCCGCCTTCATACCCGATGCCAACGTCGTTGCCATCACCACCTTCTAACTCCCAGAGTCTCATATAGCAGCTGCTTTGACTGTCGGAAGGAGGCGTGTTGAAATGCTTGTACGGGTTCGAAGGATCCAGCCAAGCTGAGCATAGATAGCAAAAATGTGTTCGGCACCTAAAGCATTGCATGTGATTGCAGCCGTGGGACTTTTGACAAGGAGCTGCACATGTGGGGCAAGCGGTTGAATGTAATAGAAGATACTCAAGGGTAGCTTTCTCCTCTGCTACAACTGCTTCTTTTCGCTCCTTCGGTATACAGTAGCTGAACTCGCCGTGCCAACCTTGGGCGCAACGGCTGCAAAACGCGAAGCTACAGTCTTCACAAATAGCTAGTAGGCCTGTATTATCCTCCTCATTCTCGTCCTCAGATTCGATCAGTTCGAGGCCCTCGGGTTTCTTGTGTTTTTTTGAACGGGCTGCACCTTGACACCACGAACGCGGACAATAAATAGTGTTTTTGTCCGACTCCAATTTGTTTTTATGCTTGAGCATAACGTAACGTTTGACTGTGTCCTCCGCTAGGGGTATTTGCAACAGCTCGCTCGGGCTGATGGAGGTCTTGACTTTCCGCGGTTTTGAAGATAGTTCCTTTGCGGCATACTTCTCACGGTCCCTTACGCAGTTGGGTGCGAGGCATGTAACTGCAGCAACATTACCTTCCGTGATGGCATTATTGTAAAAGTCTTTCAAGCATTCAGTACAGAAAACATGCCCGCAATCTACCATTTGGTGGCAGACAGTGCCCTTTTTTGGATCTAGACGTTGTTAGTAAAATTCAAAGTTTTCAGTGTAAAGGAGAAAATTCGAGCTTACCTAGACATATGCCGCATTCGAAGCTTTCCTTCTCAAAGGCTTTGCGCTTAGCGTTAATATCATAATCCAATAAAGCGATTTTATGATCCGGGATAACCTTGAGGGTCCCCTTGCCATCGACTAGGCCGAACACATCTTCACTGCTTCGCTGGATATGGTCGATGTAAGTAAATATGACTTGATCACGACCGATTTCTTCCCACAAATCAATGATATCCATTTCGAGCTTTCTTAATGTAGCATTAGATAGCCATGGAGGAGAGGTTGATATTGAAACTTCTGGTGGTTTATATTGAGGATATTCCTCGGGCAAGCTGATCTCGACTTGCAAAGCGGGCAGATTCGATAGAGCATGCGAATCATTTTCAGCTACCGCTGAAGTAGTCAGATCGGCCTGTTGTGGCGATGTAAAAGGAGGTGCCACCTCCGTTGCTGCCGGAAATAAAACGGTGACTGGCTTTGGCAAGCTCACTGGGAGCTCGATAGACAATTTGTGCGGGTCATTCTCATCAAGTTGAAGCTCGGGATATATAGCTGTTATCGTTGAAAGCTCAACGTCGCGGGGATCCTCGTCCATGATGACAACGTATGCAAACGAAGGATATTAGTTTGCATGTCTAGATTATGTCGGAGTTGTTGATAGAATGAAATATCTTTTATACATAGAGAGTTAACAATTCCGATACTGGTTTTTGAACCTTAGCGGTTTGACTTATCAGTCTTGTTGAAAGTTCGTCGTTTGTGCCAATAAAAGGTCCGTAACACAATTCTGAAAGCGAGCTAGAGAATAACCCACGGAACAAGCTGCTCTCATTGTACAGAATAGCTAGGATAAAGAAAGAAGTACAAGAAGAAGGAGAAAAAACATATCGATTCACAGCTCTGAGGTTCAAAATGATTTGTAAGTGAACTACCTACCGAAGCCAGTCATCCGGTCAAAGAGTGGCGTTGGTCTAATGATAAGGCCCACTGCGGCAAGGAGATGGCCGAAGCGTCTTTGCCAGCTGGTCGAGTAGCCTTATCAGCTGCCAAGCAGCTCTCATGACGAAACCCAGCTTGCATGCAAACACAGCTCTCCGACTCTGGTTAAGATTGCATGTTGGATTTTCTTCGAATGCGGGTGTACATGTAGCACAACCACACGAATTCCACGACTCAACAATCGTGGCATTACTCGTGGTTGTCACATTTATCAGATCGCTGCAATTCTTTATCCTCCGTACGGCTTTTCCCCATCCACCGACAGTAATGCATCCATAGACGAAACTCCTAGACCTGCATCTCGACATTCATACGAGTCACGATGTCGGAGGACATACCTTTAACCTCCTTTTCGCTAACCCATGTCCATTACGTATGTATCCATTGCCCAAAGAATCCTCCTACACCCCTTCTGGATACTGGAAACGGATCTCTTGTCTGACGTCGTCGTTCTCCAATTGCAGGACCCTACCGATCGAATTTCGTATCTATGCGCATGGCTTGCTCTCGTCCCGCAAGGTCTTTGCGTCATGTACGTGACGCTGATCTGGTCGACACGCGAGGTAGAGATAGCTCTTCTAGGTGCGGGCCAGTTTGCGTGTGAGGTTCTCAATTTTGCTCTCAAACGACTCATCAAAGAGGAGCGCCCGCCACGTATGAATGGGAAAGGGTACGGTATGCCCAGCAGCCATGCGCAATTTGTCACATTCTTTGCCGTCTCCTTGGCTCTCTTCCTCTTATTTCGCCATCAGCCACCGGGGCCGGAACATAGAAGAAAAAACCACACTCCATTGACGTTATTGGAACGCGTGTTTTGGAGTATCGTGGGCTTGCTCGGGGCGCTTACAGTGGCCTGGAGCCGGGTATATCTGAATTACCATACTGAGAAACAGGTGCTAGTAGGTTGCACTGCTGGATCGGTGATTGCCATCGCGTGGTTTATCACAACGAGCATTTTACGGCAGACTGGGTGGGTAAGCTGGGGCATGGAGACACCTATAGCCAAATGGTTAAGGGTTAGAGATCTGGTTGTTGAAGAAGACCTTTGTCAAGCTGGCTGGGAGAAATGGGATGACAAGGTTACTGCGTCAAAAGCACGAAGTAAAAAGAGAAGATGACCCACAGCCAGTGACTCGAGGTACAGGCCAAACCAAAAAAAAAAAAGAGAGGAAAAAAGAAAAGATTTCACCGTCTCAAGATAGACCCAATCTGTGTACTTCACCAATTACACATAAGAGCATATTTAGACTCTGCGCATTCGTATGTCTACAGTTTGCTACATGTGACCACCGTGCAGGGCCTCTCAAGCCTGCGTTTGTCTGTCTGCCTGCCTTTATATTCTCGTTTGTGGAGGTCTAGTGTTAGGCCAACATTGCTGGAAGAAGTACTATCAAACTAACATGACCGTCATCTCTCAAACAGGGCGTCATAGTTGTGTTATGTCCGTCCTTATACCTTATAATTCAATAAAAGAAGTATGCAGAAAGCAACATCGAAAATATCAACTTCAAGATAAGATCAATTTGAAGTAGGTTATTGTTAATGGGATTAAAAGTAGGTAGGATATAATATAACAATTTGTTTCAATCTTTGATTGTGATTTATATGAGTATTTAAGAAGAAGGTAACTATCTACTGTTACAAGAAAAATGTAAAGGAACCTTAGGGGCCGAGGGCCAAGCCACAATAGGTCTTGCCTGTACCGTGCATACTACTAAGGTAACTTGAGGTGTCTTACTAGACGTCCCCACTACATCCCACCTTCACAACGGTCGGGTGCTGATGGGTAATCCTACATTCACGTAGTCATTTGGTCCTTAATTATTGCTGGAATACTCTAGCTGTCGTTTCTCTTCATGATCATACGTCTGTGGTAATGTTCTGCTGCTCCACTATGATTGTGCTTTTGGACCGATACCCACTTCTAGCCCTAGATTGTGAGGCAACATGAACTCCCTTTGGTCCTCCAAGTCGGCTGGTGACGGCCTCGAGGCTGCGAAGAATCCCGTCGACGTCGCTGATACGGGAGTTGCTGATATTGGGCCTGGGCTGACAACGGCAACGACACCTTCTAACTCTCTTCCCCCGCGACCCTCGCTCCAGCGAAACCAGGTCCCGCCGAGTCCACCCAGTCAACCGCCCCCTGCTACCCCGAATACCCATCCTGCCGACTCGCTCTCACTAGCACAGCTCAGACGTATTGTGTCTGAATTTCCCAGAGCAGAAGCTGCTGCATATGATTTCGAGTATGCCGATACAGCGTCCCATGCCGAGGAAATAGACGAGTGGTTTTCCTACCAGTTCTGGCAATTTGTACGCCTCGTCAATGCTCAAAGAGCTTACGAGTCACAATGGGAGCATGATCTCGCCGCGAAAGAAGATGAGGTTACATGGGATGAGGCAATTGAGGATATAAAGACTGCCTTTATTCGTCAAGCTTTGAAAGAGATACAATCGGAAGATTCTGCTGTGTGTACGGCCGCAACAGGCAAACTGGTTTACCTCGCTTTAGGAAGATGGGTAGACACCGCCGGACTCACCATTGGTGATACATCCAAGCTTCGAACGCTTGCAACTCCGAGACAGCTTGCTGCTATGAAGTCGAGTGTTGTGCTGATCGCAGGACTGGGTGGTATCCCTGTAATCTGGAAGGTCTTGCGCAATACCATCGATTCTGCCCTGTATGACATCAGCTTTCTCCGTGTGCTCCTAGTCTTACTAACACAAACCTAGGTCAGATGAGGCACAAAAACCGCAAGCTCATAATAAGCAAGAGGTTCAAGATGGGCTTGTGAATCTGATGACGGTTATGTACATGTTGATACAAGTAGCCTTGGGTGATCCTGATGGATTGGAATCAGTCCGAGATCAACTTAGTAAGTACTATATACCCAATAAATATAAAAATAATCAGCTTACCATCGTAGTCTGTTTGCAACCATGCCTTCCAGTATATATGCTCACGGTCACAACCAAATTTCGATTCTTTGAACCCAAGGACGATTCAATCATAGTTCCCCACGTCCAAGTTAGTACTTGTTCTCGACTAGATTAACAGTGACTGACTGACTTCTGTTTAGGCATTGTTGATTCTTTGGAAGTCAATCCTGCTTGTTTTCGGAGGCACCGGGGATATCGAAAAGACAAAGCAGGCATTGAGAGAGAGCAGTACCGACGACAAAGATAAGAATATTATTACTGCCTCACCCTTAGATTATCATGTTTTTCGGCAAGAAATTACCTCAAAATATCCAGCATATATGCCTCCCCAGTCGAAGATACCATTAGATGCGGATAATATCTCACTACTACCGCCCTTACCTAACCACCCCACGAGAAACAACGGCTCGAATGGGATCATACCAACTCCTCCAGGTACTCAAAGTGGCGGTGCTTCAATCTTACACCAGCCTGTGCACATAGCGACCCCTGCACCTTCTCCGCCGCCTTCGCCAGCTCTTGGGGGCAAGGGAGGCAAGAAACAGAATTACCAAACAAACCAGAACTTTCCCTTCTTATATCCCCCACTAGACGAAACTAGTAACAGTGCTGGGGGCAAGGGTGCTGCAGGATTCCAACAAGCACTTGTCGGTCGTAAATGGGAAGGTAGCGATGTCCCTGCTTCTATTCTTGAGGCAGGCGAACTATTTTCTAAGAGAGTACGCATGACTCGTGCTACAAGGCAGCTATGGGAACAGCGACAGCTTTTTCAAAAAATTGAGAGAGGTTGGAATCCTCCAGAAAACGAGAACGACGAAATGACCGACGGGATTACTGATCTGGATCTCGACTCTCTGGGTCCCGATGATGATCACATCGACTCAGATAAGCTACTCGAGTTTATCGACAATAGACATAGAAAAGCACCGGCACCTAAAGTTGATTACGGGCCCAATCCAAATGTGCCAGTAGATATCAAGCGACGTCTCGAAGCCGTCGAAGAGTTCTATGTGAGTCGCCAATCAATTTCGTAGAAAGAGACATGCTGCTCACTATATATAGAAAGCTTCCTTGCCTCAATTGCAATCGTTGGTAATCGTACTCATGAAAGTTTTGCTAGCCTCGGTCACGGCTAATATCTCGGCTGGGTCTTTCACCCAACCTGGGCCAGTAACAACTACTCGAGAGAGTGGCAGGCCCGTTTGGAATCGATCAGTGGATAGTCCTTCGGGAACGAATGGTTCCATCAACCAAGATCTGGCAGCACACGTGAATGATGCGTATGTGGGGAGAAACATGGAGATTGAAGCCAAAGCATCAACTGCGATCATTCTTCTGCTCCTCAAGTGGCTCAAAATATCACGTGAGTACTGCCTGTGAAGCCATTACAGCGGACTTTCTGACCCTTCCAGATATTCTCAAATTCGAATATCTAACTCAACTCCTGTTGGATTCTAATTATCTTCCGCTGGTGCTTAAGTTATTTGCCCATCAAGATATTCAGCAAGTGGTTGATAGTAAGGCAGATCATCTCGAACATAGGTATGAGCCACATTCCAATTACTAGGAATCTGACTTAACGTACTTGCAGCTTTTTTAATTTCTGTAACCAGCGCGCAAACCCCGGACAGAAACTTATTGCCGATCCTAATGAGGTCGACGTTGGTGATGATGAAAGTGAAGATGAGGCAGCGCCTCCTCCTATTCGGCGTCGGCGATCACCACCAAATGTTGAAGACAGCCAGAGTGAGAATGAGGATGCTTCGAAGCAGACCTCAGAGCCGAGCTCCAGCCGTCCCGAAGTTGACGAGCTAGGTTACCCAGTCAACCCCTTGCCACAGGAACCTATCACAGATTTCTCATGGAGAAACTTCTTCGCCCTCATAAACTATTTGCGAATCATGCAGAAGATCTGCAAAAACAAAGCACACCGAAATTTGCTGCTTGTCCAGTACAAGTCCTCCAATATAATACGCAAGTCTCTCAAAATACCTCAGAATGAGCTGCGCCTATATACCCTCAAACTCTTCAAGAACCAAGTCCCCTACTGCGGCCGTAAGTGGCGGCAGAGTAACATGCGTGTAATCACTGCTGTCTACTTGCATTGTCGACCGGAGCTCCGCGATGAGTGGCTCGCAGGCAGCGACGTTGATGCTGAAGTTGAAGAAGCCTTACCTCTAGAACAAGCCCTCCGAAGTCTAACGCATTGGTTCAATGTCCGTCAGTATCCTGATAAAATGGCCCCAGAGATTAAAGTGGCACTTCGGAATCAACAGGATTTCTTCAGGCGCGAGCTTGAAAAGCTTGAAATATGGAATGAATTGGGTGCAAGTGGTGCAGTAGCAGCGCAGAACGAGGGCACTGGCGGAGAATGGGACCAACAGCCCGCTGCTGGGGCTCCTTGGGGATAAACTTAACGATAGTCGGGGATGTCATGATAGAAAATCGAGACGAATAAGCGTAAATGGGGGATACCATCATTTCAGACGCTCGATAATTTAATCTATTAAACACTGCTTACTTATATACTGATCAATGCGCGGTCGAGTTAGGTGCAAAAGTGCTGTAGGACTCGGTAACGAAACTAAGGTTATTTATAGATGGTAGTGTATATCAAGTTACTTCACAAGGTTGCGACGCGACTAAATTTTCCAATTACCACATTGACAGCATCACTCATACCGCCCGTGGGGGAGGGACGGGCATGAATGATGCTGACATATGACTTCCAACGCGATACAAACGCACAGTCTCACTGTTATCAATCGGATTGAATCTTGCTAGTAAGCACGAACAGAACTTGGGTATTTTGATATCGATAGGAAAACTACAATGCTTGAACTACCGCATTCAAAGGAAACAAAGAAATACTACAGATAGGCTTTCTGTGTAATGAAAGTCAACCCAACCAGACCATTGAACACCAGGCGTATATGCATATGCACGTGCGTTCGTGGTATTAACACACCCCTCCCCTAGCCTTCCTAATCCCGTCTTGTTTAAACAGGTCCGGCCTCATTCCCCAGTAATAGCAACAGACTCCATTCATACCCTATCCTTCCGAGCGCCTGAAAGTGAGCCCGCACCTATTCATTCGCGGGTAAACCGCGTCTATCGGCCGTAGAGATGCTCCTAGTTTTTTCTGAACAACCGTTTAGTACTACCCACTTTTCCCAACTCGCCAAACCTGTCGTCAGGTATCTTTTTCTGCTGACCTCGCATTTGTGATGGCTGTAAGGACCTCAGATGCTCAGAAGAAGCCGAGGCAGCAAGTCGCTCGCCACTAGCTAAGCGGACCTTATGTTTTACACTCTCAATCCAAGCACGACTCTCGTCACTAATTTCCCTACGCTTGGCTGCTTTGGGGCCGGCTAACCCTAGAGAGCTGTCCTCTTCGTCCCAGTCGATGTTTGAAGAGGCCCGTGACCGCACAGATGCCTCAGATGCAGGCGTGTTTGCATTTTCCCGCAAAGCAGTAGCTTCCGCTAATGGGGTTCTGGGAGCCTTCGGCGCACCTTCCTCGCTAGGATTCTTTCTAGTCTTCCGAACGGTGAGAGGTGTCATTGGAGAGTCGAGTGCTGAACTAGGACGGCTACTAGGGCTTGACCCTACGCGCTTGCTTGTTACGGGAACAGCATCGGTAACCTCAACTTTTCCCTCCCCTTTCGATCGGGAACCGTGGTGGATGGCATAATCCCGTAGATACTCGCCGAGATCAGACCACCCGCCGCCTACACGTACCATGACTCGCTCATTTTGCTCACCGACACAACGAATGAACAGTTTGATAGGCATCTCACCCGATCGAGAGAGATGGTAGAGACGTATCCCTTGACTACTCGTAGATCTTGGACGGGCGTCTCGGACAGGAGCTAGCATGAAAGAGGGTGTTCCACTTCGGGAGTACGATGGAGTGCCCACTCGAGAGTCCGCTCGCGAGGATAGGGCTGATGTTGGGCGACGTGATGAATCAGAGTGGCGGGGTTTCGGCCGCGAAGGCAACTGAAGATCAGGAGGATTCAGATTGATGCCACGCCTCTTTAACTCAATCTTTGCAGGTATTGTCTCAAGTAGTTCCCTGAGTTGTTTCTGCAAATGATCATCGTCACTGGTTGCACTGATCGTGCTCATGCGACTTGGGCTACCGAGTTGGCTCTCCCATTCAAAAGATGCATCTGGATCAAAAACTTCTGGAGGTCCAAGCGGGGTGCGAGGTGGTGAGACATCTACTTCAGGCAATGGGGCTATTTCAGGGATATCTTTGAAAGTAACTGAGGTCGATCTTGGCTTGTACCTTAACGGTGGTGAGCTAGGTGGGCTTATTGCATCACTTGAAAATGGTTCGTCAGGGTCCGGCAGATGAGGCAGCTCCGGCTCGATGGACGTTTCACGGAAAACCCCATGATCATAAGAACCCGGGGAGTAACTCGACGAACCATGAAGCATAGTCGAAGCATCAGACTGGCTGCTGCATTTCCGTACCTGAGTATATGTGGGGGGCAGCTCAGGTTCCTCATCTTCCTCATTTACCGATTCCAGGATCGAGGGTTCGAAATCGTCTTCAAAAGCTGGTTTCAATGACACTTCGGCTTTTGATAAGCGATTAGCAGATTGACGGACTATATTCTGATTTACTTCTGACAAGATGAGAGTTTGAGAAGGGTCTTGGATGGCGTCTTTGACATCTTCCGAGCCATCAAAGGTTGAATTTAGTCGCTGGTGAGTTGGCTTGGTAAGCAATATGCTGGACGGATCATTAGACGATTTTGGATTCTTCGATTTCCTTGACACTACTGCCTCCGAATTGATGGGGTATCCCGGTGTCGGATAATCTGTCTTTACCACAGAGTCCACACTAGACTGATGTGTGGTGTTCTTTAACGATTCATTGACTCGAGATGTTGCTCTGGAGACAGCCTTACTTGACTTATCAGCCAAGTTTCGGATTGCCCAGGTTTCCCGATCTCCTTCTTCCAAAGGCTCGTAGTCTGAAACCCCAGGGCTCGTGGGTATTTGTATTGGGCTAGGATCAGGAATCTGGGCAATTGGCTGGGGTGTCTTCGATGGAATTTGTTCTCTCATACCAGCAGTAGTGGGCAGGGTCGAAGGGTCACTTTCACTTACTTTCCCCTCTGCTGTAGTGACCCATACCGCGTAGTCTCGTTCAAGGGATTCCATGCGATCTAGCCATTCTCCTGGTAGTGTATCCACCATTCCTTCAAGGGTATCTAGCATGAAATCTAGGTCGCGGCCCGGTCTCGTTACTTTTTGTTGCAAAACATTCTTCATAACGTCAAAGTCTTTCCGTGTGAGATATGTCGTTGAGATATCGTGCCCTTCAGGCCTCGTATCAGAGTCAGGGGAACTGCTGGGTAGAGATTCAATGGCACTCCATCCGGATAGCAAAGCCACTTCAGCATCTGTGATCATTACAAGGAATGAGGGAACTTTCCGCAAAACAATTAGTCGAAGACTCCAGGTATGAAGTAACCTTGACAACTTGGACAAAGCCGGTAGGGTTTGGACTGTAATTGCAGTGACAACGGCCGTCAAATCTTCCATTTTGGAAAAGGAGAAGGCAGAAACAACAGAACGACCAGCATCAGAAAATGGTGTTCCTGGTCGAGACAGTGGAAGAATGTGATTATGCAAGACTTGATTCTTAATCTCTTCCAAGTCCAAGCCCTCCATATCTTGCTGGATTTGTTCGATTCGTTCCTCGTAGTGAACGACATCATCAACGAGAAGGCTGCCAAAGTAAGTCACGTCTGAGGACGAAGCGGCATCAGCGCTGTCTTCAGATGTCTCCACTCGAGACATCTTCCTTTTTTTCCATAGAGGCATCTCAAAGCCGGCTGATGTGTCGGCCGAGGGCCATGGCCAATCGGATAGCTCATGGAGCCAGCTATTAATTGTCTTAGAGGCAATTGCAGTTTTCAATGCGAATGACTGCTCAGAGATGGATGCTCGATCCAAGCATGCTTTGAGGGGACCTGAAGGAGACTGGAGTGCCTCAAAAGCCGTCGCCGGCGCAAGTTGCGAAAGTAAATCATCGGATAAGCGTTGTTGCCGAGAAGGCGAGGGCGACTTGATGCGCAGAGGGGGTGCTCGTGCCCGGAGAGTGCCTCGTGGGCCGATGGGTGTGGAAAGATGTTGGTCAGACATGGTAGAAAAAAGGGTCGCTTTCGACCGCGTTTCAATTCCTCGTCGCTAGTTGTTTCTCTAGGCAACAGTCGCAGTCTAACGTAAACAAGTCAATCCGGGATCCGAAGGCGTATCACGTAGAGGGATTCATTGTGTCAAGCACTGCTTTCAAATTCTCGTCTGGAGTTGTCATGGCCCCGAACGGAATTTCGATCACTGTCACCGTGCGTCCCTCTAGTCCCTCAAGATCATGAACACATAAATGGACCAGTTTGCACTAGACGAATCGTTGTGCTTCTAGAAGGCTTGAAGTCGATGGGGAGGGGGAAAGTCTCGGGAACAACGGTGGGCTGCAGGTGGAATGGAGCTATATTGAATTGCAGGTGGCGATCAAGTCAAGGAGCTGGCGCAAGCGGGAATAGATGCGATCGTCGCTAGGACGGTTGTAAAGAACGATTTGTCAGTAGAAGGAGCGGAGTTTCGATACCAGTAGGCGGAGTTGATGACTATGCAACGGATTCCTGGTGCTTGAGTAGGCGGGTAGGTGGCTGGGAGCAAGGTTGTAGAGTCTAGGTGTTGGACAATGTAAACAGGAAAACAGATGTATGAAACAGGGAAAATGGTAGTCGGCAATCGAAATCGGACAAAAGACGCGGCCTTCTAAAAGATAACGGCACAAGGAGAAAGGAACGAAGAGACAAGATAGTCGCAGTCAGTGAGATGCCTCGGAGCCGTGGATAGCGGACAGGGATGGGGTAGGAGCTGGCTGTTTGGACGGGCGGCTGGTTGAATGTTGAATGTTGAATGAGTGTTTCAGTCATAAAGCCAATAGCTCTGTGCCATCAACACAATGGCGCGCGTGTACAGCGGCTCTAGCCAAGCGTGCGTGGTCGGACGGACTCTCTCAGCTGGCCGCTGGCCACTGGCAGTCGGGGTTCAGAGAAGGTTGAGAGAGGCAATACGGAACGGACCGTACATTCTCTCTTTCTCTACCTATCCAGCCAGGCTCCCACTGCTAGACATGTCTTGCCCCTCATGGAAGGAAGAAGGGAAAGAGCTGAAGGTGTCGGATACTGGATTTGATGGGGTGAGGAGACGGAGCCCGAAGTCGTCGCAAGATTAAGCAGCTCAATTAGACTAGGGCGACTGGGCGCACTAGTGCTGGCGCTGTCCAAGGTGCCTACCTCTAGGTAGCTAGGTAGCTGCTCGATATGGAATAGGAAGGGACTTGCTACCAGGCAGTGAGAAACAACTGACAACATAGGCGGGTACCTACTGTAGGAGGGAAGTCGTCGCGTAGTTCTCAATGGGAATATTGTATACTGTGTTGTACTTATAATATGCACCTGGCAGGTAGCTATTCAAACCTATTGACTACAAGTACTACGCATGTAGGTATGTAGGTATGTGTGTATGTAAGTATGTACATACCTACACACATTGTACTATTCATTAGCCCCAAGCGCACAGATCTGTAAACACAATAGCAACAACATAAGTATGTTCCCCGTCATACTGTGTAGGTACGCTAACAACTATAAAATAACCTCACTTCATATTGGTGCCACCTACCTACCTATGTACCTCCTACCTAACAGTAGGTACTAAGGTACCTAGCCGGCCGGGGGGGGGTATACGTAAGGGTTACTGCAAGGGTTACTGGGTCAGTATGCCTTTCTGCAAGTGTGACAGGTGCAATACGCTGTTGCCAATTGGTTATTATGGCTACAAGGCTTTTGTATACGAATTCCATACTAATTCAGTGTACCTTTCGAATTTCTGTATTCCTTTCAATTTGGAAACCATGTCAAAGCGTAATACCATGTCCAAATTCAGAAATAATTACTATAGTACAGTATGACCGTAGTCTACTTTGTAGTACGTTATTTAACAAAGGTAAAGAAATCTTCCGTTAAAGTTCTGAACTGCGAAGCGATTACGATAGGTTTCCTAGCCTTTAGGTGGTGGTGGTGGTGGGAGTAGATTGGATTGGATTGGATTGATCCTTGCAGCGATTATCCTTGAAGGTGGTGATGATTGGATTGGCTGTAGGTGGGGCTAGGTCTGTATGGCTAGGTCTGTATGGCTAGGTCTGTACTGCGAAGGGCTGTAGGGGCTGTTGTAAGGGCTGTAGGTAGGGGCAATATGGGCTATTTCAAAGGGCTGGACATGGTTACAGTAACTATATCTGCTAATGGCAAATATTACGAATGGGTAATGTTTTATTTTTATATACAATTATTATACGGTAATGGAATAAATTCGCCGTAATGGTTTCCATTTCGACATGGTTACCACTTGGTAAATGCCCTGCAAGTGTCTTCAGCTGTAAGCCTTTCGAAATGCCGTAACCCTTGCAGTAACCCTTACGAATACCCCCCCCGGGGCGGTAAGGTATCCATTTGAGGTTTACCCATATACCCATCTACATGACTTGATATGTTTTATCTGTCGATAGTTCGATGAAGCCAAGCCAAGATGTTTCAATGAGAGGCATGGATGCGTCTTTTTACCTACCTAGAAGATCCCCTACCCTGGAGATGTTGAGCGCCATAAGTAAAGAATTAGGTACAACACCTACGTAGGCACCTAAGGTACAACTCTAACTTACTTACCTGCGCTGGCGCATAATTCTACCAGGTACACTTACTGTGGACCAACCTAGGTACCTAGGTACATATCATCGGACTACCTAGCCAGGTATTCCACTTCTGTCTAAAGATACAGCAACACCCAAAGACACAGCTGCCCTGCCTGGTAGAGGTAATGTACAATGTGTATAAAACAGGGAATACAGCTGGCAGGTAGATATTACCTTATCTAAAATGGTTAATCCTCGTTACTACAGTGCTACACCTCAGCACCTACCTAAATGTAGACAAAGAGCTACCTACTTAGGTAGCTTGCTGACTGGGTACCATGCATTGCAGCATTGTAGCACCAATCTATCTGCTACATGTACATAGGTACCTAGGTAGGTACCTAGGCATGTGTACTGTAGGTAGTTAAATTTAGGTAGCTCAGCCTCAGAGCTAACGCCACATCAAAAAGGACATGTGCCACAGTAGAAGCTCTACAAGGTACCTAAGGTACCTACTACGTAGACTCAGCTGAGTAGCGGGGCAATACCTACGGAGGTATGTACGGTACGTTCCCCCCCAGATGCTCATGGTGATCTCGTGCGCCATTACTTGCCTACCTAGGTAGCCTAGGTAGTTTGATATCGATTGATATTTCCTTCGCAGAGCCAACAAAGCCATGGGTTCTACCTCATTTTGAAAAGTTCGCTAGTAGTACACTATTAGAAGCATTCAATCAAACACTGCATCAAGCAGAGGCTTCTAGTTCAATGCCGAGCTAATGGGATCATCCATCCAGAACCCCAAACCACATACTGCAAGCTAGCAGCGCAAAGAGAGCCTTGTCGTCATCGTCTTCATTATCATCATGAATTTCCTCGAAGTCCTGTCAGCTCTTTTCGGCTGGATCTATACCATCTGCTGGTCGTTATCTTTTTACCCACAAGCGATTCTCAACTTCAGAAGGAAGTCGACTGGTGGAACAACTGTTGATTTCCCCTTTCTCAACGTGCTTGGTTCGTCTCCAAGCCCTCACCAACCCCCTTGGCTACAGAAGATAGTCAACTGACTTGGAATGCTTTACAACTTTGTAGGGTTTGCTTCTTACTTGATATACACCTGCGCGTTTTACTGGTCCTCAACTATCCGTTACCAGTATGCGCTACGTCACGATAATCATACACCAACGGTAGCCTTCAATGACGTCGCATTCGCTCTTCATGCCCTTATCCTTACTGCCATCCTGAACACACAATACTTTCTGCCGTCTATATGGGGCTTCGAGTTGCCGATCGCTCGAAGCCCCTCGCGCTTCATCACTGGAGTCTTCACCGGCTGTATCACCGGCGTCGTCCTGATTATATTCGTTGTAGCGTCGCAGCCGCCTAGCGCTGACCCCAAGACATCGTGGGCTTGGTTGGATGTCATATATATCATCTCGTATGTCAAACTTCTTGTGACGTTAGTCAAATATGCGCCACAGCTGGTGCACAACATGCGCAATAAGAGCACTAAGGGATGGGATATCTCGCAAATCTTATTAGACTTTGCAGGGGGTATTCTGAGCATCGCGCAGCTTGGTATAGATTCGTATCTGCAACATGATTGGTCTGGTGTTACAGGAAATCCAGTCAAATTCTTCCTGGGTAACGTTAGTATGCTCTACGACATTATGTTTATGGGCCAGCACTACTGTCTATATAACGACAGTAGCTCAAAGATGGATGATGAAGAGAGAGAGAGACTTCTAGAAAGGGGTGAAAGCGATAGGAGATTGGATTGATTCTACGTACTTGCTCACAGTATTTCCCGTTCGTTAATCTTAGGAGCAAGTCCGCCACAAAAGCGTTTGCTACGAAAAATCTGCCCAGTGTAGAGAGGGTTTCTAATAACCAGTCATCAAATCATGTTAAACCGGTGCATCGAATTACAGTATACCTTATATACTACCTCATACCTATGTAGGTACCTAGCGCCTATCGGTGAAGATTCACACACAAAGATACGGGTCCATACTACCATTACCTATTTCCAATTTCTGCTATAAACTAGATGACCAGGTCACATACGCGTAACATTTCAATAAAGCGAATAACAATCACATGTTCCACACCAAAAAATGGTAGACTGGGTACCTAAGATACCTAACTAGTACATATGACCTGTAGGTACTGTGTCAGTCTCACAGATAGCGGGGTCCTTATTGGGAGAGGGGGGCGAGGGGGTTGATTTGTAGTAGTAGAAGAGCCAACCGAGAACGACGTCAGAGCTGAGCGTCAGGCCCATTCCGGGGCCTGGACCCTTCCCCTCGCCAGCCTAATTAGTGTGCATTGGTGCAGATTAGGGGGACGATGGCGCCCCAAGACGCTGGGATAATCTGCATTCGGATTGATCAGGTCTGATTAGGTCTTGATGGAATCGCAATATCCCCCCAGCCTCACGCAACACAACACCACTACGTGCAGCTGAGCTAATTGGTGTCTCGCATCAGCACATGTGTTAGTTACATAATCCGTCAATGACCGTAATACCACTGGAAGGAGAGAGAAAATTTTATACAACATTCTGGCACAAGCCCTGGTCGTCCGCCACCTTGTCTTCGCGCTCGCTCGTCCTGTCTCCAATATAGCATCAGGGCGCAACCTTGAGCGTCATCATGTGTCGGTTTCTGGTTTGTCAACTCCGATCATCGGCGCCTCAAACGAGAGCGAAATACTCACCAAATACACACTAGGTATACCGGGGTAGCGATGAGATCTTACTCTCCAAGTTGATTCTCGATCCAACTCATTCTATTCTTAAGCAGTCCTTCGACTCGCGACTACGACTTGTCAGTTCTCCCGACGTACATTTCTTCATAGTGAGCAGCATGTCTGACCTATTCGCTGTTACTACAGGATACGAGACGCGGCCAGAACAATGCAGATGGCTTCGGTATTGGCTTTTATACCGACCCCAAACTCGGTGCCGCACCTTGTCTATTCACATCCACAATCCCCGCGTGGAACTGCACCAACCTTCATCGTATTGCCTCCAAGACGGCCTCTCGCCTTGTTTTTGCTCATGTCAGAGCGACGACTGAGGGGTCCCTAACCGAAGACAACTGCCATCCCTTCTATCATGGCAGCTTGATGTGGATGCATAATGGCGGCCTAGGAGGTTGGAAATATATCAAGCGAAAGCTGGGCGAGCGTTTGCATGACAAGTGGTATTTGAATGTACAAGGCGGGACCGATAGCGAGTGGGCATTCGCTCTATTTCTTGACCGTCTCGAACGACTAGGCGTGGATCCCAGCTCTCAACCTCAGCAGGGCTTCGGCCCTACCATACTGCGGCGGGCTATGCTGCAGACGATCGAGATTATCAACGACTTGACTATGAGTATATCCGAGAGCACAGTTCAGAGAGAAGACGTCGATACCCGGAGTTTGCTCAATTTCGCCGTCACAGATGGCCACTCTATCATATGCACTAGATACGTGAGCAGCAAAACAGATGAAGCGGCTAGTTTGTACTTTTCTTCTGGGACTCAATGGGAAAGTAAACCATCCGCTGGCAAGGACCGGGATTATCAAATGGAGCGTCGCGATAAAGGGGCAGACATAGTCTTAGTCGCTAGTGAGCCATTGACTTTTGAGCGAGGTGAGTGCACATTCTGTAGGCATGTGGGTATCTGATACTAACCAGTAGCATAGAGAACTGGGTAAATGTCCCTACAAACTCTATCCTTACTATCCATGGTCAAACCGTCATGGTCAATCCCATAATCGACGCTTATTCGGACCGAGATCCGTGCCATAAGCGTTCCTCAGCGTTTGCGCAGACTAAGGGACTAACAACCAACGAAAAAACTACACCACAAGTCAATAGTCCGATACCCACACCCGGCCCTGGCCTTGATGCGCATAGACGCATTATATCACCCATGATCCCTACTGGCCTAGGACGTAGCAGAACACCAGAGCCTCCAAAGGCTCCACTAACGCTGCCCGAAACTCAATCATCAGATGTCCGCTCTGCGGTTGATGCACCGGCACCGCGTCCTGACTTGACGTCGAAACTTCCTTCACAAGGTAATATCAAGAAAAAGAGGCGATCTCTCAATATTGGGGAGTATCCACATCCAGCTGAGTTTACAGAGCCAGAGGTAGAGACGCCGCCTAGCCCGGTGCAAAGCACCTCACGTGGGGGTGATTATGTTACGGCTGAAAAAGCAGCCCGTGTGCTAGGTATGGCACTGTGATTGTTTTTTTCCCTTCGTTTTCGAAACGAGTGCCTAGATCGTGTGCTGTTCACGATGTGCAAAGGCTAGACTTTTATGAACATGGTTTCGGGCGTTGAGCAGAAGCTAGGCGACTAGACATAATGCAAACCAGCATGGCGTTCGGACTACTATAAGTTGTATATTGCAAACGGCAGAGATGGACGATGGATCTTAGCGTGCTGTCAGGTTCCCTTGCTGGAGGTCTGCATTCTTTCAGGTTAACAGATGGATATTAGATCGTTATAGAACCCAAAACAAATGATTGCTCGCTGAACCTATATTATCCTCTATGTCACATTTACAGGTTCTTGTAATATCTACATGCTATGTTACGTTGGGTGTGTGCTTGGCGCGGAAATCATGATATTGGTAGTAGGTAGGTACTATGGTGCTTTCAACGATATTGCATATATGAATATACATTAACTCTAACCCGTTTGCGCCACTTAGCTCTTTCGCAATTATGACAATTGCCTCGAAACAGCAAGCCTCCAAATTATCTCTCCCACGTCCTGTTGAGTCTACACCACCAGCAACCCTGTTAATGGTTAACATTAGGAATTTTCTCGAGTGCCTCCGACTCGCACTATCGGCATGAGCGGACGGCTTGTAGCAGCCGGACGCCTTCCGGCAACGCGTTCCGCCACCGCCAGCGCCGTGCGTCAATACCACCATCTGCCTTCCGGTGGTCTTCTTCAAGCTGACGCCTCCATCCGGGCCACGAGACGACGCATGTGGTTTCCAGTCAACTCCTTCCATAACGCTGTCACTGTACGCAATGCTTCCTTTGCCCGGTTCTTGCCGAGGCTTGTCGTCAAGTTTTTACGAGTACCTGCGTTGGCTGGTGGTTTCATGGTAGGCGGTCTAGCGTGGATACAATATCAAGCCACTCGTATGTTCCATACTCTCTCGCTCTGCGTAGTATCACACTGCTAATTGCACTGCCATACAGAGGCTGGAAACTATGCCTGGGACATTATCAACAACACCAAAGAGACAGTGACAAATACAGCAACAACTCTATTCGATGGTGCAAAGGATGTTGCCGATCAGACGATGCGCGGATGGAGAAACACCAAAGAACAGGTTGAACTACCGGAATGGATGCAGAAAATATTGAAGATCCACGAGGAGATCGGTACTGGGAGAGGGGATGGCGACCCAGGTGGTGAAGAGCCACCGAAGCAAAGCAGAACCAGCGCCGGTGTAGCTGCAGGCGCTTCTGCGATGGCATATGGCTACGAACAATCAGATGATGACCCACGAAATCCAGGCGAGATAGCTAAAGACGACCAGATGATGGTCCTCACGAAAAAAATGATCGAGATCCGGAATATTCTGACACGAATTGGACAATCGAGCACGCTAACCATGCCATCCATTGTGGTTATTGGATCTCAGTCGTCTGGGAAGAGTTCTGTATTAGAAGCTATTGTTGGGCATGAGTTTCTCCCCAAGGGTTCCAACATGGTTACACGCAGACCGATTGAACTTACTCTAATCAATACTCCCGACTCCTCCGCAGAATATGGCGAGTTTCCCGATCTCGGTCTGGGCAAGATCAGTGACTTTTCTTCCATTCGACGAACCCTAACCGAATTAAACCAAGCTATCCCCGAAGCACAGTGCGTTTCAGACGATCCAATTCGTCTTTCAATCTCTTCGCCCAATGTTCCGGATCTTTCTCTAATCGATCTGCCCGGGTATATTCAGGTTGTAGGCCAAAATCAACCCCTGGAACTAAAACAAAAGATCTCGGAGCTATGTGACAAATATATCCAGGCACCCAACGTGATTCTGGCGATCTCAGCGGCGGACGTTGATTTAGCGAATTCAACAGCCTTGCGGGCAAGTCGACGGGTTGATCCCAGGGGAGAGCGGACAATCGGCGTCGTGACAAAAATGGACCTTGTTGATCCAACAAGAGGTGCAGCAATTTTGAATGACAAGCAATATCCACTCCGGCTAGGATACGTAGGTGTGGTTTCGCGCGCGCCGACCACTGCAACTGCATTATTCAAGAAAGACAACAGTAATTTGACATTGGCAATTACCAAGAATGAAAACACCTACTTCTCATCCCACCCCTTGGAGTTTGGGCCTGGTGCAGATGTTGCTGTGGGAACACAAACGTTACGGAAGAAACTCATGCACGTTCTCGAGCAAACCATGTCAGCCAGCTTGCAAAGCACAAGTGATGCGATTCGCCAAGAGCTCGAAGAAGCTACTTACGAGTTCAAGGTTCAATATAACGATCGGCCCCTATCTGCCGAATCATACCTTGCCGAGAGTTTGGATGCTTTCAAGCATTCCTTCAAACAGTTTGCCGAAGAGTTTGGACGACCTCAAATGCTCGAGCTCCTGAAGAATGAGCTTGATCAACGTGTCTTGGATCTTCTCGCCGCGAGATATTGGAACAAACCTGTATACGACCTTAGCGTTCCTCCTCCAGAGCCCGATAGCTTGGTTGATCTTCCCAAAGCCGATCCAAATTCTCTTTATTGGCGCCGACGACTCGACGCATCTACCTCCGCGCTTACCAAACTTGGGGTAGGCAGACTGGCAACAACTGTTATAGCAAACTCAATTCAGTCCCATGTAGACAGTCTCATCAGCCAGTCGACGTTTGTCAATCACCCCTTTGCTCGTCAAGCCATTACCGAAGCAGCATCAAGCATCTTAAATGACAGGTTCTACAGCACAAGTGACCAGGTAGAGAACTGTATTAAGCCATTCAAATTTGACATCGACATGGAAGAACGCGAATGGAGCGCCGGGAGAGATCATGCCCAGGGGGTCCTAAAGAAAGAGTTACATGCGTGTGAAGGCGCGCTGCAAGAGCTAGAGACAGCTGTTGGGGGGAGGAGAAAGCTAAGGGAAGTCATTAATTTCATTGACAAAGCGCGAAGAGGCGACGTGATTGTTGAAGGGGAAAGTCAATCTGGCGCAGGTGGATTCAGTGCCTCCCTTCTCTCAAAAGGTATTCCATTACCCCTTTTCCAGACCGCCGTTGCGACACAACCCACTGACGTAGTACAGGCCGTGAAGCTGTTTTTCTACGTGATCGCGCTGACATTCTAAAAATGCGTTTACTTGCTGTAAAATCCAAACAGTGCGCGAACATGAAAAATAAGTACCATTGCCCTGAAGTCTTCCTCGATGCAGTTGCCACAAAGCTAGCTTCAACAGCAGTGCTCTTTTTAAATGTGGAGTTACTTTCCGAGTTCTACTACAACTTTCCTCGGGAGCTAGATATGCGACTCGGCCGCCACCTATCTGACGACGAAGTTGAGAGGTTCGCTAAGGAAGATCCAAAGGTCAAAAAGCATTTGGAGGTTATCAAGCGGAAGGAGCTCCTTGAACTTGTCCTCGAAAAAATGAACAGCTTGAGGCAGCTAGAGAGTGGGGAACGTGAGAGAATGAAGAGAGGCTCAAAATCCAACGAAAAAGAACGAGGTCGATGGGGCCTATTTTGATCTAAGCGCTTATGATTGCGATACATTGACGAATATTTTATGATAGGAGCAGGCGTTCCGGACGGTTGTTCCGATATTGTTTATAACAGCGTCTACCTCTTGTTGCATCACTAGATCCTAATGGTTCAATAGGGTATGTATCATTGTCATGGGTTAACTATAGATTTAATTTCTCTCCTCGATGATGTGAAGTTTCATGTGCTCCAATCTACAATATACGTATCGATATAACTGTTCGATGTGGCACCTTTGCTGAGAGCCTTGCCAACAATCTACGGAACAGTATCGTTCATACAGGAGCGGTTACGTGAGTCCCGTGAGCTCTGTGATTATGTGGATGCCTCAGCTCAGGCCTCAAGGCATCAGTCTACTAATTTTCAAAGATGAAAAATCTGGACCACAAAGACGCAGAGTTCACAGCATATCAGTTTGGTTCCCACCACCAATAAAATGCATTTTCCCTTTCTTGGTCGTTTTTCCGCTGGAGTTGATGCATAGCCCTACTTGAATAGTACATAGAGACTGTATAAGGGGTATGCACTGTTATCCCCATGCCTGGCAACTCACTGCAAAGCCCAATTGTTTCTTCCTTACTCCATCAAAATCCAGCAGCGTTAGTTACCTGGGTTATATTGTATAAATTCCTAGGGAGAGTATCATGTAATCACGCATCTTCGGCGAGAGCATTGCACCTTGGCATCATTTGCGCAATTCTCTATCCCATGAGCCTCAAATTAGTCTGGTGGGATGCTGGGTCTGATGTCATACTGACAGCAGGCATACTCTGTCGATAATATATTAAAAAAAAAATAATAAAAAAGTGTAAAAGCAGAGGTCTGCATGGGAGTATGAATTTATTTAGATCTTTCTAAAATTCAGGGCCATTTGCCAATGCGTATAAAAATTTACTGAAATCGCATTATAATCTTTGGCAGTCTTGCTTTTGAAATCTGGCATCAGCGCCCATTACACTATCCCACGTGGTACGAATCATGACTTTCTTTTCACTTACCATTGGCAAACACGATTTATTATTACTTTTCCCGCGTGATAGCAGTGTCTATATTTTACAATATGGGTCGCCTCAAGAAATGAGTGATATATTGCCACTGTTGCGGTAAAGTGGTTAAACATTATGGTACCTTATTCAAATCTTGCCTCGTTGTCACCATGACAAAAGAATTATCGCAAATAAATCGTCGCCGCCAAATCTTTTCGCATCCTTGTTATGTGCGAATAGTGCCATCCATTCTAAGGTACCCCAGTCACTGTGGTGTTTTTAGAAGGCATGGGGATTAGGATTTGCATGAGTCATGTAGAATTGTGTGATGCCCAAGGGGTTTTCTGAAAACAAAGGTCATTCCGTCAAAATGCCCAGAAAACTCAGCAGGTATGATGGGAATATTTTGATGTACAATCTAGCGAAAACATTGGTATATACTGTTGAGCTGCTTCTTCAAGAGTACAAGCAAATCGTGGTAAGCTATCTAGAGCATTGCTAATTCTTGCTACTTGACATATCTTTACAACTACGTACCTTGGTATGTGACTAAATATATTTTCAGCTTCTATTTTCCCTCCCCTGAAGAAGTATTCATGTGGCTACATGTCGCGATGTTACCCTTCAGTTCTCGGTGAGAAAAATGACGCAAAAAACTTTATTGGTTACACGTACCATTCATTAGAAATGCACTTTAGGCAACCAACAAAGCCCAGACTATCCGGAATGTGGATAAAATAGTTTATTTACCTTTGCCTCACTTTTGCTATGTACATGGATATGTATTACTTATGCAAATCGCACTAATGTGTGGCAGCCTTGATTCTTACAAACAGTCATGTGACACTTGCACTTCACAAACCTCTAGAAACTCACAAATGTCGCGTTAGTGTAATCTGATGCCTCCCTACCTAACTCTATAGAAAGCTTCACTATTGGATGATGGTTTTTACTGGTCCACATGTATTAAGACCTTTAGTTCCTCCTGCAGATGATGATACCCTGCCAGCATATCGGGGTTCGTTATTGCACATTGGAATGTTTGCCTCTATGCCCAAAAAGGGGATGAATTGGAATTTACATTTGAAAATTGAGAATACGACTGCAACACTCTCACTCCAAAGCCAAGGAGAAATGAGACAGACGAGGTGTTTTTATATTGGGCATGGCGGTATATAATGCACACTGCCCTCATCGAACTATTAAGAGCCCTCCTGTTGAGTCTTCACCCGTACAGGGAAAGAATGCCGCACAAAGCAACGCATCATCGTAAACCACCAAATCGCTCACGATCTCGTCATCGTCATCGATATGGAAATAGTCATGATGATGCTTGCCACTGCAGTGATAAAGGCAGGAACTCCGTCTCCGAGGTCGATATTCAGTCTTATCACGACGCTGGCCAAGACCTAGCACCAAAACTATTTCCTTGGTCGGATCCGGTAGTAGACACCCACAGCAGTCGGTTCCAGTATCAAGCTCGACTAACACCAGATGGTAATACATACCTAAGATCCTCTGGCCATCGCTGACAGACTGTAGGTAATTACCAATGGTCGATATCTGGATCTGACTCTGGGACCAACCCTCACTATCTATTGTCTACACCAAGTTCCAATATGGTTTATCCCACCGCCCCTTACGTAGTGCAGCGGCCTATGCAGAACGAAGCACAGTATTACGACTCAGTGAACATAGGCACTGGGCCTGCTACCCCTCTCAACAATGAAGGAGAGGGTGACTGCACATCCCAGGACTGCTGTACAGATAAGGTGCCTCGCGACGACAAAGGTAAATCAAGACGAAACGAAACATCAAATATCCACCATAATGAGAAGGGAGACGAAGAGAGACGTCGCGTTACCCGTAGCCGCAGCCGCCAGCGGGATCGCTCGTCATATCGTCGTAACTATCACCATTACCGAAGCAAAAGCCATGAAGATAAATACTACCAGCGACACCGGCATGGTTCCCAGGAGAAGGTTAGCGACTGGCTTTATGACTACGGTTACGGTTATGTACATTGATAACTCTGCTGAATCACCCAGGAGGTTGGAAGGGGCAGTTTACGGGGACGATTATCGCGGAGACAACACAACGTTCAGAAGGACTTGGCACTTAAACAGAAGAATATAAATATACGTTTTCCTCTCCAATATTGTACTGATATAACGTGACGGTACAACGGGCTTGGATCAGCTGGTACCGCTCTAGCCTATACTATCAGATGAGGTTCGTGATAGACAAGTGACCCCTGAATACAAAGTGACGACTGGGAGCATACACATGCCATAAGGAAGTTGTTGGCATGGTCCTCAGATAGCGATGTTGATGTCCAGTCTATCTCTCTCCGCCCCTAACCCCCACCCCCCCTTTTCCTCATGTATCTATTTTCTGAGCCTAGTACCATTTGTGGTACATCCCGTATTCCAGACAATCGGCTCCGTGAGAGGTATGATCTTCACAGACAAGATTAGGACAATATGGTGTCTCGACATAGTCGGAATCGCACGCTGTTCTCCAGCAGTACACGGCCTCTCCGTTCAGAGGACCTCGACCGCACGTCAAGCAATAGTACCACCAGCGCCACGCGTGACACATTACGTAGGATGATGATGATGGATTGGTCTCGTAGTCGAATATATAGATTTTGCTATTGAGGTTCTTAAAACTGCGCGTTTCTCTAGGCGGCCGTCAGGTTCGGCTTCTGCTAGCTTGATCAATATGTGCGGAGCATAGGTCGGCAGGTACTGGGGAATGGGATCACCATTGCCACCGTATAAGTATCTATCGGGTGTTCTCCAGGCTATGTCTTGATCAAGCCCCAGACCGTCAAGCACAAGCCATACGATTATACAGAGGCATCTTGCATGTTTCGCGAGAAAATAGCACGAGAGGGATGAGCACGATGAAGATCTGATCTGATCACGCTATGTATGCGATTGGCGTTCGCATAGTTGATTGCCTCGCACGGAATACATATGGCTGGATGGGAAGGTAAGTATGTGAATATATAAGATATTTAGATAGAATTGTAATATATAATATACATGCTGTATAGTATAATATGTGGCCATCGCAGACAGTCTCTGGCGATACCCCTCCCCCCTTTTTTTCATGACGTCCCTCGCGTCTACGAGCCGATGCGACTCTCGTGCAGACGCAGCAGGGGTCTTCTCCAAGGCAGATCCGAGGGCCTGGCCTCCGAGGACGAGTTGCTAAGTGGCCACTGGTGAAAGAGAAATGCATAATTACGGTTGTGAGATGGACAGAGATGCCCAATGGACACTGATTCGAACATGGCACGGCTTGTCAGGCCACATCATGGAACGGGCTAAGCTCGTCTACCTTCGGCCAGTTGCGGCGGGAGGCGGATGGCGCCACCTTGGCGTGGATAAAGCGCTTTAGGTAGGTGATCCATTAGGTAGGCAGATCAATCAATAGATGGTGTTGGGTTGGGCTGAGCTGACGGTATGGTAAGTAGAAACAAAGATGCTGTTAACACAGCTGTTGGCAAGTTGTATCTTACATTTCCATACATGATTTATCTGCCAAGTCTTGTAGTTGTTCATATTCGAGGTATTCGAAGTGGATAGAATTGCAACATGAACTCCTGATCTGATGATGCCCGAAATGCATGGTTGGACTAGGTATGGATTACAGACATGTAGGAATATGTAAATACCTACTCTAAGTAAGTACCTAAGCGAGCTAAGGTACATAGATGTACCCCACCTTGAGTTGTCTGGCGCTAGCCTTGTATGATCTAGCAGTAACTACGTATGGTAAGTGCGCAGCATTAAGCCCTCTAGGTACGAAGTAAATATGATATACCTACTTAAACATATATATATATATATATATGTGAATGCTGTTCAGAGGCCTCCTTAAAGTAAAGGATATGGCATACTAGTACATTACTATGTAGGTGCGCCATTGCTCGCTGGCTAAATTCGCCGACGTTAGCCTGTGAGCTGGTGGGAAAACGGATGCATTTTGCGGCAAGTGGCCCATTCCATCATGAAACGCTAATGGCTTTTGAGCACGCAATACATGCAACCACTCTAAGTACTGTACGTATGTAGGTGGAATACTGTACTACCTACTACTGGGACACAGGCTAAGGGGCAGTCCGGGGAATACCGGTAGATTGGGGTAACTGGATTGTGCTACTACGTACCTAGTAAGTATATATACGTACTTATGTATGTATGGGATGTATGTATGTAGGATTTGCTTTGGATTCTCGACTAAACTCGACAAATAAATAAGAAAGTATATGTGTAACTCAGCTAGTCAGAGTTGTCTGCTGTTGGAGTTTCTTCGCGTGTCGCGATGCACCGGCAGCCAGAGACCATAGGGCACATGACGTAAGACCTTTGTTCCAATGTCTCACCTCTCTGCTTCTGGACTTGTGTCGACAAGCATGATTTGCATGAGGGCAGAACGCTCATGTTAAACATGGTTGATCAGATGACAAACCGAGGGAGCGATTCTTGAGCAGTGAATCTGTGTAGGATGTGCTGACCGCTATGATACGCAGTTAGGCAGTTCGTTTCAACATCATAGGTAGGTAACCTAAGTACCTACATATGTATGTTGGGAGGTACCTACCTACCTGTACGCCTCGTCAGTACGGTGTGTAATTGGCACGTGAAAACCACTTACTGACAGCACCCACTTACCTAGATAGGTATTTAGGCTATTCCATAAGAGGATTAATCCCATCTACCTAGTTTCGACAACCGTTTTGGACCTTACATTGTAAAAGTACCTACCTTACTACTATGTAGGTATTTGTCTGCGACTGTAGGTAGGTAGGTAGAAGATTTCATACCAACCCCGTGAACATTGAATACTACCTAGGTATGCTGTAGGTTATAGGGACTAAGTACCTAATGGGGCATGGAAATGCTACCTACCCCTAAGACAGACGGACAGACAGACAGACAGGTGGCTGTTCAAGAACCCGCTGTACAGTACATAGGGACATAGCATACCTACCTACATAGGTAGGTATGGATGTAGGAGCTGTTTAGGAAAGGCAGGCATCTGCTATCGCTACCGTATCGCTACATCGCTACGTCGTCTGCTGCTGCATGCTGCTCTTATCAACGGAGAGACATCGTCACCAGACCCCTCCGAAAACTGGCGGCTTCTGTAGTAGGAGATGGCAGCTTTTAACGTTTACAGGCCCCGCACTCTCGCATCGCTACTTCCTGCATTCGGTGGCCCATGGGCCCCTCCAGGTAAGCCCCTCCACGCACGTAGACCCGAGTTTACTAACATCCACACATTTGCTTGACATTTGGTCACCACCCGACCTTGCACCGACTTCACACAATCAGTCTTCGCCCATAGCTACCTGCCACCAACTGGCACTGGTTTGTATCCGTCTACCAGTTCCTCACTGAGATACCACAGCATCGTTTCCTCCGTAGAGACCTCCCATATTGCCCTCGGTAAGCCGTCCCGCCCGGCCTCCACTCCATTGCTTCTCCGCTCTCGGTGTTGCTCTGTCACCGCCTTCAACTCGGCCGCCTGAGGTTCAAGTACTTATTCACAGCCATTCGCGACACCTTCAAGCCTACAATCAGTATTGCGTTATCATACCTTCCCAGGTCCGAGTCTCCGTTCTTAGGTGGCGTGTACTGAACTTGTGTCTCTCAGTCCGACTCCTGGTGAGTATTTGAAGGCTTCTTGCTAGTCACCCCATCTCCTGTTCTTCCAATGCAAATGCTGCACTACGGCTTGTGAGCCGAGAAGAAAGTAGTGGATAACGGCAACCACCCCCATACATTTTCTCACTGCTTTACTATTTTCCCCAGCATATCTTTCCTGTCCTATTTCAATAGCCAGCGTGAAACGCTAGATTAGCCCTTGTAATTGTAAAGCTGACTTCTACCGAGAGGACAGCAGTTTCGGCCCGCCTTCTGGCACCCTCGACTTCTCGACTGGTCTACTTGGCCTTACGCACTGGACCTAGCCCCGAGGCAATACTCAGTTCTTAACGAGGTAATTACGAATACATAGGTTCGTATACGCAGATGTCACCCGCCAGGCGATCGTCCCGGCGGGTAAGGAGTATGGATGATGAAGACGGCGACGGAGGTATGGACAGTCCAACTGGGGGGAAATCTATTTCAGGGGCTGTTCCTGGTTTGACGCCTTTGCGACCCGGACATGTGAGCGAATTACCACAAGAAATCGAGACAGAGAGCAGCGTCTTGATGTCTACACCCCAAGCTGGTGGGTCCTCAAGTACCTTGTTGGGTACACCGACTTCATCTAGAACCTTCACACGGCCCACTCTGAAAGGGTATTTCAATTCCATTCTAGTAGAAAATCCATCGAGTCGGAGCCAGGCGCAAGATAGACTGCGTTTTGCCATTGCTAGGGAGGGTGTATCAGCAACAATCTCTTCGCATCTAGAGGAGGCTCGAGATATTCACTATGAGCCAATAGAAGCGGATGACATAGATGTCCAGGAGCCACAAGACGATGAATCGGGAGAGAACAGCCATCCGACGGTAGGGGGCCTCCGTATTCCCCGTCGTTCAGATCGCATTCGCGCCAAGAACGGAGCGACTCGAGAACCGTCCCCATCGACAGCCCTAGCAGCTGTCTCAAAGAGTACCAACAACCGGGTGCAGAAAAGACGGAAGAAAACTGTGATAAAGACCAATTTGGGCACCGGAACACTTCGTCGTTCGGCTCGTCTCGCGAAGCCCCTTGACGTATTCCACAAGTACCCCGAGCTCCCGGAGGAGCTTAAGTTAATGGTTTGGGAAGCTGCGATCCAACCTCGTCTGACATACATTTGCAACCGGTCATCGATTCTTGGGCATGCCCATAGTTTCGGTATACAAAACAAATTTCCTACTTGGTTCATGGCATGCCAGGCATCTGTGTGGGTCGCCATGCGATGCTATAAGAAGCTTTTTGGACAAAAAGACATGAGCATACACCCATCAATAGGAATGACCTTGCGCCCCCAGGCTATCAATACTCAGGTCGACATCGTCGTCTTTGAGCCATGCCATAACGGATGTCGAGGCTACTACTGCGCCCAACAATACAGCCGTGAAGACCGAGATACTGTTGAAAGACTTGCAGTTCAGATTGATTCTCCACACCTCCCGCCGGGTTCAGAGCCCGGCTGGGCCACAATCTCAAAATCATGGCCGGGTGTGGAGACGCTCTTTATGATGAAACCAGCAGTTAAGGGGCTGGATCAGAGTGACAAAGCCATGATCCGAATCAAGGAAGGTGATCACGAGTTGGCTTTGCGTAAGGGATTCGAGGCTTGGAAAAAGGACGCCGGAAAGAGTTCCAAGTTAACTACACTAGAGTTTGTTCGAATAGTGGAACAGGAACCGGATACCAAGAAGCTCCAAGATCGATATCAGTCAGTCGAAGATCGCAAGACCGGATCCGTTGAGGACATTATCCTCGGTTAGGTGGTCAGCCGTAATGCCACTGATACCGGAGTGAGAGGCATCAAGTTATTTTAGCAGGATCTCCACCGCGAATATTGACATGCAAAGGCGTTTAGGCTAGGGCGTTAGGTACTTCGTTTCCTGATACCCCGGACTGTGAAGCTACACAGTGATTCGATACATACGTGGGGTAGTATTTCGGATTTCAGATAATATTGAGAAGACATTGCAAGGCGATATGGGCCATTGGAGACTAACATGGTGCTTTATAAAGCTTGAGGCTGCTCTGTATACCGGTATGTAGAAGAGCTTCAAGGAAACAATTCTGCAAGATACCCATGACCTAGGTACGCTAGCTCTATCAAGCCACATCAAGGAACTGTGGCTAAGTTAGGTAACCTACTCAAACACCAGTACATACCTGTACCTAGAGATTCTTATCAGATACCCACTGCACAATACCTAGTTCCGATTGCACCAATCAAAGAAGGGGTCCAGTACTTGCACTTACTTACACAAGTTTACCTACCTACCTCGGTAGTAATAATCCTGATCTTCTATTTGAGAATGACACGCTTTGGCTAAGGTAGGCCTCTTGGAGGCCATTTTACAGAATGGTTATGGGATATATATATGTTCAACTTCCTTTCAACTTTCCTATCTCTCTCTCACTCACTCTCTCTCATATCTTGTCTCGCACAGGGTTGCCGTTATTGCTTGTTGGTCTGGCACACTCTCCCTGTCGTCATGAGAGGGAAGAGTACGGACTTTTCTATCCCTAGGATACCTAAATTTCGCGAGTGCCTGATCACGCAGCTATGTACGGTCACTTGACAGCATTGAATGGTCTTTGTAAATCGCTATGCCATGATTTGGTTGACTTTTGATAGGAACTACTATTGCAACCTGGAGGACGACTGTATCCATAGTACTATATATATGTTGTTCTGTGAACATCCAAACTACGAATAGACTACCACGAAACGACTAGATCGCCGAACCTCTCTCTGTCTCTAGATAGAATGAACAAGTCTTGCCTTTGATGTTCGAGGGGGGCGGGTAATGTCATCACTTCTTGGATAGAATGAGGATCTCGCCCTCGGCGGCATTATCACTTCCTACGAAGAGACCTCGTCCGGCCGGGTCCCTAGAATCCATACTCGTTAGTAACCGGCCTCCCATTTATATAAACATCGCGGAATGATACACTATACGAAGGTAGGTGGGTGGCTTACCAAGCAGCAGCGGTGAGTCTGATGCAGTTACTATTGGTCAGGCCGTTCGCAGTGCACCCGCCCGGGTTCGGCGCAGAAAAGATGTCCTTGTAGCCCGACTGACTGCTGGCGGGTGCTACCGGGTCGTAGGCGCCGCTCGATAGTCGCGTAAACGGCACCTCGACCACCTTGAATCCCGTCGGCGGCTGGCGGTCCCACGACCCGTGGAATGTCACGTACATGTTGGTCGCGTTGGTGTCGAAGGCGTTCCAGATGGGCGCGCTGTGAGCCTGGAAGGTGAGGCGCGGAGGCTTCGACTTGCTCTCGCAGTCGGCGTGGCTGGTGACCCCGTTGCCGGCCGCGAGCATGAATTGCTGCCCTGTCTTCATCCCGTTCGTGGGGCCCCAGACTGTGAAGCAGGTTGGGTACCCGTACCAGTTGTTGCGGTCTGTCAGGGGGTCGCCGACTGATTGGTGGTGGCTCGAGTGTTAGCATTGCGTCTGTGTTGAAAAAAGCGGAGGGAGAGGGTAAGAAATATTGCTGTTATATGTATGGATACAACACTTACGGTTGTTTAGCTTCTCGGCGGGATTATCGGTGTGAATGTCCTGGCCGTTAAGTCTGAAGTCCTGCGATACATTCTGTTGGTTCAAGCACATTTAAAACCTAGGTAGAACCTTACGCACATCGCCGCTGTTCTCGACGCCCCATACTATGCCAGCTGGGTCTTGGACGAAGCCGATCTCGTTCCTCAGGCCATAAGCAAATACCTCGCCACCCGTCTTGTAGGCGTACCCGCTCGAGGGTGCCTTGCTAATGTCGAAGATCTTGATGATGGCGCGCCCCGTTGAAGGCTGCGCCGACTGCATGTCAAGGTTGGAGTTGGATCCAACCTGGACGAGGATCAGGTTGGGCTGCGATTTGACTACCATGACGTTCCGAGTCGAGTGAATACCGGAGTCTATGCCAGTGACGACAGCTTTCTGGTTACTGACTGTCTTGGCAACGGGGTCGTAGGTCCACGACCAGACGGTCCGCTCACCGCTCGCGTACAGCGTCTTACTGTCGGGCGTTAGGGCAAGGCCGTGGTTCAGCTGCACGTTGCTGATGAGCGTGCTCGTTTGATTGATGCACCCGTTGTCGCCGAACGTGTGGACCGAGATGCCCTTGCCGGCCTCCGCGACCAACATGTGGCCATTGATGTCCCAAGTCACCGTCCTCACGCCCCTAAGTCCGCCGGCGATCTTCATCACCGACCATCCCGACGCCACTGTCCCCGGGAACCGTTGGTTCGAAACACCGCTGCAACTCGTGGGCAACGGAAGCTGCTTTACTTCGGCATGGACTTGACATATGGTTTATGATTAGGAGGCGGACAATGCATACAGGGAGAGAAGGATGATGGATGACTTACCTGCGCCTAGCAAGGCGGCAATGCCCGTGGCGATTTCTAGCAGACGCATCGTGACTTACTTGTCTTCGTGTGTCTTTTGGTGCTGTAAACTAATTCAGAGTGTCTGAGTAATACGACAACTCACGAGACTTGTCTCATGTAGCGCCCTCTTTCAAACGGCCACGACTGTCATTCGGCAGAAGTGCCATATTTAGTACAAAAAACTCCAGAAAGGCCCAGTACAACTTTTAATATGATCGGTGTGAAGGCACTGTGTCGGCAGGGTCAACTATGTTGGTTCATCAATATACGAAAGCTCGCGGCAAAATAGTCCCCTGAGGCGTGATTGGTGCCGGCAGATGCTGCCCCAACACCATCTATGACTCCCGACGTGCGTACACCATCGACGTGTGGGGGGAAGATCTGTTTTCGTCTGGGAACTAGTATCCAGGCAATTTATATGACTGGCTAGAGTGCTGAACACACTATGGCTCATCGTGTGAGAGCTTTTTTAGAAACTTGGGTCACGGATTACGTCGTTGCGTGGAGAGTTGATTGTGCCCCCCCAACCGCTCTCCTTTTCTAGCGAAAATCATTTAGCAGCTGGATTCTTCCTGATTCTTGCCGACACTTGGCTTATGCACGGCACCATGATTCCGAGCCTCAAAGTATTAGTTGCTAGGCTTCACATTTGGACTGTAGAGATGCCCGTGACGTGCTGTTGACATCTTTGACACCCATCGGGCGCTGATTCACAAAGTAGAATGGAATTTTAGGATGGATCTTGACTTGCATAGGGGCCGAGCGATGGAAATGTACGGAAAGAATAGAATTTAACCATTTTGATACTGGAAACTAGAGAAGGATTGGACGAAGTCAAAGATTAAATAAATAGAAGACTGAGCAGGGATAGAAAATAGCAATCTAAGATTTGTCTAACTAGAATTTTCCGTTAGCAAGGGTAAAAAAACAGTAGTATACCTCGGATATAGATGCCTAGGATAAAAACTCGTCAGAGGGGTACTATTCTTCATCACTACTTTCGACCTCATCCGGCATCTTTTGGAGGTTTCTGGCACCGTAATCCCTGATTAGATGTTCGTAGCATTTAGGAATTGGCATTCCAAGAGCTAAGCTAGCGACCAGTGAAGCGTGGGCGAGGGCCTCGCCTTCCTCATACTCATAATCAGGGTAGAATGCGTAAGAGGCATTATCGCTCGACTGATAACGAAGAGTCGTGTGTAAGTGCTGCCAGGTTTCGAAGAGAGAGTCATGGGTTTTCGAGAAAGACGCGCAAGGACAATACTCCTTATCATGACGAAACCAAACGTAGTGGAGAGGGAGCGCCTGTTTCCACTCTGCGGTACGCAGGTGGACATAGATGGGGTCGGGCAACGGCCTTGTCGCCGCAATGAACAGCTGACAGTCTGTATCTGGATTCGTCATGACTACCGTGTGGTACGGTTTCCCATCCCTTGATTTACTGACCCTCCCGTTGGATTTTAGGAGGTGTAATTCAGAACTCATATTGAAGGCTTGGGTGAAAAGTGAACAGAACTTACTGAAGCGGAACTGGAGCTGACTTAATTATTTTCTACAGGTATGAGACTCAAGTTCTCGATTACTGTCTATCGTTTTATGTTTGGCTTATACTTACAGCTACAATTGCTTTGTGATATGGAGACAAAGACGGGCTTTGAATGATATATTGAGCTATAGAGAGTTGTCATTCAAAAGACGAATAATGGCATCGGCAAGGCAATAAAGAATGACTAAATTAATTCATCGCTAAGTGGCTGTGAATAACTCTCTGCTAGTTGAGTCCGTTGACGCTGCATCCACTCCTTGAGATAACTGTGTCATAACTACATTAAGAGCCTGCTTATCAAAGACTAACTTGTCAAAATATTGTCTCCCCGTGTCGGCACCTAGGCGCATGTCACTTTTGTAATAACATAATCATCCTTGGCAGGTGTCTCGCCGCCGACGAGGTATGTTCCCATCCACGTCTCAAGGACAGCGGCGATTGAATCCTCAGTATGGTAGTCTGGGATCATGTTGGCCTTGAACATAACGGAATAGGGGGCCTTGGTCGTGTTTCTGGTGTCTAAGTAACTCTGCGAGCTGGTAAGTAGTGTTCTAAGTTCTTGACTAATTGCCAGGCGAGGGCAAAGGAGCTCTTACCGATGAGAAGTATAGTGAGTTTGTGCTCTTAGTCCACTTAGATAGGGTGCCTGGAGCCTAGAGGTTAATGAAGCTCACGACAAGAGGTAGTTGAAAGCACTGGGGTAAGTGCAAACGGGGGTTCAATATGGCCGGCTTACTGTAGAGTATGTTTGATGCAGCGTTTTGAGGTTGATCGAGTGTAGGAGATAGGCTGACACGACAGCCCGAGCCTACAGCATCTTCTCTTGATGTGAGAGGATGTCCCTGAACAGCGGCGAGGCCGACGGAGGCCAGAACCGCGGTGGTGAAGCGCATGTTGTTGTTCGATATATAGGATGAACAAAATGTACTCTGTGAAGGTGATCAACTGGGGACGATGCTTGTGTTGGATGGTGTTCAGTGTCGATCTCCTATGCCTTCGTCTAGCGATCCGGGCAGTATCTGGGGTATAAGTACCCCCCCTCCGCTTATATATACCCATATATCCTATACCCACCCTTGGTAAGACGATGAAAGGACGTTGCATCCCATCACACCCCTCCCGGTCAACGACGTCTCGGTGGATACGCCGTTTGGCTACACTGGACTTATCAGCCACGGCTATAGGCCTTCATCTGGGAGACCAAGTCTTTTCACCTTAGGCGGTGACACGCTGTACGGAATTGACAGGCATTTACTATTTGGAAAAGACCATCACCATCCCATACGGCACCCATGTCAACTATCCTTTAGAGGTTGCTATCACATACGCACGGTCACCGGGGGAAAACATGAAATACTTACGATTCCAAGTCGTTATCGAAGTAAGTGTATATATATATATATATTTATATGGAACGGAAGTTGGCAGCCGACCAGACACGTGGGACGATTGTAAGTTCTATCTTCAAAGCGCACTCGACGAAGTTGGCCTTCCCTGGTCCCAGTGATGTGGGATGAACGGGGCATAAGAGCGGATGAACAAATGGGGGATGACTGTGCACCGGCTGTGGTCCCAGATTCTGGGTCCTGCCGTCAAAGCGCATCTGACAGCAACTTCCTCTTGCCTCTTGCCTCTTGTGGAATGTGGGATGTGGAGTCTGGCCACGACGTCACCCATCGTGATGCATCGTCGCGGCGGCGTTAGCCGGTTGGCCACCTCACAACCACAGCTCAAGAGGCCTTGGGTGCTTACTAGAGAGCAGCTTATCAGAGTCGGCAGAATGCAGCCAGATGACCTTGGATGCGATTACCACGTCGGGGAGTTGCTCTCGGCTACACAAGAACGAGTGCACGAGCCCAAAAGTTCCAATGGGAGGCACAGGTAGTCTGTCTGTCTGTCTGTCTGCCTTTTGCTCGCCAACAATCTCACATGCTTACAAGTTACAACGACTACAACAGCAACAGCAACAACAACACCAACAACAGGCATTAGATGCCAAGTATGTAGGGATACCGGTACTGCAGGTATGTAAGCCAGTTGGTTACATAAAGTACGGAGAACGGAGTAATTCATCGGGGCTTCTCTTCTCCCCGTGCATGGCTGGCCTCAACCTAGACTCGTCTAGGAAATGATCGGATAGAGCGCCGACGGCCCTCGAGGCAGATCTCGTTCAAGTTCCCACCAACCCGGGAGGCATAACAACCAAGCTTTTGATGTGCTTGCACAACAACATCTGTCATCTGATCGTCGTGCCTCGGCTGCACTGGCCCGCCGGATGACAGACAAGGAGGGGGGTGAGCTTTGTCCCTATTTTACTATAGGCCAGCCCGTGTTGACAAAAAGATAGAACTTGGAAAGTTGTGTTGGTTGGCACTTAGCATAGCCTGCTATAACTATCAATATTGGAGTCAACCACCACTACAATATAAGTCCACCACCGTCTCTTGTACTACCTATAGTAACTATATCTTATAACCGTGTACTAGATATGTAGGTAGGTATTTAGGCTATTCGTGCCAACGCAAGGCTATTTGTACGCAAGGCTACTTACAGTACTACTCTACCATGTATTGAAGCAAGTAGTCCTATGCGGCGAGTTAGTTGCCAAGTGAGCAACAAAACTTTCCACCTGCCTGACTCGGCACCCGTTCCTCCGTCGAATGACTACTACCTACCTATACCTACAGTTGCTTGTGTTGTCAAGTCCGTACTTATTTGATGTTACTTAATGGAGCATACGCCCCTCCTGCTGGCTACCCCATCTCAGGTCCGCAACTGCTCTGATACTAGTACGCTGACGGTGAGGTATGCCCGCATCTCTTGAAATCCACGGTCGAGCTACGATTGGTCTACCCAGGATCTATAAACGGGTGATTTAGAATGAGTCTAATGTCCCCCTCAACGGACATATCTCGTCTGAAACGCAGTGATTGGGCTCTCACACACGACGTGCCATCAATATGGAGTTGTGTCCTAATAACAGTTTATTGAGTGCGTCTTGGAGACTGGTAAGGAATGACTACTGTATAGGGTTCTCGGCAACATGAGTATCCGCCATGCTAGCATATCGCTGCACAGCATCTAATCTAAATTTGGTCTATCACGAAAGAAAAGGCTGCCAACTCCGCTTCCACCTTGTGAGCTGGGGGCCGTGACGCGCCCTTCCCCTTCTAGAGTCGCATGATGGCCCTTGCACCGGGCTCACTGCAAACATAGATGACATCGTGCGCATCACTGAAGCCGTTGAATTTGGTCGCGGAGCACTTCGTGTAAGCGCCCATGTCCTCGAAATAGAACCAGTCACCAACATCGAGCTCATGCGCAAAATGGATCGACTCGGTGATGCGGTCAATACCATCGCAGGTCGGACCCCAGATCGAGTACTCGGCGCTAGCACATGTGCCCTTAGGAACGGCATCGGCAAGCACACTATCATAATAGGTACGAGTACCGGTGCGTAGAACCTTCGCAATGGGGTGCTGATGATCAAACATGATGCTGCTAAAGTTTCCATAAAGGCCATCGTTGACGTAAACCATGTAACTGGTCTCGCCGGTGACGGGATTCTCGATGGAACGGCGCGCGATAATGTTGCAAGCGATGGTGAATGCCGACGACACGTAGTAGCGACCAGGCTCGGCGATGATGTTGATCTGAGGTGGGAAGTACTCGTCCAGAGCTTCGCGAAGAACATGGGCCATAGTCTCAAAGGTGTCACCCGAGAAACCTCCTCCCACATCAAGCGTCTTCATCTCGAAGCCATGAGCATATCCCTGCTTGAAGACAACATCGGCATCTTGAACGGCCTTTAGGAAAGCCATGGGGTCAGAGGCACCGGATCCCACATGGAAGCTGACGCCGACGACGTTGAGTCCGAGCTCCTTCGCTAAACGGAGAAGATCGTCGGTCGCGTCGAGGGAAGCGCCGAATTTCAAGCTTAGACGACACAAGCTCGACGAATCATCGGTGAGAATGCGCAAGAAAAGCTCGGCACCAGGGAAGAGCTTGGCGATCTTGCGCAGCTCATCAGCATTGTCGAATGTCATCTGCTTGACGCCTTGGTTCGCAACGAATCGGACGTACGAGTTAGTCTTGCAAGGCTGCGCATAGATGATACGCGAGGGGTCGACGCCGATTGCAAGGACCTGCTCGATCTCGGCCTTGGAGGCACAATCGAAGCCGGTACCCAGACCAGCGAGAAGCTGGAGCACTTTGGGGTCCGGGTTGCACTTGACAGCGTAGAAGGGCTTGACGCGGGGAAGATTCTTCTTCCATCTCATATGCTGACGGTAAACCTCGCCAAGATCGCCGACGAAGAAGGTGTCCTCGTCTCCGGGATCACAGGATTCATGGTCAATACTCTCCACGCGCTGGCGAAGAGCATCGCCGATCATTTGTTTTGCGAGGACAGCGCCATGATTATGGTCAACAGAAAGATTCTTCTTAGTAAGAATCGGATTATTCTCGAAATAAGTCGGGGCAGAATAGTCGACGAGAGCAGTGGCCATAACCATATCCTCCAATGTAGAGCGAATCGCTTGGAGACGAAGAAGAGATTGGGGTATCGTCGACGTGTGAACAAGCGAAGAGCCGGGGTACGCAGAGGTCCTTATCTAGATATGTCGTCGCGGCTACCTACACGCAGGAGAGGTGGATAGCGTCGGCGGCAGGGGGAAAAAATTGGGTCACTGGGAAGGTGTCCTCTGGTGTTAGGGGGGTCGAAAACGGTAGCTTCCTGATCCCGAAGCGATCTGACGAGGTCTCCTCGACTCTCCCTCCGCAAGAGGAAGAACCTTAGAACTCGTCCTATGCGGCAGCCGATGGGGTGAAGGGATGGCGGGAGTCGGTTGAGGAGTGTCGAACAAGAAAGGAGTTCGGCGGTCCTTAGGCGATCTCAGCAGGCGGTGGAGGGGGTCGGGAGTTGATGATGTGGAAGGATTTGCGCAGGCTGAAATCTTGGTCAGAAACAAAGCTCACGGCCGTAGAAGCCGTGGTAGCTGCGGTGCCTTTGAAGAGACCAAAGGCAAGTCAATGGAGAAGAAATATGTCCCAGTCGGTGAGGGATCAATCGCTGAAGCCTGCGTGTAACGGGACGGGCAGAGAATCAGGGGACGAGAGAAATGAGACGTGGTCTTGATGACTGAGTGTACGAGTTTTGAGAGAGGTTTGAGTTGTGTTGTTTGTTTTAGGGGGGGGGATGGTGGTAGTAGTAGTAGTGTAGTGATGATGAGATGATTATGATGGGGAGCGAGAGAGGGTGGTTTGGTTTTTTGTAGCAAAAGCTAGGTAGACGCAGGAGGCTAAGCTGGTTGCATAGCCCTCACAAGGAGACTAGTGGTGGTTAGGTCGGCCACTGCATGGTCAGGGCAACTTCTTTTTTTTTTTCCTGCGTGGTGGGGTCGGGGGAGAGACGAGGGCGGGGCAGATCGGCCACAACTGTGGGGACGGGGAGACCTGGGTGGGTGACTGATGTGATTGGCCAGGGATGCGCATTGGGAAGTAGTGACGTACTACCTAGGTATGTATATACTATGTACTGCAGCCCCAACACCACGGCCTGGGTGAGACAAGCACAGGATAACCTACCTATGTTGTGTACTCTGTGTACCGATATTCAGGCACAAAAGGATGGATGCTTGGGATGGTCGTGAAGAAGATTGACCAATTGGAAAATCCCGTACCTGTCTTTGTTCAAGACACACTAGGCCCTACAAGCCACGCAGCTGTGGTGGCAAGTATGCTGAGTATGTTGTTGGCGCACAGAGGCATTCACAAAATGCCGGTACACTACAGTCGGTAGTAGGTACCAGCAAGCCGAGTCGATACCTATACGAGTCGATATACGAAGTAGGCGAGATAGGCAATATACAGCGAGAGAGATGGGACTGTGTCCTGCGTCCTGTGCCTTGCAGGAACAGACTCTCAGTCTGACAGACTGGCTGGTCCCTAATACAAGGTGGGCGTGTGGTCGCGTGTAGAATGAAAGTGTGTAGACGAGGTATATAAGATAAGGTATAGATGGAAGAGGTCCGGGAACGCAGCTTCAACAATGGACGACAACGTATGCCCGTTGCCTGTATCCTGGGATGACAGGAAGAGGAGATGCTCTGGAAGCGAAACCACAACACCTTTATACCTGTCGTCGTTGTCGTTGTCGTCGTCGCCACCGCCGACTCTCACCACTTCCTGTTCCTTTTCTATTTCAACCCTCCTATCACTCATCCTCTTACTCCCTCCGTCCTACCATCCGTCCGTCCGTCTCTCTCACTACTACTGTGTATCTAGCTCTCACGCGCGCTCTCTCTCTCTCCCTCTCCCTCTCCCCACAGTCGGGCGCCGCCCCATCGGCATTTCTTCTCGATGCAAGTTGATACAAGCTAACCTCCAACTTGTCAATCAATACTGCTGCTTGTGTCAAGCTGATAAAGCCAGTCTCCAGTCTCCATATATGCTGTGAAAACTGCAACCTTGCCAGGTGCGACACCGCTCTTCCTCCACGGCATGCCTTGCGACTGGCCCAGCGCCCCCCATCCCTCTCGACTGTCCATTTCTCTGACCGCAATTTTCTACCCACCTTTTCCATCTTCATTGACTTGCCGCCGTGACTCTGTCCGACCATGCTTGCATGAAAGGGACCCCGCCGCCTTAACCACGCCAGGCTCTAGATGCATCTCCAACTCGACAACCACCACTCGATGAAATCGGCCCTGTTATCACTAGCGGTCGCAGCGTGCCAATATCGGCCCATCTTCACCATGCCTTGAAATTGAAATACGACAAGTCGATAGCGTCAGCATAGTAGGCCTACGTTCGATCTCTAACTGTGCCGTCGACGCCTACAGCGACTTGCTTTAGGCTGTTGTCCTCTTCTCGTCCAAATACAACGATGCTCTCTATGTCATGATGTGGTGTGTTGTGTTGTCATGTTCAGCCGCTTCCGACATATTTTCAAGCTACCCCAATCTCTCATCGTGCGAGTGGCCAATGAGCTCCCCAGACACCTCTGTTTCAGCAGCAGAAGATGCATGCATGTAGGTACAGGACCTGTACACCAGCTCCCGCGTACGTCGGGGCCTGCTAATTTTTTGTGTGATTGGCTATCCGGCCATGCGTGTTTTACAATTGGCTACCCGAAGAAATTACGAGGCATTAAGGTGTTTGCAAGTTGTTGGAGACATCTTCTAGAAGGCTTCAAGCTACCTCAATTCGGTAGGTAGCTGGAACTCGACCTTGAAAGATAAGCCTCCGGCGAGTGCGGTTAAGTGGAAAAGGGGAACAGAGCGGCAACGTGGAAAGCTTGGCTTGATGAATGCCACGGGGTCGTCCCAACCAACCATTCTCGCATCACATAGACGACATCTAGCCAGCGTGTGTTACCTTACTTACATCATGACTATGTGACGATTTTCAAAGAAAGGGGTGGATTGACCGACAGCCCAACCACCCACGATCGCGCAAGTCGCGTGGTCATACGTATTTAGGTATGCTAACGAGCTTCCTTGGCTGAGTTTCGTACAGCCATTTTCTAGCTGGCCTCTCCTATATGAAGTAGTATACCTGGCCTAGTACCTGGGTAGACCTACTCGTGTCTATCTAAGCCGCACAATAGCCCGGAACGGCCATGGCAATAGCCCCAATAACTAGAGCAGCACTATGCACTATGACACATCCCACAATATATAGTATCGTTCATTATCCAGGTAGGCTACATAGCTACCTCCAGGTCGGATGGTATGGTTTGCGGAAAAGCCAAGGAAGGAGGCACGCGTAGACCTTGAGTCATTGCTTAGGGAGGTCGACAATTATGGGATTGAGTGCCTAATGTTACCTCACTTTCACACGCCACGCCCCCCAGGCGGCCTAGTCCAAAAGGCAATAGATCGAAGTCTTGCTTTAGATGTTGGGAAACCGGGTTCCCCTTACCCAGATAAGCACAGGAGTCGAATCAATGCTCGTGCCATCAATACAAGATGTCAAAGTTCCTCTAACCGAAGATGACTATACTGCATCGAAGGAAACCTTTCGCAAAAACAGCGTATCTCCTATGCTCCCACATACCCAGACCCCCTCCCTTCAGCCTTGGCCGCCATAACATTGGAAGCGGGTGGGCAAATAGGTGGAAGCACACTTCTCCCGTTGACGATGCCGAACTTCTAGGTTACCACCGGCTGTTATGGGATGAGCGATGATTCTGATATGGAGTCAGATGATGACGACATCGAACTTCCCGAAGCTGCATTGAACAAGAAGTTCACCCCAGGACTGGGCAAACCCATGGAAAGGACTCCGAGGGTGATCAAGATAGCGTTGAACCTTAAGAAGATGCTGATGGTGAACATAACGAAGGCACATTACATACGCCTGCTCGATTGACTGGCCAACCGTATGGTCAGAAGTGGTACTTCGCATCGAATGGGATTGGTATTGTCTAAGCATGCCCGTCAATTGTACGAATGTCTTGCCCGTTGAGGTACCCGAAGTCCCCTAATTGGTAGACAACAGTCATCTGCCTTCCCCTGAAATCGATGGGCCTTGAACCTAGTGCTTGAAGTAAGCCGTTAACTTCAAAGCCTAGATTTTGGATATATGCTGACAGCCACATCAGATCTAGTTGCGGTCGCAAATAATAGTTCGATAGCGGATGATCGTTCACAGACCCAGGTCGCTCGAACAAGGATAGAAACCAAGGGGGGTTAATTTCCTATTACCTCTTTCGCGATGAGGTAACTCGAGCTATAGATATCGTCCAGGAGTATCATCGACCTCAAGCCCAGGCTCTACCAGGCACATGCTACGAGGTACAATCGGATGACGCTGGGCAAAGTGACGCCGTCCTCAAAGGCCTAAATCAGAAACAGTTATACAAGCGCACGATGGCGGTCACTTAGAGTTGGATAACCCTACAATCATTTCCTATGTAATACTCGGGTTTTATGAGTAGTACAAGCATCTCGTTCCATCGAGCATTTTAATAGCCTCGTTATATTCATAACACATTCCTGTTGGACATTCTTGCGATCCCAGACAGACGTGAATAGTATCTGCTATTCGTCGAGTTTCTGCACCACTCTAACACAATCGCTTTCACTTGTGCCCACTAGGACTCAGCTACCACGCCGTCATGCTTGCGAAACATACGTTGTGCTTGGAAGCGATCCCATCCAGGACATCGAAATGTCATGGCAGTGATGGCAAAAGCTGTCATTGAGATCTATCGTACTGGATTTGATACTACAAGGTTCGCACAATCCCTTACAACCACACAGCAACACATGGGTTCCGGTTCACAGAGGGTATGCGGGGGGCATTGCTCCGCCTAGTCGAGCCGAGGAACCTGACTATACCTTTTGCCAGGCCCGGACCTATTGACGCCGGATTACCCCAATAAGTTCGCCGGTGACTGGCATAGTCGCGGCGTAAAATTACTCATAGCACTGTTCGTGTTTAGCCGTCTTCACACCCGGATCATAAACTAGCTCATTTCCTCTCATGGGCCCCTCCTTCCGTCTAGGTTTCAGGATGAATGGTGCATTTGGATTGGCTGGAATGTGCTCTGTTGAATAGCTGAGTGAAATGCCGTAGAATAATTTCCTAAGCTGCATATTGGACTGTATTGTGTCTGGACTGTAACTAACGGTACCTAGTGAGGCTCGTATTCAAAGGAATGAGTGGCCTCTCTGTTTTTCCCCGGCTTTCGATATAACCATGGCTTTATAGAAAGGCTTTTGAGATATCCCGGCGAATTTATATCGCGTATAGGTATATCATTGGCAATCGTTACTTATTGGTGAACTCTATGCTGCTAAGCATTTGAAAAACATTCTACAAAAGGGCGGCTGCGTGGGTATATGAATAAATGAATGGAGTATACATCAATATTATATACAAAATCTCTCGACTTTAGTGAATATTGACTATTGATGTGGATCATATTGGTTCCTTCACGCTCGTATCTTGCATTCACCTTTATTCGACATTCGTTTCGTGGCTACACCAAAAGGGTAGTGACAGTTTGAAGGAAAAAGCCGGCTATCTCACGAGTTGCTGTTCGAGGCGCGCATATTCGACTTCGCGGTTTGTCCAGGCACAGCTCATCAGCCATGATTTCAACATTCTGGATCCTGAATCTATGTTTTCCCCTGCTGATTCAGGATGTCTTTGGAGCTCAGCATGGCATCATTGGTTTTGGTCGATCCTTATACGAGGACTCATGTTGCCTAGCTTGTCATGATGCTCTTTCCTCTTTATACTTAGGCTGTACCACTTTCCCTAACCATCACAATATGCCTGGTATGGACACAGGCATGAAAATGGAGATGGATATGATGGGAACAACAAGCGAAGACTGCCGAGCCTCGGATGAGCCGTGGCTTCAAACGATGGCGTATTGTATACAGAAGAGGTGCGGCCATGGATACACAGAGGACCAGCAGGCCAAATGTTTTAGTGTTCATGCTGTGTCTGGTGCCTCGAAGCCGACCTTTCAAGATTGCTTACCAAGCGCGGCGCCTACGGTCGAGCTGCCTCGTGATGCGGCATGGCTCAATAATACCAGCTTAGTAAATGCTGATCTTTATCATGCGACACATGGGACGCTTGAAGAGTTTGCAAGATCAGAGTACCTTCACACAAGATATTCGTAAGTTCGGTCTCCTTATACCGGGAACCCACATTCGAATAGCAACAAAGAGTACATAATAACACAATTTCTACAGGATTATTCTCTACCTTCTTGTCATCGGTGCCTGTCTCATCTGGGGAATCAAGAAGCAGCTCGCAAGTATGTTCCCTCTTGCCTACCGAAAAGTACGCAGCACAAAGCTGGCACTACGTCTTCAACACTATATCGGTCTACCTGCTTTATTCGGATCTCATCATCTGCAGCCACTCCCAGCGGATTGGGGCTATATACCTAGTAGAGCGCTCAGTGTCTCCATCAGCATCTACGTCGCTCTAAACATAATATTCTCGTCTATATCCTTCGGGAGCTTCCAACCGAACGTATACTTCCCTTCGCAACGATTCGAACTCTGCGAATATGTAGGCAACCGAACCGGTACACTGAGTCTTGTCAACATCAGCATTGCCATATTATTCGCTGGGAGAAATAACCTCCTTATCTCGATAACCGGATGGAGCCAGACAACGTTTCTGACGCTACATCGCTGGGTCGCGAGAGTGGCTACGGTACAGGCTATCGTGCATTCCGCTGTTTATACTCTGCAGTATGTCGATCCTGGATACGAGGGAGCGACGTCTTACTCAGCAAAAGCGTCCGAACCATTTTATGTATGTATTTCAGTACTTCTAAGTTAATAATACCATGCGCAGGGCTAGAGCCAACTTGCAGCATACCTCATGTTTAAACTGGACTGATCCGTTACGGACCTTACTGACTGTTCGCCATAGTGGTGGGGGATTATCGGAACCATAGCCTTGAGTCTGGCTGTAGCGTTCGCCATCCTCCCTCTTCGAATAGCAGTCTACGAGGTCTTCCTAGCGGTTCATATTGTTCTTATTATCCTTGCTTTACTCGCATGCTGGTACCATCTGGTTCCCCATTTCGGCTTCAAGGTCCGTCTCAAGGAATTTACCTTCCTGTTTCCTTGCATTGAATCGCTGTACGTTGAATATGAACGCCCGCTAACATTTTTATATCTGCACAGTACGGTTACCAGGTTTGGTTATACATTTGTTTCGCATTCTGGTCCGCCGATCGACTTGCAAGATTGACTCGGATCGTCTATTATAATCATCTGGGGCATGCGAAAGCAATAGTTGAGGCGATCCCGAATTGTAATATCCTCCAAATAACCGTATTGCCACGTACTATGCGTGGAATTGGGCCCGGCCAGCACACTTTCCTGTACTTCCCTACGCTGGGAAAATTATGGGAAAGTCACCCATTTAGCATTGCCGCGTGGGATACACATAAGCCGCCAACACCCCTCGTTTCCACGTCTCTCTCGACCTCGAAAAGCAACAACGTTTATTGTGAGACGAAGGAGTTGGGCACCATATCGTCGGGGACAGATTCTATCCACCAGGTGAAACCGACGACCAGACCTTCATTCCGAGAGACAGTGCCATACAAGACGCGGGAGAATGATAGCCCCTCCTTTCGACTTCTGATCAGAGCGCATTCAGGAATGACCGCAACGCTACTAAAACACCTTTCCTCGCCCACTCGCATTCCGAGTGCAGAGATATCCGCCTATACAGAGGGGTACTACGCAGGCCACCATGCCACCTTCCAACCGCTTTTCACAGCCGACACAGTTCTCTGCTTAGCGGGCGGTCTAGGAATTACACATGCACTAAGTTTTGTCCAAGAATACGCAAGCAGGGCGCCAGCAGAGGATGAAGGTGAAAGAGCGGGAGGAAGTCGCGGTATGATGGGGAGGACCAAGAGATTTATCCTCGCTTGGTCTGCGAAGGAAGCCCCTTTTATCGAGCACGTGCGGACAAACTTCCTTGCCAATGTGCGAGGGGTCGAGTGTTGGTTCTGGTACACGGGCTCTGTAGACATCGGAACGCAGAAGACAGACGAAGGAATCAGTGGCTGCACACCGACAATAGATCATACGGTCACGGTTGGCCGGATGGACGTCGTTTCTGTGATACGGTCGACTCTTGAAGCCGGACGTCAGACTGCGGTTCTGGTTTGCGGACCTGGCCAGATGGCGGATGAAGCGAGGAGGCAGATCGTTAACTGTGTTAGAGATGGCTTCTGTGTAGATCTACTTGAGGAGGCATTTGCTTGGTAGCCCTCGCGGCCGACGGCGTGTATACCTTACTTAGTAAGATTGACTTTAATTCATGATGCTCCTTATTGTGCAAATATTGCAGTTCTCGAACCTCTCCTTCTCCCGAGAAGACCCTCGCTGCAGACCCAGCCAAGATGAAGAAGTCGGGAGCGAGATTTTAGAATCCCGGGTGCCAAACATTGTACTTAGTATTTCCACATGGACGCGGTGGTGACGTTATGCAGGATTAAGCAATGAATAAAAGCTCGGGGTTCGGTTGGTTGCGGTACTTGCTGGCTGGCTGTCTTCTACTTCGACCCCAAGCATCGAGACAATTAATCCACGGTCTGTGCACGTATTTGTTATCGAGTGCATACGTGAATATCCTGCAATTCCCGAATCTCTCTATGAATTCACTGGCATGGATAGCACAGACAGCAACTGGTATTGACCAAGTCGGGATTTCTTGAAGCCTACCAACTTTTGCTCAACGGGTAAAATCACTGAGATTACTCATCAGCGAATGATTGGATAATCTTCCTGCATGTCTCCAATTACCAAGATCTGCGCATGATGTTGCATTCGGGGAACTTGAGCTCTGTCTGGGCGATGCTAGAATGAGAAGCCTCCGCGGAAGGATGATGCATCACACTGATCCATGGGCGAAATTTTGTCATTATTAATTGCTAAGGTTGGTTGAATATTAGTTACTAACACGAGTACCACAATGGCCTTGAAACCACTAATTGAGTTCTTCTTGGGCGTTTGTCTGTCGAGGGATTTGCGAGCTGTGGGAGGGCGCGATGGCTGGACCATCACGTTTGTGACCAACGAGGAATCTGACGGTGTTTGATTCCACATTCAATACATTAGAATCATTAGTAAGAGTAGGAAATATGGTCATGTCTGAAACCGTTCTCACTTACAATTGGGCTTTCTGTATGTGATGAAGTCTGTTCGAGTCAATATAAATAGGTAGCTAGGTAAGGTCCATATAACCGATTTGATCAACCATCGCTATCCTCTTGTAAACAGACACACTTATCGACCAGTAGGGACGCATTGACTAATTCCACATATCCGTCTCATCTGATTTCATACGCCCGACATGACGAAGCTTGTTACCATTGTCGGAGCCACGGGCAACCAGGGACACGCCGTGGTAACCGCCCTCATTGGGGATCCCAGTTACAGTCTACGCGGCCTGACCCGCAACGTACAGAGTCAGAACGCACAGAAATTGAAAAGCCAGGGTGTCGAGATGTTGGCAGCCGATCTCGACGACCTAGACTCACTGAAGGCGGCTTTCGCAGGCTCATACGCCGTGTATGGCGTCACGGAAATAAAGGAGTCGCTCACAGAAAACGATCTGGAGACATTGATAAACGTCGAAGCAACATGGGGGAAAAACATTGCACAAGCTGCCGCCGAGACCGTTGGTTTGCAGCATTTCATCTGGAGCACGCTCCCGAACGCGTTGGAAATTAGCGGTGGCCGACATAATCCGCCCAACTATGCTGGCAAAAACAAGGCTGACGCATATATCCGCGCCAACGCGGACCTCGCGGCTAAGACGACGTTCTTGATGATCGCCCAGTACCATAGCAATTATGCGATCGGCCCTATATCGATTCATCCGATCCCATCTGCGAATGCATACGTACACTTCGCCTCACACGCGCCAGATACCCCTATATCGTGGATCGGCGACGTGAGACGCAATTTGCCTCCATTCATCAAGCCTATTCTTGAGCAGCCGGGCAGGACAAAAGGGAGTATCGTGTACGCGTACACAGAGGTGTATACTTCAGAAGAATCTCTACAAATATGGGCAAAAAGTAACGGGGTCAAGGCATTTCATGTGCCTATTTCAGCTGAGCTGTTGTATGAAATGTGGGGGAAGTATGCTGATGTTTTGGCTGCAATGTGGAGGTTCTGGGGAGAGTGTAGAGAGAAGAGCTGGTCAAGTCCGGGACACGCCGTTCTGACGAGCATTGATTTGGGTGTCACTGATTTTACGAGCTTAGCCGAGACATTCAAAGGGTATATGTTCTAGTACAGGTATCAGTTGATCGATGGCGGCTCGCTTTTTCTACATATTTCAGAAACCAACAATCATACACGAGAACGTAACTTGTGCCTCTACTCATGTCTACAGAAGCATGTACTCTATTCGTTAGTCCGGAGTTCCAAAGCTGAGGAATCCGAGTCTGAAAGAATGAGCAAATAGCTCGATTCGCAGTTATCTACTAATAGATACCCGAGAACCCGCTGAACATGTCAATCTCGCGTTTTCGCGTGGTCTCCATGCTATGGAACTATAATCTTGAACAAGATCACAGAGCATGGAGACGTATCGTATCTGAACGCTGGAATTTGATGGAGTAAAGACAATAATCCTGAAGGCTGGAAGCACACGAAAGGAGACGATGCATATTGAACGTTGACCTTTAAAGATATAGAGAAGGGTATATAATAGTAATGTTGTACAGGTTGTAAGTGGACGATTCCTTCATTAGTTTTATCATTTGTTGACATCGACTTTAATTTCCTTCACTTTCCAGGAGTCGTCGACCCAGTTTTGCTTCTTCCCTAAGAAGGCTATTTGCTCGCTTTGCTTAGCGAGGCCATCAATTATGTATTTCTGGGCGACTTCTCGAACTTGATCTTTTGTCACATCAAGGAGTTGCTCACGCCTCTGTTGCTGCATCTCGTCCGTGATTCCAGACACGAATCGAAGCATGCCCTCGGTGCTCACTGATTTTGGAGCATCGACACTCTGAAAAACAGATATCTTGGCCTCCTCTAAATCTTGATTGGACCATTCTTTGTCAAAGGCCCAACGCCCGGCATTCCTCATTATAGAGATAGTATTTTGAGGATTGGGATCTCGGTACGAATAGAAACCAAAAAGACCCTCAAGTCCTTTCATATATGCGCCCCCTCCGTAGGCGCCGCCTTTCTCTCGAATTTCGTGGTGTAAATGTTTATGAGTCAACAGCTGTGCTAAGATCTGGAGTGGTGCACTATCTGGAGAAGTGTATGATACTGTTGGTAGGGCTAAGTTACCATAGTAAACTTGATATGGGAGTGGGAAGAAGGCCTTAATATCACGGGTAGAAGCGTGCTTCTCGTGAGGCCCAAATGAGATACCCGATGAATGCTCATCTTGTTTGGACGCGAATTGTTCAAGAGCTGATGAATTAGCAGCGGTGCTATCTGGTCCGCATGTTAGCGCAAAGCGAACTTTGCTGTTTAGAGCTTTGGGGTTTAGAGCGGCGATCTGGATCATTTTAAGTTTCCACATGAGTTGCACCAGGCTATCTGATTCGGGCAGTCCGGCTAGATGGGTAATGAGGTGCACCTGTGACAGCCCACTGAGTTGTTCAGTAAGATATGCATCACGGGTAAGTCCGGACTCCGCATATTTTCGAGCATAAACGTGACCAGATGATGCAATGTCGTTCACGATACCATCGGCTGAAGCTTGAAGGAGTTGCCTAACCCGACGTGCGGACTTAGGGCTATCAAAATCCGTCTCCAATACAAGTTTTAGTAGAATATCGAACATCTCGGGCACATTGCGATCCAGTGCCATTCCCTTCAGAACGAGACCTTCAGACGCTTGGTGGAAGTCTGTGGCTGAAGGCGTCGTCATATAGCTAACTGATACACCACCTGTCTTTAACTTGATCCTGTCTTCGAGTTGCTCCATTGTCATATCCTTGGTCCCGAGGCGCATGAGAGAATCGCAGAAAAGAGGGACCAGCTGGCGAAGGGGATCCGGTAAATTTTCAAACGTGACGATAGCTCGAAAATAAGTCAACCCGTTAGTTGGTGCCTCTCGCCATTGAATAGCATTGTTGTCCAAAACCTCATCACGAACGATGATAGGCTCTCTTTCACGAGGAATATCTTTTACGTGCACGGATGGAAGGCAGCTGAGATCTTGCGTGTTGGATTTGTCTTGCTCTGCTAGAAGCTCAAGCTCTCGCTGTTCAAAGAATCGTCGGGCTGCGTCCTCGCTACCTGCTTCTTCAGTGGCCTTAGCAATTCTTTTTGCCAGCCGTTCGTCCTCTTCTTTAGCCAATTTAGTACCATAGTCTTCTGATGGTGCCATTGTAAAGGTGAGGTTGTTATCGTTTATAAGGTACTTGTCTATGAGGCCTTCAAGATAGCCACCTTGGGCGAGTCTTGCTTCGAATGCAGCGACTGTGTCATTCCACGCCAACAAATCAAAAGGATCAGTGCCAGAAAACCACCTCCCCTTTAGGCGCTGTAGCACAGACATCCCAAAGTTGGCAGTCTTGTGCTTTAGACTGAGTTCAAGTTGATGGAGGTATCCTTCGATCTTGCTCCGCTCAAATCCATTTTTACGCGCCTTGTGGATAATCTGTTTTATCTCGTTCTTGACCCTTTCAACATTGGCCTCACTAACTCCAGCCAGCCCAACCGAGAATATCCCAGTAGCTGCTGATCCATCATAGCCAGAATTAGGACTGAAATCGGTACCAAGTCGGCTGTTCTCGATTAGGCCCTTGTACAGAGGAGAGCCGTAGCCATCCATCAACAAGGATGATAGAAGTGCCAGCGAAAATGATTCCACGACGTCACTCGTGTCTCCAACGATCCATGATATAGAGGTTTTGTATTGTTTGTCGGAATCCACCAAAGGGTCTACAGGACCTAGAACCTTCACAAACCGGGGCCCAGTGCTGAGATCAATAGGGTGCTTGTGGTCGATGTCTGTTTCTATCCGTGCAAATGTGCTCATCTGGGCATCGATCTCTCTTAAGTGGTCAGCGAGAGGCATGTCTCCATATGTCATCAATTTGGCATTACTTGGGTGGTAATGCTCAGCATGGAACTTTTTGAGCTGTTCATATGTCAAGTCGGTAATCCTCTGAGGATCACCGCCGGAATTATTGATCGCTGGAAAGACATGATCTTGGAAGCGGATATAAAATAGATAATCGGCGTCCGACATCTGACCCTTCATTTCATTATAAACAACGCCCTTGAAGACTAGCCTGCTGTCCTCGGCGTTGGCCTGGCCATCACTCTCGGCAACGCGAGGATTCTCAGGACCAATGCGCCATCCCTCTTGTGTAAAATCGGTTTCTTTGAGGAGTGGGCGAAGTGTGGCATCGAGGTAAACGGACATGAGATTTCGAAAGTCTTGGGCATTGGTAGTGGCGAATGGATAGTAGGTATGGTCGGATGCCGTGAAAGCATTCATAAAATTGGACAAGGTGCGAGGAAGCATCTTAAAGAAGGGATCTCGAATCGGATACTTTTCGCTACCGCAAAGTGTGGTGTGCTCAAGGATATGAGGGACCCCAGTGTCATCAGGAGGATTCGTCTTGAAGCCGATGGAGAAGACATTGTTGCTATCTTCTCTGGCTATGTGGAGGTAGTCGGCGCCTGTCTTGTCGTGTTTCAAATGTAGGGCAGTTAACTCGAGTTCGGGCACATGCTTCTTCCTTAGCAGAGTGAAGCCATGAAGCTTTTCACCATGTTTAGGGTACTGGGAAAGTTCCGTGACTGCTCTTTTTGCGGCGCCCTTGACAGCGTTGCGGAGCATGATGGGTCCAAAGACGGGGTGCGCAAGTTCCGCGCAACGCAAGGAAAGAGCCCTAGGTGTGATCTGGTTGATACTCAATATACCAGAAGCAGAGACCAGGACATGCGTATTGCTGCTTTGGTGATACTGCCAGAGAAATGTTATACCGAGGAGTAGTTAAATGATGTTGTGGAAATATTTTTGGAAGGCGAATTGATTGGCGAGGTGCCTGCCTAGGTACCAACAGTCAAATCCTACCCAGGTACCTAAGTACCGACCTAGGTGTGATACATAGTTAGTTACCCGAGGTGTCCCGTGAATAAAGCATGATGCACAACAATTGCATGCTCAAACGAAGCTTCAAGGGAAAATGCCATGGGCATCTTAAAGAAATTCTTAAAGAAGGGGTACGTGTACTTGTGCATATATTCATCCAGACATACCTAGGGAGGGGTTACAGAGAGTATTGCACCTGTGTAATAAGGAGTACTATCTACTTAGGTACGTATATGGTTTGTTTGAAGTCGCTGGCGCAACATTAACATTGGCAATGAAGGTGAACACCCTTACCAAACCATCGCGGAGCGACTTGAAGCTGGATAACCTCACTCCCTTACTACTTATGTACGAATATGAATCATCCCTGAGGTCGATAAGCGATCCATCCCATCCGAGCCGTCCCCACTGTGCACCGCCTGCTCGGGTACGCACCCCCCGGTACGCACCAACCGGTACCATAGCGCAGAAACTCGAAGCTGTTTAGGTCTGTCAGAGTCTGTCTTGGACCTGTCTTGGGGGTTTGGGGGGGCGTCATGCCCCGGTTGATTCATCCACCCCAGTATCCGCGTCTTTCCACGTCGACTATCCAGTAACCGGCACTATGTGCCTAACCGACTCAGACACCCGCCTCGCCTCTATCTCGACAAACTTCTCTTGAGAGCCATCGTGACCATTGCTCTCAGCATCAATCCGCGCCCAGCCAACCCACAACCCCCGAATTAGCCACTAATCCTTACCAGAAGCCCTGCCTCGACGCTGCTTATTTGTGAACTTAACCGCATCGCCCCCCAAATGCGCCTTTCTACCCTCCCAACGTAAGCTATTCCTCTCTACCTTGTTCAACTCAGCTGGCGAGTCCTCCCCAGACTTACACACCCTTGCCCCTCCTCCGTGCTTGCCGCTTTCGTGTGGCAACATCTCATCGTTGCTTGCAGCATATAAATCTCTCCTTCGATATGGCAAGTACGAGCCATCGTGCACCGTCAGCAACGCCGGCCCCTCTCGCCTCTCTCTCGAATGGCACGGCTTCACATGCTCACGATGACCCATCCCTTCCCAATAGCCACCATATCCCAGTGCATGAGCCTCGACCGGCGCCGACGCCAACCGCCGCTATGGCCTCAAATAAAAAAGGGAAGGGGAAGAAAGCGTTAGATTCTTCCGAAGCATCGAAATTGGTTGCCGCAAGGATATCTCAACTCGAGGTCGATACTGCTGCTGAGAAAGAACAAGAGGCCGAGATCGGTATGTCAAAAAACTTTTATTCAGGTGAAACCCAAGCAGTCACTGTAGTGTTCAAGATGTGGTGTAATTCCGCTCGCGCATCTCATGGGGGTGGCCGATTGGGCTTTGTGTCCGCTGAATACGCGGCGCATACCGCTCGCCAGGAGATGAAGAGTTACTACACATTGCTCTTCTATTGGATGGCATGGGGACTGTTGGGGTCCAAGAATTTACCCTTGCGAACAACGGTCCGAGGACCATGGCCGAAAGTGTTCTGGGACTACTCGTTGCTCGCTAGAATACTAGGCACGATGGCCACTCAATGGATTGCATTACACTGGTCGTTACGCTGGAATTTACCAACTAACATTGCTTAATTTCTAGAGCGAGAAGTCCGCAAGGCTAATCGCGAGTTGAATCATCAGATGAATAAGATGAACGATATGGACAAGATTGACCTCCTAACGAAACGATCTTCTGAGCTTTTTGCGAATCTAAAACGACTTGAGCGCGAAAATATCAAAAACAAGAAGCGTGCCGACCAATTGCAAAAAGAAAAGGATTCAAGTAGAACGGATCTCAGTAAGCAAGTCGGTCTGAAGGAGAAACTAGAGAAATTGTGTCGCGAATTACAAAAAGAAAATAACAAACTCAAGGTACAACCAAGACTCTGGTTTTCCAGGATGATGAAGCTGATGCAGGCTTTGTGTAGAATGAGCATAGAGCCCTGAATGATTCTCACGACCGACTGAAAACTTCTTCGGACGAGCGTTTTAAGAAAGTGCTTGAAACGCTAGAAGGATATCAAGAAGAGAAAGACAACCCGCGAAAACAGGTTGTTTATATGAAAGCAGAAGAGCTGTATAACCACCCCTCATTTGCAAGTCCGCACTCTTGACTGACAATGGCGGCTCAGATTCAAGAATCGCTTCAAGTCCTTGATTGACCAATATGAGCTACGTGAACTTCACTTCCATTCGGCCATGCGAACCAAGGAGATAGAAGTCCAGTGGAATATGGCGCGCTATGAACAGCAAAAGAAGGCGGTGGAAGCTGAGGGCAACCGCGCACGTCAATTAAACAATCAAGTCCTCACATTCACCAAAACGGAAACGGAACTGCGGAACCAGCTCAATGTCTATGTCGAGAAGTTCAAGCAGGTATGCACCCTGTTTCTTTCTCTTGCACGCCCAACACAGGCGTTAACAGACGACGAGGTCGAGGATACTTTGAACAACAGTAACGATCTGTTTTTAACGTTTCGCAAGGAGATGGAAGACATGTCTAAAAAGACCAAGAAGCTGGAAAAGGAGAACGAGGCTTATAGGCGCAGAGACACGGCTCTAAACCAGAATATTCTGAAAATGGCTGAGGAACGCAACAAGCACCTTAAAGACGTCGAAGACGTCAAGAAAAAGAACGACAAGCTCACCAGTATCATCAACCAAATGCAACAACAAGGTCGCGGTATACCTGCGGGAATGCAAGGTGCTATGGAGAGCTGTTATCCCGAGGCTGGAGAGGCTGGCGACGGAGAGCTCGAGGGCGAAGAGGATAGTGATTGCGAGTATGATGAGGATGCGGAGGAGCAAATCAGTGAAGGTGAATTCGACGATGATGATGATACAGAGGAAGAAGTGCCAAGCGTGCCGGGTGCCTATGGACCAGAGCGACCGCCTGCCATGAATGGCCATCGCTAGGAAGCTGATGGACTAGACTGGCAGCCGGAAATCACGTTTCCCCGGCCTATTGTCAACTTGTTACACCGGGTAGAGGAGTTGAAGGACCAGGCCTTGGAAGCTCTCTCCCTAGTGTGTAGAGCACCTTACACATACATGGCAGAAGAGGGATGATCTCAGCTAATCTGGACCCCCTGAGCAAGACAACTCCTACTTGTCCCCTGGGTCATTATGACAGGCATTGGTTCCTACCAAGGTCCGCATTAATGACATTGTTGGCTACGCTAGCACATTGTATCCTGTACGTTGGGAAGCGATACTCTGTAGAACTACGAAGAATTGATCGTTTATGAAGAATACATCGGCTCGGCAGTTTATTTTTGTTCTTTTACTTTTTCCTTTCTCACTTCTCTTTCCACACGTCGAGCACATTGCAATAAATAGTGAGGCGCATGAAGCTGACTTGATATTATAGGGTATCTTTTGGTTTTACTACTTCTCGGCACCTATTGAGACGACTTCAGCGTGAGGTTGATGTTGATGCGCCGCCTGCTTTGGTCGTAGTGGCTGGCCGCTGCTTGACACCGTACTTGGCTGGCACTCTCGCTGGCCCCAGCTCTCTCCGGAATTCATCATATTGCTCTACACCGTTGCCCCACTTACCCTTCTTAACCGTTTTCTTGCCAACCTTCGAATAGTCGCCTAAGAAGTCGTCTAAGATGCTGTCAAAATCGGACCGTAGGGGGCCCGTGACACTCGATGCTGTCGACATCATTGACGGGGCTATTGACCCAGTGTCATCGGCATCCCCATCCCACTCATAGTCGTCGTGATCAGGGTTGTACTGCTTCTGCTCGAGAACCTCGAAGCGCGCGTCTAGTAGACTAAGCTGTTCCGTACGTACTAGCGAAGAGGACGTCATAGAGTATCCTGATTGCGATGTCAGAGCCCCCTTGCGCTTCTTGCGCCGCCCGCCGTTCGTGGTTGTGGTTAGGATGCTAGACTGCAGGTCTGATACTGATGGTGTGACCCCGGCCACGGGACGACCGCCAATTTTCTGGTTTTTCTTGAACTTGTGGAAATCCTCCAGCCAGTTTTCATTCTTCACGAAATCTGCCTCTTCGCCTGCGAATGCACCTTCTTCTCCTGGGCCGGTGACTGGGACTAAATTAGGCACCTCGGCATCATCACGGTATTCTTTCCTCGGCTTGGCCGTGTCATCTGTCTCCCAGCCCTCGTCGTCTTCAAATTCGATCCCGTCGAGTTCCCGTCCATCTTTAGCCAATTCCTGGAACAGATTATCATCTTCATCATCCACATAGGCCTCATCCTCAAGAGCCTCCAGCACCTCTCTTAGCCTCGGATCCATATCTGGCTGGAAACCGGCAATTGCATCCGGTATATTTTGCTGCGCCTGGTAGGTGATGTGCTGAAGATTTTTGCTTGGCAGGAATGAATCATCAAAGAGTTCACGTTTCTTACGCTCCTCATCCTCCAAGTCTAACTGCCTGATGGCATCCTCTAGGCTCTGCTTGTGCTTTCCCTTTCCCTTATCTTGCTCTGTGTTCGCCTCAACAAAGACAACATCCCCAGCGCCTGATGATCCAAGATCCCTCAGATGTTGCATGTAGTCGTATTCAGTATCGTCAAAATAGACACCATAGTTGGCGGCCTCGCCTTCGTTGGCGCGCATGTGGGCGACATCGCTCTCGCTCAGCTCGGAGGCGAGGTCGTTTAGCTTCTTTCCTTTCGACGCATTCTGGTTGGCTGTAGGGTTCAGCACCATCGAAGGGGCATCAGCGTCGTAGATGAGCGGATCATTTTGTGGGCGGTGCACCAGTGTGAAGTGCTGGGCCGTCTTCTTGTCACTTTGAAGCGATAATGAAGATTAGTGTACCGCGCCAATCACTCAGTAGGAGGGGAAAAGGCTACTAACATCCACTTGCCCTTCGGCATCTTGAGTGATCCTACGAGACTTAAGTAGCGGCTCTTTGATTTAGAGTAGTGAGAGAAATGATCTAGATAAATGAAGGGGCAGTCAACTATCGACTGATGAGATTTCGATGTCTAGGGGAATTCTCCCGATAGCCCACTGTGTATTTGGCTTGTGATTGCACCCAAGATTCCAGGTTCGGTGTCAGCCAGAAAAGTTTGGTGGGGTGAGAGCTGGGGGGCCGCTTATCGGGTGCTTATCGGGCCAGACCAGAAGGGTGACGCAAAAATTCAGAGTTGCCCCTCGCTCATCACCCCTCCATTAATCAGCCACCAGCGCTATCTACTACATCGCTCGCTGTGACCGTGTAGTGATTAAGAAGAAAAAGACCACCACCCAGCCATCGACCCCAGTCAACACTGCAGAACCAACGAAGGGCCGTTATTTGGTTGAAATTCTTCGCCGGGATCTAACGGCCACGAAATTCGACATTTAGTTGAACACTCCCGCCATTTCAAGATGGTGTTGGCAAAGTCCAAGGGCTCCGTGGGGCTGGGCAACACGCTGATGAATGATCGGTTCGGTAAAGGAAAAGGAGCCGACCGCAAAAAAGGTTCTGGCGTTACGCGAATCAACCATGCTACTGGCGAAGAGGTGCGTTCTATCCGTCTCCTTCAAGACAATACAACAGCTGTCATGTGTCCCGTAATTGTCGCTGATACTAACCTTTATCGCATTACAGTACATTACGAATGACAAAAAGGAAGCGGCATGGGTTAAGATGCGCTCCGTCACTGAACAAGGGGCTTTGGATGAGTTTCTGGCTACGGCCGAACTCGCAGGCACTGATTTCACTGCCGAGAAGATGAATAATGTCAAGATTATCCATACCGACCAGAGAAACCCGTACCTCTTGACTGCCACAGAAGAAAGGAACGTCATAGGAAAACAGAATATGCACAAAGGGAAATTGACAGTGCCACGCCGACCGAAGTGGGATTCTTCTACGACACCTGAGGAGTTAGACCAACGAGAAAGAGAGTCGTTCTTGATATGGAGGAGAGGGCTGGCGGAGCTCCAGGAGTATAATGATCTCCTCATGACCCCCTTTGAGCGGAACCTGGAGGTTTGGAGGCAACTCTGGCGTGTTATCGAGCGATCAGACCTTGTAGTTCAGATCGTTGACGCACGAAACCCTTTAATGTTTCGATCCGAGGATCTTGAGCATTATGTCCAGGATGTCGATCCCTCAAAGAAGAATTTGTTGCTGGTCAACAAAGCAGACATGATGACAACTACCCAAAGGAAGGCATGGTCGAGGTACTTTAAGGAGAAGCGTATTGCTTATCGCTTCTTCTCCGCAAGCTTAGCGAAGCAGCTGAACGAGGCACGCGACCTAGAGCCTGAAGAGCCATTGCATGGCGAGAGCTCTAACCCTAAAACAATCCAAAAAATCCAATCTGAGGATGGTGAAGAATCCCTTGATGGAATTAGTGATGAAGAAACAGATGAAGAAAGCGGGTCGTCGGGGGCCCCATTACCCGAAATAACTGAAGATGATACCAGGATATTAACTGTGGAAGAGTTGGAAGATATATTCCTCCAACAAGCACACGATCCTGACGGTATGTTAGATTGCCTACACGCCCTCATTCTCTGAAAGCTAATATTTCTAGACCCCGAAAGAAAACTACAAATCGGTTTAGTGGGGTATCCCAATGTAGGCAAATCGTCAACAATCAACGCTCTGATCGGTGCTAAGAAAGTCTCTGTCTCCTCAACGCCGGGTAAAACAAAGCACTTCCAGACAATTCACCTTAGCGATAAAGTCATCCTTTGCGATTGTCCGGGCCTAGTGTTTCCCAACTTTGCCACGACCAAGGCGGATTTAGTCTGCAATGGTGTTCTACCAATTGACCAAATGAGGGAATTCACAGGCCCGGCCGCTTTGATCACGCACCGAATACCCCAGCCATTTTTAGAAGCTATCTATGGTATTCACATCAAAACCCGTCCTCTTGAAGAAGGCGGGACAGGAATTCCCACAGCTAGCGAATTTTTATCGGCTTATGCTAAAGCAAGAGGGTATAAAACCCAAGGCGTTGGACTACCAGATGAGTCACGAGCGGTGAGGGTTGTCCTTAAGGATTACGTTAATGGAAAATTGCTCTATGTTGAACCTCCCCCGGGTTGGGGTGATGGTGGAGATTTTAATCGCGAACTCTATGACGCGGCACATTTGCCGGAAAAACGTAGAGCTGCATTACAAGCTGCTATGGAAGCTCTCGACATGGGCGACGACGAATCGACGATGGATACTGATATTCTTGCCTTACCGACCGGTTCGAAGTCGCAGTCGCTCGACAAGGCATTCTTTGCCCGGAATTCTGGGAACGGAGGACATTTGTCTATGCCATTCAATCATAAATATACGGAACAAGGAAAAGAACAGGCAGCGGCGAGAGAGCTTAGTGGGCGTAAAGCTAGAGCCATGATTGCCCTCGAGACTGGGTTAGATCCTAGTGAAGTCCGACTGGGATCAAGTAAGAAACACTATAAGGGGAGGGCAAAGGGTAAAGGCAAGAAGTATGACAATAAGATGCTCGATTAGAGTATTGAGTTATAGAATCTAGCAGATTAAATCAACACACTTCAGGAAAGTGTGAGGATGATTGAGGATGGTTGAAAACGAAACAAAAACGTGAAATTTCGAATTTGTGTTTTCCCGTGAACCATCCTATCCGTTAAGTAATTGTTACGTCGCATGAAACCTCAACGGGTCCTATTAAAACGTACCAACGAAATACATAGCTAACTAGGTTCATAGAGATAGAGGCATTACGGCAAGTAAATATCAAACCCCTCGTTGCTATGGTTCGTATACAGTTGCAAGTTGTCCGTCGTACTGCCGGAAATACTAATATAACAATCCCTTGGAGTAAGACATACCACCCACCGTAAGGCCGACATCCCCTTGAGGGCTTGAGATGTCAACGCGGGGTTAAGCGTTGGGGTCAACACCAGCCTTATATGAGATTCAGGATGTAAGGCTGCGATACTACTTTGTATATTTCGGACACGGGAATAGACCGTACGCAACAGTGAAGGAGACTCAGCCGGTGGGGAAATGAGGGGTTGGACAAGACAACATACCGCCAGTGAGCCTCTGTTCGTTCCCGCCATTGGGGAAATACCGCATAACATCTAGGTAGCCTCTGCTTGGATTATCAAGATTTTCATGATCCCCGCTCTCCGGTCATACATCGCTACAATCGAAATCCGTCTGCAATTGTTCACTTGGCTCCAGCCTTCCACGAGGGAGAAGACTAAGCTACATTAGACTCAGTCCTTAGCATGGTATGGCTGCTAGGGTATCACCCATGCCCTGATCGTGCCCCCGATCGTGCTTCAGGGCTGTGGTGAAGCCAGTCAAATGGATGTCATATACCTACGACACGAAAAGAGATGGTTGTACGCATTGCAGCTGCAACATAGCATTATGTAGGATTCCAGGATAAGGTTTCATGGTCCTGCATAGCTAATTCCCCGTTGGTACTCGGCGTGTGCTCGCTCTTGCTTGACGGATGATGGATGGACATCTCCAACGACCTCCGAAGCGCCATACACGGCACCGGCCCTGCACCACAACTTCCGTACTTACTTCTGTCACCCGGCCCAGTTAGGCTTACAGCAATATCGTGTTATAGCTGTTCTATTTCGGGGAGACTCAATAGCGCTATTATCACGGACCACGGCAATAACTATTACCGTCTTAATGTTGCTGCGAGGACGAAGGTACCGTAGCTGAAAGGCATTGACCTCGCTCCAGATGGTTGAACCTATCGGTTTACAGTATCCATTCTTTCACGTCTCGGTGGCTTTTCTTTGGAAATATCCTTGATAGTGTCAGGCTTTCGTTAATGGGACGGGACTTTATGCAGCTGGCCTTCCGCTGACGCATAATATTTTATCCCCCCCTAATCCAAACAACTGCATTCTTCGCTGAGCTCTAACACTCAGTAAGCGGCGTAACTGGGTTGACCTTATGCATACCCCGGCTGAGTGTCTGCTCCCTGGACAGTGGGATCTGACAGCGTAGAGTTACGCCAGTATGATTTGAAGAGGCATGAAAACATGGCAGATACGCCGAAACATGCATTCTATAAAGAGGTGAGAACGGCGCGTCAAGTGTCATCTGCTTCTCGTTTTCTCTGTACCAACATCCAGCAAATTTACCCTCGAGCAGTATTGCACCTGACAAACTTCAGCATCTATAACTGCATAGCAAGCTTCCAATATGTCCACCGAGACAGTAATCAACACCCCTCTGCCCGCCGAGGCTACTTCTCAGGCTGTTATTAACACCCTACACAACCACGACCTATACATTAAGACGACATGCCCCAATCTCATCTCGCAGAAGCACATCTCCGGGACTCCAGGGCTGGACCAGCCGTGCGTCTATGAGATCACCGACAAGCGCGCCGTTGGCCAAACGACGTTTCAGATGACGCTGACGAACGTCGCTGAGGGCCTCGACTCCCTCATTGAGGGCAAGGCCCCAACGGGAGCTATGACCATCAAAAGCAAGTGGCGCGTCGTGGAGGGCGAACTCCATGAAACCGTCGAGATCGACAGTAACATCGTCACGAAGAAGGTCATCAAGGGGAATGTCGAGAAGGCTCACCCCGGATTTCACCAGTATGCATTCCAAGTCTTTTGTATTGTTTACCGGGCCTATCCATATCAGAAAACTCCCCTATTCTCTTATTTCCTTGTCATTTTCAAGCAGACTAACTAAGTGTGCAACATTAACACGTGCTTACAGGGGCTTTTTTTCCGAGGCTGCTAAAGCTTGAATGAACTAGGTGGATAGAGCGTGGCTTTGAAAGCCGATGTCGACCTCTATTGATGTCTTTCCTTTTGTCTTCATATCGTTTGGCTGCTCTATATACATAACAAAAACCAAGATAACGCAAGATATTGCCGCCTTTTTCTAGTACCAATCCAATCCAGTCCCATTCCTATTCCCAATTTTCTTTCCCATCAATCGTGACGCAACATCAATCAAAGCATTAGGTCATTCAGGTGAGAACTCTTATACCGAGACTCCGTTCACTGTGTGTTCCTCGGGCCATACGTCGTAGCCGAAGACGTCCTTCATGTTGACGAACCGCGTATGCCGGCCCTTGGCGACCTCCTGCACAGCCTCGAAATCTGCGTCCGACAGCTCCGGGACCTGCGCGTTGCTCTCGATGCGCGAGGGCGTCGAGCTCTTGGGCAGCACAACGTAGCCGCGGCGCAATCCCCACGCGAGCAGGACCTGCGCCAATGTGTGGCCACTGCGGTCGGCAACCTCGTTCAGCGTCTTGTTCGTGCGGACCTTTTCACCCGTAGTAGGGATCTGGTCCTGGGACCCGAGGGGTGAGTAGGCCTCGACGAGAATGTCGTTGGCCTGGCAAAATTCAATGAGCTCGCTGTTTGGAAGGAACGGGTGCACCTCGATCTGGTTGACCTGGGGCTTAACCTTAGCGAAGCCCAAGAGCTTCTTAAGGCCGGGTATCGTCCAGTTAGAGACGCCAATAGAACGCGTCTTGCCGCTGGCAAGCAGCTCTTCCATGGCCCTCCATGTGGGCTCCGGGTTTTCTGTGAGCTCCTTCTTGATGATGTACTTGCCATCGCTGCCGAGCTTGACCGAGTAGTCGTCGTTGCGTTCAGCAGCGATTGGCCAGTGCACGATGAAGAGGTCAATGTAGTCGAGCCCAAAATTGCGCAGCGAGTTCTCGAGGGACCACTTCACCTCATCAGGTTCATGCAAGTGGTTCCACACCTTGGTTGTGATGAAGATGTCTTCGCGCTTCACGGACGGGTTTTCTTTGAGGAAATCCCGTACAGCCTCACCGACCTCGGCTTCGTTAAGGTAGAACCACGCGCAATCCAGATGTCGGTAGCCGACCTTCAAAGCACATTGGACTGCCTTATATGTTTCTCCCTTGGCACCCTCGTTGGCAAAGGTGCCAAATCCTAGAGCGGGAATTTTTACCCCGTTGTTGAGCGTGAATGTAGTCGTGTTGACCGGCATCTTGAAATCTGATTGTGTATATCGTTATGGGGGACTGGGTAGAACGAAATCTGTTTCGAAGCTGGACGCAACTGGTGATGGTTGAGTGCAAGGGGACTATGAGATGTTTGAGTATATTATTATCCAAGTAACACGCTAGGTGCCAGTCTATGGAGCGGATGGCCTCTTGAAGTAGTGGCAGAAGCAGTAGTGCTGCTGTGACGTGGACTGTCAGAACCTGCAAGGCCTCGCCCTCGCTCAGCGTGTCCCCTTTGTGACCTGTGACACGTCTCTTCCTTATCGATGGTAAGAACGCTGATGTAACATGCCCACACTGAGTGGCTATGGAGTGGCCACCGAGCGGCGCATTAATCCGAAGACATGTAAAGCTTGCCTGGTTTGGCAGGGTTGGCATTAGTCGGACAACAGTGCTCGACTCGCGTAAGAGACCTGCAGACGCCGGCAGCATCCGATATCCACACACCGATTGTTTTAATCTTTTGCTAGGATACTGCCAGGAGGTCGGTGCGCAGTGTCCTACAACATCATTGGGAAATTGATCTTCAGCCTGCAGAACCCAATGCAGAGAGGGAATCCTGTAGTGCCACACTCACGCAGCAGAGGAAGAGCTTTTCGGGGGGCAACCGCGGCGATAGGGAAAAAACAAAACAAAATAAAAACAGGTATCCTCGGCTATCCTAGCTCGTACAGACTCGTAGAAGGCACCCCTAGCAAACTCTATTCGGACCCTGACGATACCCACCGGATTTGGAACGTCGATCATGGCAAAAGCTGGCTCTGCGCTGAAACGTCACGGCGACGGCTCGGAAGCTAGAAAAGTCTTACCGAAGAGCCTCCCTTCACATCGAGTCATTGTCGGGCGCAGCGGAGCCGCATGATGTCACCGACCCTCCCGAAGCGGGCTCAGGAGACGCTATCGGCCGCGGGCCCATGGCTACTGCACGGCTGGTGGAGGTTCGGTCCACATTATATGTATGACCGTAAGACCCTTTATCACCGGCAAGCCGTGATGGTTTCACCTATTCTGTATGGTGCCAGGAAGTGCGATAACACATCGGCTAGGACGATTGATCTGGGTGTCCGTATGGGCCCGAATGCCCTCAAAATCCACTCGTTTCCACCCATTCCCACCTGTTTTCCCTCGAGATGGATCCCTTCTGTGGACACGCTCCAACCCAGCTGTGCTTGCTAGCAAGATGATGGCATGTGAAAACGTCATTCGCTCGTGGATGGCTGCGCCGTGACATGAGTTTTCATCACCGTCATGCATGTAGCTTTGTGTCTACATGTGCCATGTACGGTACCTTGGAGGTGTCCGGATATGAGGGTCCTGAAGAAACCTGAAGAAAATGGCTAAGCTAGCTAGCCACCATCAACCGACTGTGTCCCTAGATTTCCCGATGATATAAATATATGAAAGGTGACTGAAGGGTCGTCATAGATCTCTATTCCCACCTTTATCCCATCCTTTAGAATTGCACTTAGTCTACTAGTATCACTTCTTAACATTACAAGATGCCTATGTTCGACGAGTCTGACTTTGGTGTGGAAGCACCTACTAACTCTGCCCAACTCAACGCTCCTCAAGAGAAGATGTCTGTAGGCTCGCACGAGCACGCTCTTCCCATCCCCGGTGATGACGGGGAGGGCCCTATTGAGGTACCAGCCACCGTGTCACAAATGCCACAAGCTGCCAAATATATGCACAACTTGAGCATCTCGCCATCACAGAAAGACCGGAGATCTTCTCGAAACTCCTTCGGCGCCTCGCTTCCTATTCCACGGAGCAAGCGACGATCCAGACTATCGTCAGTTCATCATGCCGAAGATGGCGACGGTGGCCGAAAAACGAGGCCTGGCATGCCTCCAATCCAACCGACCCGTGAGATCTTGGCCAGCCAAATCCAGACTATAGAAGCAAAGAAGGTCGCCAAGGCTAAGAACATGGCCTTTGCCTTTGACATCGATGGTGTGCTCGTCCACGGCGACTTACTCATTCCCGAGGGCAAGCGTGCGCTCGACATTCTCAATGGCGATAACGAGCTCGGTATTAAGATTCCACATATCTTTCTAACCAACGGAAGTGGAAAGCCCGAGCAAGCACGTTGCGATCAGCTTTCCAAGATATTGCAAAACCCTGTCAGCACTGAGCAATTCATCCAATCTCACACACCTATGAGTGCGCTGGCCTCATACTACGACTCAGTACTCGTCGTCGGTGGTGTTGGCTACCGATGCCGGGAGGTCGCTGAGCAGTATGGGTTCAAAGACGTCATCGTTCCCAATGACATCGTCGCCTGGGACCCCACCATCGCGCCCTATCGCGAGTTCACTGAATACGAGAAGGCTATGTCACGACCACGTGACTTCAGCAAGCACAACATCAACGCTATCCTCGTATTCTCAGACTCGAGAGACTACGCCACCGACATCCAGATCATCATGGATCTGTTGCTTTCTGAGAACGGTCGACTCAAGACGAAAGCCAAGGACCCCGAGTCTCAACGCATCCCCATCTACTTCTCCCAAGGCGATCTGCTCTGCCCTACGGAGCACTGGACACCCCGCATGTCACAGGGTGCGTTCCGTGTCGGCCTCGAGGCCATGTACAAGGCCATGACCGGCGTTGATCTGGAACGTGTGGTGTATGGTAAGCCAGAGCTGGCGACGTACAAGTACGCGGATGAGGTTATGGCTTCGTGGATGGAGCAGATCCACGGCGAGGAGAAGCTGCCAGAGAACATTTATATGATCGGTGACAACCCGGCCTCCGACATCATCGGCGGCAACATGTATGGGTGGAACACCTGTCTAGTCCGCACCGGTGTCTTCCAAGGCGGTGAGAATGACGAGAACAACCCGGCCAACTTTGGCGTATTCCCCAACGTTCTCGAAGCTGTGCAGACGGCCCTGCGCAAGCAGCTCGGCGATGATTTTAAGATGCACTTTGACGAGACGGTGAACCCTGTCCTCCACGGCAGCGCAGCAGATGCCGCGGTCATCATTTAGAATCGAGAACACAAAAGTTACACGACTTTGACGAACTGATGATATCCATGATTGAAAACAATCAAAGGTAGTAAACACTTGACGGCGTTTTTAACCTTTCTGAAAGCCAGAAAGAGGACATTGCGGGACATTGAATATGGGAACTTGGATATAAGAGATCACACGTCTCTTCTTTTTGGTTATTATTGGCGATAGGATGGAAGACATTAACTCATAGACATTTTCAATTGATCATCTACTGGTTCACACACCTTGGCCATGTCTGGCTTCTCTGCAAATGCTAGTGATCCGGTTCTCTCTGATCATCTGAGTTAGGCCACAGCGCCTAGTCATTATGTAACAATGCTCTGTTGAAGATAGCAATAGCGGCGTAGAATTTGTAGGAACTCAAAACGGCTCTTGGTACGTCGGTCACCAGGAACAGAGGCACCGATCCAACTTCATCAAGAGTACGACCGCGTGGTTCTCCATTGGCTGAGCGTTGACATGTTTATCGCGCCCAGACACTAGCTAGCACTATTCGCACCACAGCGAGCGAGGCTAAGGCATGATAGTAGGCCGTTCGTGATTGGGGCGTTCAAGTTGAGATAAGGAGAGGTTGCGACAACGACAAGCAACATCGGTGGATGGAAATGTCTGTTGTAGATGTTGCAATATGCCTTGCCTCACGGCATTTTCTCCCTGTGAAAAAAAGGACATCAGGCCATTTTCCGATGTATTGGCACGGTAGCGAGATACCAGGGTACCTACCCCAACTTCTAACGATCATTCTCCAGCCCAGGATTCAGGGTCTTCGTGCTCACTAAGCCTTAACTGGACATGTTCATTTAATCTTACCCATGCCTGGACCATGGCAAATCACGCCTGGCCACGATGGGAGTGGTCGGCCCATCGCATGTCGGTTCATGGCGCGCCTTTTTTTCCCGCTTTCTCACATCATCCATACATTCATTCAATTTCTTCGTGTCAATTCGAAGTCACTTATCCTCGAGTAGGCTCATAACCGGGCCGCGACTTGGTAGTCGGTCGAGTCGCAGACTCACTCAGGAGCCAGCTTGCTCACAATTCAAGCCGTTATTTGTTCGCTGCGGGCGCGCGACATACCATTCGCAATCATTTATCTTCGTCCTCCATTCGAATTGCCTGACATTCCCTTCATTAACAACGACAAGGAATCGTTTGAGACAAGCCGTCTCAGCCACTCATTGAATCGATTAAACCATGCGCCCTAACGCTCGTTCTATTGTCATGTCAATTTTGACAGCTTCGACAGCCTTAGCCACACCTCTCGTTCAACCAGTCTCTAGGTCCGACTCCAGTGGTGCGGTATGGGCTACGCCTCATGATAGCTATTCCTCTTCGGTCGGCGTCCTCGGCTGCAAGGTTAACACTGACCGAATCGCTTACTGGCCTGGCTCTGTCGACTGCAATAACATCTGCGTGTCGTTGAAGTACGACGGCCGCTCTGTAAAACTACTTCGTATTGACTCATCCGAAGGCGCCCACGACGTCAGCTACGATGCCTGGAACTACCTCATAACAGGATATTCGGCAACCAAAAAGCCTACAGCGGGTGGCGCTGTCGCCATGGAATTTGAGTACTTGGAGCCCTCGGCCTGTGCTGATCTCATCCATACAAAAGGCCACAAGCTGCCTCTGAGTGCATCAAATAGTATAAATTTCCTCGCAAGCTGTCTCGGGGAGCCTGACAGCTGGGTCGCCAAGAATTATGTCTTGTACAATATTCAGGATGCCATTTGCTCCTGGGGCCACGATGAGAAATGTGATCTAGATTGGCCGAATGCTAATCAGCCTACCTGCTCACATACTCTCGGTGATCCAGTCGCCTTGACGACAGATCCCGTCTATAACATTCGATATCCTTCGGGTGAGAAAGTGCTTGCTTCTTCGGGGCAAGTAGTTGCTGGAGGTGGGGACTCCGAAGATTCGGGCGCTAGGAAGCCTATTCCGGGATTATTCGAGGTGCCGATCGTGGCAGCTCTCATAAGCATGGTGAATTTACATTCGTTAGCTGCGTCATAGCACAGCTCAAAGTACTATCGGCCGGCCTGATAAGATCCATAACAGTGGATTTTGAGTCAACCTTTGGATTGGGAGGGGAGGCAGCGTGTTACGATTGTGATGAATATAGGTGCGAGTCAGTTGGATACCCTCAAGGTTTGGTGCTGAACTTGGATGCGATCGATGAATTTTTCGTTACGGATACCCATTGATGCTGATGTTTTTATTCACTGGCATGAACCAAGAGTTCTGCCTCGAGCTCAATACTTACCATGACGACCGAATCATGCCTCGCATGTGTATATTCTATTCAAATATCAACTTCTCGTATTTTTTCAGAGTCCAGAGCATTCCTAAAAATAATCACTATTTCCAGATCGAACTATTTCAACATGGCGCGCCCCGTATCAACTAGAAAGCACTGACTGGACTAGCGAAAAGGACTGCTGCTAGCCTTTGGATCAAGGTAGATGTTGCCCTTTTCCTAGCTCCAATTACCAGTTGCTAGAGCCGACATCTACAATGATGAAATTTGACTCTCTTCTGCGCAGGGAATGAAGCAAATGTATCATGCAAGATCATCGCGCAGTGCACCAGATAACCTACCAAAAAGTTATCAGCGATGAATGACGCACAGCATTTTCAAAGGACAACGGTGCTCACCTTCGGATTCCTTCTTTTAAAGTCCCCTCATCGACCGAAAAAACCATTCGGAACCTGCCTGGCTCAGGAGAGTGGTAAGTCTCACCAGATGACAATTTTACACCTGCATCCATCATCCTCGTCGCGAGTATTCTCTCTGCCGCCCAACCGTCCCCGTTTGTTTCTTTGACGGGTAGGTAAGAGCTCAAATCCAACCACATGAACAGCCCGCCATTCCTGTTGCGGCGGCACACGATTAGCTACACGTACTACATGTAAATACAGACAGAAACAAACAGCCACGATTGTCCTCGGTATAAACGATTGGCTAAAAGGAACTGGTTTGTTTGGCAAGTACGTACCCACCAGCGTGAAATTTCAGGCCAGCTTCGGAAAGGAGCGCTTCAGCCAATAGACGGCTTTTCAGCAGCCCAGCCCGCGACTTCTCGAAGAAGGATTGAAGATAGCCTTGATCCTCGAGCAAGCTGGCCGCAATATGCATGGAAAATTGAGACGGGCCCGCAAACCGACAGATGGCTCGGATTGCATTAGTGAATTCACGATTCTTTGATATCACACATCCCAGGCGCGTCCCAGGCGCAGCGAAGTCCTAAAGAGCCCGTTAACATGCACGTGCGGAAAGGGTTTCTTTTTTGTTTCTTTTTCTTTCTTGTTTCCGGACTGACCTTAGACATCCCATAAAGAACATGGACTAGGTTGGGATCGATGAGTCCCGCGGTGTCAATAGACAACACGGAAGTGAACACCTCAAACTCTCGATCGCTCCTCTCGTACACAGAGAGCGCGTAGATCTCGTCGCTTATCAAATGAATTCCCTTCCGCGCGCAGAACTTCATGAGCCCGATGAGTGTTTCTCGCGGGTAGCAGTGGCCTTGCTGTGATCTTAGGATACCGCTACATGTGAGGGGTCAATATTTGCGGATTTAGACTAACCGAGTGGATTATGGGGATTGCAAATCATCAATGCCCTGATGTTCCGGCCGCTTTTTTTCGCTGCTTCGAAACCTGCTTCGTACGCCGCCACACATGCCGGTGTGAATTGATCAGTGTCGCCTACTGCAACAATCTCCATGGCAACACTATGACAGGATTAGAAGTTGCTACTGAAATAACTGTGTGTTTCTTTCAACGTATATATTCCTTACCCAGTCCGCATACATAAATCACGAGAGAACGAGCCATATACCGGCCCGCCTAACATAATTGCTTCGCCCTCATCCGGGTTACAGGTGACCAGCGCACAAGCCTCATTGAGCTGGGTCACCCCAGCCGCGAAGGTGATCTCCTCGGCATCAACCTGCTTCGCGGGCGCGAAATATTGGTTGAGATGGTTCGCCATGGCCTGTCGAAGCCGCAAAGTGCCTGTGAAGTACTCTCCATATCCGCAGAGTGACTCGTCGAAGCTCTTGTAGCGATACCTGAATTAGCTTCGCGGCCTCTTTTTCTTCTTCTTGTCATCGTAAGGCCAGACTATCTTCCACTCACAAGCCCATTAATGAATTTGACTAAACCAGGTATCATCGGAAACTAGGTAATCGTCAGATTGTCCATATGCTTATCGGGTAATATGAGTATACATTTTCAGCAGTGCTCAATTCCACCACGCCTCGTGGGTTCTTCACAGCATCGTACCAATTTATCGCCCCGTGGTTATAGCTCGTCTTCGCCCATCGCGTAGCTCTGGCTGACAACATGGTGGCAGTATAACAGGTGTTTCTGGATAGAGGAGTTACAGAGGCACCGAGTTCTGGATGATGATAGAATGTAAGTCTCGCAGTACTATGAATCACTTGGAGTTCAAACCCCGCGCGAGTTATTCGTAGGAGACGGATGAGGGCGACACTATATAATGTAGACTTCAAGAGACTCCAACTTGATGGCCCTGAGCCAATTAATTACTAGTATCATGATGACTCCTATGACACGAAGGCACTTCAATACCCGAAAAACAAAGTCAACGCATAGTCACTGTTCAATCTCTATCTCTCATTACTCACTTGGAGGGTAAATGCGTCATGGCAGGGCTTCTGATGACTTGGCTATAATTCTATCCCCTCGTCTGACAATTTGAAATTAGCGCAACGGCTCTTTGAATTGGCCCGTCCCGCGCCGGATCGGAATGGTAACCACGATGAGTCACAATGAATAGTGTCCGCGCCCTTCGATTGACGGAATTACCCACCCTTTATTGAATTGTGACCCGTTCCCCCATTAGAAATCATAGGCGATGTTAGACGTGCAGAGCACGATTTATGCGTCTGGTATTTGCTCTTCAGATTAGGACAGCCACGGATCTATCAAGTGTGAAGCTACTCCGCCCAGATCCGCCCTCGCTCAGATATGACGTGTTTACATGTTGGAGAAATGGTTCTAATGGACCTTCAAGCCGCCTGGTCATAACAGACTTTTGTATAGAACCAAAAACTACTATTCCGAGTACAATATTCCTTCCATGTAGATAGTGTTAAGCTCTAGACTAACTAACACCTCTGGCAGCGTTAGTAAAAAAAAAAACAGATTTTCCTTTCAGATCTACCTACATATTCCTTAGCAAAGTGTTACTTTGAAATAATATATTTCTTGCAATATTGGCTTGAGAATGAATATATTACAGGCTCATGAATTGGGATGGTCAACAACATTCGTCACTGTACACCATTTGGTCAACTTGCTTTTTCTGTTCACTTATGTTTACTTTGTCTGCAATGACTAGGAGCGGTACTCACAACCCATTCTTTATACAAGTGCTCGTCTGATGTGATAAATAATCTATACGCAGAATAGACAGAAGAGAAAAAGAGAAAAAAAGAACGATCTTATATCGCCCCAGGCGGGGGTCGAACCCGCAGCCTTGGGATGTCTATGTGGCACGTTTCCGGGTTTGACCCCCGAAATGCCTATAAAAGTCCCACGCTCTAACCAATTGAGCTACCAGGGCTAGGTAGTTAGAACCAATGATGAAGGTGGACTGTTTTAGTAAGGTATATAACGAAAGGAGTACATCTTATCTGGTAGTGCCGCGATTCATGGATGCGACCTTAATATTCCACATACAACATGATGTGAACGGTAGTTCAATCGTTATGAAAATATTTATAGAGTAATGCGATTAACTGATATTGCCCCTTCCCCCTCTATTAACCTGATAGTGGCCCAAGCTTTTGCAGGTAGAAATTGTTAGGGGGTACCTTGCGCTATAGAGAGCCTCGACAAGAGTGGTGCATTGCGTGGCAACACAGCTGTTGTTGCTACCTAGTGTAGTTACATATCCCAGGACTTGGGGCTGGCTGGAAGAGGGAACACGGCGCCTGATACCTTTCGATACGAGGCAGTGTCAGAAAAAGATGAGATTCAACCACTTATTCAACCATTAATTTAAAGCTATTTCTAATATAAAGGTACGATAGTAAGCCAGAATGGCTATTAGATGTAATTAATGTAAAAGGACAATATATAGAATAGCTTTAAAAACAAGGGGTTAACTAGATGGTAGGTAGTACCTTTATTAGCATGTGAGTTGAAATGACAAAGGGAGGTTAATTCATTCGGCGACCGAGAGCCGTGGTGGTCCGGTTCCGTGTCGGCCATTTTCTGCTTGGAAGGCAGCGGTCATATCGTCCGGTTCGGCTCCGAATCGTTACCTGCCTACTGCTACCTCGCACGGTCACGAAGCACATGAGGTAGATAGGTGCGACATGTGACATCAGCATTCATACATCTGTGTATACGATATAGTAGCAGTTGCTAATATACAGACCGAGTGATCTCAAGATTCTATTCTGGGCCAGCCGTTCTGTCTACTCGTTTTGTCTTGTCAAGATTGTGTACGACGCTAAGCTCGGGGCGGTTGCCGAGCCCCGAGACAGCAGTGCCGGAACTGCAACCCAGATCAGCACAATACCACCTAAGTATGTATCTACTTAGTATGTACCTGGGTACGCAAGTATAGGATTTTATATTATATACAGTAGTTGGTGATGAGTACGCATCTATGGCTTGAAAATACTGTTTACTAGGTATATACTAGGACTCGCCCCAAAGCACAGATATGTTTCCCGCAAAACCATATGTTATGGTACGAGTTATACGTTGCGTAATAGTCAGCCAGCAAAGAGAAAACATGGGAACAACCTTCAGGTAACAGTGAACATTAATGTAAAATAACGGATACAGCGAACTAGTGCTGCAGAAGGTAGCATCAAATTAACCACGGGAGTGAGCCGATCACGGCTGTATCCCCTGTCTCGGGTATAAAGCTCGATAATCTGCAGGGACCGTAACAGTAACTGAAAAAAGAGAGCGTGATTGATTGCGAGTAACCGAGTTTAAAATTCTCTACCATTTCTTTAAGACCCAGTCACCTTGATACCTACCTCATAAGCGTCAAAAAACATTTCGTGTTCCGAATTTCCCTCTTTCTAACGGCACTATTCACTCTTCGCGATGGGTCAACAACCCCCAAGCATCCAGAAAGCGTTGGCGGCTGACGCCAAGCTCCGCTTACATTTCCCTGGAGTCACCCACTTAAAAGCCGGCGACAACCTCACCATTCCACAAGCCACGCCCGCGCCAACTCTGTCTATTGCCACAAGCGCGCTGAAGTCGGAGCCCGGCATCAAATATCTCGCCATCTCGGTAGACCTGGATGCGCCATTCCCGTCTTGGTCCTTTCTCAGTCCCATCTTGCATGGTTTGCACTTCGACCTAGTACCCGGCACCCCCGACGCTGATGGTTTCGTTCCGCTCGAGGGCGGCTCGGAATGGCTTGTGCCTTGGCTGCCACCCGGACCGCCCAAGCCCAGCTCGGCACATCGGTATGTTTTCTTGGTGTTTGAGCAGCCCAAGGAGTTAGATGCTGCCAAGATCAGGACCTCGCTCAAATTGGCCCAAGAAGTGAAATTGACAGCCAGATTGTGGTGGAATGAGGAAGATGCTGAGAAGAAGCTTGGGCTCGGCGAGGTTCTGGCTGGGAATTACTTCAACACCCACGCTTAAGTGGTCGACTACGGGAAACCGTCGGTCCATATCACAGATGGCAGCACATGATGGTCACTAAGTACATGGCTATCGATTATCTAAAGTCAAGAGACATTGGGGGTTAGGAAGACTGTTTTGCTTATCTTTCAGTATGCGACCATAAGAATGATACCATAGAATTTGCGTTATGTTTCCTGTTCTCTTCAAGGCTATTGCGTGATGCGAGTCTGAATTTGTCATCCGATGTTATAACCGTTTAATGAATGAATTACGGGACCAATATGCTATCAACTTCCTTCAGGTCCCTGCGTGTTTGCTCCCAAAACAGTATCTTACCTCCGATGCGACTGATAAGTTCTAACCATCCTTGATGGGCCCGGAATCTACACCACCAACAGTACCTACCGTCTACCCTTGTATCCCGACAGGCTCACGAATCCCGCAGAAAGTGGTCAACGGCTCGCTACCAACCTTTGACATGGCTGGATAAAGTCTCTTGTCTGTGATCAAGGTAGCGCCAGAGTTTATGGACTTACATCATGGTCGTTGTCACAGTTTGGACAAGAGTTATGCAAAATCGAGTCGGACTTTGCGCAATTGGTGTGTGCTCGAAACCATCTATCATAAAACCTTAGACTAGGCGACTTTAACGGCACCAACGTCGTACCCCGTTCCTATACACTTTTACTTCTCCCTCTAGTGTACATCACCCAAGCCAGGCCGGTACCAACCAGATGAATATTTTGTTAGGCACGCGGTCCTATGTAGACAGTATCTTCATTGGTGACTTGGAAATACGTGCCATTCTACTGAAATTGTGGCAGTGAATGTATTACTTATAATCGATCGTCCACTTGGTTTATATGAAATTATAGAAACCTTATCATCTTCTCAGTGTCTCCGCTTGCTCGCTCTCCCCTCCTTATCCCCAGATTCCCCCGTTTTGGGATACGTTGGGTACACTGTCAAGTAAGTATTGGTACAGGTTGTGCATTAGCTTTAGGTTGAGCTTATCTATTCTTTAATAGAATGTATTAGAGGTTCCAATACTAGGCCAGAGTTGAGATTTCCAATCCCTTCTATCCTAGGTCGTTTGGCATTCGTCTACCCGATCTCAAAAGCCATATTAGGAACCTGAACCGTACAACCTCGGAGAGACTGCATACGAGGATGAAGGTCCTGCGCACTTGAAATGTCTACAAACATACCTATTATCATGAGAGATACCGCTGTAAAAACTGCGCGAGATCTAAAACGCTCTGCTCGTATGAAATCCAGTCCCTACCCGTAGCTGATACGGCTTTGCTAGAGTCGAACCCGAACGTACCGGCCCTAGGCTTGTAGTCTGGTGAGTACCCCTTTCCGGGTAGTCCTTGCTGTACCTTTAGCGAAGGCATGTCTCTCCTTAATATGTCGGCAATAGCCTGACCGCACCCAGCGGCTGAAGAGCACGCAAAACGTTCCCCATCAGCCTTCTGAGGGTTCTGAGCTGACCACAACAACATTCGTGCAACATCTCTTATGTCGACTGTATCGCCATAGAGCATCATCGGGCCGGGCACTTCCTCTCCTGAAACAACTTTCCAGAAGTCACTATTGGAGTACGGAATATGCCCTGGACTTTTCCAGGGAATAAGCGGTGGCCCCACGAAATATCTGTAAGCACCGTCACTCGTTAGCATTGACTCGACATGCGCGAGGTAGGAGTCCCTACGTAGGCTGGAGAGCCGTCATCCCGAACGTTGGGCGGTGGTCATCTCTGAATTTCCAGAATAACTTTTCAGCGGCTGTCTTGCTAGCGAGATAAGCATGAAAACCTCCCGCTTCATCTCCATCTCGATCAACGATCTCTTTAGATGTGGTATTCCAGTCGCTCTCTGTATAGAGTCGACTCTCTAATGGGAGGTTGAACAAGGCTGCAGCTGATGACATAAGTACAACGCTGTTCATAGTACGAGCGTGCTTCATGGCTGCACTTAAAACGTTCGCCGTGCTGTCTACAGCTATCCGGACCACTTCTGTAGGAGGAAGCGTCCATATATCAGCAATGGGTGAGGCAAGGTGGAAAATTGAACAACATCCTGTGATACTATCTCATTAGCTCCTGACCTATTATGCTGTGGAACGTTTTTGTTGTACCATCGGCGGCAAGCTCGAGAGGCTCGGGTTGGCATATGTCAGAGATCTGTATCACCTCGATATCATCTGCAGAATAACCTAGGCGACAAAGGGCGACCTTCACTTTCTGGCCTGCTAATTTGTTGCGAACGGTGCCACGAACTCGATATCCTTCTTGCAGCAGGAGCTCAGCCGTTCGGCCAGCCAGATACCCATTTAAGCCTGTAATTAGGATAGTACCCTTTGTGAGGTTTCCGTTCGTCGGCATCTTCGGTTTGGGACTGACTTCTAGCCGAGACGAAAAAGAATGAGTCCAGGTGAGAGAATGATATTTAAGTAGAATTCCAGGACTGGACTCCATTTTGTTTGCTTGTTTGCGTCACAATGATACGAACCCCTTACATAGTAGAATGTGCCGCATTGAGGTTTGACAAGTCCACAGGAGTAGTGTGATTGCTTACTCTCCTAAATAGAATACCATGCAATGTAATACAGAAAGCTCCACGAATCGCGCCATTACTACTATTAAAGGGAATTTGGACATTATCAAATATGGGCAAAATCTTGTCAAACATCTGAGGGTTGAGTCTAAAAGTCCAGGTACACTAGAAAATCCTCCTGAGTTGAACATATGTTGTTGAGACGGTTGCTCTAATAACCGTACCCTGCAAGCTCCGACCTAACCTGCATTGTACTTTTACAAAAGTCCAAAAGCGGCGTAGAATATCTATCGGTAGCTATGACCAAGGCGAATTAAACAATACGGACTAGATTAGGGGTCAGAGTCATGGGCCTGACTCGTATTTCGCTCATGAAGTAGCGTGATGATACTGATATCGGAGAGGCTCGACGAGTCATGGTAAATGTGTCGTTTTCTATTGTTACACCTAATCCGCCGTCATCAAGCCACGATCTCTGTTGCAAGCAATGACCCAGACCCTGGCATTACCTGCATAGGGCTGCTTCGATATTGCAATATGATGGCGATCGTTACCTAATTGGTTTTAGATAATGCCTTTAAGCCCTTGCATCATACCATCGGGTTTGCGACAGGTCGTTCAGCTTTGGCTCGACGTCGATAGGTAATTGAACCCAATCCTGTTTGTTGCAGCGGCTAGAATATGTCAGCGTGCGAGAAACCATCCAAAGTGCATAAAAAGCCCGGTAGGATACCGTATCGTTTACGTGTAATCATCCGTGAAACCAAAACCAACTTGTAAACGTGGCGCGGCATCCCTCCTGATGTCTACGTGTGATGGTCTGAGTACGACTGTGACCACTCATCCTGCCTATCACACGTTATACTCAATACTTCATGGCTAGTTGTGGGTGCGTTGTATTGGAAATCATAGCATGGACGATGGATGGCATTGTACAAAGTCCGTAGTTCCAACTACCACCTACTTCAGCTCCCCCGATCCCACCCTATGAAACTCGAGGCGAAAGAAGGAGTTCCCTGGCGGACGAATGCAGGTAGACCAGAAGGACTAAGCATATAACCCGATGCAGGCGTTATTTAGGATGCCATCGGGTGCCAAGCTCAAGTTTGATACCCACGGTCTTGGCATACACTATCTGCAGAATACGTAACCGAACAGGATGTTTGTATCCTTATGATATTAAATAATGGGACGCATTAGTCGGGCATTACCCGAGGTGTCTCTGGCTCGGATTTTTCGAAGAGATGTTTCGAGAGCTCTACTCCATCATAGTGAAAGTTGCACCGATATAGACTCGATTCCATAGCGATTGCGAACAGAGCATTCAGCCCAAGATCACCGTAGAGTCTGCGTTACTTGAAAGCCAATCACATAGAGAAATGAGGTGCCTCAAGCATCTTAGTACGCAGCTTTGCCCAATAAATATCTGGGACATCTCAGGGCTGCATGAATTACATAATCATGTGCTAATCCTAGCTTCGTCTCATCATGTAATTACTATGTGTAGTATTATTTATTGGCTATGAAAGCGTGTCACTCTTGCATCTTTGCTGTGTCTGATGCACAGCACTGTCCCACCACACAGGTGATATGATAGCTATCACATGTGTACACGGTCTCAAGCCTTCACTAGCTGAGCTGTATTAGATTTGCTATATTTTGAGTTGACGTAAATCAGATCAGTGGCGTATCTAGGCCTGAAGACAGTTTGGTTTTCTGAGTTGGAGGCCTGAGCGCGTCCAAAATACCAATCTCAGATCAAGAGTTCAAGAAATAGAGGACAACAGATAGGTCACTGGCTGTATGAAAGAAAAACCTGTATCTTTGATGCCGGCAAACTGACTTGTAAATATATACAAATACCACTGATCAAATGCCAATATGACTTTCACAGTGATATTCATAAATTCCAGGTAATTAGAGATTATGAAAAAGCATAACCTCTTATTGTATATCTGGGGAATTATTGTAAGCTAACCCTCGGCTTGAGTACAGACATGCTCAACCTAGCCTTATTGATGGAATGCTGAAGAGACAGCTATTAATGAAGTTCCACGTGAATACTTCTTGTAGTCTTTCCCATCATGATTCCTCCAATTGAGGTAGAAACGCCAGATTCAAAGCCTCGCTACCTGTTACACGCGCATTCGGCTCAATCTGCAGATCGCCCACGACTACGGGTGCATGCCTTGCAAAAGACCCTTCGTGAAATTGCATGATATTCCATGCAGCATGAAACCTAGTAATGGATAGCGAGGTTATACAGACTTTACAGACTTTGCTGGCAATGATATATCTCGGACTTCGAAAATAAGTAGAGGCCGACGAAGGCCGGACCAATCGTATTAGAATCAAGTCATTCGCTAAGGCCGATGAAGGAATCTGATGACTAAGGACCTTAGCAGCTCTAACAGATTTATTGTATTCTTATTAAATTCCATTCCAGCTCCAGTCATTGTTATGCTACTCGATAAATGTTACACGTGCAACCTCCGTACCAGCTGAATATGCAGTTCGCCTTGCACTTCGGCCGTACGAAGGACTATTGCAGGCTGTCCATAATCTTTCAAGACATGCAGGCAATATTGGAAAGTGAGGTTATACAGACTTCGCTTCTTGAAACAGACCCCAGAGACCTAGGCGGTCTAGGCTGGCAGACCAGTTGTATATAGAGTCAAGTCAAGTCACCAACAGCCAAGAAGGAGTTGGTTAGTCAAGGACTCATGCAGCCCAAGTTGTTCATTATAATCTGAATTCTCGGTTCCAAGCCTAGTATCTTCTGCCTTTGTCATATAAGCTAGATCTCATGGCACTATAAATAAAGGAAAGTAACACATGATTAATAGAATACTACTAAATGGCAGGCTCGTGTAGAGCCTTTATTAATCCGGTGAGGCGTCATTTGGTGACTGCGATAAGTTATAATTTAACCCTCTCTCTGTGTTAACTAATCGGAAGGGAAAGATGTAACCGTATCGGTGTCAATTAGCAACGACAACTCATTATTCCACTCTGGTCATCAAAGTTTGCTCACCTAAAGAAGGCGTAAGTCTAGCTGCCAGCCTTAGTGTTGCTATAACAGCATTTGCTTAATTTATTAATATAATAATCTGGATAGTTTTGTATCTTTTTAATAGATCCTAATTTTAAATTGAGACGTCTTTATAGGGTGTATATCCCTATACATCCTGATCAGCGTAGAAAGGAATACTACTTGTGAGTTACGTAACGAGTAAAGCTACCTTGTTGAGCCTCTTACACATTGACTGCGATCAAGACAAGATCCCCGAATTAGTGCCACAAGATTTAACTACTTCCCCTATATTGTTAAACAAGACAAAAAGAAACTAGTTTTTTTTATATGAATGCATCTGTGTAAGATTAATTCTAACGAGTCTTACCCCATTGAATCCTCACTATTCTTACAAAATAAGATTTAAAGAAAGGAATTTCCTGAACCTCTTTGGTATGGCGGTAATCTTATCACTGAAGAGACATCAATACTATTAGCCACAATAACTTTTAAATAAGTTGGTACTTATGAAATAAAGGATTGATATATGCAATAATTATATTTCTAGTTTAGACCGGAGCAGCCAGTAGATTTTCGTTGTCAATATTCCAAGAACATCAACGACCAGAAGAACTGGCTACTGCAAGCCTGCCATATAGATCAACCGCATGGAATACCTAGGTATTAAGCTTGCGCGTTTTCCTTGGCGGTAGTCAGAACAAGAATGTAACCCAAGAGAAACCGACACCGAGAATTACCCTATCTCATACGGGATTCGCCTAGGAACAACATGCAGGTATTACAGGATGATTGCCGTTTCCCAATTTTCCGACTTCGGTATATGTAGATACCTGCATGTCCGTTCAACGCCGTGTGCAACCACCCGACCGTCCATTCGCCAGGCGCGACATGTTGGTATGATGTCGAGTCCTCGCAACCAAACTGACGACATCCAAGGAAAACAGGATCCTGTATCCCACTGGCATGGCACGGGACGACTCCAGATCCGGTTACGGATATACAGTTGCCGCACATTGTTCGAGTTTCGGGGGTACCATACAGTACAGTACAGTACCTAAATAAATCACAAGTCAGACGCGCGCGCGCGCGCACGCGCAAAGCATACCGTACCACCTATCCTAATATTAGCGCGCAGCTGCGCGTGAGACATGCGCATTACACATGCATATCATACACTCATGGTTATAGGTAAAACATCAGGTTTTGCCGCGGCCCCCCTCTCTAGGCTACAGTTTAAAGTCCAATCCTGGCGCGTCTTGTTCCGAACTGGTATCTACCTATAGCTGCGTCCCTATGCATAGATCATGCATGCATCCTATCAAAACAACATCAAGCAAGGACCATCTTATATCTTATGTAGGAGCGGCGTTCTTGGCGTTCGCGGCCGAGATAGAATCAGGTATCAATTGGGCAACGCCCTTAGAGATAGATAAGGAGGTGGATAATCAGGGTAGTAGCAGTAGTATGCTTACGCGGCGTGGGTGCTGGCCTGGCACCGATAACGATACAGACTGTATAGCTGTCGGATGATGAGCTGGGTTGAACGCTCAAATATTTTACGCAGAGGCCGTGCATGTCACAAGCAATAGGAACGATAATATTCACAGTGAGTGAGGAGACATCCGTCTTCGAAGACACTAGAATACTACGCGTCATCTTCACAGATTGCAATTTACACGATGTAGGTGCTGTTGCTTGAATATACTTGGCAACGAGGATCTCAATATCAAGCTCGACCTAGTATTACATTTAATCTATATACAATTGCAATTCATCATGTTGACAGTTGGTGTGCGGATATCACCTTCACCCATAGCACTGGAAAGTCAAAGATACCATGTCAATGGCGTCCGAGGAAAAAAAAAATATGTATCATTCATTACCGCCTAGACTCCCTTTGCGTAACCCTGAAGCAATATTGAAACCGAGAAACATATAACTTTATGAGACCGCTATGAGTCAACAAACAAAAAAGAGCAACACAACCTATGGGCTCTTCGAGGGATTGTTCCAACAGTACCGTGCTATGGAGACTCCGTTGTATCCTCGCTTATATACCTAGGCGCCATCGGTAACTACCAGTGCCTAGGTTGAGGTCATACCTATAATGCTGCCGAAATGAATATCGTCGAATTTATCGTCATGCCTATAGTCCAAAGGCTTTCGTTTATTGGTAATTTCCCGCGTGTAAACTGTTTCATCTGATTGAAACCTGGATACTCATCGTTATAGAATCTCCTTGAGTTGTTGCTTCTGCTGGGGAGTCAGATAGGTGGGAAACTTGACATTGTACTTGATGATGAAATTTCCGCGTTCGTTCTGTTTCTTTGAGATAGGCATCCCCAGTCCGGGATATGAATCTGTCATACCAGTTCCGGTAGGGCCGCCTTTCTCCAGATTGAGTTGCTTTCCATCGATAGTTGTGACGGTCCGCTTCCAGCCAGTCAATGCCTCTTTGAGATCCAGTTCAACCGTGTGAATGAGATCATCACCGTCGCGAACGAATAATGGGTGTGGTTTCTGGGAGTCATGTTAGCCCTTCTTACTGCTTAATACTGAACACGAGTGGTCAAAAATTGGAACCTACTTCTTCGACGATGAAGTGCAAGTCTTGTTTACCGCCCTCTTCCTGGTCTCCGACACCCTTGAACTTGATCTTGCTGCCTTTCTTCAAGCCGGGTTTGATCGGAACTTCCAACACTTGATCGCTAGTTGTTCTCTTACCACTCTCATCAAATGTCTTGCGCTTAATCTTCATCTTCTTCGTGATACCATTGAACAACTCCTCTAAAGTCAGTGGTAAGGCACGCTCCACAGTTGTGACCTCAGGTGCCGCATCCCTTGTGGCGCCGCCCCGATATGGGTCTCCGCCCGGATAACCTCGCATACGGCTGGATCGGCCAGTAGAGGCTCGAGGGATAGCACCACCAAAGATGTTGGCAAAGTCGTCATCGTCTCCTACCCCAGCGCCCCCTCCACGCATGAATTCGGCAAATATGTTCTCAGGATTACTGAAATTGAAGGGGTTACCACCACCGTTAGTGGTAAAGTGGAATGATCGTGCGCCAGTGGGTATGCCGCCGCTACCAAAGTCAAAGTTTTGGAATCCAGCGGGCATTTGACCCCCGGCGAAAGGATTGTCCCCTGGGGGAGGGGCTGTGCCACCACGAAGTAAATATTCTAGCCCATATTGGTCGTATATCTTGCGCTTCTCGGGGTCAGAAAGGATTTCGTAGGCTTGGGAACATTCTTTGAACTTCTCGGCCGCGTTCGGGTTGTCCTTGTTCTTGTCTGGATGATATTTCAAAGCAGCTTTACTGGACGCAAGTTAGCAAGAGAGTCCAGGTGAGTTGGCGTGAGGAATTGGGGAATTCGATATGGTGTGGAGGATGGATTTGACGCTTACCGATATGCCTTCTTTATCTCATCCTGGGTTGCATCAGGCTTGACGCCGAGTTGATCATAGAGCTTGGTCTCCTTCACCATGATGATAGAGTTTGAACAATAGAGAGAATGATTTTTGATAGGTGATGGGAAGATGGAAGGGAAGTAGTAGATGTGGTTGTACTTGACGTTGAGTGGTTAAGTTGAGGGTGGTTGGTAAAAGCACAATCAAGGTTGCTTGATGACGTTTAGGATTGTGGAATCCACATCGAATTGTGTTGAATGGTTGGCCGAAGGGCTGATTGCGGAAATGAAAAGATTAATTCAGTTATGTTAAGTTAAAGTCAACAAAAGGGGACCAAAGGTGACGTAGAGTGGCTCGAGGGAGAGTGTGGGTGTTGTGTCTCTTAGAACTAATAGTTATTGTGGCCAGTGGAAAGCCTGGTTGGAGTGGTCCGTCTTAGAAGCTTCGCGAAGGGGCCGGAGAGTGTGCAGGGGACAGAACGACGACGGGAATGGTGGTGATAATGGTGGAGGACCAGATGGTGATGACAGGTGACGTTATTTAGCACAGATCACTGAGCCGATTGTTACCGAATCATTTGCTTGCGTCGACAGAGGGATGGACAGGAAGAGTTAGAGATAGAGACGTAAAGGGCAGAGGAGGCAGAGGTGATACGATGATTTGATGTCCTCGCACGGATATTAGAATGACTACAGTCGGTCTTCTTTGTCTTTATGAACTGTTTTGCACGGGCGTGTTGCTAGAGGACAAGAGGCAATGGATGGGTCGATACCTTGGTAGGCAGATGGGTCTGTTTAGCAGCAGCAACAACCAAAGCAAGGCGGTCAAAGGAAATGCACCGGTTGCTCTGGGAGAGGCACAGGAAGCAGAGAGACCAGAAAGCTTGGAAAGTTGGAGAACCAACCATCTCTTGATGGAGTCGATGTCGGATGGGATGACAATGACGCCCAATCAATGGTGGGGTCGCGGGGTAGCACTCTGGTAGCACCTAGGAGCACCTAAGGAGCACCCAGTACCTAGCACCATCAGACACCACCCACTACTTCGTAAGTAGGTACCTCCCAGGATACCATTCAGAGGTGTACCTAGTTGTACATGCCTACCTGATATTACCGGGCACAAGGCGTATCACCTGGGCTATTGCAGTGCCCTTTGCTAGACGCAGGTGACGCCTACCACTGCAATTCGGTGGTCATGCGACGGGGCCGGTTGGCTGTGAGCCGGAATTCGAGGGAATTCAGGGGCATATCTGCTCAACTAGCCATTTGTCAAATCTGCTGCAGACTGATAATACCAGTACATACTGCATTGATTTAAGTCTCTTTACATGTACCTGCACAAGTTACATACATAGGAGGCACTTCATAGTTGGTACCTGCTGTATGTACTTTGGTGGGTCTGCGTGCTCTATAGAACATTCTCGAAGCTTCTATCGTCCTTATGGCTCTACCCAATTATATCATACATAGATAGTATAACAGCCTCATGAAACTGTGTTACATCAATAGGCACACAGAGTCCTTCAATATGATGCCAGGTCCCATATCATACATCGCTTAGAAAACATACCTAATCCACACTGGAGTAATCAACTACCTGGAGAACATGGGTCATGTAAATATCTATTCATCAAGCTTGCTCTCGCTCCGTTAATGCGTCTACTAGGTAGTCTATCTGCATGTTGCTTTGGGTATATCAAGGAGTAGACGGGCATATCAACATTGATCCCTCTGCGCCGTTCTCATGCTACAGTAACATCCTCCAACTGTGGGTATCAATTGGGATATGATGGCTGAAACCGGGCTGGCTTCCCAATAAGCCCATTTCCATTGTCGACCGAGTCAAACCCTGATAGTGTGCCCGAATCCTTGGCCGTTGCAACTCATACATAAATGAGGAAACTAACTCGCCGATTAGAACCTTGGGAGCAGATACATGTTGTTGCTCGGCTCACCATCTGCCACGATCTCTTCGTCAACTGTTGACCTCTCCGATGACCCTTCCAATTATTGTTGCGATGCTTGTATAGATTATCCACAGGAAGTGAACTGCCTATCGCAAGCGGAATCTTGCACCCATCACGAATCTCCATGTAAACTGAGCTTCTCGCCGTAACCGTAATGCTACACTTGTCCAGAAAGCCCATACGAGCTGAATTGCCCGTCGTATCTGTAATGCTATGCCCCTCCATAACATTACTGCGAACTGAGCTGTCCATTGTAAGAAAGATACTACGCCTGCCCAGAATTTCCAGATGGATCGAGGTAACCATAGCAAACAAAAGACTATGTTCGTCCAGGACACCCTGATGAATCGATGTGCCGGTGGTAATTGAAATCCGCTTGGCTTCTAACCACCTCTGAATTCGGGTTCCGCATCCAAGTCCATGAGGTCGACGGAATTTTGCGCTGGATGATCTGCCTGAGCCAAGAATGATATCCTGCCACCTTTACGTTCGCTCATTTCTGGTGCCTTATGACTAAAGGTGTTCTCCACGTCTGGAATAATAGCGCTATCACAGTGATGAACTCCAGAGCCGCCTTCTTCCTCCTTTTTCGTATGCTTTGTTACCACCTGTTCGTGAGTCTCACACTTCTCAACATGTGATTCAACTACATTGCTAGAGTTGGTGCGCTCGGAATCAATATGTTGATGCGTGGGTTCAGTTGTGTTGTTGAGAGCTGGTAGGCTATCGTCAAATGCAAACTCAACCTCAGCTAGATCACTTCGAATACTGCCGTTGGTAGCAACAGACGAGCCGACACTATATTTTCTTTTACCGCCAGTTCCAACTTCAGAGGGAAGCTGGGACAACGCTGCGGCAGTTACGCCTGCTTGTGATTGATTTTGCATTTGCATCTCTTGATTCTGACTCTTCACCTCGCGCAAACTTGCTTCCTGCGCAAGCTCCTGCTGAAAGAGGCGATTGTCATGCTTGATAAAGGTCTAAATAGCTCGTTAGCCGTTTTCTCTTGGTTCCTAGGTTTTCTTCCGTTTTCGAAGTGGAAGGGGTTGATTCTACGCACACGAAGAGCATCCGAAAGAGGGATTCTCTCCCGATTCAACGCTACTTCTGAAGCATACACGAGAATGGGATTTTTTGACTCGGTTCCCGCGGCTTGCAGGACATCGTCAGGCGTCACTTTCTTCGAAGACGATTAGTACAGGGACTCGTTCATCGAGTTGTATATGCATACCTCGCACTTGATGGGCGATGCGTCGCTCGCAACGTATCCAACCTTCCACCACTGGTCTTTCGCCGATGGCGTGGCTTCAGAGAAAAGATTGAGCTGGCTGTCTTCTCGGACGCAAACGTAAGCCACGTCAGTAGTAGTAGCCACACCACGCAGAAGGTATTTGATAGTTGGATTCCAGAACTCAGGGCGGTAAGCGTCTTGTGAGCGAAATACGAAAAGGTCATTGTCTGCTTCATGTTCTTGGCACGTAAGTCGCTTGCGGACTATGTCTAGATAGTGATTTAACTCCTGCTTTTTACGCTGACATCCTGGGCTTGATTAGTTCCGAACACTGTCCTGTGAGATATACGTGCCAAGGTACTCTTCTACTTACCAGTCACTGTCCGCTCGGCTTCTTCGATTTTGTCCCTACAGGCTTGTATGATGTGTTTCCATTTTTCTTGTTCAGACAATTCTTTGTCGGTATAGATGGAGGGTCCAGACCATGTATGTATGAGGCGGAGGTCGTCCATGCTGTACGGCGAGCCCCGCTTCCATTGATCTTCAAATTGACGCCATTGTACATCTTTACTGTGTCGCTCGAGCAGCTGCTCAGCAAATTTCATTAGTCTAGCACAGCACTGACGAATATCGTGCTTGTCTCGAAATCCCTGCAGATTGAAACAACAGAGTTCGCCTGTGCAAGCGACAAGTTCCTCTTCCTTCCAAGCTAATTTCTCGAGCGCGCTTCTAATCTGACGGATTTGGGTCTGAAAGTGTATGGCAAGGTCCTTGCGGTCATTCATGTACCGGTCGGCATAGAAAATTGCTGGTATCTCACAAGGCTTTGAAAAGCCCGAACCTCCAAATCGAATGGTAAGAACCTCACCAGGCTTCAACAAAACTGCGGTCTTAGCGTTATGGGGGAAACTGTAGTCCAAGGACAAAGCACTGGACCACAAGAGATGATCCAGTGCATCATACATGGTATCTACACGCGAATAGCTCTCGAAGTCTAGCGCGAGGTCTAGGAAGATAAAGGAAGTAGTGGTATCTTCTTCCTCGTCCTGCCCGCTCCATTCGGGATCATTATCTGACGGTGGTATTACAGGCATTATCATACCAGTCGTGGTCATCTCCTCAATACCACAGTTAGGATTAGCAATGCTTGTTTCTTGCAATGCTTGAAAAAGCTTGTCTTCAACATCTGGCATCCACGAGCCAAAAGTCGGGTCAATGGCTTTCGTCTCTGCAAGGCTGTCAGCGCTCGCATAACTTCTTTCCGAACTGTCTAAAAAGGCCAGCAGGCGATGCAGCTCTTCGACGAAATCCGGATGTGCGTCTTCACCCCAGACTTCCTCCCCCCTTGCCAACTTCCCGAGTACAATTTGCCTCAAGATTGGCTTGCCTTTCCACCATTCAGCACCCTGGCCGTACACAGATGTTGGCACACCGCAGCTCAGAAGAAAATTCCTGGCAAGAGGTATCTGGTTATAAATTGAAAGAATCGCTCCTAATCTATGTAGCTTAGTTTGTCGCAGAAAAGCTGGTGCATCTGCATCTCTTCTTCGATTCGAGGGTGGTGGATCGGTTGCATCAGTCTCCGCCGTTGCTTTTGTCGGTATCATCGCCCATTTCTCAGATTCATACTCAGAGCGATTCGCGGGACCAAAATATTTGGAGCTCGTCTCGTTGTTGATAACGCCGGCCTCTTGGGGCACTACACCGGACTCGGCAGCGGACTCAGCGATCGCTCGGGCAAGGTCAGCATCCTCCTGGGTGGCATTCGAGGGACCTTGTGCGCCAGACATCAGCATCGATTCTGAAGTCGAGCAGGATTGATACCTGCAAGTCTATAAGCCTACCCAACGGTGATCGATTATTCGTTCGTGAGGGAGGCCGTGTGGGGGCCGCGTTGTTAACATGGCTTACGACGGGGACTTCGTCGGCGCTTTGAATATTAAAGGCTACACAATAGTATAAGCAGGAGCCATGTCGAGAAAGAGGAGCTAGACTGCTGACACCATCCATGGCCTCCGTTGTTCCACCCCCCTTCACGATCTGTGTCGAAAGCCGATTCATCCCACTTGTACTGAAAGATTCTGTGAGTCCTTATCGGGGTCAAAGGGGCCGATGGGCTACAGGAAATACCTTGGTGCTTGCGGGATCGTCCAACTTTTCGTTGATCGCGGCCCCAAGATCATTCTTGTTTGCCTATATGTGCAGCGAAATCCGTCAGCGACCATGGCCATGACCGTAATGCTCGATTTGTAGTCTGGGTGGTGTTAATAGGTCGGTCTGTACCTTCAAACGACTAACTGCTTCGGCGCGTGGAATGTTGAACATATCCTGCAGCGTGAGAATATCGCCATCTTCAGGCTCCACTGTATACGCCATCATGAAGACACAGCAGCCCTGAGTGAAAAAGGAGAGGGGCGTGTTTTGATGAGCATGGGAGACTGTCTGATCGCCGGCTTATGTAGATGCACTGAAGCCGGTTAATCCAGTGTCGATACGGTAGGCGTAGGCATATTCTGTCGTACTCCCAAAATATCATACAACTGACTCGAGAACGGGGTGCAGTCAAGCCACGGCAGCGACGGTAGTGAGGTGGGCAGAATAGAAGGAAGGGTTTCCACGATGACGATATAAATGTAAGAGGTAGTACCTGCCAAGGTTCTCGGGGCTACGTAAATGTAGGTAGGTGATATTAAGAAAGCGTCAGGACCTCGGGAGCTGCTGTATCGATACGAATTGAATCCCTGCTAAAAATCCCATATGTCTATGAGGTAGGTAGGTAGGTAGGTACTTGAACATTGCCGCCTAAGTATTGGTTTACTGATGTACTGTAGTTAAGAGCTACATGTACCTGAGATGCCTAATCCACCAGGTAACAGAGACAGGTACCCGCCAACCACAAAGGCATGCGTTACGTAGGTACCTGTATCCCACATACAAGCACTTTAATGTGAATGCACTCATCTTCACCTACATGCTAGAGGTCAACATAAGTAAACGAAACAACCTGACTACCGTGAGGTAGTTCTTGGGTCATCTCTTTTGGATCTCTATGACAGCCGACACCTATGAAACACCCACCAACCTACTTGCGGCTCCCAAAGTTAAAGCATGCCACACAATTGCTTCGTCATTCTGGGGATGTACTCGTGCGTCTTGACTGACTCACTCGGCTTTGCATTGTTTTTTCACTGGGGTGTGTACAAGCCGAAGAGGTGGTGGCACCTCTGGGGGAAATAAGATGTGTTAAACTAGGTAGTTATCCAGCTACCTGACTAATTTCTGGCATCTATCATCTTCCCAAAAGTAATCGAGTATAAGAAGCCGACGGTGTAGGTTCCATGAAAACAATGCGGCAAACAGCCGGTAGCCAATCCCGGGATAAGAGCTAAATCAAAGTTCCGTGAGAGCATGCCATTTCGTACATCTAGTGAAAAGAAGATCCGAAAAAAAAAAAAACGCAACAATCCGACGCTATGCAAAGTATTCGTGTATACCGAGAGTAGGAGAACATGTTATACTAGGGATTTGACCTGAACATCGAGATTTTGTTTTCTTCCTTTGCTTTTGTTTCGTGCGTCATGAGTCGTTGCCCGGCGCCCAGCGGAGACCTGAACAAAGTCCAAACCTGCCTTCGTCAATGCTGGGTTGTAATATTATTGGCCCTTCATCAAAAGAAGCCAAGTTCCATCCCGATGATAAAAGGGCCAAAAAGTAGGTACCTTAAGGTACAATTCATTCACGGATCGATGCGAGTGAGGTACTAGACGTCATCATCGTCGCTTTGTCCCTCTTCCTCGCCGTCATCGTCAAAATCAGCCGTCTCATCATCACCTGTGTCGCTGCCACCGAAATCGAGCTCTTCATCGCTCTCATCCCAGAAGGCAGCGTCGTCATCGGCTGATTTGGGTGGTGGCGGGGGCTCGAGGGTTGTGGGCATCTCAAACCCCTCAGGAATATCATGCTTCGACTTTTCGACAATATCCCTGGCCTTCTTGTTATACATATCGCGCTTGTCCCGGTACATGATGCTAGCATCTACATTGGCTGGCGAGTTGATCTCAGGGTCGTCCAGGAGGAGGAGAACGGACCGCAGAACCGATTCGACGCCTTGAAGGGGTGACCAGCGCTCGCTGGCCTGCTCACCAGACGTGATGTCTTCGCCCGGTGTGTGAAGTATGGAGATACACAGCTTCCCGTCGGGATAAATATTAGGGTGGTAGATGGGAATCAGGAATCGAAAAGTGGGCGGCTGGTAGGGATATTCTTCCGTAAAGGTCATCTCAGCCTATGGCACGATTGAAGAGGGTTAGTTACACATCAAGCGCAACGATCCTATGTATGACGAGGCACAAACTCCGCCGGAAGAGCAAAGCATACGTACCTTGAAATATCCGCCATTGAAGGCGCTTTCTGGATTCACGACAATAAGACCGAGGCGCCAACGAAGTATATTCTCATTCACGAGCTACAAACATGACCATTTGTGTCAGTGACCGAGGCCGATGCCGGAGGGGGAAGATGCCGATTACATCAATGTTAACCCATTTCTCTTTAGAGAGATCTTGCATCTCCATCATGAGCCGATGCTTTGCGCCTCCTGCCAACCTCGACGACGCCATGATCGGGGTGTTCTCACAGAAACGTTGTGGTCATAGGTAGGCGGTGGAGTAACAGTGGCCGTGTGAAGGTCGAGTCGGAACCCCTCGGAGCGAGTTCGACTCGTGGTGCCAGACGCAATCAAACGTGGTATATAGATTCCCGGGAAAGGCGGACGTGAAGCTGTGAGCAAGCGAGCGTCTAGTGTGAGAGTGCGTACCGAGATGATGCACAAGGTGTTTCGGGAGGTAAGAGAACTGGGCTGCACTTAAGTACCGTTGACAGACTCGATCAGCGAGGGGATGCTGTCCTTTTAGCGACCTACCTATTGTGAGTAATGTGGTAATAGGGTAGGTACCGTATCTGTGGGAGATGTCTGCTTTGGGCACCTTGAGGTACATACACCCTGATACACTAATGACCCGACTGCAGGTTATTGTACCTGCTTGGTTCGATTACACAAGTTCGTTGTCAGGAAACGTCTGGACGTCGGCTTGCACATACCGGTAGTAGATAATAGGCATCTACTATTACCTCCTACTCGTATGTCGCGATGTACATATACCTACCTCTACAGCCTGTAGCGTGGAGGTATATCAGGTACGAATGGTAGGTGGCGTCAGGCATTCTCAGTACCTTCAATGACCTGGAGCGAGCGTTAATCTGGCCCTGGCCCGAGCGTGGTGGTAGTGGTAGGGAAAGTGGGATGACTTGGGATGGCTTGGGTGCGGAACCTGATCCTTGCTGCTGGACCCATACTGACGGAATGCGATGTTCTATACATGTATGTAATAAACCGGCGGCAAGCGTTCTTGACTCGCAACGAAGCGAGGAGGATTCGGTATTGCTTTGGACCCTGCTGGTTCATGGTCGCCTGCGGGAGCCGGCATGTTATCTTACCCTACCTAACTACCTGTGTAAGTATGCCCTGGCAGCGAGCTCACTTTTCACTTCCATTAGAGTTTAGGTAAGCTGTGTCTCCGTAGGTGCTACTACCTCCTTGTCTCTTCAGGCCACATGATATATACCACACACTATTGCAGTACCAATTTGTCGCATCAAGATACCAACCAACACGCCCCTCAAAGATCGCATCTAAAACCAGTTAGGTGCCATGGTGTGAAAATGGGCCCAAAGATAGTGGGTGGCAAAGCCTTGGTGGATAATGAATTGGTACCAGCGCTATTGGGGCGAGTAATTAAGTTGTACTGAATGGCTATATAATATCCAAGTACACGGTGTTCTGCCAAATCTATGGACGGGTAGACCGTAGAGAAGATTGTCGGCTCGTCCGACTAACTTCAAAGGCTCGAAAAGTTTTCACATAATGCTGACCAGTCAGGGGATAACGTGTGTCCGACCAACTAGGTCTCTACTACCTACATATTACCCGTAACAGCAGCCAACATTATGTGCATGATGAGCTGGCTCACCACCCTCCCTACTTTTCCAAGGATACCAAGGATGGTGAAGTCAGAGTGAGGATGTACGCAGCTGTAGCAGCAAGTGTATACCTTGTAGTCGAATGGTATCAAAATACTTCTGCGCGTTTAGTCCACTTACACATTCTTGTTTTGTTGACCAAGTCTTATTTGTAGGTAGTCGGGCCTCGTCACATACAACGAGAAGAAAATATCTCTCTAGGTAGGATCCTGTAAGTGCTTGCCAAGTGGTCTGTCTGTATGCATGGTTACATATGAGTAGGTGGACAGATAATAACTGCATACCTACATAGGTAGGCAAGCTTTGCCGCATGCTCATGTCATTATTGGCCGCGTCAGTTGTGATCTATAAATGATGCGCTTTCCTCTCCCCAGGGTGTAAGAGAGCTTAATGACAATTCGCTAGTCGCCTAAAGGGCCGCTTGATTTCACCAACCCTTTGTGTATCATAGGAGCACGCGTATAAATACAGGCACAGTATTCTGCTCATCACCGATGTCAGTCGTTGTGATAATGGCTGACCGCTCCTGTCATGTGGGCGCGTTGGCCGACTAATACATACCTTATACCTACTCGATTGAACTGCCTATATAGGTACCCTAGGAAACGATCAGTACCATCTTAGATTTGTTCAGGGCTATAGCGAGATGGAGGTTACCTACATGTATAGGTATACAGAGCCGATTTGAGCTGACTGCCTTAGAAGTACCTAGGACTTGAACTGGTCATAGTTAGGTAAGCACGCAGCGAATTGACAACTAAAACTTCAGCTACTAGTATGCCCAGCGAATTGTAGGTGAAAGATCTAGACGACCATGAACCAATACTAGCTGGCATATACACGCAGTCTGCATGTTTCTACTATTGCGACTGGTTAGGACGCTCGTGTGGTAAGATGTTCGGCAGCCTGAAGTTGAGTACCACGCAGCAAAGTTAGTGTACCTAGGTATCTTCATGTAACCTTACCTTCTCCTACAATACCTAGACTGTCCGTCCACCTGCACTAACTTGGAAGTCGGTAATATGTAGGTAGTTAAGTACCTAGGTAAGCAGACCAGTCAGGTGATAGCAGCGGTATACTCGTTGCGCTGGCTCAGTGGGCGGCTGAGGCACCCGAGGCACTTTACTGGCAAATAGGTGGAGGTACATACTACCTAGGTACCTAAGGTACAGTACCTCAGTCAGGACTGCACAGGGCCGGTTTGTACCTAGCTGAGTGGGGCGGCGGAACAGGACGTCCCTAGACTCCCCCTACCTAGGTACCTCTTTGCTTGCTGCCGGGTGACAAGGCAAGGAAGGCCACCTGCCCCCATCCTTTGTCTTTGCCATCTACCTATCTGGGTTCCGAATTCTCAACCTCCCATTCACCTGCAACCTACAACCACCAACATTCCCTACCGACGACGACCGCATATCACCCCTCGCGCCCGGTATCCAACCACGATCAGCCGCGATACCTTCTCGGCCACCGTCGTCAACTCCAGAAGAACGACCCATTTCGATCTGATTGTCTGCTGCACGTGATTGATTGCGGAGGTTGTATGCTAGGCGGACTTGGGGGTACTTCGACCAAGGCAAGTCGGTCGGTGGTGTGGCGCGCAATTTGCCACCCTCACCATCGCCGCTCGACCTTCAACAACAGCGCTCTTGAGATCTGGTTTCGGCGCCGCTACCACCGCGATACTATTGATCGCGCAGTCTATTCTTATTTGCCGCTTTTCTCTAATACCACCGCCTCTCCCGCCTGCTCGCTTTTCCGGCAGCCTCCCGACACCGCCGATCTACAGTCGCTCCTTACCATCTTCGACTACTTCTGCGGCATCAGACCTCCTCATTTCTAACCCGACCGCTCGCATCTAGGATTACGACGCCTTTGGATCTCAATGGCAGCCATGTCCTTTAACCCCCAGACACCCCAGAGCCCTTCCCAGTTGTCTCCTAGTGTGACGGATCAGGGACCGAGCATGAATACCTCGATGACTTCCATCGCGACTTCGCTGCCTACAGTAAGCCTTGCTCTATCGCTCATCTATGTGTAGTCTAGAACCACTCAGTTCTACGTCTCGCGATTTTTCTTGCAAATCCCTCTATAATCCCCTCATTATCTGCAGAGACATGACTAACTTGGTTTTGCTGCAGCCAGCGCATAGCGTGAATGGCTCACACCTACTACTTGACAATTCTCACGACACAAGTATGATGGACGTGTCTTCGAACAAACGAAAATACTCGTTCGATGAGATCGGTACCCATGAACGCAAAAAGGTTCATGTAGAAGACCCACGCATAATTGGCATCCAAGACCTACACTTGGATGTTGGCGAAAAATATCTTCTCTGCAGAACCCGTAAGGCTCCTCTAATATCTCAAGCGTCTCTATCACCCTAGCCCGGGGTATATCCTATTGATATACAGATGTCCTTGTGATCTTTAGTGGTCTAAATAATTGTCACTTTTCAGTACACTTGTTGACACACTATTCTGTATAGCCCACTCTATTTCTTCGCCGCGCATGTCAGAAGATTTGTTCGACAAGTTTGGTTTGACAGGCATTGCCGCCGAAGTTGCTCGTACGAAGCCAAACGGGGAGAAGAATGCGCTACGAAAGACGTACAAGGGCCAGATCAAGACATTGGGCCTCAGTGGTCATTTCGACGTTGTCAAGAAAGAGCCATCAGCCTTCATGGATTTGTTAATGATTGCCGAGGAGGACTGGCAAAATCGCGTCGTATCTGGGAGGGATATTGAGAAGGGGTTCACACCGACCCATCAGTCCAATTTAACCAAAGCGACGACACTAGCAAAGGGACAGATACCCAAGGGGCTGTGGGATAGTTCAGTTCTGGGCGATTTGGCACCTGGGCATGCCTCGAAAAAGACAAGTTCTGACCAGGTTTCACGAGCCACAGCTCCAAATACGCCCTCATTATCTGCTACAGGCGTTACTCAGAAGTCCAATAAGTCCTTGGCACCCCAATTGGACCGTGCCCGTCGACTGGGCAAGAAGAGAAGCTACCAGGACAGCAGTTTCGAGGGATATGGTGAAGGTTATGATGATGACACCGGTGGATATTCTACGGGCGACGGTGATGACCGGTCGTCCAAGCTGAAGAGGAGAAAACAGGTGCATTCGTCAGATCATCCGTCTTCTAGAAACCTCTTGGCTGATCGGTTATGACAGAATCCGAACGGCCCACTACTCAGCGGACGGGTGCAACCGTGATATCCAGGGGTGGAAAGCGGCGATATTCAAGAGTTAATTCGGGGTGTAAAACTATTTTGGAAAGGTGCCAGTGCAGCTACTGAGTCGTATCTCCATGTAGCTTTGTGGTTCGTCACGGTTATTGCATAGTTCATGATTTTAGCAAGGCGTTAGGCGTTATGCATGGGATTTACATACTCACATTGGGCGGTCAACAAACAATTTTCGGCTATGCCATGCGCAAAGTACAGCCCAGAACAGAAGGAGTTATCATAGTCCATGGACTGTGGCATTGCATACAGATTTGCATTCAGCCAAACAAGACCAAAAAAATTTAGCCAAATACAGTAACTATTTGAAATCGTTATATTTTTTGGGTATCCATTCACAAAAAAGAAAAGAATCAAGCCCTTGCTATCTGTTGTGGCAATGGCCGTGATGGCGCAGTTATATGTATAATGTCTCTAACCCGACTTGTGACTTTATGGTGCCATATCACACAATGACCTTAGGCGATGCCACCAATCACCTTGACACTCGAACTCAATGCCGCCACCTTCAAATAGACTGCGGAGAAGCGCCCATTCCGACTCGTCAAAGTGCTCGAAAGTAACCCGATCTTCGTCTGGCCGGGGGTCCGGAGGGCCACCGGATATTGAGACGGTCTGTAGATGCGGGAAGCCTCCCTCTAGGGCGTGCTGAGCGAACAGTCTAACGTCCTCGAATAGATCGCGCGAGACGTTCACCAAAGTCAGCGCCACCAACGAATCTGGCAGCTTTTCGACGAATATGCCGCGATTGGGTGTGTTGGGCGGATCTGCAGCACCCGATAAGGCGCCGGGGTTGAGAGTAACACTCTCGAGAACCGGGAAATCGCGCAGAGTCTCGATACCCTGCTGTTGCTCTCGAGGGCTATCCCGGGAAAAATGGAAGATCTCGAGGTGTTTCAAACTCTGCTTGGCGGGTTCAAGAGCGATGACAATCTCGGCAGGTAGCCTGTCCATAGCCCAGTGTGGGCCGAACGAGATGTAGGTGAAGCTCTCTAGGTGGCGGCAGTACTTGCAGAGAAATAAGCCCTCACGGTGAAATCTACTCTCGATGATGCGCAGTCTCTTTAAATTCCGAAGGTCAAGATCGTAATCGGCCGTGATACTATAGCACCTTTTAAGGGAGAGGCTTTCAAGGTTAGGAGAGTACCTGATGATATCCTGGACATCGGCGAAGTTGAAACGCCGTGATATACTCTCTTCCTCAATCCTCAGTTCCGCGAGGGACCATAGGCGGTTGGAAGGATTTTTAGTCCAAATGGAGAGACATTCATTAAAGCCCTCAGACGAGCTTGGGACCTTGAACTCCAAAGTCCTCAGATTAGGTAGAGAGCAAACCAAAAGCTGATGTGCGAAGCTGCTCCGACTCGAGACACCCCATAGCGCAGCGGAGCTCATCCGGATGTTAGAGACGGGGACCCCTAGACGGCGGGCAACATCCCCAACCAAGGCGGAATCGTATTGAGAATACTGCCTGAAGAGATCTTCGCGGTCGTAGTGTTTGGTGAACGCCGAGGTTGTGCAACTCCTGGAAGATGATCAGTTGTGGAGGTCCATGCGCAATGCAAGAGCATGTGACACGTGAGCATATGAGAAGCGGTCAAGTTGATGATCTTACGACGGTTGGATGTAACCAACCACACCAGCCAAAGCGATGGAATGATAGGAATTCAAAAGAAGCCAACACACAAGGTAAAGGAGAATTCAACACATACATCTCAGTGACAGCCCTTGCAAGGTACCGGTTACTAGAAATGGTCCGGATAAAAGCAGAGAGGCTCTGGTAGTGCGTCGGTCTTCCATGATTGAAGTCGAAGGTTTCGAACTTCCTATATAATAAGGGGATGCCGAGATCCCAAAGAAACCTGCAAGTCCGTGACAAGCGCGACAAAGTTCGATTGTCGTGGATATCCTCGTAGATCATCTGCCATATCTCGGTAGGGAGGTCCATGGCTATAGACAGGCAGAGACGAGATGGCGAGACAGTCAGCAAACACAAAAGCTGACAGGTGGGTGGTTAACATCAGACGAGCAGCAGAGTTTAAGTAAGGTACCTAGATACAGGGGGATAGCAACGAGGAGCCCGGAAACCAAGCCAATTCACAGGTCCATGAATATGTCCTCACTGAGCCCTATGGCTTGATGGCGTGAGCTGCCGCCTCTCCGGATGCAGAGCAGAGGAATGGGATGCAATTGTGATTGTGATTGTGACAATGTTGTGAAGGTGATAGTAGCAGTGGTAGCGGTTGACTAAGCTACCTATTCCCTACTCCCTACCTACCTACATGCACTGTAGCTAAGTACCTACATAGGTAAAGTATGTGGATGTGTTCAACGGTTTAACAGCAGGTATGAGGATGGGCAGGACGAGAATGCTTACGATAATACTTACGGCACTGGTCGGCTATTTCCAAGATGGATCGCCTCCGAGCTACACGACCTACCTAGGTATGTAGGTAAACATACAGCGCACCCCTGGAAGCTGGAAGCACTGCCTACCTACCTAGTTAATACCAGGCAATGGCGTGGCGTGCTTGGTGAATGTATCATTACCTCATAACATCTGCTAAAGAGGTACCTACGTAGGTACCTATAACAACACACTTACCTAGGTAACCTCTTTCCAGCCCTGTCTGCGCTTGTTCTTAAGCACAGTACAGGCCAAGTCAAATCAGTTAGTACCTACCTAGGTAGTTAAATAGTGCTGTGAGTACCTATATTTAGGCACCTGGACCGCCTGGCCCACCGCCCCCCGCTCTCCCCCCACTGTACCTGCTTAGTATGGCCCTGTATGTTCCGAGGTCTCTTATCAGATGGTGCCAGTGGAGAGAATGGCCTGTATTCTTTGCCTTGAACCCTTGTGGCCTCAAAGTACAACCTTGAAAGCCTCTTGAGAGGGAGACGGAGAATTCATATCGCCGTCTTGAAGTGCAGGCGTACATATATTAATACCATGCGGCTCTGAAGAATGGTATCCACTGACCTACATAGATCGTTCTTGTTATTGGTTTACTAGGCAGTCTTAATTCAAATGGCACGCATCTTGTCCTCCACAGCCTCCGCCAAGCCAAGCTCCGTCCGTCGACTGCTGTAGGCGCCCATATTCACCAAAGTCTGCGTAGGCAGGCAGGCTTCACGGAAATCTTCCTCTACTCCGTGTCTAACAACATTCATTTGCAATCATGTATTCCAGTGCTTCAGACTTCAAGGGGCCACCTCCTTACAGCAGTGAACCTCACCAGAGTCCTGCCACGAAGACCCCCTTTGGGGGCCTTTACAATGATCCCCGCACCTCATCTACTCAATCATTGGCGCCCTCCTTGCCAGCGTATGAGGAGATAGAGAGACGCAAGCTCCTGGTGATATATATACATGGCTTCATGGGAAATGACACCTCGTTTCAGTCCTTCCCAGCTCATGTCCACAAGTACCTCAAACTGGCCCTCTCTGATAGCCATGTCGTTCACTCCAAGATCTACCCAAGATACAAGACGTACAAGTCCATTGAGATTGCCCGTGATAACTTCAGTACATGGCTCGAGCCTCTAGAGTCCCCGAAAACAGATATCATCCTCGTTGGGCATTCCATGGGCGGCTTGCTGGCTGCTGACGTTGTGTTGAAGGTGAGTAGTCTAATACCCTACCTAGCATAGGTTTCTACGGCTAATGATCCCATTAAGCCTTCCACTCAACATAACCGTTACAACTCTTTCAAGCATCGTATTCTCGGCGTGGTGAACTTAGACGCCCCCTTGTTAGGCATGCACCCGGGCATTATCGTGTCGGGGATATCCAGCTTGTTTAGAAAGAATGAATCACCTAAGCTTCCAGGAGAGCCATCAACACAGGCCATATTAAGTCCCGGTGTTACCGGCCTTCCATCGCCCAGTCTCTCAGCATACTCCGTACCATCAACACTGTCCGAAACTCTACCCTCCCCACCACCGCCACCAGCACCCTTTATGCGTCCTGCCTTGACTAACGACTCGAATTACAACCCTAACTTTGCAAATGACGTCCGAATTGAGGAGAGGACATGGTGGAAAAATGTCGTACATTTTGTGAAGAAGCATAACTCCGAGGGCCTCATTGACGCTGCTGCTAATCACGTCATGTCTCACATGGAGTTTGGCGGCACCATGTTTGATATCAACACTCTCAAAACCCGTTACGAGAGTATTCGAAGACTAGAGGATGTGGACGAATTAAATCAGACTGGTTCTTCTCTGCCTCGAGTCCGCTTCATCCAATACTACACCATCTGTAATGGATTTCCAAAGAAACCAAAGGAAGCGGGCTCCGAACAAGTGGACACGCAATCCACATTAACAAACAACAACTCAGAGAATGACATCCCATCGCGACGCATATCGGCCAACGATCCTAAGCTCAACCCTCAAGATTCGAGTTTCAAACAGGACCAAGAGCCCTTGAGTTTATCCGATAGTGAGCGTTCAAGCCTGGAGCTGCTTAGTCCAGAGCCGATAGTTGATGAGCCACCACCCCTACCAGCAAGAGATGGTCCAGTCGATGTACACAATGTAATTGATGACCAGAAAAGGGATAGACATGCAGACGCCACCCCAAAAACCAGCCAGGATGTTGATTTGAATTTGACGGAGAAACCTCAAGTTGAGGATGTTACACAAGGTGTGGGTGTTCTAGATCTGGATCTTCCAGAAATAGCTAGTTTACCACCAAAACCGGACACACCAAACCTCGAGAATTACACTGATAAAGATGCGCGGAAGTTAGCGGGAAAGGAGGCAAAACGAGCATATAAAGCCTATGCACAAGCAGTGAAAGATCGCGAAAAGGCTGTCAAGGAACGTGAGAAGATCATTGAGAAGCGGAAAAAGAAGCTAGCCCAAGAAGCTGAAAAGAAGGCGAAGGAAGAGCAGAAGAAACGTAAGAAGGAAGAGGCTGCTGCTGCTGCTGCCATAATTCCAGAAAAGGTAGACTCAATTTCATCGTCATTAAATCAAGGAGTCACTGAAAAGCTCTCGGCGCCCAAGGGCGAAACATCGGAGCCCCGAGAATGGACACCAGTGTCCCCAGATCTAACACCCCAAACGACAACAATGAAGGACGAGGAGCAAGCGAAAGTGAAAAGAAAAGGCAAAGAAAAGGCAGAAAAACAGCGGAAGTTTTGCAATGTGCCCAAGTCTAACGGTCAGGTCGACCCCAAGTGGGTTGGTATCTTTATGAAAGATATGGACCAGGTAGCAGCCCACACAAGCCTCTTCTTCGCAGGCGAACACTACGAGAGTCTGGTGGGTGATGTTGGGAATATCATCGTTGAGTGGGTTCACGCAGACATGACCAAGCGGACCATATTAGAGTTAGATTGAGATGGCTGCTCAGAGTGTTGTGGATAAGCAGGATTGTGTTGTTCATTGATCGAGACTTTTGATTAATTAATTAGACGGGCGGCGGGAATTACGACCAATGGAAACTTCAGATCACGTACTTCGATAATATAAGGACCAGGGTAGTATACAACATGCTTGCCATCAGTTCTCTCTACAACAGCGATTTTGCGATTGAATATATATCCAATATTTGCCGGGCATCTAGCCCATGAGGTAGCTATTCACACTCTGTAATGTCGTCCGACTAGGATTTGCCTCGGGAAACGCTAGCATTATACGGCCCAGCTTCGTTTTGATCATGCTCTTGTTGGCTCCCGACGAATTCGGGGTCCAAGGCTTATATCTCCCCTCGTCGTCGAAGAACCGGCACACAAGCGCAAGGACAACCCCTATCGACAGATCCTTGCCCGTTTCGCAAGCAACCAAGATCTGCTTCTGCGCGGAAGCGGGAACGGAGCCCCCTGTTTCTCTCTTCAAGTATGCGTCGACGAAATCGCATATACCCGCCAGCGCGACGCGCAAATGGCGGCTTGCGAGCTTCTGCTTGCCGATGCCCACTTCCATTAGCGCCGGGCCTTTTATCCACGAGCTTTGGTCAGTGGTCTTTGGGAGAAAGGTGATGGTGCAGCAGGGTGACACTCGGCCAGGCAGGGGCAGTCGGCTGACGAATAGATGGGGCGCGACCTGAATAGGGGTGTTCACAGCTGGGTCAACCGACTGGTTCGCCGTGAGCGATCGTACAAGATCGGGCAGGCCAGACTCAGGCGTGGCGAGGAGGATGGCCGCATTGTTCCAGAAAAGGGGCGCGGTCAGCCCGAGAGCCCAGTTCTCGGTGTCGTCGCCCGCGCCTTGGATATATCCGCCTTCGCTCATCTCACCCCCGGGCACCCGGCGAGAGCTAGTACAGCAGATCACGGGGTGGAAATCATCGAAAATGTGGCTCGTGGGAATGAGTTGCGATTCCTGTGTCACCCACATCGGCCGCAATGGCTTTTGTATGTGCTGCCGCATGGCCGTAATGTCAATGCTGAGCGCCTTTAGCGCCGCGACGTGCTCCAAGATCCTGGCTTCGGCCTGGGAGTGCTCGGAGCGCGAGACGACATTTGGCGGCGTGTAGAGCTGGTGGCGTTCCTCGGCCGCGGGAAATAAAACCCGGTTGAGGACACAGCACCATATCGGGACAGTCTTACTTAGGGCGTCGGGCATTTGCTTGCCCCGCCTCGTTGAGTCGACGATGATGCACCCATCATGTTGTCCGATGATGGAAAGGAGGTGGAGATTGAGCCGCCTAGAGCTGAAATTCCACTGCCCTGTATGCCCGTCGGTGCTCTTGAAGTACGCGGACCCAGCCTTCTTCTCCGGCGCTATGTACCAACTGCCGCACCTCTCGTTGGCGATAAGAGGACGGTTGTATGCGTGGGCAACCTCGTTGACGAAGTCTGCATCTTCTCTGATAGAGCGCAGGCGGTTAGATATGGACAGATTCGACCTTTTGAGGTCTGTCAAAATGCGCGAGAAATTGTGGTTTGCTTGCGGCGAGAAGATGAGATCCGACTCGACAGCCATGAAAGCTGGGAAGATATTGTATGATAAGACTAATTATCTGCCTACCTACTTACATACCTACCTTACCTAACTAAGACATCTTGTGTCTCCTGTCCTCCAGCTGTCGCCAGGTGCACGCGCGATAGCTTGAATCTATATTACCTCGAATACTTAAGTGACACGAAAAAGGCAAAGCCAACCGAATGGGCCATGACATACGTTTCTCATTTTGAATCTTCATAGCAAATTTATCGCAGGGCTAAAGATGGACACTATAAGAGGCTGTGTTTGGATCCTCTACCAACGCCTACTAAGCTGCCTGCTAAAAACGAAATAGCTAGTGGTCTATTAACGGTGAACTGTTCCCAATCAACAATAAGGCAACTAGGTAGTAATAAATGGCTGTGAATAATATTTCTACATCAATACTGTATAAGAAACGGCAGCTTGTCCGTCAAGAGATGGGGTGGGAACTTACCTAGGCCCTATAGTCAACACTTCAGGTAGAAATAAGATCACTATGGACCTACGACCTTGTACATATGTTATCATTCGCTATGCATGTTTCATGTATGGCGAATTAGTTAGCCAATCATACCTGAAAGTCTATGCTAATGCTAGCTCTAAATATAGGGACGACATGAAACTAAAGAACGTGAGCATTCACTCTTATATTCAAACAAGGTTACGAGAATCTTGTAACCCATAGCAATCTATATCAGCGCTTTCATGGGTGAGCTAGATGAATTGATGCTTTAATGAGAAGCTATATCAAGCGAGGAAGTGAATTTCTACGACAGTGGTATAGTAAGACGTCTGCCACTGTAGCCCAAAATGCTCTAACCAACCTTTTTCTTGATTTTCTGAATCCAATGTCTTTCGTTAAGACCTTTCAGTAAGACTTGTAGCATTGCATTCCTCCTGTTGTGATGTAGTACCCAAACAGAAACGAATGATGCTACGCAAAATTTAAGCAACGGCAAATTCTCAACTGAAGATAGCCATATTTTCTTATATCTTGAACTTTCCCTTCCAGAACGGCGTGGATTCTCGTTTTTAAAGGCGGTCTCATACCTGCACCCGAAGGAAAGGCATGTTACAAATAAAGAGTCGAATATTTCCTGAGAGTCGTAGTGGCGGTGATTACAATGCGACCGAAGAAAGGGAGCTATGTATCCCCCCGCATCTTTCGATGTTTCATTTGACCGTTACGAATTCGAAGATAATAGGCAGGTAATGGCTACTGATAAAAAGTCAGCCTATGAGTTGGAAACAATATTTTCAAGCATCGAGGAATTCGCAGCTACCGTACCTCAGAGAGGCCCCTCTATTTCTTGTCCATTCTATGTAAAGGGATGTTTCCAACTCCCCTTGAAACGCCTTAAAACTCGTCGTTTCGTTGACGAGCAATTTTCGAAGCGGTTCTTGTCCTCTAGCCATTTCATTGTCGTCATTAGCAGACTACCTCTGCCTTTACCAATACCGAATAGTCGGCATCTCTCTTTAGTAGACTTGGTGTGACCATTAAATCTACCATTTCCTGTGCCCCAAGCTTTACTTTCATGTCCATTAACTTTTCCACGTACGGAAAGCCGTGTATAAGAGTGCCTCCAGGCTCGTTGGTCATCAGAACAACGAAGTTAGATACATCGAACGCAGCACTTAGTTTAGCTGTTGTCTCGACGATGCTACGTATTGAAACTTTGAGAATAGAGGAAGTTGTATCGGCCACTAGTGGTGAAATCGCCTCCTGGACTTTTACTACTATTTCATCAATGAGACTTTTGTCTATTGAATGGGCCTTGTGAATCAGAGCCGCGGTACGAATACGCCAATCGTGATATTCGACATCCGGTATTTTCTTCCACAAGCCTGCCGCCACAGCACTCATCTTCATGCTGATGTCGCGTCCAAAGGCACGGCACGGTACTTCGAAATACCGCAGTAGGTATCGCCAAATGAGAGCGCGAAGGAAGTAGCTAGTCACGTTGGGCGTACTTGTATAGCTCTTCCAGTGCGGCGAGAGCATCTTGAATTCGTCTTTGGACTTGCTTGGCAAAGGTAGACTTTGTGCAAATCCTTTGCCGAGGTGGTCTCGTGATAAACTCCTGATCTGTGCCCGGAGTTGGTTCCATCGCGTCACAGCTTCAGCATTACTCAATTCAAGCGTCGATGTTGGGTTGGCTTGTGCGAGTTTTGCTGTAAGCACATCGCACTGTTTGGTCTTCTCAGCAAGCTCACCCGCCATTTGCTGGAACTGTTTCTCCGCCTGCTTCACCTGTGAACGTTTCAAGGTTACATTTTCTCCCTCCTCCATATCTTGCTGAGCGTCCAATGAAATGCGATGCTCTGTGCCCTTGCGCGTCAGAGATATCTTCAGACTCTCGGTTGTGTGGTGTGTTGGTGTTTCTGACTTACTGGGCTTATCGTCTGGAGTAGGTGGCGTTCTAAGAAGCCTCATATTCTCGGACTCGAGACGTGCGATCTTGGCTTCGAGACTTGATTTCTCCTCTAGCCACACTTTTTGCTCGGCTCGTAGCTGGCGGAACTTTTTATCACGTTCAGTAAGTGCACTTTGGGTTTCAGCGAGCTGACCTCGAAGGGACTCCATTTTGAAAGCCGGTGACGAGTATCAGGGAGTATGACTGGCGGGGCGTCAATGTGTTTGTTAGAATTGGTTCAAGGTGTCCAACTTGCGCAAAACAAATCAGAGTGCTGGCGATGTAGTCTAAAGTCCAAAGGCAGCCGTAAACATGAAACCTTAGGGAGATTTAGCATTCATCAAACACTTGCTGTTTTCGCTGTCTTCGCCGGCTTCCTTTGTTGCCACAGCTGCCACTTTTTCCACAAGCAGCAACTTTTCTTTTTGTTTGCATCACCCAACGGCAAGGGCAAGGGGTGGCGCACGTGGGGCTATCAAGCTGTAAATCCCAGCAGCTACCAAGTCGACTTTTGCGTTCTTGATGGTGGCACGTCCCTATATTTCGTGTCGCTGTCGAGGCCAACAGCCTGTGGTTCTTCACATTTCCATTCTGTGGCTATCCATCTACCTCTGCTTCACTGTCGCACGCCGGCTTAGAACTAGTCTCCCATCGTTACAAAGGCGCATGGGCATGCGAGCACGAGCCCGAGTATTATCGTGTAGGGAAGAAAAGGACGTGATGACAGAAAGCGGTTGGCTGAACATAAAAGCTGATGGAGTGGTTCGGCTCGGATGGATCGATCAGCCGGCTAAGACTGGGCCCAATTCTCTAAGGTTAGTTAGTGTACTGGTAGTGTAGAGGTTTGATTTTGATACCAAGGTAGGTACGTAGGTAGTACCTAGGTCAGAGTGGGTCCAACAAGAAATGTCCGGTTTACCCATTGAGAGGTATAGCTCACCAAAACTTTATAAGTTTAAACAGCTCTAGAATACTTAAATAAAATGGAAAAAATATATAGTTAACACGAAGCATTTTACTATCGTAATCACCATTACTGAGTTAATTCTTATAGGTATATTAATCTAGTTGGCTGTTTTCCAGGCTTTCAAAGTTATAGGGTCTTGGTGAGCCATGCCTCTCAATGGGTAAACCGGACGTTTCTTAGTGGACCTACTCTGCTAGGTACGTATTATAAACCCGGCCAGTCAGCATATAAGCCACTGTACCTATTCTAGTGTAGGACCCTGGCACAGGTACATACCTACCCCCTACAGGTACCAGTTAGGTATATAACTCATACCTAGGTACCCCCTCAAGTGGCGCTCGCTGCCTACCAGAATAGCAGAGAATAGCTTTGATAGAGATAGATAGGTAGGTAGGTATTTAGTAGCTCTTCACACAGAGTTCAAGATTTTAGACGAAGGCGTGCATACGAAATAGAACCGGCGCTTGCGTAATGCTCTTGAGCACCTACGCAGGCCCCCAAGCAACCCGGGCGGCTCTGGTTGGTAGTGCCACAGGCATGTAAACTCACGTATATCTTAGGTAGTTTAGGCGTCTAAGACTTACAAATAGTCTTGAGAACTCTTGCTAGACAGCAAGCTTCGGAGAGAGTCTTCTGGGATATTTGCGTGTGTATAATATAATTATAGCCTGTTTATTTTTGTAAGAAACTCTGGAAAGGAGCGTGATGTGATGTTAAGTTTGACCTGGCCGAGATACATGTGCACACATGAGATTCGCACGATACAATCATCTACCTAGCCCACTCGCAATCTCAGAGTATGGTGCTAAATGCTGCACTTAAAAAAACCTCTATTGCATGTCTATGCTTGTGCTTGGATACTAGCATCAGTATCCCTTCCTCCTCTTGGGTAAATACCGAACCTGAGCCGGACAAGTGGTACGATCGCCTCTGAAGCTATCTCTCGCTGGGACGAACTCGCCGCTTTGCAGACTACCCTTCACAAACCACACATACCAGGCCTCGTGTAGCACGCCGCTTCGCGAGCACTTGAGAATGACACGGCTGCCGCTGTATTCCTCAAGGGCGGCTTCAATATCGGCTAGCGCGTATGTTTTCGAGGAGTCTGGTGTTATGCCAAATCGTTGGAGCGCATAGTATGTGTCCAGCGTCCGGAAGAGTCCAAATGCACGGACGAAATAGTCAACTACTTCTAAGCCTGGCTTGTATAAATCCCCGTAGCAGGATGGTGCGAGTGTGTTTATGCAAGTCCCGTGCTTGTTGTATTCATGCGCCCAGAGATGCTCGTTGGTACCGCTGTTCTCTATTAGCAACGGTACTTTGAATCATCGTGTCAAACCGCCTTTCTTCTGATTTGACTTTTGTCGTTCAAAGCTACCTAGATATATATATCACAATTCCCACCCGGGCAAGAATGTCGGGGTAGACACTGGGTATAGAACTCTAGAGCCACCATGTTGAGGAAAAGGTTGATTCAACTTACTAGCTTGCAACCCAGTATCGGTTCATGAAATCGATAAGCTCTCCCTGGTCATAATGTTCCAGCACAGCTGTGATGTTGTTGAATCTAGGCGTCATCCCACAATATTGGTCATAAGAGCCATCGCAAAGATCGGGCCTTATCCGGCATCGTCAGCAATTTGTTATTGGTTGTTTCACGGCCTCTACTTCTCAACTCATCATAATCACACAAGATAGGACACAATGAGAGGACTTACCAAAGCCCATGAAGAGTCCAGTCCTCTTCGCCTCCAGCAACATGTATTTCCTCATCCCAGAATTGGGTGAGCAATAATCGGCCACCAGGATAGATGAAGCAACATGAGTCAGCGGCCGACTGGTTATTGCAGCTCACAGGCCCGTCGAGCGGGCAGCTCGGGGAACCGCTGAGAGGATCGTACGGCGTTATGCCGCTGAAAGTGGGTGGTTCGTCATGGCCAGTTTCATCCGGAAATGTTTCTGGGTTGAATATCGAAGGGATGAGGGAGGTAGGGATGCTGCTAGGGATGCCATTGAGAAGCGGAATTTGCGAAACAAAGTGGTTCGCGTAAGTGAACAGAGAGCGCAGTGTCATTGTTGGCGCCATGATGAGCGTTATTGTGAGTCTGCTCGGTCACAATAGCTGCGGGCCGAGGGAATGGAGCCGAGATCTGCCTATGCCGACAGCGGATGCACAATGAGCTTCGTCACCTCAGGATTCTACCTACTAGATATCTATATAGACGAAAATGCAAGTTTGCCAGTAACGTCGAGCTGGCGCATGGTTGCCTGGAAAGAGACGATGAGACGTTGGTTATCAGCAGCTGACCTAAGTATTGGCATGTGACGTCGTCGTCTCAGCACCCGGTCGCAGTCCCTACCTGACATCCCTAGACATGGTTGGATGCAGGGTCTCGGTAGTGGAGAAATTCTACCCACACTTTATCTATAATACAGTGGCCTGTTTCGGGGGGGTTAAGTAAGACTTATAGTACATGTAGATGTAGGTATGTTGTGGGCAGTAACTAGGCCATTCCAAGATCTTTGATGCATGTTAATGTCTTCATTCCGTTGCGCAATATAATTCTAGTCATAGTAGCCCCACATAATGTCTTGGGTATGAAGGTAGTAGATAGGTAAATTGTAGCTACCTTACCGCCCCGGGGGGGGGGGGGGTATTCGTAAGGGTTACTGCAAGGGTTACAGCATTTCGAAAGCCTTACAGCTGAAGACACTTGTAGGGCATTTACTAAGTGGTAACCATATTGAAATGGAAACCATTATAGCAAATTTATTCTATTACTATATAATAATTATATATAAAAATAAAACATTACTTATTTATAATATTTATTATTAATAAATATAGTTATTATAATTATATTTAGCTTTTTAAAATAATTTATATTACTTTTATTTATAGCTTTTATAATAGCTCCTATAGCTCTTATAATAGCTCCTATAGCTTTTATAATAGCTCTTATAGCTCTTATAACAGCCCTTATAGCCCTTTATAGTATAAACCTAGCTATATAAACCTAGCTATATAAACTTAACTATATAAACTTAGCTATATAAATCTATTACTTATAACTTATATAATTAATCCAATCATTATTACCTTTAAGGATAATTATTATAATTAATTATTATTAATTATTATTATTACTATTATTATTATTACTATTACTCTATATATTAAAAAACCTATAGCAATTATTTTATAGTTTAAAATTTTAATAGAAGATTTTTTAACCTTTATTAAATAATATACTATAAAGTAAATTATAATTATATTATATTATAATAATTATTTTTAAATTTAAATATAATATTATACTTTAATATAATTTTTAAATTAAAAGAAATATAAAAATTTAAAAGGTATATTAAATTAATATAAAATTTATATATAAACGCCTTATAGCTATAATAATTAATTAATAATAATATATTTTATTTATTATACTTATAAAAAGAAGTATTATATTAATAACCCTTTTTATAAATATAATAAGTAAAATATATTATTATTAATTAATTATTATAACTATAAGGCTTTTATATATAAATTTTATATTAATTTAATATACTTTTTAAATTTTTATATTCCTTTTAATTTAAAAACTATATTAAAGTATAATATTATATTTAAATTTAAAAATAATTATTATAATATAATATAACTATAGTTTACTTTATAATATATTATTTAATAAAGGTAAAGAAATCTTCCATTAAAATTCTAAACTATAAAGCAATTATTATAGGTTTCTTATTATATTATAATATCTTAAGGCCCCTAGAGTATATATACTTTATATATATTACATACCCTTCTTATATATACTTTAAAGGAGATTCTTCCCTTTTTTAAGCTTTAATTTTATTAAATACCTATTATAAAACTAAAGAGATTTATAACATTATACTTAACCTTTAAAATTTAATCTATTTATAATAATTTTAAAGTTTCCCCTTAAGGTTACCTATAACGTTATTAATTATAATATACCTATATATAAATAAATAATTAAAGTTAGCGCTTTTTTAAAAATTTTAAATTAAGGAAAGTTTTTAATAATAGCTTAAAGATAAAGCTAATATAATTTATCTTCGGAAAAATAATAAACTTAAAATTAACTATTAAAATTTTCCAATAACCCTAATTTAATAAATGAAGTTAATGCTTAATTATTATAATAAATAAATACTTAACTTTTAATTAAAATTATAAAGTTAAAGAAATAACTTCTTAAAGGAAAGAAGGTTATTTAAAGTTTAAAGGTAACCTATACCCCTTTTAAATTATATTTAAATAAAAGAAGAAAAAATTTAAAAATATTAAGTTTAAATAAATTAAGGCATTATTCTAACCTTAATAATTTATAAACCCTTAATAATTAATAATACTATTAGGATTAAAAAAAGGGTAATCCTAATAATAATAACCCTTTATTATTTAGCTTTAATATAAAGTATAATTAAAATAATTATATATATTAATTATACTTAAATTATATATACTATTATAAATGTTATTCTTTTAAGGAAGTTAATTTAAGTTAGCTTTTTAAGTTTAATTATAACCCCTTTAATATAAAGTTTACCTATTTTAAATAATTAAAATAGGTAAAAGAATTAAAAACTATATTTTATAAAGCTAATTATAAGTTTAAAACTAATACTTTTAAAATTCTTTATATATATAATAAAATAAATAAGGATTATAAAAATATATATTAAATTATAAAGAAAAAGCTTAAATATATAAAAAGGAAGTAAATAAAGTTTTTAGGATATATTTTTAAATTAAATTAAAACCTTATTATATTAATTATCCTTCCTATAAGCTAGCATTAATATATAACTTAAAAGGGCTATATAATATACTAATTAGGACTTAAAACTCTTTAACTAATATTTAGCTAATATTAAAAGTTAAAACTTATAATAAAATAAAGGTAAAAAAGCTTTATTATATTATTAAAAATTAGGTAAACCCTTATAAAAGGAATTAATAAATTTCTATAACCCTTTATTAAAGATTAAAATTAAAATGGTCAATATAATATAACAATATTAAGAATTAATAAATAAGGACTAATAGGTTAATTATAGAAAAAAAAGGCTTAAATTAAAAAATACCCAGATTAATAATAAACCATTTATAAATATAAGCTAAAGCTAAAATAATAATTAAGCTATTAATAATAATTATAGAAATAAATATAAAGAATATAATAATAATAGCTATAATAGTAGCTTTAACTATAGCTATATTAATAGTTATAAAGGTAATAGCAATAATAATAACTATTGAAATAATAATAATAGTTATAGCTATTAAAGAAATAATAGTAATAATTATTATTAATATTTTTAAAGTTTTAACTATTAAAAAAACTACTAATTTAATAACTTTATTTTAAAAAGTTAACCCCTTTTTAAAGCTCCTTTAAATTATTTATAAAGCAATAATAAAAATGGACCAAATTAAAGAAACTATAAAGGAGTAATTTATTTTAATTATAGTTAACTAGGCTACATTGCTCTAAATTACATTTAACCTAAACAAAACTGGAACCTTAATTATATAAGTTATATAATATAAAAATAAACTATTTAAAAAGTTTAAATAAATAAAAAGTAAAATAAAGCTAAAAATAAATAATAATTATTATATTATTTTTATACCCCCTTTTTATTAAAATGCTATAATCCTTTAAAATATAATAAATAATTGGAAAATGAATTAAAAGCTTAATACCTTTTAAGCTAATAAAAGGTATTAAGCTAAATTTACCCCCTTATATATTTATTATATATCGTTTTTATACCCCTTATATAATTTATATACCTAGCTTAAAGAAACCCCCTTTATAAACTTATATTAACCTAAATTCTTATATTAAATATAATTATATTAACTTTACTTTTATACTTTATTATAAATTAAAAAAGGCTTTTTTTCGAACCTTTTTATTATAATATACTATAAATAATAATTTTCCGTTATATAGGGCCTATTAGGTTACTTATAAACTAATTAATAATTATAATATTATTTATAAATTTAAATATATATATATAGCTATTAACTATAATTATTATTTAAAAGGTAGCCCTATTTTATTATTTTAAATTACTTTAAAGGATTAAGGAATTATATTAAATTTAAATATAAATTATTAATTCTTTAAATTTAAAGCTTACTATTTTAAAATACCTATTTTATATTAATTTATAAAAGCTTATAAAAATAAACTATATTATTAAACAATTATCTAATTATTAAAATTAGTTTAATTAAAAAAGTTAAAATTATATACGTTTTATATAAAACTTAATAATATTTTATAAAAGTTTTATAACTTTATAAATTTCTTTAATATAAATAAAGTTAGTATACTTCTTTATTTAAAAAGAAGCAATTTAATTATTAAACTTAAAGAAAATGCTATAGTTTCCTATTATCCTATATATCCTTTAATATAGGATAAACTTAAAAAGCTATAAAGGTAGCTAAATAAAATATTAAAGGTTAAAAAAATTAAGAAATTAATTAATTTAATTAAAGTATTTATCCTTTTTATTTTTAAAAAAGATAAAAGCTTATATTTATATATAAACTATAAGGGATTTAATTATATTTTATATAAAAATTACTATACTTTACCCCTTATTTTAAAGCTATTAAATAAAATCTTTCGAATAAAGATATTTATAAAAGTTAACCTAAAAGATACCTATTATTATATTTATATTTAAAAAGGAAATAAATGGAAAATAGCCTTTTATACTTATTATAACTATTATAAATTTTTAATTATACTTATAAGTTTATTAAATATTTTTATTACCTTTTAAAACTATATATAAAAAGCATTTAATAATATTTTAAATATTTTTTATATTATTTATTTAAATAATATTCTTATATTTTCTATAAATAAAAAATTATATATAAAACATATTTGGATTATTATTAAAAAATTATAAAAAGCGGACCTTTATATTAAATCTTTTAAATGCTAATTTTATTAAAAAAAGATTAAATTTTTAAACTATATTATTTTTAATTAAAGTATTAAAATAAATCCTTTAAGGATTAATATAATTAATTAATAATTTATCCTAAATTTTTATAAAAAACTATAACAATTTTTAAGGTTTTATAACTTTTATTACTACTTTATAAATAGGTTTTCCTAAATTATATTACTATTAATACGTTATTTAAAAAAAGGTACATTTAAAATAAAAAAGGGTTAAATTTTATTAAATATAATTATAGTAAAGGTATTTAAAAATCTTTAAACTATATTTAAGGAAGCTATTTTCCTTATATATTTTAACTTTAAAAAGTAAATATTATTAAAAACTAATTCCTTTAAGGTAGTACTTATAGATAACCTATTTTAATAGGATAATTAAAGTATATTTAAACTAATTACGTTTTATTCCTATAAGTTTTCCAAATAGGAAATATAGTATAATACTCCCAATTAAAAAATACTTATAATAATAAATTGCTTTAAATATTAATAATATTACCTTTAAGGAAGCTACCTATTAATTAAAGTATTAACTAATTATAGCAATCTTTAAACATTTATAAAAACTTTAAAGTTAAATAAAAGGTAAGCCTATTAATATATATATTTAATTCCTTTTAACTTTATTATTAAATATAGAATAAATAAAAAGAATAAGGTTAATTTACCCTTATACTACTTTAATTTTATAACTATTTTGCCTATTAATATAAATATCCTTCCTATATTGGAAAGGAAAATTATTATAATATAGTAATTTAAAGTTTTTAATCCATACTTTAAAGTATTAACCAATAAGCTATATATTATATATATACCTATTAAATGGACTATTTTTATATAAGCAATTATATATAAATAAGTATAAATAGCTATAAGTATTAAAAAAAGTAAAAACTTAAAGCTATTTAAGGATTTAAATAATTTAATCCTAAAAGTTTAATGGAAAGATCTTAAATGTTAAACAATTTTACATTAATTTAAAGCCGGAAAAGCTATAAACCCTTAATAATTAATAAAAAAAGACTTAATTTATTATAAAAAAAGGGTTTATATTCCCTTTAAAAAGTCCTTCCATTTTTAGCTTATTAAATTATATTATAATTAATCTATTATTAATTACTTTAATTAAACCTATACCTTAAAACTCCTATACTATAAGTTCTTTTAAAAAGATATATAAAATAATGTTTAAAAATATATAAAATCCTATATAATTTACTTTAAAATAAAGGTAAAACACTATTAAAAATATAATAAACTAAATACTTTACCAATTTTTAATTAACCTATATAAAAACTTTCTATAGATTTTATTATAAGTTTACTTTAAACCTTTTATAAAGGAAAATTAATTAACTTTATATTAGTTATTATTAATAGATTCATTAAGCTTATATATCTATTTCCAATTAATACTATTATTACTTTAATAAAATTAACTATCCTTTTTTATAATAAAATTAAATGCTTATATAATAGCTTATAGGGTATAGTTTTAAATAAAGGTACTATTTTTATAAGTTAATTTTAATTTAACCTTTATTATTACTTTAAAATAAAATAATACCTTTTGGTTACATTTTACCCTAAAACTAATAATTAAATAAAATAGATAAATTAAATAATTAAAAGTTATTTATAATATTTTATTAATAAAAAATAAATTAATTAACTTTAACTTCTTTTATAAGCCTTTTTTATTATAAATTTAATAATTAATTTAATAATTGGAAAGTTACCTTTTAAATCTCTATATAACTATATTCCTAAATTTAAATTATTTATTAAAAATAACTTTATATTAAAAAAAGTTCTAACTATATAAAGATAATTTAATAAATTAAAAACAATTAGAAATAAAATAGTAAAGCAATAATAAATTATATTAAAACAATATATAAAATATTATAATAATAAATATAAATTAATAACCTTTAAGGTTAAAAACTTAATTGTATTATTAATAAAAAATATAAAGTTTCATTATAAAAAGTTAATACTTAAATATATAAAACCTTTTAAAATTATAAATAAAGTTAGTTTATAAGTATATTATATTAATCTTTTCTTATAATATACTTATTTTTACCTTATTTTTCCAGTTTAATTAATTAAGCTTTAAACTATTAAATATAAATATAATTTACCTATATTAAACTTTAAAAATAATTTAAAAAAGTAAAAGGTTAAAAATATAATAAGTAAAATAATATATAATAAAGATTAATATTATAAGGTTAAATAAAAAGGCTAGCCTTTTAAATATAATTAATAAGTATTATAATTTAACATTTTAATATTAAAAGTAATTAAAGATTTTAAAAAATAATAAAGTTAAAAATAAAAGAAAAAAACTAAAAATAATAAATTAAATATAAATTAAAACTATATTTAATATTATTAATATAGGATATAAAATAAGCCTAATAGGATTTTAAAAATCCTAAATTAATTATAAAAAAAATAAAAATAACTATTTTAATATAAAAGAAATTAAACCTTTAACTTTAAAGTTAAAAAACTATTATACTTTATTATTAAGCTATATATAAAATAGGGTTAAATTTAATAATTATTAAAATTGATAATATCTTAAAGTTTTATTTAATTATAAACTTTACCCTATTAGGTATTATTATACTGCTTAATTATAAAAGTTTTCACTTTTATTATAAATAATAAAATAAAGGTATACTATATAATTAAACTAAGATCCTATAAATATATATATAAAAAAATTACTTAAAAGTAACTTTAATGTTAAGCTATATTCTATTTAAATTAAAAATGCGTATAAAAAGAATATAAAGTAAAATTATTTATAACATTAACTAAAATAGGTATAATTATATTATAAATAATAAATTATTATTTAATAATAATATAATTATAATTAAATAAATATTTTTATTTAAATATAAATATAATGTTATTATAATATATAATAAATTTAAAATAGGTATAAAATAGCTTTATACCTTTTTATTAGCTTAATTATTAATTATATTAAAATAATTCCAATAAGTTAAAAGGAAGTATAAATATAATTTAACAAAGCGGTATTAAATAGCTATAATATTAATATAAAATTCAAATAGGCCGGATTAAAATCCCACTTTATTATTATTTATAACTTAAACGTTATTAATAATTATCTTAAGTATAAATATCTATTAACTCCATTTAAAGAATTTAATAAGGTAAATAATCTTAAAAACTATTATAAATGGAAGCTAAATTTAAATAAACAACAATTTATATATAATATAAATATAAAAATATTAATAGGCTTATATATTTAATATACTTTAATATACTTATAATAATTAACGAAGCTAAATTTATTAAATAAATAATTAAGTTTAAATAGAAAATTAAGGTTAAATTAATATATATATTTAATATACCTAATATAATTATAATATATTAATATAAATAATATAGCTATAGGGTTAATATACTTACTATAACGTTAATTTTTTATCCTTATAGATTATTTATATTTCTTTTAAAGGTTTTTATCCTTAATATTTAAATTACCTTTATAGTTTAAATGATCATTAGGCGGAAGGTTAATAGATCTACCACAGTCCTAACCTAAACTACCCTTTCCGTTATTATCGTTGCTGCTTAATAGCAGTACTAATAATATTAGGGGAATTAATAATACTAATAGTATTAATAATAGCAATATAAATACTTTGTTATTGGTATACTCCTCGTTTACATCCTTATTATACTTAAATAGTAATAATAATAGTAACGCTTTACCCTTACCGCTATAAATAATACGGTTACTCTTTTAAGCTTAAGCTTTACCTTTACCTTTTTTACCCTTAAAAAGTATAATTTAAATAATAGTAATAATAATATAAATATAATAAAAAAATAAAGAGAAATAAGGTAAAAATAAAAGCAAAATAATAGTTTTTAATTAAAATTAATTTTTAAAATTAGCAACAATTAAAAAAAAAAGTTAATAAATAATTAATAAAAATATATATATAAATTTTACTATAAAAGTAATATATAATATATATAATTTATAAAATAAATATAAGCTTAATACCTATATACCTTTATTATAATAACGCTTTATATAAATAAACTATATTAATATATTTATTATAATACTTTATATTATATATTTATATAATTAAACTTTTTATTTTATATTTAATTAATAAATTTGTTATATATTAAGTTAAAGATAACCTAATTAAAGAAAAAGGAATAATTATTATATTATAATATCTTAAGGCCCTTAGAATATATATACTTTATATATATTATATACCTTTCCTATATACGTTTTAAAGGAAATTCTTCCCTTCTTTAAGCTTTAATTTTATTAAATACCTATTATAAGACTAAAAAGACTTATAACATTATACCTAACCTTTAAGATTCAACCTACCCATAACATTTCTTAATATATAGGGTGGTAATAGTAGTAATAATGGTGGTAATAGTAATTGGTAGTAATTAACTATAGCAATTATCCTTAAAGGTAGTAATGATTAGATTAGCTGTACAGGCTGTAAGTGGTGGGTCTGTATAGCTAGGTCTATATGGCTAGGTCTATATGGCTAGGTCTGTATAGCTAGGTCTGTATGGCTAGGTCTATATGGCTAGGTCTGAGTTACGGATTGTGGCCAGTGGCAGTAGGTACCCATGTACCTCACGCGTACAGGGTTACCGTACGGCCCACCACACTTGTGTGCGCCTGCCAGTCTGGACAGCTGTTGCCACCTGACCCACAAACCGCAATTGCCCTTAACCTATAAAGGACCTGGCCAGAAGGGGCCACTGTACAATAGTTCTCTTTTCTTCTTCATACTTGAATTAATATACAATTCCAGCTGTCATACGAAGCCTTGCCTTCAGAAGTGAAGCCTCCGTATAACAGTCTGTACTACGAAGGGCTGTAAGGGCTGTTGTAAGGGCTATAGGGGCTGTTATAAGGGCTGTAGGTAGGGGCAATATGGGCTATTTTAAAGGGCTAGATATAGTTATAGTAACTATATCTGCTAATAGTAAATATTACAAATGGGTAATGTTTTATTTTTATATATAATTATTATATGGTAATGGAATAAATTTATTGTAATGGTTTCCATTTTAACATGGTTACCACTTGGTAAATGCCCTGCAAGTGTCTTTAGCTGTAAGGCTTTCGAAATGCTGTAACCCTTGCAGTAACCCTTACGAATACCCCCCCCGGGGCGGTAAGGTACTTAGTGAATAGGTACTCTCTCTCTCTCCACGTTTATTTTCCAATTACGATTGGCACAATAGAAAATAACCAATCAAAAGGTGCAACAACCAAACTTCGAAGCTTAAAGATTAAAAGGGGTATCTTTTATTATGGTCTACTTATATATTTTCAGCCAGCCCATATGGCTGTTCCCCTACACCACTAATTTCGTCCATATTACATGATGCGACCGTGCCGTCTATCTCGGGAACGCCCCAATCAAAACTTTCTGATTCCGCGCATCCTCAGGATGAATCCCATTCTCCAGTAGCTCCGGCACGGTAGCTATGGGAAAGTTATATTTATAAGCAAAGTCTCGGTCCTCGGGCGACCGCGGCGGCTGCGATGCCACTGCTGTTGACGACGACGACGCCGAATGACTGGTAAGCAGTGTTGGTTGTGTCATCGTGGACGGTGACAGCGCCTTGAGGATCTGTGAGGAACTAACGTGGTCCAGCTCTCGAGCTCGTGTAAACGCTGCTAGGGGAACATCCTGCGGGTCACGGCCTTGTTCTTGAATGGCAAACACGAGCTGTTGCACCCGTCTATCTCTCTTGCGTCTGTCTACCTCAACACAGGCTCGTACAAATAATATGAAGCGCAGGAACCTGTCGTTCAGATCATTCGTTAGCGACCGATGAATATATACAACACCATAACCATCACCAAGCTCATGACATCTCGCATGGAATAGATGCCATTTGGGCAGCGATATTGCGAGGTGTGCTGATGATAAGTGAGAATGAGAGGCAACATACGTCAAGAAACTCAGGAAGCTGAACTGAGTGAGTGCTACATAAGCCCAAAGGGTCGACCCAGTATCTCTTAGTCCCCAGCTCGTAAGTTGGTACCAATTGGCTTTGTATGCTTGGATAGCAACTGTGAAGATGCCGCCCAGGCACAATATTAACTCAACGCCGACGTGAGCTCCCGGGTGGACGCCCTTCGCTATGCTTCCCCTCACGATGATCACGACAAATTCAATAACGTCCCAAAGTAGGAAGCTCCCAAGCTGTAAATGCAATTATAGTCAGTATTAATACAGATAATAGGTATGTAGGAGATCGAGGTCCATGAGCGTGAATGGTTCGTAATATGGGTGCCACGACACTTACAACAGGATAAGCAACAAATGTCCAATAATCCAGGTCATGTTGGGAGAGGTCGAGAGCGATGAGTTCCCCCACGTCGACTATGCTTAGCAGTAAGCATATGGACCGCAACACCACCTTGACAATATTCCATTTTCTCTGATTCCCCACAGAAGGCAGCTCCGGTAGCTTGTCTCGGGCCTTCTTTTGCTTGTTCTTCTTTATATCGCCCATGATGCATGTAGACAGGGGGTTGTATGAAATATGACGGTCGCGACTTCTAGTATGTGGGCAGAATCCAAGCAGCTTCAATGCTTTTGGCGCTCGATATTTCCCCTCGGGCCGGCTTCGTTTGTCGTTGCGGCCAGGGTTGCCGTTGGTACGGCTGGTTCGCGTTGAAAGGGAAGATGGCTCGATGCGCCCAGCAAGCGATGTCCAGCTCAAGGTATCGTTCCAATTGCCTCAGCTCCACAGCCGAGACTCGCTACCTTGTCCTAGGTTGGTTGTCTTTCCTCGGTGATGTCAACCACGATGTCGCAGCCGAGCCGCGACTTTGCGCGTCGGCGGTTCACGATCTCTCTCCAAAACGTCTGGTGTGCGGGTTTTGTAGGGACGGAATGGAATTGTCAGATAGAAGCGGGCTGTGAAAGTCGAGGAGGTACCTAATCTGACTACCTGCAGACTAGGTAAGGGTACCTACTACAAAGTAGTAGGGAGCGTACCTACATAGGGAGGTAAGGTTAGGTAGTAGCATCTTTCTTCATAGCCTCAGTCCTAATCAGGGGTACTAATAGAGTGAGTGCTACATGTGTCTACTCTGTACCTATACTCCAATTGACTAAGCGTAGTGGGTGCGCAGGCGCTCCCCTGTAAGCGGCAGTGCATATGTGTGCAGTTGGTTAGGTACTGACTAAGTACCTAGGAGTACTAGGTACGGTACTATGTAGCATTTCTCAAGCCAGTCCACAAAGCCTGCTCGTAGGTCATAAAACGCTACGGCTGATACCCTTCAAACATCTGTTGTGGTGGTAAGCTGTGCTACCTTACGCGAAACCGAAACTGACAATGAAGAGAGCTGTTATAATCAGATGGTTGTGAATAGATGACAATGATAGGAAAGGGCTGCAAAGGACGCGGCATACGGATGTAAAAATATAATTCTTCTAATCACGATAGGGAAGCTACATGCTATCGGAGGTTCTATCTTCTCGTTCATCGATCCAGAAGTCAGCTTATGCACAAGTGAACGCGACTCAAGGAAAGCAAATATACAATAGTCTACACACCGGCCTCGGTATCAATGCTTCGTACCAATACTCTCTAACACATTGCTCAATGAACCGTTTGCATTGGGCACCAAGCATCAGTCGACGTGAAGTAGGTATCAGAACCGATGTGAAACCAAGCCTCTACATTTCCTAGACCCCCTCCCAATCCACTGCAACACTTAGGGTCAGTTCTTCCAGTTCGGACTCGCATTGTATGTGAAGAGGATCGCCAAACAAATGAAAAGCTTGGATGGTAATTGTCGTCTGCTTCAGGCGAGACTAGGGGAGCGAAATGAATCCAAGGATTACTCACTTGCATCAACAATAAATCCCCAGTCGTGTGAATCCGTAGTCCAGTCAGCAGTGCTTACAGGCTGAGTCTGGTCGGAACTCGGATTTTGTTGCCGTACAAACGCCTCGGTAACAATGTACGCTTGCTCAAGCGCCAGCAAGATGGTCTGCAAAATCTCTTCAAGGTTGTAGGCCTCTAACGGCGCCGGCACGAAGCGCCCAGTATCAGCTTTGTCAGCATGCTTCCATCGATTCCTGAGCTCTTTGGCACGAGCAAGCTGCTGGCGTATCCCCGGTTGTCCTAATGTCTGGTGCAGCGGGTTGGCAGGGTCATCAAGAGCCATTAACACGTTCTCGTGATACCTATGCGGTTGGGTACGATCGCGAAAGTCATCACTATGACTCTGGGAGGCACTCCCAACCCCGTACCCTATGCCGTTGGGGTCTGACTGGGCGTAGATGACAATGTCATAAACGCCCATCAGATGAACAATCGTCCGCTCGATCAGCATGTAGAATTCGTGAAAATCGAGCTTGAAGTGAATTTCATTCGCATCGATTTCCTGCTGTGACTTGCCCATTCGATCCATAGCCATTGCGTAACCAGCTTCCAAGAAGGGTATTTTCCATTTCAAGCGGGACACTATCTTCAAGAAACGTGATAATTGCTGCTCGGGTGACGACGGTTGATCATTGTGAGTTGAAGACGGGTGGGCCCGCCGTGATAATGCAACATCGAGTTGCCTTGCGCTGTTGGATGTCGTAGGGGGAGGGCGTGGCCACGACGTCACACCAGATGCCCAACGAGACGCTGACAGGCCCTTGGGAGGGTTGGATGACATCTAGTTAGAAGTTGCTGAAGGTGAAAGAATGAATACTGTGGTATAGCGGCAGTGCGACTGGCGAAGGAAGATTCATGGTTTTTTTCTCCAGTGCATGGCAAATATAGCGGTGGCTATATTTAAAAAGTGTAAGCTTCAGTTACAAAGGCCTGGTAAAGGGCGACAAAGGGGTACCTTAACAAAACAATAGAGCATGCATCAATCCACTGTTGACGTTCAGGGCGGGCGTATTGGTAATGAAATTGCACAGATCGATTGAACAAGGGAGGTAAGTAAATGTCAGGAGGACCAAGTCATATCAGACAATCTAAGCCCTCTTTCCAAAGTTGTACTACCTAATGTTTCATTTATTCTCAGATAAAGGAGTTATGCCGCAGATAGGTAGTGCCCAAATACTTACTCAAACAGGTGGTTGATGCTGTAACGCCGGTCACAAGATATTGTTGGTTGTCTAAGACGCACATTGACAATGAGATTGACTGCAATGGCCAATGAAACGCTGCCCACCTGGGCGATTGCAGGGTTGTTGTACCTTGTAATTCTTATTACAGATAGATCAATATTTAATTATGCCGTATTTCTCAGACCGCCAATCTCCAGCTGTGTAAGCCAGCCACTACTTACTTTGCTCAAACATCACGGTGTGGATAGAACGTTAGTGTTTTATTGGCACGCTTCATGCTGTCTAGAGTGATTACGGTTCTATATAGTATTCTTCCCATCACAAATGGGACTACTTGGCAGTCTATAACAAGAAAGTCTGACACTGACTTGGCGATATGTCTATAAATGGAAAATAAAAAGCGAGTAACTAAGGGTAAAACAACTTGTTGCATGTCTCTCTCGTCATATCTTCAGTTTCAAGATCGAATACGAATAAAAGGTAAGCTCGAGGAAGGACGCTGTACCATATCCTAAGTGTCTTCTTAGGAGAAATGACGGGCCAATGTCGTCTTGGTAAGAGCGTTCTTCTCCAGGCAAGGAGCCCTGGTGATATGGTAAGGGCGTATGGTCGGGGGAAGGAGGAACCCAACTATCATCAGGAGTATCATTAGAAATTCCCATAGACTCTCTTCTATTTCCGACTTAAACAAGCTTCTAATTATTCCAAACATCCACCCAAACACTCTGCCTCGTCTATCGATTCATTGGGGTCAGCCTACCACCCATATCACAGTCGAGCTGGGTTCAGTCGTCAACTGTCCTTCGGTTTCTTCTCCTCATCTATAGCAATCATGTGGTCCAAGCCCGTCTCCGGATTTTTCGGCGTCGTTGCCGTGCTCACCTTCCTAGCCACAATTGTCAGAGCCGATGTACTGGCACCTAACACCCTCGTCGCCATACTCCATAGCTTTACGTCCAAGACTCGTTGCCACTGTGCGGTGAGAGCCATGAGCCTTGCAGTCGACACATCCGCGACCAATTGGTGTAACAAGTTGCCGTTTGGCTTCCAACCTCAGGCTGTTGACATCGATGGAGATTGGGAGGGTACGTCGTCAACCTAGCGGACACTACTAATCAGATCATGAGTTGCCGATGTACTGACGGGGGCTCTACAGTCTTTCTCTTTGACAAACCGGATTGCACAGACACGGGTGGTTGGCTCGTTCCACGCACTGCTGAGTATCCTCATGTCTGCAATTATGATCTTGGGATTACCAAAGCATACGCCGTCCTTCGGCCCGATCACGACAACAAGACTAATTTGAAAACTGGGGACCGACGTGGAAAAGTCGACCAGCATTGCGGAAGTTAGATCGCAGGAGCCGGTCTATACAGTCTTGTTGTTCGAAGCTCTCCTTAGAGCAAGTTACCTAATGTCCGACTCCTGAAGGCATACTAGTATCATTCCACCAAAGCCATTGCGCATGGGGCTTAGGTGCAAACAGTGTACCGTATCATAAAGTATCCCTAGTATCAGAATTCTACAAGTTTTCAGTGCGAAATGTGTCAATAGACTTCTAGCACCAAGATCGTGAAAACTGGATAGTGTGCATGAAGCAATAAGCAAGAGAACTAAAGACTTTCACACAGCATTGGCTAATTACGCTGTTCCTTTGCCTTTAACTTAGTTCTATCCAAATAGTTCTTTGACGGCTTTCATATGGTCACTGGCCAGCTGGCTGGCCTTCAGGTTTTCGAAGGCCATACTCCAGATTTGCGATGCCTCAATAGAAGTAGTACCTGTAGCGCTGATTCTGCCGAGATGCTGCACGAGCATCGGATAAGCGCTAACCCTCGCAAGGCCATGCTCCCAAGCGTAATCCTTGGGGAGCATATCGGCTCTCCCAACCCTCCCAATTTTGGTTGTAGCCGCCATGAGGAAGTCGGACAGTCCTTGTGCATGTTTCCTGTTGAACACCAAAGCCTGGCTGCAGCATCCGAACCACTCCTCATATACACCTGGCGGCGAACCCAGGAGCGACGCCTTGCCTGAGGCGAAGAAAAGCCATACGAAGAGCGGTACCGCAACACCACAAGTCACCAGAAGGACCCAGCCATCGATATATCGCGCGATAGACCGAGGGAGGAAGAGCCGGCGCGTCAGCAGTATCAAAGCTAGCAAAGGGATAGCAACAGCGAGCGAAACGATGTGAGCGTTGTTGCTTCTAAAGCCATAGCCTCCATTCCACCCAGAGCTTCGCTCTTGGTTAAACATGCGCAAGTAAAGCCAGCTATTTGGGCCGCCAGGCTTGATTTGACCACGTGCTGGGTTGTGGCGTCTTGAATCTTTCATCATGTCGTCGATTGTATGTAGATCCTTGAGCGTCCGTGCGGCCCAGCCATCTGCTAGAATTATATCGTCTTCGAACAATGCGATGTATGGCGCATCGCTGGTTTGGATGCACTGGCGAAGTGCGTAAGCGTAGTCATGCAACGATTTTCTCTCAATCATGCTTTTATCATCTCGACGCTGATACCACGACTCCAGAAGAGCCAGTTTCTTCTCCTTGCCCCTCTCCGGCAGACTCCTCGGGTAGGTCACGATGTCGTCAGCGATGTCGGCTGTAGCTAGTGTTGTGTAGCTCTTGTGCTGCGTTTCGGGGGTCGGTACGTCGGCGAAGAACAACTTCAGGTGGACAGCGTTTCTCTCAGCGCGGGTGATATTCGCAAGGAACGAAGCTACTGCCGTCTCGATATACTGTCTTCCTTGCATCTCGCGGCCGACGGTCAAGAATATGGCACAGATCTCGGGTCTTGGCCCAGCCTTGGCTAACTGGGAGCGGACAGCATCGGGATTCGCATGAAGCGCATCGAGAAATGCGTCGGCCTCGGCCTGTCGCGTCGCCGAGTAAAATTGGTCATAGCCATGCTTTTGGGAGAAAAAGATGGATAGCGGGTCGCGGTAGAAGTTGAAGTATCCGTACGTCACGTAAACGGCCACGATGGTTAGGAGCAATGCTAGAGCTCGGAAACCAGGTTGACGCAGTAGGCTCATGATGAATGAGAGCCCGTCAAAACTTCTGTTCTAGAGGGCATCGTGCTACAGCCCATCTTCAGCAGCTGAGCTGGGTGCAGTTGTAGGTTTCCATTCGATGAATGTTCAAGTAACAGCTATGCCAGCCAAGCTACGTCGATACCTATGTATATACCTGAGGTGGGTACCTAAGGTGGGTAAATGTTAGGTAAGGTGATATTAAATTGCCAGCTGGGTGCATCTTAGCTTTTGCCCACCTGTGGTACCAGATCTTACATTATAAAACAACACGAATTTAAACGACTCTCAAGTGCTTAAGTACAGAGATGATCGCCCCATGGTATATTTCAATTTGCATACATGTATTCATAAGGTAAATACCTAGGTACCTACATGTACTTAAGAAATACCCAGGTAGGCATGCGTCCGTCCGTCCGTGTAGTGAGTGACAACTCGAAGAAACAGCTTTTAGAGCCTCTGTCTTCCCGGTGAAATTTACTTGATATTTCTCCCTCCTAACTGATTATCTAGTAAGCCTCAACGGGAGCCTGCTGAGCGGGAACGGCCGGCTCATCCTCCTCGACCATGCCGCCAAGGATCATCGACGGCGGAGCGAGAGCCTGGAGCTCAGGCGGGCTGGTGAAGGCGAAGAACTTCTCGTCGTGCCACTGGCCAGCTGTGATGTTGCGGCCCTCCGAGTCCGTGAACAGGGTGTCGTTCTCGGCGCGCAGGAAGTACGCGATCGAGTAGCGGTGCTGACTGTAGTCGTAGGGCACCACGCGGTGGATGCACGACTGCATCGTGTGGCCAGACGCGAAGCGTAGCGAGTCGCCAACGTTGACGATGGCCGTGCCTGGACGCGGCTCGACGAAGCCGAACTCGCGCGCTCCCGGCGGCCGCACTTGCATTCCCCACTCCTCACTGAAGAGGAGTGTCAGCGAGCTGATGTCCGTGTGCTTCTGGTGCCCAATGTTGGTGTCCTTGCGCGGGTCTGACGGGATGTAGTGCATCATAGCCAGCGTGCTGGTTGAGGGGCGGTCGTTGCGGTGCGTGTTCTCGAAGCGCGCAGCGCCTGTCAGCCCACAGCCAGTTGAGAGCGCAGATAGGATGGCCTTAGTAACGATGTTGGACCCGGCGATCGCGTTCTCAAGTACTTTCATATCCGGGCTATTCTTGATAACGTCGGGGATATGAGGGCTGTCTTTTTGGATCTCATCACGAGAGACCTGTGGAAGGATTTAGAACACATTTATTTGCGTATAGCTATGGGTTTCACTGCAGGGTAAGAAAACCCACCTTGATCATCTCATAGCCATCTTTGGTGTTTTCTAGCACGCCAGTTCGGGAGCCAATAGGCTCATATCTGTTCATCCGCTTTAGTCGATTATAGAACATATATTTAAGTACATAGAATATTGCTTACCCTAGATGTGGCGCGACGAGACCATACTGATTCTTAGCCTCAATAGGAGACTCGAAGAAGCGATGCATGAGCTTCAGAGTCTCCTGCTGGTCCTCAAGGAATCGGCGGCCGTCAATCCCCTTCAGGTCGATATAGAAGTACCCTTCGTTCTGGCAGCAGCGTACAAGTCTCTCCAGTTCGTCGGGCTCCTGGGACAGAAGCTTGCTGAAGTCGAAACTCTGCATGGGGTAGACTGGAACCTTCTTCCCATTCCACTCAACCGTGCGTAAGGTCTCAACAGTAATAGCCATGGTGTCTAGATTCTGGAAGATGCTGCACTAGTTAGGAAACTCAACAACAAGATTCAGACTAATACAGAAAAGTCCTGGATATGGAGGTGTTTCAACTATTACGCCTCAGGTGGGAGCCTGAGTTGTAACTGTCATATATATATTTGTAGGCAAGTGGTCTACAATGATAGGTCAACTAGCATGAAGCCATGTAGTGTCGGAACCTTGTCCTCCACAGATTAGAGAAGAGGAGATTTCCCCCTTTTACCCTACGCTGCCGCGCATTTATCCACGAGCACCTCCCACGGTGTCACCTTTGCCAACGTCACCGACCTACCTTCCCACCTACCATCCTCTCTCTGCCCGTATAATCACTTAATCTGGCTGAAGTAGCAGTGACAAATTCAAAGTGGCACAAGTGCCACCACCTCTTGGCAAGCTATTATGCCATTCACCTTATCAATTGGATACAGTACCAAGGCCGGCAGATGTATTTCTCGACATGAGATTTCCTAGCACTACCATTCCTGGCATGAGGGACACAATCGTTAACGCATTTCCTCCCTTTCTGCCAAGTACTCCCGGAATGATTGAATGTAAATCTCTTACCTAACCCAGGACCTCAACAAGGACATCTATATATCTGTCATGCTAGCTCGCAATCGGATGGCAATGGCGAACTCACCAAAAGGGGCATCATAGATCACGAATATGGAGAACGGGGTCCAAGAAATATGCCGAAATATTAGCTTATCGACCTAGCACATGCTATCCGAGACCTGCGTACGATGTGGACGCTTCTCGGTATTAACACTCGCTTGTCCAATTCTCGGTACACAGTGTTTGACTCACCTTTGGCTCGTCAACGGTTGTCGTAGGACAAATACTAAGGCCCCTACAAAGCAAGAACAGAGCAATCTTAATCTACTCGAAATTCCTATTCACGAGTTATGCACGCTACAAAGATCATTGGAAGATGGGTGCCGCGCTGTTGCACCTTGCAGGTGATATTGCTGCCTTGGAACCAAGAAAATGCAACTATAAGTACATATACTTCAACGCCTAACACTGATTCTCATCGTAAGACCACCGCGAAACATCAAAAGAAAATGAGCTCTCCGACTCCGCACGTAGAACCGCCATCCCAGATGTCCAACCCAAGTGCCTTAACAAAACACTTCTCCGAGTATGAGAAAAGATTCGTTGCATCCATTCATGCCGTCATATACATGGCCAAAGCATCGTGGGCCAAGGTCTATCCGACGAAGTTCCTAAGCGATGTCCTAATAACAAGCAACCACCGGTTGACCTCGCATCTTGCGCGCCTGCAAGGATTGGGGGGTTTTTTTTTCTTTCAAGAGTGGAAGATGCCTGATTTCCTACCCTAGTCAACCCTTTTGATCCGCTAGTGCTTTCTTCTCCTTCTTGGTTTTGAAGACAAACTCTCCCATTAGGTGAATATGGTCCGCAGGGAAATGATGGTTGGGAAATCCAGGTACACGCTTCAAGTACTCGGCATCTGGGGGTCCGAGAAGCTCCACTACATCCAGAGTGTTGGTCGAATACCATATGTAATCAAGAACACCCGAGAACGACGGTGTGTAATTGGTGAACGTTAATTCATCTGGCGTGCCCATAAGATGTGCGTATGAATTCCTCAAACTAAAAGGGTGTTCAATGCCGTCTCGTGTGAAGTTTCCATAGGAGTGGCCCCTGAGATCCGCGTGGTCCGGTGGTATGCGACCCTTCTCTAGAAGTTCATAGACCGAACTACCCGGCATCGAGTTATAATCACCACATACCAGCAATGGAATGTCTGTGTTACTACGATACTCTTGACTAGGTAAAGGCTCGGGGAAGGCGTCAGCCTGGCCGTCCTCTACAACAGACTTGGTAAGTTGTTTCTCTTCAATCGGTATCGGCGGACGTCGAGTGTAGCGTTCGGCCTGCTTAGTGACTAACTCCATTAGGATACCAGTCTGTACTGCCTTGACATCTGGTAGAAAATGTTCCCAACAGAGATGAGCATTGACAACAACAAAGCGATTCCCTGTAAATCGCGACTCGAAGAAGCAGTACACAGCAATGGTGTCCTTGGGCATAACTCGATTGAAGACATCTTCTGCCGTCTTGAAATCCGGCCGGTTGATGGCTGTTTGCCGGAAGTCAATGAGTTGTTTGTCGAGCAAGATGTACTTGTCACTTTTATAAAAGATGGAACATCCATCCACAGCTTCTTTATCCTTGCCTGTCAAGTGTTTATGACGAGTCTTGGGATAGAAGACGCCCCTATAACCCTTCTTACCTAATTCAGGACTGAAGAAGTGCTCGAATGCATCCGTAGCAGTCTCTTGCAGGCAGATGATGTCAGCATCACTGTCATGGAACTCTTTCATTATATTGTCTCGGCGATACTCCCATAACAGACAACTTGCTGGTGTGTACCCGTACAGAACGCCCGAAGTATACTTGTCGCATAGTATATTCCATGACATAACTCGAATACGTTCCTTGTCAGGACTTACGTCCTCCTGGATTGTAATCGGCACACGTGCAAGGGGAGGTGCAGGCACTACTGGGAATTAGTGTACGAAATAAAGGAAAAATAGCAAAACGACGACCAGTATTGGATGAGCGTACCAGGAGCAGTTTCCTTCAAGTAGTTCAGGAATTCTTTAGTACCATCCTCCATGATCTTCGTCTTTACATCGTTATCCAATGGATTCCCATGTATGCCCAATAATTCCAGAAAATGAAGAGCACCTAATTCGTAGGGTATATCTCGAATCGAGTTGTTGAAAAGCAACAGTTGGCGCAAGGGTGTACACATTCCCAACTCAGGCGGCAAGTAGGTGAGCTGATTGTGAGACACATCAAGTAAACGTAAAGAACGTAGCTGTCCTATTGCGGGAGGGAGTGATGTCAACTGGTTCGAAGAGAGGTAAACCTCGGTAAGAAACTGGTATTGGTCAAAGAGAGGCGCAGAAACATTTTTGAGTCCCTGACCACTCATATCAATCATTTGCCAATCCTGTCTGTCTAGAACCTTGTCGAAGTTTACAGGCCGGCCCCTATCCTCCAATTCGCCGTCAACTGTATCATTTGGATTAGTGTTAGTAAGTGGACCAATGCCTTTATTCTCCGATGCTTTGGTTCTTGCATAGTAGTGTTGCTGATGTTGTTCAGTCATAGTCGTATGCGCCTGCTCAGACGCTTTGTATGCCTTCATCTGCTCTGTCCAATGCTCGGAATATTGCTGTTGGCCCTGGGTGCTGCGAGTAGTGGCCGTTGTACCATTCTGGTGGTTACTGGGGGTGAAAGGGCTGACATTCGGCCCAAGGCTGGCAGAAAATCCAGAGTGATTAATTGAGCCTGGTGTTGTATTATGGGTAGCGTGATCTTGCTGCAGATTCTGGTGGTGCTGGGGATGGGTATGATGTTGATGTGCCCCCTGCGGCTGAACGTAGGTATTGTAAAGCATCTGGGGCATTGCTCGCCCGCCGGCGACGCCATTTAGGCGCGAGTTATGTCCCTGCTGATGATTTGGGCCGTACATACCGCCTAGTTGACAAGACAAACCAGACACTTGGCCTAATTACGCAACGGTGCTCAAGAAACCCAAAAACTTTGTGGCTGTAGTTTCACGAGGTCAGGGTGTGTCTATAGATGTGTGCAGAGAATCGTGATAAGGCTGTAGGTCCATCTGCAAATGTAGCCGTCTATTATGCTGTTCAGGACGTTTCACATACGATAGATCGTGGCAGGCTCGGTTTATAATGGACAAATTTAGTAAGGGAGCTCGAGTGGGCGGGAGTGTAAAGGGACAAGTCGTCGAGGAGCATCCATGAAATCTGGTTAAGGAGTTTGCTGGAGCGCGGCATGGGTACAGACTTGGAGAAGCTATTACAGGTCAATGCCAGAAGTCAAATACAATCACAAGATCGAAGGCCGGAAACATACTTGTCTGTAAGCGCGGAAGCGATAGACGCTTTGCAGGTCACGTTCGCGACTCGGAAAATTAGTATCCGACACTCTCTGAATGTTAAGTTGTAACGCCAATGTTATCTTTGTAAGGTAACCGAGTTTGGTAGGGACGAAGATTACAACGGTCCAAGCAATGGAAGTAGAGAGTGTTGAATCAATGAACGTGGCCTCTTCTATTTACTTTCTTCAACCATTCCAACAGTCAGCTCAGCAATCAAAATGACAGGCCTTTGAGTAGCCTAAGTGGCGATATGTATAAGAAACAAATTGCTAAATGACGTTTTCCCCACCAACATCGACAGCTTGTGGAGATGCTGCAAGGTAGAGTCGGTGCAAGGCAGAACACTTACTGGTCGCTACAGGTGGAAGAGGGAGCCCGGCATTGACAAGTAGGGAGCTGTGAATGTAACTTGCGATACCAATGGATCAATGGATGGCACAAGCAAGGGCTGCAGCTCGTGCAGCGACGTGTGTGGTGCTGATTTTCTCCGTGGTCGCGGTCGGCGCGGTTCGCGAGTTGCTAGAAGGATAAGAAAGGAGTGTTTTGAACGCTTGTAATGGCACCAAAGAAGTCTTGACGGCCAGATAAGCTTGAAGACCTAGATAATATAACCGGGGCCCTGGATCACGGTATATAACATGCTTTCTTAAGTCATCGCATGTATGAGGTCTGATCTTGTCCAACCCCCAAGCTTCCGCCGATGATGATACCTAGTCTGTATCCGCCACTCGAGCCTTGCTATCACGTGATTGAGCGCTTTGTAACCCCACATCGTGTTATTGAGTTAGGCCCCATTGTTGTATCCCGAAATGCTCTGGCATGTCCACAGCAGGTATTGTGTACGTGCCTAGCCACTTACCTAGTCCCACAGATACCGATCTCATGTTGTCTCGAGTACTCATCGCGATGCTCCAAATACCTTCTTGTGCATACCTACTTTCTACCAGTGAAATAAAGCCGTATACAAACATAGAGCACACTCAACAAGTGCCCAGATCTTGTCCACTGCAGGTGGTCTATTGCTAACTGTACCTAAGTAATTGATCTCGAAATAGAAAATCAGCAATGCAGCTAGTCCCTTCAATGTAGAAGTCAATTATGTAGGCTGCCGGCCAATATGATGATATCTGCATGCACGTATTGATGCATGTCTTGCTGTCAGCCTGCATAATTCTTCCTATAAAGATGTAGATGTCGCAAGCAGTTTTAGCTAATATCCCGGTTTTGAATAGCACGAGTGTTATAGATAGGTTCGTTCTAGAACCTACCTAGGTACTCAATATTGTCACTGTAGGTATCGTCGATGCCTTCATCCCACAAACAGGAAATTATGTGCATACCCAGTATCAACTGAGAGTGCTTATCGGAAATTGCACACGAGCTCTTACATAGCAAATAAAAAGTCAATTCGTCCTAAGAGCGAAACGTGTTGCTAAGCAGAAGCTAAAGCATAACCTTGTCGAACCCGTCCATACTGTCAAGTGCGTTTCGGATCTCCGTATAGTATCTGCCCACTCCAGCGGTATAGCAAACCGGTTCTTTGATCTTGCCAGGGATTGAACCACCCATGTAAGTTGACCGGGTAGTCGGAAGCAGGGTCCTATTATTCAGTTCCACGATATGATCCTTCCACGTCCTGACGGCGTCAGGTTTGGGGTTTATATATTTGATCTTCTTCCTCTCCATCTTCTCGATACAGTCTGCAATCCACCGACCTTGCACCTCAACACTCGTCGGCCCGTTGCTCAATAGAGTTGGACCATGCACTCCGTAAATATGAAAAAGGTTGGGATAGCCGCCCACTGTAAGGCCCAGGTATGTATTAGCACCATCCTTCCATTCGTCCTCTAAATTCGTCCCATTGATGCTCTTGAGTCCAAGCTGCGTCATGGCTGATGAGGGAAGAAGTAGTCAGCTACCAATACCACACATTCTTTTCGCTCATTCGGAGTGGGGAGGATTGCAGACATACCTCCTGTAACAACATCCTATGCACCAGAATCAGCACTTACTATCAATGAGAGGCTGGGCTAGGAGAAAACTTACGAATCCAGTTGCAACCGCGATTATGTCGAAATCGTGGTGACTTCCATCTTGAAGGATAATCCCAGTCTCATCAAACCCTTCTATAGCATTGTTCTGGATACTTACAACATCCACGCTTGAGCGATTGAATTGCTCATAGTAGTTCACTTCGAGGCAAGGACGCTTTACACCAAAAAAGTGAGGCATCTCCAACGGAGCCAAGATATCTCGCTTTCGAGGGTCGCCAATGCGGTCGCGAGTTTGCTTAGCCCAAAATTTGTAAGATAGCTTGTTGGCCTCTGGGTTCAAGAGGCTGTCCTTGTATGTTGATAGCCAGAAGCGAAACCCCCCTTCAGCCCACTTCTTCTCATACAATCCCTGTTGCTTCTCTGGAGTATCATCAAATGTATTTTTCTCATGCCAATCATAGGTGAAACCAGCATACGTCTTTTCACGATACCTGAACAGTTCAGGATATAGCTTCTTGGCCGTCTCCTGTTCTGCCACTGTAAGGTCTCGCTTTCGCATAGGAAGAGCTAGGTTTGGTGTGCGTTGGAAGACCTTGACTTCACTCGCGACAGGACCCCAGGCCTGCACAATTTGGACACCCGAGGCACCCGTGCCAATAACGGCACAGCGCTTGTCCTTAACATCGACGTTCTCATCTGGCCAGAATGACGAATGGTGAATTACTCCCTTGAACTTGTCCATACCTGGCCATGGAGGGACGTATCTTTTTGCAGCCTATTACGTCGGTTAATGAGTGATGGCTCAACCGATCATTGGTTGTAGATCCCCTCTTCAGCTTGACCAACACAGCGCAAATGAAATCAAAGAAAATGAGGATGAAGAGTTACATACAAAGCCAGTTCCGAGTACGAGATACTTAGCCTTGGCAGTTCGGCCATCAGACGTTTTTACAATCCAACGTCCCGTGTCAACATCGAAGTGAGCACCTGAGACAATTGTGTTGAAGGAACAGTCCTTTTTGACTCCCACTACCTTATCAACATGGTCAAAGTAGGCTCTGAGTTCTTCATAGCTAGGATAATTAGAGGTCCAGTTCCATGTTTTCCACACTTCCGGCCAGGAGAATTCGTACACTGGAACTTCCGAGTCTACGGTTGCCCCAGGGTAACAATTCCATCGCCAGGTACCTCCAAGGTCATTTCCTGCTTCATATATAACGACATTGTGTCCGCGGTCGCGAAGAGTCTTCAACATGAAAACGCCAGCTGTATCCGCCAAAATAATCCTTGTCAGAGAAATGTCTCAGTTGTGAAGGCAAGTGGACGTCAACTTACCAAACCCTGCTCCAACAATGAGAGAGTCGACGTCAAGGTCCGGGTCGTATGGACCAGTCTTCTCCGCATGAGCCTTCGAATAATCGGAAAGCTCGGTATTGAACTTTTTAGATGGAGGTATGTTTTCGTCCATGGTGACTCTTGAGGGGGATCTCTGAAAGGAAACTCAAACAGATAAGCCTTGAAGAGCTTTAAATAGGGAAGTGAGGGCTACCATATGATAGAAGTTCTAGCTAAATTGAGATGCAATTTTAGACAATCCACCACTCTTATACACCCATTGTGTACACAGTTATCTTCTATGGCATCCTCTTACTTCCTAATTATCCCCTGTTGCCTTACCATGTTTACTGCATCAGCCCCCAAGAACCCAGGGCCAGATTCTCGTTGTTTCCGGCATAATTCCAGGCTTGGGTAGCACTCGACACGGCTTCATTGTGCATGTCTGTAGGGGAATATTATGGCCAACCCCGCGGTCTAGGTGGACCGCGGTAGATAAATGCTTGGGGCTGACGCCCCACCCCCAAAGACCCCTACCTACTTCACGGCTCTCTTGTGTGGTTTGTGGAGCCGGGGTAATCTTAAGTACGTTACGAGATTATACAGATTATGTTTCGTCTAACAATGTCATTTGAATCCAGAGGCATGGGAAAGACGAGCCCGAGAGGGGTTCTGTGCCAGCTAACCTAGGCATAAGACCAACGATTCAGCTTGGTGCTGAGTCCCCAAGGACCCAAACATCTATGTGAAACGAGGATTGATTGGGGACTTGAGCCCATAGTAGCTAATGTGGGTGTGAGGGGTTGCGGTTCCGGTTCCGGTATGCCGGAATTCTGATGGGAAGCAGGCTCTTCGTGGGCTTACGTTTGCGAACTCGTAATGCTACATCACATAACTCATTGCGGGGTCCAATATCCCCGGGATTTGAAAGTACGAGGGTTGATTTATCTCCACCATCAATCTGACCCAAGTATACACTTGTATTAAATCAGTTTGTATACCGAGACTACGCCAATATGCCCCTCACTACAGAAACCGTTACTAAGCTCCGTAGTATCGTTGATACATCTTGTGTTGATGAGAAGACCGGCATACCAGGGGCTACGGTGGTGGTCATAGGAAAAGATGGGAATGATCTATTCGCCCATTCTTCCGGAAAGCGAGGTATCGTTTCTAAGGAGCCCATGACACTGGACAATATTTTCTGGATTGCGTCGAGTACGAAGATGCTTGTTGGCCTGGCTTGTATGCAGCTCGTGGAAAGGGGTAGTTTGAAACTGGATGATGGGGAGCACCTTGAGACTCTCTGCCCAGAGCTTAGAACTGTGCAGGTCCTTCGAGTTGACGGGACACTCGAGAAGAAGAACAAAGCGATTTCTTTGAGGATGCTCTTGACCCACACAGCTGGGTTTGGGTACACCTTTTTCAATGAGAGGCTGCGAGACTGGACGTTTCCTGCTGGCGGTGATGAGTTTTCCGGACGTTTTGAAGATATGCTAATGCCGTTGTTATTTCAGCCAGGTGAGGGCTGGGAATATGGCGTAAGTAATTAGACACTCTACATAGTAGTTTGCGCTTCGCCATTACAGCGTGCTTCAAAAACCGCAACTTTATCCTTCAATACTAACCTCAAGCAGATCAATATCGACTGGGCTGGAATTGCCTTAGAACGAGCCACCGGGCTTAGACTCAACGACTACATCCAGCAGCATATTCTGCAACCGCTTGGCTTAAATAACATATCGATGATTCCCACAAAGGAGATGAAGGCCAAGCTTGCGTACATGCATGCTAGAGATCAAGATGGAACACTGAGGCCGCGGGATCATCCTCTTAGGATGCCGTTAGTAGTAAGCCATGATAACGAAGCTCAGGTAGCCGCAGTCTTTCAAAGCGGTGGCGGGGGTATGTTTGCTAAACCCCAGGAATACTGCAGTAAGTTATTCTTTCAAGAGCATTACCATTTTCAGCAAATAATCGGCACACGGTACTTGATTGTCACTGACGCCGTAATTCTAGAAGTTCTTTCTGTATTACTCAATGATGGAACTTGTCCACTTACTGGCACGCAACTCCTTCGTAAGGAAACAGTGGATGAAATGTTCAAGAACTCGATACCAGAGTTTCCTAATTTCGGTCGCCAAGGTATACCAGCGGCGAAACCGGACCTCACTCGACCTCTACCCGACTTATATCCTGTCCCAGGAAACCCACCCCAAGGCTGGGGACTTACATTCATGCTGAGTAATGGCGGCGTAACCGGTCGTTCCAAGACCACCGGGTTCTGGGCTGGCCTCTCCAACGTTTGGTGGTGGTGTGACCGCGAGAATGGAGTTGCAGGGATGGTATGCACTCAAATACTACCATTTGCCGATCCTCAGGTTCTGGGTTTATGGGTGGGAGTTGAAGCCGAGGTATATAAAGCGCTGGCCGAAGGCAAGTAGGAAGAGGGAATATTAGGGGTAGGTCTGCCAAGCACTGGAATTACCAAATGTAACCAGAGCGAGACGCCTGTTCTTGCATTTGCAAAATGTCCGTATTATAGGCCTTTAGGTCAGTGTTGAATCTATAAGGGTTGTCACATACGCCTTGCGTGATTGATTCTACCAATCATTGTGTCCGAGGAATCATCAGACGGACTGGGCAACGCGGACAAGCCTGTTTCCTCTCACAACATAGATCTCGGCTACGCATGCTTTAGCTAGAGTACTGTACTAATAGCCAAAATATTCTCAGGTGTGACTATCGGTAGCCATCGTTCATAGAGAGTCGTACCTTTAAGCGTGGTATATCACCTATCTTACTCCCCCGCATCTGTCCGCATTCTGAGCAGGGTGATAGATCGCGACGACGTGAGCATCATGTGGGCGGAGTGTGAGGGGGTTTCGTGAGGGGCGTCTTTATACCGCATATTAAATATCAGTGACGCCAAGGCTCGCATTGTGACACCGCAACACGACGCTGTTGCTTGACTAGCCGCCTATAAAGGCGTACCTTCCGGTCTTATTGCCATTGCTGGACTTGGATGTGATGAAAGCATGTCCAGTAACACTTCATATTTGCCACTCTCTCGGATTTGTACACTAGGGGTTGTGATGGCTGACAGCCACATAAAGAAGAGCTTGAGCAAAATGTAATATCACGTCATATATTCTCCTACCTCTCTTCACTTCGCCCTTTCTCTGTCAGTACACCGGAGGCTAGCGGCTACGTTACTAGTCCCGGGCATAAAAGAATTACGATGGCGGGAAGCCAGTTATGATGTCTTCAGTTTGGTGACTCGACTGCTTGACCACACCCAAACCTAAGTATGGCAGAAATTGGCAGAGCTTTTGAGTCGCTACACTCATACATCATCCACTACCAGACCATTTGAGCTCTCAGAAACTATGCTGGGGCAATGTGGTTACCGGACTGTGTTTGTAGAGTTAACGTTTTGCCCGATATAGAAGCCTTTGGACATTGCTGAATTCGCTCCAAAGCATGACAAACACTTCGCGTCGTACAGCTGACAGAGAGCGCCGGTTTCAAATTCACCAATGGCAGTGAGAATCCAGATATTCCTATTCCGCAATGACCAGCTCGTTCCTAGAGAAGACAGTGCATAAAGCTTACATATTCCAGTGAAGCCGGCCGAACGGGATTCATCTCAGCCACTCTGTTTTGAATCGCTATGCCCATTGGCATGAGAGGACATACAGACAGTCCACCTTGTGTTAGGTGGCGACTATATCTGACACCGCCTTAACAGCAATGAAGCAATACTCGGGATGTTATGGGTGATATTGGTCTAGGATAAACGAAAGACAGCAGCTGAAGTACCGCCCGCTCTCGGGCGGTGCGGTGGCCGTGTGTCTCGGCTCGGGTCGGGGATTGGCGCGTCGTCGTTTCATAGAAGGTTATCGTAATAGTCTGACATAGACACCCCCTATGATGAACTTGTCCCTACGATCGGGTTTAGGCAAAGCCCTTCCTACCTTGTACGTTCGCCACCTTTGGGATATCATCCAAGGAGCGGCAGGACGATTTGGTCAGAGGGGCATCCGCAAAGCTGTCTTTGTTTACAGTCACTGTAAATTGCTATAAGGTGTTCGTTCTTAACTTACTTTAGAACTACGAAAGAGCTTTCCCGGCGGAGCCGGACTTACATGCTCACACACTAGCACCTGGCCACCCCAATCTTTCATGTTCTGCTAATAGGGTGTAGATGATCTGGCTGCGGCGCTATACTGTACGATAATCACAACGTAGCTATGCGAATTTACCCGTATTGTGTCTGCTTACGTGTATATTCAGCTGAAGAGTTCGGCTCCATACCAATACTAGTTTATACTTGGGCTACTTGAAGTCCTGATTCCAATTACCATGTATACAAGGTCTACTTCACACATCCTATGTTTATTCTAGTAACCTGAGCCCACTAATCTCTCCTTGGCCTATATGTAAATTTCTCGGGTGTTCATAATCTAAATTTGACTATTTGGCATCACCTTTGGCATCACTAGAGTATGAGGTTCCTCCAACAATTGCTCATTTGGTCAATGAAGAAGATCGCTCATCTTATTAGCACTCGCTCCCCCAATATCGGCAACATTTCCCAAAGGTAGCGAGCAACGGGTGCGGCTCTGAGATTGAACGTTACCGAGTAGACGACCCTCCAGGTTCCCATAATGCTTGCGAAGATACGCTGGCGCAAGTAAAGTGTGCCCCGGCTATGGTTATCGCATGTATACTCGGACACACAACTGAGGACCTCAAGGCCAACATGGCCGCCGCTTCTGTGGTTCTCTATCTTCTTCCCACTGCCTCGTCTCTCGCTGGCTCTAGCACGGCTGAGGTAGTCGTACTTGCAACGAGACGGCCTGTTTTGGCTTTCTTCCTCACTGACGGGCATCGGCTGTGTCGCTCCTTCGTGAGCTCGAGCCTTCAGAGCCGAATCTCATGAGAGGAGCTGTGGGTATCATATTTGGTGAGAGTTAGGCTAGGTATGCTCATAGTCCTTCAGCAGCATGTTTTGCCGCTGGGGGCTATTCAAATCTCATCCAGATTACTTGTTCGCGCTCATAATTTATATACTCTTGACTGCTGTGGTATACCTAAAGGTGAGCCTTGTATTGTAGCAAAGATTTCTCTCTGGAGGAGATTGGCTGGTTCCTCGTCGTTCACATGCGGAACCTAGCATTTACATGTAGATTGCGCGCCCAACATCCAGTCACAGTATTACGCGTCAGACTTACTATCACGGGTTACGTCCATAGGCCAGATTGTGCAAATCCCATATAGCCCCTTGATCTTCCCCGCGTCCTTTTTCATTAGTATTGAAGACGCGATCCAGGTGGAATTTTGGTAATTTTGGTATCTTTCTTCTACTATGTACTTTAGTTTGTAAAATCAGGTACTCAGTACTGGTAGGTGTCTTTGCTGGCCTTTTGCCTACATAACATAACCTGACAGTACCTAGGTACCTATGCACCTGGATAGGTGGGGAATGAGATCGGCCGCTCGCTAACATCCCCACCTCTCGAAACAACCTACGCCGTCGCCTCCACTCCCCGAATGGCCCCCCCTAATTAATCCCACATGCATTTGATAGCAACCTCAGTCTACTTACCTATGTATTTATGCATCGCCAATCTCCACCGACGGTTGACACCACCAACATCACCGCCGCCGCCGCCGCCGCCAACAAAGTCGCTGGTGCCAACATCAACGACACTGCTGATGCTGATGTCGCCGCCAATGCCAGTGCAACCAAAGCAGGCATCGACCCTTTAGACGTCATAATAGCTGCCATCATCCCCCACCCCTGCCAACCTCGCCTCTCTCCACGAACCCTTCAGCACCCTCCACGCTCGCGACAATCCCTCTCTCACCGACTGTCACCATAGTCTAATAAGCACCGCCGCAACCGAACACAACAACCGTCGTTCACCTGCCTAGATCTGGCTGCTTCCCGACCACGGCGTGCTTCGAGGCATGGTTCGCGAGCATATAGAGTACAACGCGCTGACGAAATCATCGACCCGGGCCCGGCTCACTTAATCACCCCATCAAGTGAGCATAACTCACATCCCACGCCATCAGGCTTGGGCCAAGTCCTGTCAGTGGCTTCAACTGGCACCATAATTACACCATTTACCTCCTCTTCCATCACCTGAATTTCAATCCCCCTTCGGCGCTGGCATCGCCTCCAACCTCCCTACCCCTTATCATTTAACGTTGAGAGCGGCTGTACCTCTTCGGAGTTGCATGCCACTGGATAGACTGCATGTGCTATATCTTCGCTAGTACTAGAACTAGTACTTTCTGCGTTTGCCCTTGGTGAAGCTGCTATCGAATTCAACAAAGGCTTCTAGCATACATGATCTTTGTAGTGGCATGTCGGGTTGGGATATCTTGAACCACACTTCATACCCCCCCAAACGGCCTATGCTTGGTGGCATACCGTCGCCGAGAACCAGTGAGTTCTCCAACCAGTCTGGACTAATGGCCTCGAACGAAAACCTGCTATCGTCATCGGCAGAGAGGAGCGCTGCCCTCTCAACTGCCTCAAATGCTACCTCGACGGTCTCCAAGTCCCATACCACCCAGTTTCGAGACTCAAAAGCTTTCGTCGTTCGCAATGGCCGTACTTACATTAATGATGAGTCTACCTTACCTTACCCCCTCCCCGTGGATCTTCCGGAATTACACCGCCAATCTCTTCGCACACTACTCATGTTCCAATTATTCGGAGGCCCCATCCTCTCGACCGCCTTCGCAAGCAAGCCGCCAACTCGGGTTCTTGATGTTGGCTGTGGCGCGGGCTTCTGGAGTATGATGTGCCATCGATACTTTGCGCAGCATGGTCATTCGTCTATCTCCTTTACCGGTCTTGACATTGTGCCTTTGGGTGGGGCAGGGGCTGATGCGAACGTGAAACCTGATAAGGAGATGCAATGGCGGTTTGTGCAGCATGATATACGACAGTTGCCTTTTCCTTTTGCCGACGGTGAATTTGATTTGATCATGGTGAAAGATATGGCCTTCGCTACCTCGTTTCGCGAATCACAACTCATCATGGAAGAATATTTGCGCGTGTTGAAACCTGGTGGCGTATTGGAGCATTGGGAGACCGACTCCACTATTCGCATGCTTCGCCCTCACGCACCTAAGAAGCCAGGAGCGAGAGTACATGATGATGATTCTTCAAGCGACGGCGGTGATGACGAAGACAACGCAGAGAGGATGGGCGCCTATGTGATGACCACCAACACACCTATCAGTGCGCCCCTTAACTCTTATATGGTTGAGTACAATGGATGGACAAGTAAGGCGCTCGAGGCACGGGGCTTATCACCCGTTCCCTGCACCCTCATCGGAGCCTACCTTCTACAAGAAGCCGAGTCTCTTACAGATGTGCAGTCAAAACGACTAGCTGTGCCGTTAAGCGAAATTAGATGGGAACGTGAAGGTGTTGGTGGTGTCGTAACGAAAGATGGGAAGAGCTATATCGATTCGCAAAAGGGCAAGTTGAGAGACCAAGATTGGAAAACCGAGAGCCCGATAACGCCTGCACAATCTGCGTTGCGGAGGACGGCCCTGGAGACAACCGTCAGCTTCATCCTTGCCCTCGAGCCGCTGCTGCGTGAAGTAAGCGGGAAAAGCCAAGAAGAATGGGACACTTGGGCGGGCAAGATGACCAATGATCTTTTGCGAGAGGGAGGCACGAGCTGGGGTGAATGCCTCGAAGTGGGAGTCTGGACTTCCCGGAAAAGGCATATTAAATCGTAATATTGACGGGGACAATGAAGACGACAAGCAACACTGCATCCATTCACCTAAACAGAGCCGTGCTTTTCCCCGAAGCTCTTTGCATAATACCCCCAGACTCTCTTAAGTTACAAGCACATACAGCAATGTTCCGTGGCATCAAGCCCTACACTTCTCAGCACTTAATATGGATTTCAATTTTAGACCAGTTTCCTTTACTATTTTCTCTTCGTTCCCCTTCTGTTTCTATTCTTATGCTACGCGCCGTCGTATCTTTTTCTCAGCGTCCGATACCTTTTGAGATAGTATCTGCATAGCGTTTTGTTGTCAGCACAGTCCCTTTTCAATGCACTACTTGGCTGGTGTTTGAAATCGAAAAGGAATGGAGAGGAGAGCTACACCGCTCCCCAGCACCATGCCCAGGAAGAACCGTGTGCCACTTTTCCCTAAGTTTCGAAATTGTGGGTTTGAAGGGCTGCATATTCATTCGGGTTCGACATTCTGATGGTGTAGACGTGCCAGTGCGCATAATTGTTTTATTTGGAAATTGTGTGAGGGAATGGGCTAGGACACGGCTGAAAAAAACCTGGGTTACGAGTGGTTCGTCATAGACGGTAGAAATCACGGCTAGAGGAAATGCAATGCTCATTTGAATGAAAACTCGACATGGCTTGTGCAGATGTAAACCATGGGAAAACTACCGAGCGCGTTTACCAAGGGCTAGTGAGTTCGATCCACTTACAGAGCTTCAATTTCTGTAGCCAGATGTGTAAGTTTGGGGGTTCAAAGACGAGTCTTGTATAGAGAAAGCTGAAAGAAGAGACGAACCTCTCTTGACGAACTCGGCCCTCTTTATTCCTTTCCGGATATCTTCCTCGCTTCGTATGTGCGCATTTGCTGTGAATGCGCGATGTAATCGGGGTCGAAAGTAGGAGAAGCCCAGGGGGTATTCTTTCCCTAGATGCAGGAGTTCTATGCATATGTATAAGTTCAAGAGTAGGGATCGTGTGTATAACGAGTGAGCTGTCCCTGGATTACGGCTGATTCGGTTTATGAACCATGGGGCTATCATCTGGTCCTATGGGCCAACTATTGGTAATAGAGAAACTAAACACACCTTTGTATATGGCGATGACTTGCCGCCTTAGCTCTGGATTCGGAGCCGACATCATTCAGCATGATATTGTCGACTAGGTTATTCTTTGGCAGGTCATGCTGGTTTGTGATCTGGCGGGAGTGCGAGGAGCTGAGGTTTTGAGATAGTGATTGATGTTGTTGATGATGTATCTACAGTACTTACCTACCTTATGTGTGTAGAGAGGCAGTTGAGGTGAGGTTAGGTGAGACCCCACATGCCCGCGATGTGACGCTATTATTTAGTGCCGCGGCCCCTGTCAGTGCTGCCACTCAGCCTTGAGCTAGGTATCTGGGATAGCCCTGATCCAGGTACATTGCACTGGGTTAGGTACCGTCCCTTACGAAGTAGATACTTAACCTACCTTATGTACCTAGATACTTACAAACCCCTCCAAAGACCATCCTCGGCTCTGAAGTAAGGAGGAGCTTATCTAATGCGTTCTGGCCATTGACCAACATCTCATCGCTGTCTGGACACCTATAAATCATAAAGTCGCTGGAGAGGCAAAGGATCGATTAGCAGAAAGATTGCAAGAGGAAAACTCGTTCAGACGGACAGAACGAAATGCCTCCCCGAGCTCTCTTCTGCGCTGCTCTTCGGCCCCGAACCGTGATGCCGCCTGTACGTTTTCGTGCATTTCTGGTACGGTCCTCTTTTGCGACGCAAGTGAATCCCTCAGTCACCCCTACACAACAGAAGTTCAGTTCTGAGGCTCTACCACCGCCTCGATGGGTCTCGGACGTCCGCGCGAGAGTTGGGAAGTGTATAAGTTTCGGCTGTGACCCGGCGCAGGTCCAGCGCGCAGCTATGATCATGGGCACGTTGGCGAGGGAATGGCGTATTCTCAGCGCCGGGAGCGAGGGCTTTTTAACCGGAAGTCGGGGAGGATTAGAGAACCAACAGGTCGTTTGGGGAGAGATGGATAGCTTTGTAGGTCTTTCTTTTCCTTCATTGCCGGGAGGCGTAATCTAGGCCTTCGATACTAGCCCAGGCTAATGTTGTCTCACAGGCTGTGGGAAAGGGTTCTATCTCTAGATAGTCCGTGAGACAATACTAGCCTGGGCATGCTTCACGACTCCCCTATTAATAGGGCAGGGGACTGCGTGTCAAGGCCGCAGCAGTGTGAGCAAGAGTCTTATATGAAATGTGGTCTGTGAAGTTATCATTCATAAGCTAACGACAGAGCCATATGCTAGAGTCATGTCAACAACGCAAACTATATACGATATGCCGAGTCTGCACGCGTGAACTGGATTTTGCACTTCGCGGTAGAGGATCCTAAGCATAAGGAGGCGTGGAAAGATTTAATGCAGCCGAAAAGTATCGGCTTGATAATGAAGTCAATTACGGCCGATTACAAATTTGTGAGTATTCTTCTGATAAATTTACGCTGTATTATTTACAACATTGTGGGCTTCAATATGTCAACATCTCCACTGAACGAGAACACTCCATACAAGCATGAGTTCATCAAGAGTCTCCACTAACACGACATGTTCCTTTAGCCAATGACGACTCCAGACCGGATATCAGCTTACCATAGGCTCCGGATATGTCCAGAGGAAACTCAGTAAGCATTTCGGCAATCTATACCCTACTCACCCCTTCCACGACTTCCTTTCTCTTGATCAATCTCATTACAACATACTCTAATGCCTGAGATCATTAGCACATCATTGATCCTTGACTGTATCATACTTTCACATAGACACCGTCGCATCGCAGCACGCACATTTGAAGACGTGGCTATATATGACTACCGAGAAGCCAAGAAAACGGTGCTCCCCGACTTTATGCTTGGTGTTCTTCGGGATACCTGGCGAAAGCAAGAGGAACGGGCGACCTGGGCAAGAGAAAGAATACGGGGCATACTCAACGAAGTAGAGTCCTTGGAGAAAGAGACGTGGAATCGCGAAGACGCCGTTGAGGATCTCGGCGTCGCTAAGAAATGAAGATAAGATATATATCATTTAGATCAACTCAGTCATAGTATTGAGCAGCAGCACATCATCTAGCATTACAGACCGATCTTGGGGGGCTTGATATACAATTGTAGCATAATAGTCCCTCAAGACATAAACGCCCCTAGGCGATTCCAAGGCGATTCATAGTATGTACCCATGGTTAAATAAACAATGTAATGGAAAGCATATAGCACGACTTTAAGGACTAAGCTGCTTACCTATACCTCGTCTCGAAGTATATCCGTCATTCTCCAGGGAAATAAAAGAATAGAATTGCAAAGTGCCCGTCACATGGGACTTCTCATAACGCATCTCCTCGAAGTGACGCCCGGCTCGAATCAATGAATGTGTGATAGGATCGATTCGACTACTTCACGAGCCATGCCAAGACCCTTTAGGAAAATGCCTATCATTGGACGGATGGCCTGGATCCTATCGTCGACGGGATGTGGTTGATAAATGTAATCTATGATCGGTACTTACTGCCCACCCACCTAGATCCCTGTGCAACAGAACATGGTGATCTACTCGAGTCTTCAAATCCAAGCCCGCTTGACACGGCTATTGTATAATTGCCGATTCAAGGTATTGTTTGTCGCATGATTTTTGGTTTGTAAGAGCTAGGCCGGAGATTACAAACAATTGCACTCATATCTAGGTTACATATTGACTGGCTTTACGATTAGAAGCGATGCCGATACATCTGATCACTTAATTGATCAGTCAAGAAAATCGCCCGTGCTACACCAAACTTCTGTTCTAGAAGCAGTAACCGCCATAGACTATCGAAGTTGACAAATGCTACAGATGGATACTCCTTAGAAGGCAAGCAAGTGGTGTCTGCGCGACGACTACTCCTAAAATTGAAGATAGCGGGCGGTGTTTTTATAGGGTCCTACTACCTACATAGGCATCCCATGCGGCAGACCAACATACCTAGTATGACCTTCTATCGACATTAAATAACTCTGAAGCTTATATAGGAAGACCACCGACCCAGCTCCAGCGATGAACCCATGCAAAACACACGGCTAACCATTGTTAACGGTTGAAAGCAGGAATCCCGAGTCGGGCATCGAACGCATCAACACTAGAGCACATCTACCTACTGTACAGGGTAACATCAGGTTTCTTCACGCTCTAGCTCGAGGACGCATGCATGCGTGCGTTGTCGTGCTTGTTGGTATGCACTACGTATGTGTGTATATGTAAGGTATGTCTGCGAGCAGCATTTCCCCGCAATGCGCCAAACCAGCCGGGCAGCCAAAGATGCGCTGCATGAAGAGCACCCAGCAGCAAGGGACATGCGCGCCCTTTTGCACACTTATGCCTCGTAGCACTGTATGTTTGAGAGGGGATATACAAAGGTAGACAGACACATACCGATCATGGCGTCTGTTGTCTATCTCCACACGCCCGAATACTTATGCAGGTGTGTCTTGCCGCCGATACACTTAGGTGGGCTCGTCGGCTTCCCTTGTAGGGACCCCAGCTAGAAAGGCCCCATTGCTCATTCGCGCCGTTAGTTCTGGTCAGGAGATCTACTTCCTTATTCGAGAGCGGCAAGGACGGGATGGACGCTGTGACGACCGCCATTGTGGGGGAAAGAACATGTCTACTATCATGTCTCTGCGCCTAAGACATCAACACGTCTCATTCCGCATGTCAAATCGTATCATGTGGCTGGTATAGTACGGGACGTGGTACAAGAGGGATCTTATTGGCTCTTCCATCTTGGTGCATCGGAAAACTTATAGTTTGTACCGCGCAACTAGTTGAGAGAGGTCGGCGACAAGAGTATCAAAGTGCTTCTGAGGGCAGAGTGAGGGGTTCCAAGTTGATATACCTGTAGCCCAAAAGTGATTGGTCGTGTTCGATGACACAATATGATCTATATCCCGCATTAACCTCTCGTCTTACTTGTGCGTATCACTTGCAGCATCTTACCGCGAGACGGGTATCTCTGGTTGGGAAGTTCAACGGTAAATGCCGCAATGCACACTGATTGGGAGAGAAAAGAAGCTTTTGTACCAAAAACGCCACCATCGACATTGCAATGTGATGGGTGGTACCGTCCGGACTTTTTGGGCGGTGAGCAGGTGACAAGTCGAGTGCTTGGTGTATAGGTAAAAGCTTGGGGTTCGAAAAGGTGCTCACATTTTCTTTTTGTGAGTATACATACGGTAGTCCGTACCTAGTAATAGCAATATAGCAATCGTCCAAGGCTAGGTATTCGAGTTGCGAGCGAAAAGGACTAGTCGGGTTATCTTTGGAATTTGCCTGGCCTTAACTAACTCTCGGCTCGCCTTTTCGGCGCTTTCTCTTTTCTCTATTTTTTCTTTCTTTCTCTCTTGTGACTCCCCCCTCCGTTAGTGAAGGCGCTCGTACGACCACAGTACAATAGGTCGCATCAATAATCCATTGAAAGCTTGAATTTACAACCGCCCAAATGCCGAGATCCACAGGGCCGTTGAGCACACTTTGCCATTTTCTGCCTAGCCGTATAAGTCTAGATGGGAACGGGCTGAAAGTTGGTGTGTTGATGTTCCATTGAAATGTCTTCTTTTGGTTGGTGATGGGGCGAATGAGCGAGAGCTTGTTGGCTAGGTACTCATGAAACATCTAGGAATCCCTGCTGCATTTATCCAAGGCCTTAACTGGTGATGGCATTGAGGGCAACTCTGACGAATCATGGTCGTTCCTACTGTCCTGCCCGCCCGTCAACAACCAGGATCAGTCATCAAGCCCCGAATGTTAAGTACTGGACACTGGAACAGGCAGGGACTTATGGAAGTCGTACTGTATGTATCTCGACTCTGCTCGACTCAGTTCACCTGGCCAATACTAAGCCGATGCTAACTTGCACCGTACCTGGTTAGACAGTGTGACCTAATGGCTGCATCAATGTACTAAGTGTATACTTAAGACCGCACGCGACGATGAGACCAAGCAGAAATTTCTGTCAATGGTTAACCCTTGTGAATCTATCTTCCCAGAGTCTGCCGGAGGTAGCATAAGGCGCCGAGCTTACACAGTACGCATGGCCGAAAGGGATCAGCATTTGCGCATGACTCTGTTGGCTCCATAGGGCATACTCAATTAAGAAACTTGGTTTTATAATTGTCCTGCTGTAGCGTAGATATTCGCCTCATTTATTGCACTCAAGCTAGAGTCAAGTACTGTGCTGTAGGTAGCTCGGGGAGGATTACATGTTTATGCCAATTCTGGCGCTGACGCAACTTTGGAGTAGAAGTCGGAGCAGGGAGGGGTAGGAGTGACCGGCCGGCTTGGCTGTCACGAGATAGTCACAATGCAGGTTGAAGAATGTCACCCACAGTGACAGTGCGATACCGCGTTTGTTGCTGATAAGATGCTAGATAGTACGACATGTTTCTCTCGTCTATCCGATACGCAGCGGTGTTGATAGTCTCCCTACTTGCACATTACCCAGTAGCTACAAGCAGGAAATGGTAGCAATTGGTGGTGGCGCGTCTTTATGTGAGAGTCTGGTGAGAGTTTTCAAGATGTGGAGATGTAATGGATTGGCAGTGGTTAGAGAAAGACCCATAAACCTCGACTCGTGACGAGGTAGATCCTTCCTGTTATTGAGTACCTAGTATTGTACTCGGGAGGCAGACTTACTTACAGTATTTTCGAGGCCCGGAATTTGCTCTCGAATGCTGGTATCACGCAGCTAAACCTACATAGTACCTGGGGTATTTTCCCACGATGGTGGCACGCTTGATGAGATGCCCTATTTTCATTTCCAGGAGGCAGATACGCCGTGACGTTATCATGGCCTCTACATAGTATTGTAACCTGGGGCGGCTGATTGAGAGGCACGTTGTCAACGAAGGGGGGCTACGAGCCAAGGCGAAGCTGAAAGGGGGGAACCACTGAATAATTTAGCACTACTATTCTGTCTGCGTCCCATACGGGGCAACGTTTATCTGCCAAACATATTAGAACTCTACTGTATGCATGGTATTTTCTATCTAGGCATGTCAAAAGACGCCGAGGGTCGTTGGACATGAAGGAATACTTATACATATGTGTGTGTCGGGCCAGTTTGGGGTCGTGCTGACTGACCAACATGCTGTAGCGAAATAAATAGGTACGTTCCCAGGCACTGAAGTTGTACTTTAGGTACACTTCTTACAGTTGGAGGTACGTATCTATCCTCCCACGTACATATTTATAATTAGAACAATACCGACGACACCTTCAAATGACACAGCATCTTCACAGCCCAATCTCCCCGGCTTACTTAGTTTTATGACTGCCTGCGTACATGCAGACAGACGGAATCTGCCGCCTCTGATATGCTTATCCACGACGGGCTGTCGAGAATTGGGTTTTCAAAGTGACAATATTGTAGCAAAGCCCATGCCTTCTTGCTGATACTTGCTTGATTAGGACTTATGTAGGGAAGTTGGCACATACCCTCATGTTACTCATGTTCAGTAGGTAAGGTAAGTTGGCATACCTTGGTTGACAAGCTCGACAAGATACCCGTCGCTGTAACTATGGGGATATACCTCCAGCTATCTATCACATCGCCATGTAACTGTAATAACAACCTATGCTTATACTACGTAGGTATCTTCTTACCTATGCAGGTACTTGAGACAACTACTTGCATACATGTTTCCACCTTCTCAGCTCTACCTCTGCTTTTCAGCTCTTAGAGGGCTACCTAGGTACCTAAATAGTACTACCTAAAACAACCCAGGTATCTTAGGCGCTCAAACAACATGAGTGCATATACCTTTCCAATGTCTGCAGTTACTTGAAGGTAAGTAGGTATGTAGATACTGACTACTATGTAAGGCTTGACTCCGGAGGCAGTACGGTAGCGATATAAGTAGCTGTACATCTACTGTACTGCATGTACCTACTTCAATGATCATAGCGTACGTTGCACCTAATGTGGGCACTGTAGAAAGTGCCTACTGTAGGTACGCTAATGGATTGTAGGTACTCTGCATCCCAAGGAAATGTACCTAGGTACATATGTAGGTACTCGCTGTCTGCTACTCCTTACAGCTGATACGTAGGTACCCTCACACCCCAGAGAAGGTACAGTATGTCCCCTACCATGCATGCACTGGGATACGCCGCTGGTAGGCCACTACAGCAGGCCTCTCGCCCCCTATGGGGAAGGGAAGTCTCTCCCCCCTTCGCGTGGCCCACCTTTCCTTCCCAGCCTATCCACTTCTACCTCTCTACCTCTTCCGTCAAAATCCATGCCTTTTCGCCTTGTCTTTATTTCTATCCCGCACAACATATATCCTTGTGTTCGCCATACCCACCTCATTCTTCGCCCGAATGCCTAGGGGAACGATCCGATTACCGACGCATCGACCTGTCCTTCCTTTTGCGAATGCGACGGATAGATAGTAGCGCTGTTTCCCATAAGCTTCCAGCTTATCAACCCGAGTTGATTCACACTGACCGGTCGTGTGTGAAGGTTTTCGCCCCAACGCCATCGATCAGCCGCGAACTCTAAATTCGCGAATCCAAATTTACCCTGTTCTTTGCTGCCCTCGTCGTCGGTTGCACGGCTGACTGGCTCGGAACAAGCTTCTGGGTCGGGATCAGCAAGACGCGAGCGTATGCCTCGCGCTTCAGCATCGGCAAAGCGACAAGTCGGTGCCTCGAATCATCGCGATACTAAGCATGAGAATGGCCTCGTAGTATCAGGGAAGCGTGTCCATAGGCAATCGCAACAGCCGCAGCAGCAGCCGCAGCAAAGGAACCAGGGTCAGGTCGATGGCATTGTCCCCCATAAACAACCGACCCTGCAACAACAAGCACAGTTCTCCGCCGAAGATGCAAGTGTACCGTCTGCTCCCTCGACGCCGCCAGCCACTGCGAACGGGTTTTCCAAACACACGGCCGAGATGCATTCCGCTCCTCGATCTGCTGAATCTTTGAGGCGTTCTTCGCTGGGCGCATATTCGGAGACGTCATCAGCCGAGTCTTATAACTCGCTTGCTGCTAACATCGCATCCGAGGACAATCATCGCCGCATTGATGTTAATGCTACAAAAAATTCAAACGTCCACCGCGATCCTGGCCCGCTTGACTTTGCCTATACGGTTCTACGACTCTGCCCGTTACAAGATACTATTGCCATACTCATCATCCTGATGCAGATCCCTCCTCTAGCCCTTTCCGCCATCTATGTCCTATTCACCCTACTCACATTTGTGACGAGCAATAGCGTGAATTTCAGTGATGTGTTTGAGTGGAACCTTGGCGCTCCTTCCCTGGCAACAGTTATATGTGTAGATGGCATCGTGCTTCTGATCTGGTTATTTCTCTGGGGCCCTATACAACATGTCATCCTCGATCTGGCGCAAATGGTCATTGCTTTGGGGCTGGGAGGAGGTTCTAGTTCCAGAGATGGTGGATCCATGAAGAACACACTCATATGTCTCAGCATGATTTTGCTCTCTCACGTCCTGCGCCATACCAAGATGAAATACTCGCCTGTTGGTTATATGCTTGGATCAAGTCGCTTTATGACTCCTGATCTAGACGATCCCCTCGAAAGCCTTGATCTTCTACGCGGGTATGATAAGGTGCAATCAGGCTGGCTTGGGTGGATCAAGAGTATACTCGCCATCCACATACTTACACAAGGCTTGGTCAAATACATAAGGGACTGGTACCTGAGGCGAGAGAGACGAGACAACCTGGCCCAAAATGCTGCGGATCCTGAAGCTGGGAAGTCATACACTCCAGATGCCGACGGTGGGTTCTCAACGCCAGATAGTGATGCGGCAACTTTACAGAACTCGACGGCCTTAATCACGAAAAAGAAGAGAAAACAAAGCGCTCAAGTTAGGAATCGCCAGCCTCTATGGGCAGCATTGGCGAGCACGAAGATTGTTGTTGTGAAAGAATATGAACTCACTCATGCTGCAGCAGAATCTGCTGGTTCAAACGCTACAGATATTCATAACCTTGGAAATGCTCCATTTAATACTCAGCCTGGGCAAATCTGGATCTCCTATGTTGGCTACGATGAGGTGTGCTTCAACACGAGTCAATTCCCCATCCACCGATCGAGTGAAAACGACGAAAGGGCATCACAGAACGATTTCGTAAAGCCATTCTACGTGAGAGTCAACAATGCTATCTGGCAGCCAACTCGAATGACACCTATCGAAAGCTATGACGAGAGTACCGGGCCAGGAGTTCGTTGGAGTGGTGACATATATGGTTTAACGCCTATGTCGAACTACGAGTGTGAATTCGTTTGCTCTGTCACCCATGAGATCTTGTTCTCAACGAGTGTTAGGACTACTCAACCCAAATCTACAGATGCAGACGCGGCGAGCTCGAAAACCCCTCAACGTTCACTTCGGCCAGACTCTCCAATTACCACACTCAAGACATCAATTGCTGCAAATGAGAGCAAACTCGCTGAGGAGAAGGCCCGACAGAAAGCACTGCGTAAAGAATTTCACCGCAAAGTCAATTCCATGAAGAAGGAGAACGAGAAGCTTTCGACAGCCGTACAGTCAGCAGGCACAGGTGATGACAAACTCCGGCAGAAAATCCAGCAAAATACTATCCAGCAAAAACAAGCTGAACAAGCTATGACTAGCTTGGAACAAGAGTTGAAGGAGTTTGAAAAAATTCCCGAATCTTTGAAGTCTGCATGGAAAAGTAAACAATCTGCTTGGACAAACGAAAAGGCTAAATTCGATGGTGCACATGCTGCTTTAAAAAGTTTCAAGGCATCAGTAGAAGGAGGAATCAAAAGCCTAGAGGACGAGAAGACCAGCCTTCAAGCCAAGCGCAACAAGATTAGTAACCGCATTGCTAAGGTCGATAGTGAGCATGCTCGTATCACGGATGCGAATGCCCGCGGTTTGGACGAGGCAGAACGCCGCCGCCAGGCTAGGGAAACACTCGAGAACGATATTGCCCGGATTGAGCAGGAATTTGTTTCACGCATTCAGGACCTTGAAACTGTTATTGTCAACAAAGAACAGGAAAACACGATGCTTAAGGCTCAGCTTGACTCTTTCCACACTCAACAAGCCGCGTATGCATATGCCGCCTATGAACATCCTGAAGGCCAAGGGCAATTTCCACCAGGGGCTCTCCCCACGCACGCGCACCCGAACGCAAATAGCGCTGCTTCGTACGATGCAGCTGCTGCCTGGAATAACAGCCTTTACCAAAATGCACTTTGGGGGCCATCTCCCCTGGCTTCTGCTTTCGTCCCACAAGCAGCTACGGTACCGCAACCCCAGCAGCAGACAACCAAAGTCAGGGGTCGATCATCTTCTATGCTGAGCAACGTTTCCGGCTTTACTCAAAGCAGTGAAAATGACGACGAATGGAACAGTGCAGCTCACGGTGCACTGCCAGGCCACGAGAGGCCGCCCCCAGGTCTTGGCTTTCTTCGCAACGTTGGACGGCGTAGTGATGGTAGTGGCACTCCTGGCAGCGGGAGCGGGAGCGTTGAAAGCGGAAGTGCTCGTGATCCTAGTAGCCCTCCTCCGTCTTAATGGTAGAATTTCTAAGGTTCTGGCTAGGTAGCATAGTTGTTAGGCTATGAGTAGAATTTCGTCAGCGCAATAAAAGCTTTGTTATCCATTCGCTAAAGGAAGCATCCAAGTCTAGCTTACCTAATGCTTTTGCATCGTGGCAAGTGGTGCACAGTGACGCTCTTAGAGACAGGGGTCGCAGTGCGATTCCCATTTACCTCAGCTGTCTAGATATTATCTCCATATTGAACCGGTAGGGAGACCTGGCTTAAGCACCCCGCAGCCGATGACTATTATGTATGTGTATATTTATATGCCTGTGTATAAGCTTACTTGGGGATTCAAAAATTGTGGCATAGGTAACTACTGTAAGCATACGATTTGACGCCCCGCCTAAACCTTGGCACGGGATTCGGATCTTTGAAATCCGCTCCAGCATTCTCAATATTCCAACTTCGTAATTTGGGGTTGACGTGGACGCAAATTTGATACAACATGACATTAGTCTGGAGTTGAAATACATGATTATGCGTGAAGAACCGACCGTGGCCGATTTTCGCAGACCCTACAGGATTTGAACCTCCGACCCAGCCATGATGGCAGCCCAAGTACCAACCTCGGCATTGGCATCGGCACCAGCATCGAGGGCGGAAGCGCCAACTCGTACATCTGCCCCCTACGGCCAAGCTTGCATCAATTGCGTTAAGGCAAAATGCAAATGCATCCTTATCCATCGCGACGGGCCCGGCCCCGGCTCCGGCTCCGGCTCCAGCTCAGGACCTGAGAATCGTACATCTGTAGAGTCTTCAATGTTAGTTAAGTACTCCCCGCTCTCTATCTCATCTTAGTGATATAGCCATGCAGTATGATTATAGCTCAGCTATAATTTAGCTATGACTTTATTTTTGTCTAGGCATTCAGGGGTTATATGGTGAATAGTAAAACAGCGCCTTTGCTGCATCCCTTGCTTTGTTGTAATAAGCTAGCTAACATGGAAGACTCTGTAATAGGAGTGCTATCTGCGAAAGATGTGCTCGTCTGGGTCGAGAATGTAAACCATCGAACAGCGTCAGGAAACGGGGGGTTGCCGGTTCCAGGCGTGTGGATCGCGGCTCCTCCTCGCCTGGAGTGTCCAAGAGCACGTCTGCTGCGATTAGAGCTGCTAGCCTCGAGCAAAAAATCGAAGATCTCGTTGCGGCACTCAAGGCTCAGACTAGCTCTACGACCGCAAGGGCGGATCCTGGTTCTAGCACGTCCTCAGTGCCCGACTGGCGTTCGAGCAATGCCATCACCAGGACTATTGCCACCGGCCCAACCGTCGTCACTCCCGCGTCTACGGTCGAATCAGTACCCAGGTTAGTTCTCTGCAGTCGTTTATTGTCACCTTCAGCAGATTCCGGGCCTCATTGCTCCTGCATAACCCCCAACAAAACATGAGTTGAACCCCTTCCTTATCTGGTCATGGCTGACTCCAGCATGTGTAATAAGTCCGTTATCTGCACCAGTTTGTGGACCGGCCCCAGGAGATTCCATCTCGCCACTCCAGGCCGAAGAGACGCTCGCCTTTTTTCGCCAACATTACCTTATGTTTTTCCCTTTTATCTACTTACCGTCTGATATGACGTATGTATAATTGTCTGACACTCCGTCGACATCGGCACCTATATCACTAATTAATGCCTTTTCTTAGTGCTGAAAGGTTACAGCGTGATCGGCCATATCTTTTCCTCAATATCCGCGCCTTATGTTCCAGGTCGCCTATCGAACAGGCAGCTCTCAATCATCGAAGTAGAGAAGAGCTTGCGCGTAGAGTTCTTGTTGATCTTGATCCTAACATCGACACGCTATTAGGCACTGTCTGTTACCTTGGATGGTATGCTCAGGCAGCATCGTCGTCGAGGAGTTTTTATGATGTGAAATTATGATAGATCGCTAACATGTGGTCGTGTATAGGATCATGCACTTGTGTTTCAAGCCAGGCACAGTCACTACAATTGGTATGGCTACGACGCTCGTTACCGTTCTTCGTCTTGATAGGCCAGTACGTACCTACTTAAGGCCTTGTTCATTCTTCTTCCCTTTCCCCATAGCCTAGAGGCTCGCTACTCCTTGTTGCACCAGATCATTGACATTCAATACACATATCACTGATACGTTGGCGGTGGAAAGACACATGAAGAAGACCCTCGCATGACGCATTGTTTTAAAACGGTCGGTTTTGCCAAGATTAATTATTCCACTGTTCGAACAATGGAGGAAAGGAGGATCACATTAGCCTGCTATGTCGGCTGCATAAGGTGAATTCACTTCATTTACTCCCTCTCGTGCGCAGCTCAAAAGTTAGAAAACTCAAATACTCAGAACTAACCAACTAACCTGTCATAGTTGCGCTTCCTTTATGAAATGCCCGGCAATGCGTTGGACACCGCATATGGAAGATAGTCTCAAGATTCTGGCTGCCAATCCTGAATGGGAGGGTGACAAAGTCCTCGTTTTGATGGTTCGTATATGGAGACTAGCAGAAAATATCTTTCAACTCCAGGCAGAATGGGTCTCGGATTGCGATAAACACGGCAATTCGAAAACACCGGTCACTATCTATATAAAATACTTTCACCAATGTCTTCAGACGATTAAGGATGAGCTACCGGCGTCGCTGAAGGATAATCGTAAGATTCTGACCCCTTCTCTACTATTCTCCAAAACGACTGTGTTACTTATTTATCCTCCACCTATACAGGGCTTGCAACAACACTGATCATGCAGGCCGAGATGCTCATTGCAGAGATATCGCTATCTAGTCGAAGTCATTGGGAAGCGCACACGGACACGAGAACACGGCCACCCGACGTGTCTCGTCCTATCGACATTGGCCACGTCGAGGCGAATTTCGTAGCACTGCAAGCAAGCAAAGCATCCTTTGAGCAATTCCTCACCTTTGAACTCTCTGATTTTGTGGGATTTTCCTTTCCTGTTTTGCTCAACCTGTACCGCGCCGCAGGTGTTCTGTACCGGCTGCGCATGATGGACGAGCCCGGAGTATGCCACCCCTTTTCTTCCTATTCTAGCCGCTTCTGAACGTCATAACTGCCTATCAGAGCCACATGCATGGTCTTAGGAGTATATAAAACCTCCGAAACTTGCTCCCGTTTCACCTAAAACAGTAATTACTGACTCCAGCGAACTGTAGTGGGACGGCTGCGCTGTTACAAACAGCGTCGAGCTGCTACCAGCATTAGATCAACTCGCCGAACGCTACAGCGAGTTGCTGAGAGTCTACGGCTTCTTGGCCGAGACGGATGGGGAGGGCAACGAGTGCCTTTCTTTCTTTTCTAAGAGCATGAGGACGCTTAGTAGCACGTCGGCGATGTGGCGAGCGCATTTTGCACAGGCGGATGCATTGGCAAAGGTCAACACGGACACGTCTGCCGGTAGCGCCGATACAGGCACCCTCGAGACTGAGTCCAAGGTCCCGCCGGCTTCGGTCGGCGTCGGCTTGAGCCCGAATGTTATGAGTAGGGTGACTTATCCGGCAATGCCTAATTTCATGTTGCCAGAGGTGTTTCCAATGGATTTTTCTATGGATGACGCCTGGTGTAATGAAATCATGGTGAGTCATAGTTTGAATCGATTTGCCTACAAGGAGCCTTCCACGCAGCGAAAGAATAACCCTAAATGTCTAAAGGCTGACTTCGGGCGTTGTAGTCTTCCTGGGAGCCAGGTCTACTCAGACCCTACTGACCTTTATCTATGCACTTGACATCTCGAACAGGTGATCATAGCATCACGGCGCAGGGCTAGGGAAGTTTCCATTCATGCAGTGTAGCATTCATGCATGACTGTATTTGTATAATATTGTATATTCTGTTAGTGATACAATGATGGTTATCCAGTATGATAAGTGCGCGAAGTACGACGGATATAGGGCAAGAACGGACATAAAATGATTAGAACGGGCAACATTTTACTCCGCCTGATTCTCACTAGATACTATAAAGCATGGGAGATGGCTGACCTTCATAGCGTCAGACACCTATGAATCATAAATAAGCTTACTCGGGCTTGCCTACCTATATTAAGCGATGACTGAAACGCCTCATCACAAGAGCATATTTACTATGTAAGGCGATAGATACATTTATTCGAACCAGTCGTTGTATATACCTACTGTACATGGACACCACGCGCTTTTCGAAAAGTATCTAGGATTAGGCTATAATAAATAGTTAATTGGCTAGACCATATCGTACCTAGTTAAAGCTGCTTTAGACCACAACAGGCACCCGAACTGACAACAGTCTTTCTGCAAACAAGATCCACAGGGCGTTACAGAGGGCCCGCCTGGGCGTGCTTTCGAATTCGCACAGTGTTCGATGTTAATAAGCCCAGGAACCCGGCCGGGATTCGACAACTCCGCTGTGAGTGCTAGTTGTGTCCGGAACTATGCATCTATGCGCGTGAATGATGCCGTTAAGGATCGGGACTGTATAATAGGTAGTTGCAGAGACTCCTAACCTAGGAAGGCCATTTTGCAAAACAAACAGGTGTTATATACCAGTATGTGAATTTATCATATAGTGATTGGATCTCTGTGTACGAGTAGGTGCATCATGTAGTAAGTATGGGTAATATCGCTAAGTAATACCAGGTATGTGGGTATTTTATATAGAATTGGATAGGCTTTTGCCGGATTTCGGATTCTTTAGCCCCCCGTCCTGTCCCATGACAACTTAGCAACATATAATCAAACAAAAAGGGGATTTAAATATTAAGTAAACACCCCACGAGGCTCTTCAGGAAGTAGGCACAGAAAGAATCAAGTAGATAAATAGTACTACTGTATGGTCAATCCAATATCCCCTATACAGTAAAGATCCTTGTATATCTACAGCACAACCGACCTCTTGCCTCTGATCGTACGACGACGCATTGCCTAAAACTACACATGGAAACCGAGCAGTCAACGCCCGCGCTGGAGGGCGAACTTTCGAAGAAGGATGCTCAAGTACAAGATATAACAAAAGAGTCCGACTCCTCGTCCCACACATCGACGGCGGTAGAAGAGTTGGCCGAAAAGAAGCAACCTGAAGTCACCACATCGCCGCCTCAGTCTCAAGAGCCCAAGGAGGGCGAGGCCTTGAATGACTACCTCACGGGTTTCAACTTGTTTGCTCTGCTCTTCAGCACAGGACTGACATTCTTTACGTTGCTGCTAGACAACTCCATCATCAGCACGGTGCGTGGCAGAACTTTGCCTTAGCAGGCTGCCTAGCCGAAACCCCTATTGTGCTACGATCATGTCTCGCTGGCCAGACTCACTGACCTGGCAAGTTATAGGCCGTCCCGAAGATCACAAGTGAATTCCATAGCCTACCTGATGTAGGATGGTATGCGGGCGCATATCAACTTACCAGGTATGCCCTTCGACAACATCTGCCCTACCCACGGTAGAGCTGTGACCAGGTGGTTATTAACGCTTGCTGCAGTGCGGTATTGCAGCCACTGACGGGAAAGCTGTACACGTTTTTCCCGACGAAGTGGACATTCCTCGTCTTCTTCTTTGTCTTCGAGATCGGATCGCTGCTTTGTGCCCTAGCCACGTCGTCGCCTTTCTTCATCGTTGGCCGTGCTGTCGCCGGGCTCGGTGTCTCCGGCTTGCAGAATGGATCTTTAAGTATTGTTGCTGGTGCAGTCCCCCTTGAGAAGAGAGCGTGTAAGCTTTAGCCTGCAAAACAAAAAAAACGTGCGAGGTCTCCGAGAGAAACTGACATTCTGGTTTGTAGTTTATCTTGGCATATTGATTGGAAGTACGTTCACTCAACGACATCAACTGAAATGGATTTTAATGCGCAGGAGAATGCATGGCTGACTCAAGACCCAACCTTTACAGCTGGCCAGCTGGGCTTAGTCATTGGCCCATTAATAGGTGGCTTGTTCACGGAATATGTGTCTTGGCGCTGGTGTAAGTCGTGTTCTGAGCCCTCAACCTATCCTACCTCTACGCATGCTGATGAGCTATGCCACAGGCTTCTGGATCAACCTCCCGATCGGCGCCATCTCAGGGGTGCTTCTTGCGTTGATACGATGTCCAGAGCAACTCCACAAGGAGCCCTTTTCGCTTGCTCTTGTCCGACGTGTCCTTCCACAGCTCGATTCTATCGGCTTCATCTTATTCGCGCCAGCAGCCACGTTATTGCTGCTAGCCCTCCAATTTGGCTCCGGGGAGACGTATGCGTGGGATTCTAGTGTCGTCATTGGGTTGTTTGTAGGCTCCGGCGTCTCAGCCATCTTCTTCCTGGTGTGGGAGTGGAAAGCGGGCGACGTGGCTATCATCCCCTTTTCGATGGTTAAGACTAGAATCGTGTGGACGAGCACTGTGCAATATGTCTCGCTGATCGCGGCCATCTTCGTTGGCACCCAATTCTTTCCGATCTATTTCCAAGCTGTCAAGGGCGTAGGACCTGTGCTAAGCGGCGTTTACCTGCTTCCAAGCATCCTGTCGCAGATTGTCTTCGTCGTCTTCTCCGGAGGTTTGAGTAAGTTAAGCCCACTGATCGTTATTGCAAGCGAGCGAGTAGTATATTACTCTCTTGGGCGGATATTAACTTACGCTTGGCAGTCTCCAAAGTCGGTTACTATCTTCCTTTTGCCATATTAGCTGGCGTCGGGGCTACTGTAGCAGCCGGATTAATCTCGACCTGGGATGCAAATACTTCTACCGGCATGTGGATTGGTTACCAAATAGTTTACGGCATCAGAGGATGTGGCATACAGCTCGTAAGTGTTATTGTACCCCCCCCCCTCCTTTTTCTATCTCACCAACTGCTTGAGTAGTCGGCTAACTCGTGAAACGCATAGGCCGTAGTGGCGATTCAGAATGCGCTGCCGGCAAAGCAGAGCCAACTCGGCATCTCCTTCCTTGTATTTGCCCAGACTTTCTCAGCCGCTGTTTTGGTTGTGGTTGGAAACACCGTCTTCACGCAGACATTGATCAGCGAAACTCTTAGGCTCGTGCCCTCCATCAGCCCAGCCGAGGTTCTACAAGCAGGCGGAAGTGCAGAAGCTATACGAAAGCTAGCTCTTCCCGGGACGCCAGAACTCGCGGCGCTATTGCAAGCCTTCTCGAATTCTTTCGATACTGTTTGCTATCTCATGGTTGCACTGGCTGGCATAAGCATTTTGGCCTCTTTCGGAATGGGATGGGTCGATGTACGAAAGACAAAACCAGAGGCAAAGACCGAGGCTCCGGTCGAAGTATAGATATGTGTTTTACAGAGGTATATAATTTCTTTTTCATTTTTATTTATTTATCTAAATTCGTTAGAAGGATTATGCATCCATTAGACGGCTGATAGATTCTTGCGACTTTGCACATTGTTCAAGAAGGATTCGGCGCATTGAGGGTTTGGATTCACATGGGCGGTTGAACCTCTTTTACCTGGTGCAGTGTATTAGATAGATACAAGTGCCTACATAGACAACCCATATATTTTACATGTAACAATAATAATATCATAACAATAGCCATGATAGGTAGCAATTAATGATTGACTTTCTCCTAGCTGTATTAAAACTCAGTTACCTACTCTGATTCCAATGGCTTTGCTCCTAGTTGGCAAGGCAGTTGAGTTGATTGTGGCCATGCAAGTACATGTACATCTACCTAGGTAGGTACGGTAGTACAGTCCCACACCACTCTCCACGCCCCACTACTCAGCCCCAGAACAGGGCAATCAATCAGAGCTGTTGAGCCACAATGCCTACTTAGGTACCTAGGTAGGTACCTATTCAGCACTTTCAACCTCGAGTTGGTAGCCGCCCCTGAGCCTTCGACGATGGCTGCCTCCGAGGCCCAGCCCCATCGCAGGGCGCAAATGATATCGACTCGTTCACAACTCCTTCCCTTCATGGCCACGTCAGTACAGACTACTAGGTAGATATATATATGGAGTCCCCTTGGCTTTGCGGCGGCATAGGGTAGCCTCTCTTAGGCCGTGATCCGGCCTTCGTTACTTGCGTATGTGTTATAGCGCCATCGTTCCGCTTCGCGAGACGCAACAGACGAAGACGTTGAGCGAAGACGATGCCATTCATTCCTAATACTCCCGAATCATTGATCGGCCGGTCAGATTCCAAGAACCCTGCTACAACCTGTCGAGGTATCACTGCTGGTGGCCGCCCTTGTCGCCGCCCGCTCGCTGCCAGTCCCGGCGCCTCGCCTGCTGCTTCTCCTTTCGCCTCACCGAGTCGAGTAAATTACCTTCGTGTTGACGACCCAAGCGACCCCGGTTTATATTGCTGGCAACACAAGGATCAAGCGACTTCCTCTGCGAGATCCAGTCCCGGTCCCGCATCTCGCACCAAGCTTACCACTGTACGGCAAGAGAGCTTTGAGAGTCTCGTCGGTCGACTCGGTATTGTCGAGGCCGAACGCAACGGCCGGGCACAACATAAACAGCCCACGAAATCCTCGAGACACAAGAAGAATGAGAAGATTTCGCAAACTGTCGACACAAGCATCCCACATGCCCCAAAGCATACAAAGAAGGTACAGAAGCAGGTTGCGTTTTGCTGCTGTTTCACGATTCCAGTGTACGAAGAAGAGCGACCTTCAAGGCCAAAACCAAGACCGATTCAAAATGGGTCATCAAAGCCCAGCCCCAGCGTTGCGAAACTCCCTTCTAATCATCACCTGACGCCGTCTTTCACCAGCCAGCGGCCCAGCCTCGCTACGTCAAATCAGCCATCCGCACAATCCGGCATGTCGCAGACTTCCCAATATCTTTCTATTATCCCGGATACTGTGCAGCCGGAAACTGCTGCAGATCTCTTGAAGGAGCTTTCCAAGCCGTACGCGCAGACGGACGAGCCTGGCTATATCTATATATTCTGGTTAACGCCCGAATCTCAGCCGTCTACGCCTGCGGCGGAAGTGGCGAGGAACCTGCTGGCCCCCCCTACACGCCCCGATATGCGACATCGCCGAACCAGCGATGTGCTGCAGTCATTCGCTACCCAGTCAGGCCAAGCGGGAGCATCAAGTAAAAAGATCCTCCTCAAGATTGGAAGAGCTTCTAACGTTCAACGAAGATTAAACGAATGGCAACGGCAGTGCGGGTATAACCTGTCGCTCATCCGGTATTATCCGTATGTATCGTCGAATCAGCCCTCGACACCGCGCAAGATGCCACATAGCCACAAAGTTGAGCGGCTGATTCACATTGAACTCGAAGGTCAGGGACTTAGAGTTCACAACAAGGTGAATTGTGATGCCTGTGGACGGAACCACAGGGAGTGGTTTGAGGTAGAGGCTACCAGGTCTGGCATCAACATGGTCGATGAGATAGTCAGACGATGGTCAGACTGGGACGAAGGGAAACCCCAGAGGTTTCAATGAATGGAGCCCATGTGTTTATGATGGTACGATGTAACGATACTGGTATTAATAAGACATTGGTACTGCAAGGTAGGTGTTCATGAGACACACAGACATCGATTTTCTTGTTGTTTGGTCTCAGTTGTTCTGTGAGACTTACTACCACTTCACCAAGGCCTTAATTAAACTGCGCCCGATTACGTCAATGATGGCTCCCCTTTGTACCCATGCGTAGCTCATATCCGGCGGTCTGGATCGTGGCGCGCTGGCTATCGCCACCTTTGGTTGTTTCCAGTCCCCGGTATATGGGAAAGGGTTGTATCACACGAAAAGCCAAGCAGACGTATAACGCCAAGATCTAAACAGCCACAAGGGTACACAAGTGTTACCACGCCTATGTAGAGGAGAGGGGCGGGAATAAGCTTAATCTGAATAGACTTGCAGTTTGCTAACCTACCTAGTTCTATTCATATTCAGGTACTTATGTAGGTAGGTAGGCAGGTAAGGCATTTTGTGGATATGCACTGGATTACGGCAAGTTGCACTGAATCCTAGCCGTCGTCATCGTCGACCTACCCTCTCGGCCTCTCGGATTACATTACGTACATCCAGCAGTAATTACTCTGGTACCGGTATACCTACGACAAAAATAAACCTACATCGCTGCTTACTGGTTGGATCCACCGCGGGCCGAGTCGCAAACATGGCCATTGGGCTGAGAGACCTTTGTGCAACAGAGGCGTCGGTATTGGTAGCGAATTAGGCAGAATCCCCTACGGCGTACGTACATTAGCTCAGCTGAAGAACGGCCTTAGGCACTGATATCGGCAGAAGTTTCTATATCGCGCACGACTATTAAGCTCGTCTACGGTAGTCCCCCCTAACGCCAAGCAGAGGCCGAGCTCTGGGATGCCATTGCTTAGCCGTTCATTCGTCAAGCTTTTTGCTGTACTTGTACCGAGGATGCAGGCTACGACCAACCTAGTGCCAAAAAAAAAAAAAAAAAAAAAAAAAAAGACATCGGAGCTGAGATCAAAACGGCCCTGCATTTGGGGGCAGAATTAGGACTTTTCGCCATGTGGTACTAGGTAGCTCTCCCAGCCTTGGCTGTACTAGTCTAGTAGATGCTTCCTACCTGCCTACGTTCTAGTGTAAGTACAGCAGTGTAGCAGGAGTAACATATCTTGAGAAGCGAGCAACAAGGGGATGATCCTCCGTCCCCCGCCTGTCACCCTCCCACACCATATGCTCCCACTCTGCTCCCACATATCGAAGTAGGTATGTAGGTATAGGTAGGTATATGTACGTACGGATATGGAGTAGGTAGCGTAGGTACTATCAGTGCAGGCTATTTTCATACTACTCTCCCCATGCTGCTCTTGTGACTTTTGTTTCCTGGATCCTTCTTTCACGCAAAATGGCAGCTCTTGAATTTTATATGTAGACGTGTTGATTTTTTCCGTTTTCCCCATTTTTCCCTAGTTTCCCTCTGATTTCCCCAATAGGGGCGCCGACGCGTATACGTCTGGTCACCTCGCGTATACTTCGATCGCAATCGGCTTTCACCTTCGCCCTGTTCAGTCTGTGACACATCGTATATTGGCGGTTGTAGAGCTTAGAGGGGCGACTAAGGGGGTTCGCAATCGGTCATTGCACGGCATAGCGAACAATTCCGACTCACTAGTGTGCACGATTAACAACATAAAAATACACCATCATGGAGAGTACTGAAGACGGCCCAAGCCAGCTCGCTGCCGAGCTCAAGTCACAATCGCATCCGGCTAGGAACATGGAAATGGCAATTGAGCATGATCGGATATCGTGGGGAGGCGGCAGTGCACCTTCGCTCCCATCTATTGATGATGACCCTCACTCAGTCAGTCATGAAGATGTCGTGGGCAAAGTACACCCCAGCTGATACACGACTTCTAGGATGCCATGAGCATAACGGATAGTGTCAAGTGAGACAACTCTAATCACTACAAGGCACACATGCAGCATCGGCGTTTGCTAACCTTGGTGGGTGGCCAGATCGTCCACCATGTCCTTAGATCCGACGTTGTATCACTTCATTGAAGAAAATGGCCGGACCTATCATAAATATAAGCAAGGGAGTAAGGTCTTGCCACCACCACCACCACCACCACCATCACAGCGTGACTAACCATTCGGCTAGGATATTTCTTGCCGAATGATTCGGTGCGCTTCTGAAGTAAAATGTTACTCTCCGCATTCTAGAAAACTAACGCCTACCCAGGCAGAACAGGAACGGCTTGGTACACCTCACATTTATTCGCTTTACCACATGACTAGCACTTGACTGATGGCTACGTAGATCTACAACATCAGCTTTTCTGTATCACAATAGGAAGCAAGCTGAATCTATGTCCACTTCCAAAAACGCCCAAAAGAGTACTGGACATTGCCACAGGTTGGACTCGCCCCTCTATTTATTCTCGCGGGTTGACTATTGCTAATACCATGCAGGCACTGGAATATGGGCAATAGAATTTGGTGCGTGAGATCGGTGAACGCAGTACAAGTTAATATATGCAGTCTGACATGATACACAGCTTCTCAATACCCCGATACCGAGGTCATCGGCACAGACCTTAGCCCTATCCAACCTCATTAGTGCGCTACCTTCAGTGTTGTCCAGTTCAATGCATCACCTAGCACCAGTAGCTAACGAAAATATTCAGTTTGCCCGAGAACTGTAGATTCGAAATAGACGATGCGGAAGACGATTGGACGTATAACGAACCTTTCTCGTTTATCCATGGCCGCGCACTGATGAGTTGTTTCGACGACCCAAGTCGCGTCGTCAAGCAAGCGTACGAGAACCTCGAGCCCGGCGGATTCATCGAGTTCCAAGATGCACTATTCCCCATGTATTGGGTCGGCGAACCTGTCAAGGAGTCGGCGCTCTATCGGTGGAACGAGCTCCTTATGGAGGGTGTTCGGAGGATCGGACGGTCGTGGAGCAACGTGGTCAACTATCCGCGGTACTTTGAGGAAGCCGGGTTCGTGAACATTGTCGATCGACGGTTCTACTGGCCGACTTCCCCCTGGGCCAAGGGCAAGTATTTCAAGACGGTCGCCATGTACTTTCAGGAAGACATGATCTCGGGAATGGAAGCGATCAGTATGAAGGTGCTGCAAGCCACAGGCATGTCGCCCCAGGAGATCAAGGACTTCTGCGAGGAGGTTAAGAGGGACTTTAGGGATACTAACTTGCATGCATACCTCACCGTGTAAGTTGGACGCCCACCTCCCTCCGCAACATAGGGGAAATGATTTCCAACAAGATATAGTGGCTAACAATGTGCAGATCGTACATCTATGCGCAGAAACCCCTAGATAATCCGTAGTCATGTGCTTAGATGAAATAGATGCGCTTTTACAATGATAGCGATGATGCGGCCATATTTAAGTAGGTACTTTATATGAAATTAGACACAGACAACGGCTCACATAGATACTATCTTCTGCACCACCCAAGTCAGCCCACTGCCGAAAGACTTAATCGTGAATACCTTTTCTAGGCTACTCGTATGCAACAAAACACGTAAACTAGTTTTGTTTACCACATTCTATAGCATTAATGCTGGATTCGTTAGAGAAACTCGAGTTCTTGAGATCGGTTGGCCGGCTATGAATACTCCACCTGGAAGGATTGCTTATTCCCTAGGGCAGCCTAGCTTTGAATGTGGTGGACTTTCCCGCCCGGACATAACGGAATTATTACGCTTTCATTTCCATGCCTACTTTTTTCCTTGATCGCAACTCGGAAAATACCGCTACCCTGTCGCTGTCAACGGTGAGGGGCCATCCGTTGACGATGTACACGTACCTTGATCTACTCGGTACCGAGTACTGTGTCTCAAAGCCAATGCAGCGTGATTGGTGAAGAAATCCGGGACTGTCGCAAAAATCGGAACCGCGTCGGAAACGGCACGGACCCTAGAGATTCTGCGAAGACCGAGTGCCAGTGGGGTTCCTAACGGCGTAACTCAGTTTCTCAGAGTCGGGAGGGGTTGCGTCAGCTACGGGACCGAACTCTGCTTATCCATCATTGGCGCGCTGGCTTCATTTTCCCTATGTCCGTGATTGACGGAGGGGTTCAATGCACACACAGGCTTACTAAACACGATAATGTTGCCCATCTCTGGATATGTCTCGATATTCGTCGAGAAGGGTGTAGTTGCAACCATGGCCGTGGAATCCAAGCTGAAAAGTGAGACTATATAAGTACTATCTATAATCTCGCTTGCCGATAGAAAGCTGTCTTCCACTCTCAGCCTCACTCTTCCCCCGCATTCATCATCTTACCTCTAGGGTCTCTTATCCGAAGCCGGCTATCATTCTACCTAGGTCCTCAGAGCCTCGGGAATATATTAGTAGAAATAATGTCTTTTACCTCGTGTTGTCTTAAGACCTTCACGTGGGGTGGCACACCCACCGGTAAGGAGGTCAAGCTAGCCAACAACGACGCCTATGTCACGGGCGACAACAAGGACGCTGCCGTCCTCATTATCCACGACATTTTTGGCTGGAAGTACCCCAACGTGCGCCTGCTCGCCGACCACTATGCGCGCGAGGCCAACGTCACCGTCTATGTGCCTGACTTCTTCGACGGCTGGGTCGTCGACTGGTCCCTCGTCGAGACTAACCAGTTCGATAAGATAGATTTGGCTGCCCTGGCTGCTGAGAACTCTCGCGAGATCCGAGGCCCCGAGAGTAAGTGAAAAACACTGCGTCCCCTTCATTATACGATCGCATGTCGTAGATCGACATCTTTATAAACCCATCTCACTCGTTTTAATAATGGCTAACCGCTCCACATCACAGTGGTAGCATGTGCAAAGGCCCTGAAGAGCGAACACGGCTTCAAGCGTCTAGCTTCCATCGGCTTCTGCTACGGCGGCTGGGGCGTCTGCTATCTCGCCTCGAAGGAGCGCGGCGAGAAGCTCGTGGACACTGTCACCATGGCCCACCCCTCAGTAAGTATTCCTTGAAGCCATTTTACTTCTTATATAGTACAGGGCAACTAGCGGGGGTAAATTTCTCCCTTGAGGGAGGACACCAGAACGTCCCCGGGACCAAAAAGAACTCCTCAAACCCCTAGATATCATTACCTAAAAGAGTAACTACTGACTCTAGCAAACTTTAGTGGCTCGTCGAAGAAGACATCGCCAATCTCACCGTGCCTGTTCAGATCTTGGCCCCTGAGTTCGACCAGGCTTTCACCCCAGAGTTGAAGTCGTACACGTTCAAGACGCTGCTGGAGCTGAACCTGCCGTTCAACTACGTGCACTACCCTGGCATTGTCCACGGCGCCCTTGTCCGGGGAAGTGACGAGGTGCCCAAGGAAAGAGAAGCCATGGCGGCGGCGAAGAACTCTGCTGTTACTTGGTTCAAGCAACAATTGCATTAGGCTAGCTGGCTGTTTTCGGCTGCCTTGGGGATTAACTGTTAGAGTCTTGTGATTTTAAGACGGCAATTGGGATCGGATATACCTAGAGTAAAATAGTCAAGGGCTCCTTCTGGTCGAGCCCATGGTATTTATAAAATAAGACACAAATATCGTTAAATATCGCTACAAGCCTTGTAACCGATAATTAGATCGCGGCCGCAGTCAATCAAAACTGTACAGCTATGCCCTGAAGTGTGCGATTGATATCACCATAGGTTACGGAAGATGTGAGAATGAGTGCTTGTCCGTCATTGCTTATGTGTGTTACATATGTCGATACCCCTTCCTGAAAGAAAATACGTAACTGCTTTATGAAATTTGGGTTGTATGTCTGCCTCAGGGGAACGAATGATTAGTCCATGACGTAAGGCCCATCATTTAAATCCGTTTTCTGCTCATCCCGGGGCCCGTAGCAGGATATTCTCTCCGATCTCACTTTCCCACCTTTCCCTCAAGCTTGTGCGTCTTATCGGTACAACACCGTACACCGTTCCAAGTTCGTAGATGAACTCAGGGAGAAATTGACACGATTGTTGTCTGAACGCTTCGCTTGACTCATAATGAGTTTTCACAGAGATGTGTACTAGAATCCCAGAAAACGTAACTTCAGAAGGGATTGGACAGTGACCCATGAACCAATGTTATTCGCTCATAATCAGTACGTGCCGTGCAAATATATCCTGATTCCGATTCGCGTTTGCAAATCCCTGCTTGATACCAGCTAATGGTGTGGAAGTCGTGTAAGCGTAGGTCGTCTCGCCGATTTATCGCCCCCCTCCCCACACGGAAACCTCTTGCTGGTCCATGATGGAATAAGATGACATGTATGGTTTTTCTTTGGATACTGCTCCATCCTACATATTCAATGATTATGCATTTTCTCTTCTGGTTCTGGTATGCGTAGCCGAGGCGTGTCGGGGTGCTATTTTGGCGTAAGCACTGAATTGTTACGAAGAGCTATTGTAAGGTGAAGCCGTTCTCGATGGCTGCCTTCGCTTGGGTCATTGTAAAATGGCCTCTGTCTCGCTCCTACTAACAGTTGTTCAGCATAATATGCTATCACTCATAGCAAATAAGAATTCTGACGTACTTGTAGGACGACGCATGTGGTCAGGATTACGAAATGGGGAGCCATGGAAATCTGAATAGGTCGACGAAGGGAATCCCAAGAAGGGCTTGGCCCAGAAGCTGAAGTATGATGGCAAGAATCAAGAAGAAGACGATGCACATGTTGAACTTTGTCATTCGTAGAGGTCGGCTGTTCTTGGCGGGAAATCAAACGGGTCAGGCAAGTTCTTATACTTCATCGCCCTTAGGCTAACGGCTAGAGGTAGTCTCGAAATTCATCTACGCACGTGTAGGTTGGGGAATAGGCTAGATTGTCAAGTGGTCGGTCAAAGCGCAGTGTTTTCTCGCTCTTTGATGTCCAGTTGCATGTGAATCAACTTACGTAGAAGTTTCTGGCTATGTGACACTAGATCACCGAAAGCCAACGATGGGATGTGAGAAAAGGTCAATTTTGGAAGGACAAGAGAACCAGTGATCTTGTACACAAGACAGTCTGTTACAAGACATCCTGGAAAACAAAGAAAATTCCCATCAATCTGTGAATGAGCTTTGGGACCGCTTTGGCATACTCTTCACCCAATGGATTTATCGAAAGTCATGGAACACACTTCACATACCTAAGCTTGACAACCAATACAGCAAGCTTCTCGAAAGCCATGATTATCAAGACTGAGAATATGGCCTGGTAAGGTCAGAGCCATGTTATCAAAATATTACTAATAACTGTCTAAGTACCTATGACAAATTTGTGATTACAAGCAATTTTCTGCATGAGCAGAAATCTCAACGCCGTAACCATGCCAGTAAAAACGATGTCTTGGACATGGATTTACGTGCCCGAAACAACTCGGTCTAGGTGTAATTAAAACATGCTAAACAGCGGCTTATGCGAATCTCACCTCGTTGAACAGACCAGCTCGTACTTGAATTAGGCTAGCAAGTTCGAGGAGGAAGGATTGGTATATAATAATATTGGTCAAAATGTGCGACACGGAAGCTTCCTTCTCCTTCAGTGCTTGTAGCTCGGGGTTTTCCTCGATTTCGTCTTCTTCAGCCGCGACCTGGGCTTCGGTTGGGTCAATATCATCCTCGACTTCCTCTTCTTTGTTTTCATCATCTAAACTCTCGCTTCTACTTGTCTTTTTTCGGTTGAAATCGAGAAGTATTGGCTCCACATTGAGCTTGGGTAGGCCGATCCTTTTGGACAGAATTCCTTGGTCCACGGCGGCAAAGGCAGCAACCTGGCTTGCCACAGGACTGCCATTGCCACCTATACCCGATCCATCGTGACTGCTGGGGGAGAATGATCTGCCCGAGCCTGATTTACCAGGGCTTTTCCTTGGACTTTTCCCGGGACTGTTATAATTCAGTGGAAACTCCTTTGGGGGCACTGGTATAGGTCTGGATGTTGGCGTTGTGGCCCGGTGGCCTGCTGATTTCGTGGATCCATTGCCAGAGCTACGCGCAGCCTCGTTGCGTCCACGGGGACTCCCTGATCGACTTGGAGTGCTTAATTCGGAGAGTATCCTCTGAAACCCCCCCAGGGCACTAGGTCTGACGGGCGAAGCTGGTCTTGACCCTCCACGGCTCGATGTGTCGACAGCCGCAGCTCCTGCAGCAGACGTGGTTGGCGCATTCTGCTCGTTGGGTACTATGGCATCGGCTGTTTGGAAGGCTTCGCGACGCTGCTGCATAAGCTCGTCAAATCTTGGGATCGACTCTCGAAAAGCTACAACTTGGTCTGCAAGCGCTTCCAGAACTCGTAAGATTCGAGGGAGGCTTGAGGATTGCCACCTTGGTCTTCGACGACATCTACTAATCGCTTGTAGCTTTTCAAGCTCTTTAACTGCGCTTGCAGACGGGTCCGGAATAGGAGAGGAGGGTTCATCTGGATTATCGTCAAACACATATGTCCTGGGGTGACGCAAAAGCCAGCCTTCTATCGCGATGTATCCGCAAACTGCTAAATCCAAAACGGCTTCGGTAGCCGATAGATTGACTTCAATGGGGTTAATAAAAAACTGTTCCATGATATCAAGTAAATTGTGCAGGAGGGGGTCTTCGGGACTCAGCGTATGTGGCGGCACATCGCGAGGTGCCCCGGGCAGACTATCAGGTATGGCAGGCAATTTGTGATTGTGGGTTGACACTTTTGGAGCCACAAGCTTCAGAGAGCAGGGATGACCCTCTACCCGAGTCATAGTGTCCTTGAGGATGTTGTCATAAATTTCGTCAAAATTATCTTGACCACCTATTGTACTAGCTAGCGTCATGAGGAATTCGACCTCTTGTTGATGAGCACCCATAGTCCTATGGGAGATGTTTCGGTCAATTCCTTGGGTGTGTAGAAGCGTCACGATAGCGTAGCGATGATGCCGCTTAAGAATCGTTGCTACGAGCTGTATTGTGACACACACGGTTTGGTCATTTTCAGATTTGAGGCACGCATGGATCAAATCAACCAAATTGAATAGCAATGGAGAATAACTCGACTCCATCTTCGATGCCATCATAGTCGCTAGATCCATGGACTTTCGTTTTCTAGCAGCACTCACGGCAGGCTCAGAATAGTTGCGTGCAGATGAATCCGTATCCGGAAGGGCTAGCAGATAATGAAGAATTAAATTAATCATATCGGGATGATCCAGCGACTCTAAAATGCGGCGTAGATAGGTGAGAACGGCCACTGATGAACCTCCGTCCACATCGGAGGACTCCAGAAGCGATGGGTATCTATGAGTGTTAGTACTCGCTCGCGAGGATGACACTGGGAACTGACAAAAGTTGCTGCAAGAAAATAATCTGGAAGTGCTCAAGAAGAGTAGATTTGACCTCGACAGATCGGCAATGGTTGAGTACGTCCTGCCAAAATAAGAGGTGAGATAAGAACGTATCCATGTGTAGCTGATAGTCAGGGCTGCATGAGCTGACAATCTCAAATGTTGTCACTGGGTGTTCATAGTCAGAGAAGGCAAGAGCAGGCGGCAGGCCCTGGGGAGGGTGATCGATGACGAGCTTCCGGCTAAGCTGGCTATACAAGGCGCCTAAGCCGGTTGCCATGAGTGTCGAAAGGTCGCTTTCGACAATCCATTGCTCGAGCTCCACGGAGTTGGAAGCTGCTTCAATAATGTATAGGAGTCCTGTTCGTGCGAAATCGCCTACTTTGCCCTCATGATGGATATAATCCATGAGAAGATAGAATAGGGGGAAATCCTGCTTCTGCGTTCTACCAGCGAACTTCTCCCTCTCATCCTTAAACTTATCGTCTTGGGTCCCAGCACTTGTGTGGACCTTGAACCAAGCGGGCAAGATCTCGGGCTCCAGCCTGATCTTGGTGGTAATGTTGAAAGCCAATTCGACAACTTTGACTTCGGTTTCCAAGCCTAAGCGTATACTATTGGCACCAGTGATGCGGACCAGCAGGTTGGTTAAGCTCGCGGAGAACGCATCGTTCTCCACGAATGACTCTTCTTCACTTTCAATAAGGCTGGCAAAGAAGAGCACGGCTTCCTTAATAATCCACTCATTGTACGAGGTAGTGGCTATCTTGGCGATGGGGATATATATCTGCTTTGTGGCAGCGAAGGAGATACACGGGTGTGGCAACGGTCGGCGTGATTCTTCAGCAAGGATGTTGGAAAGTTCCTGGAGACGGACCTCGAGGACTTCGGCAGCGTCGACATCGCGGGCGAGGTTGGAACAGTTTCGCCAGACGTGCTAAGTCACGAAGGTGTATTAGCAGACTGTGACGAAAGTCGACAAAGGCCGACGAGATGTCAGGGGGACAATACCAGCAGCTGACTATATTCCTTCTCGAAACGCTGGCGGCGCCTAATGGGGTCCCTTGCGGCATCCCTCGCAGAGTGTTTCGAGGATAACGGCGTGTTCGCTATGAGGCGCGACCACTGGGACAAGACATTCATTTCGTCAGCAAGTGGTTTCTAGGAACGGGATCTAGAAGTAAGCCTGAAGAGGGCGAGACGGCGAGAGGGACTGATTAAACTGACAAAATCCATTGCGGCTCGAAAGACGTCTCATCTCTGCAGGCTATCCGGATGAGGAGGTAGGTAGATATCGAAGGAACGGGCTGCCAGACGTGGCACACGGGCACTGCACAGCTCTGTGTTGCGCCCGGACGCATGAATCTATCCAAGCCTGGTGTTTGAGATGATTCCTCAGAATGATTAGCCGGGAATGGCCAGGCTAGGGCTACCCATGCAGTTTCTCATGCGGTAGGTACCTACCTATCTACGTACCTAGGTAGGTACTTACCTAATTAAGCAAGTATCTTATCTGGGTACCTAGGTAGGTAGTTCTCCCTTGGCATGGTCTGGGGGTTAGGTGCCTGCTATCTGCTTACCGGTAGCGCAGCCACTAAGTGCTACAGCACTGGCATGCACCTATCTACAGCCAGCAGTAGACATAGTCCGGTTATGTGATCAAATATTAAATTTTCTAACAATTATATATATATAACTAGTTACGCTTTTTCTTTTGTTTCCCCTCATAATCATATTCTACGCTCCAGATATGCGTCTCCCAACTTAAACATTCAGCTCTGCTGTGGTAGTTTCCGTGATGTACCTCATGTACGGCACTAGCTTTAACTCCACAGGTCCTCCGGCACCGCAATATTTCTCCACGATCTCAACGCTCCGGCCAGTATAGCTAGGAAATGGGTTAGTCTGTGATTGTTCATGCAGCGTTGAGGTTATAGAAGGAACTGGAAGGGAAGAAGCTCCGTACAGTGAAGGATCCAGCATGCCATCCAGCTCGCCCCAGATTGGCTTGAAGAATTCATTGCTCTTAATGCGCGCGACGAGGTCATTGGCCTTACCCTACAATAGAAATTCAGCATTAGTCAATAAGTCCTCAGGGGTGGTGAAACATAGTTTCCATACCTCGTTCTTGACGACACTTCCTGCTTCGTGCGAGAGGACGCGGATCTCTTCATGAGCACTGGTAAAAGTCAGTCTGGTGTTCCATGCAACCTTCCATGCACGATTGAAAATTACTGACTCTTGTCTTGATGCCCCTTTGGCCACGAGCTTCATGATTATCTGCATAGTTTGTCAATAGAGATCATCTGAAGCTGGACTCGAAGGAATGGCTGAGTGCTTTTCCGCTCGACAATGGAGTGCACGGTGAAATTTTTAACTTACACTTTCGGTAATCATAAATGGCAGCTCTTCAAGTACACGACTTTGGATTCGCTTCGGGTATACTACCAGTCCATCTGTAATATTATCGAGACCAAGAAGGATAGCCTCAGCCAGCAAGAACATATCTGGTATATCCATTCCTACAAGAGGCAGTTAGCGGACTACTTGAGACATAAATATATCTGATGCATGTCGAAGTGCTCAGAAGGAGAAGAGATGGGTCTGAGAAAACTTACTGCGAATAGCCGAGTCGTCGAGCGTCCTTTCGGCCTGTAATCTAGCGTGAGCCTCTGCGATCTATGAAATGCAGTGTTAACGTTGATTTACCCATTGGTCCGAAAGCGTGTTTGCGAAATTAGCAGGTTTCGACATCAATTCACGTGCTAACGAATACACTCTCTCTGAGCGCATAGGACTTTAACCAAGTGTCAGTACACCCTAGTGCGGAAACCAGACGGAAGGGATGAGTCGATTCCAGTGAACCCGTATTAACTTACTTGCGCTTGTAGGCCATCGCCGAAGACCCTATCTGATTTTGTTCTAGAGAGGTGAAAATCAGCTACAGTTTTCTGAGACACGTAGAATATTGTCTTCAAAGATTCTCGGACTAAAGAAGTGCATAGGCGCGACCGATACTAGAGGCTCTCTCCATATGAAACGAGAAAGCATGTAATCAGATAGTCAATATGTACTTACCAAAGGGTTCCTCAATCTCCTTCCAGTTGGCAAGATGACGAATGTCACCGCAAATCTTTTGTGCAGTAGCGCCAAGACCCGAGACAGCATTGGCGATTATTAAGTCTACTTTGCGTGTACTTTGGAGTTGATGTTAGTATATATGTGGAATTCATCGCTGACCGTACTTCAATCACATTGATGTGAATAAGTGAATACTCGCAAAGGAGAATAAAGAATATAAATGAAGCAATCGTCTTACTATGTTTGGGTTGAAATGTCCTACACAAGTTAGAGAAGCTCATTTCCAATACTGTTTATGAACTTACATAGCAACTTGGAAACCCAAGCTTCGTGCATAATAGCGCATTAAGTTGGTCGCATTTGGAGGAGTCGCCTTGGAAGCTATGAACAAGTTAGTATATCAGGTCTTTCGCTCGTGTGAGCTTCCTCATCGTTGCCATAGGCGATGCCCAATAACTTACATCTCTGTCATACGTTAGCAGACCGCGTCGGATGATATGGCTGAGTTCAAGTCTCCTCATAGAGAAAAGTCTCTTACTGCATAGGTGTTAGCCAATATATCTAATAGATGATTTGGAAGACGAGGATTTTAATAAAGCAGTCTCGTACCCTAAGAAGGAGGCTCTGCGCGACAACAAGAATTAGTACAATCGACATCAAGATTCCTTCAACGTGATCATTGCAGAATAGACTAGCTATAAGTCTGCTAGAGGGGAGCGAGAGAAGATTTCGTACTGCGTTCCGGTTGTTCCTGGGCTGTGTCAGATATCTGGCTTATTGATGATGGCTATCAAATTGGCTACTGATGCACTGAAAGAGGGTATAAGAGTCTCCGATAACATACCTTGAGCACCGCGAAATTTGAGATCATTTCGCACTTGTTCGATAGCGCGAATATCGAACTGTACGGTTGGTCAGAATAATTCAAAAAGGTCGCTCACGATAAACAGGTTGTCCGAAGGGCGATGCGTTGACATACCATTAGGTCTTGTACCCATTGGGCGGCTGCTTAGGTGTTAGGATCGACCTTTGCAGCATGTTACAGTCCCTCGTAGAGCAATCAGAACTCACCTCGCTTCCCAACAGTGATCTAAGGTAGAAGTTACTATGTGATTGCTGACACTTAAAGGTAGCCGCACAGTGCTGGCCAGATAATCTATCAGAGTAGCTGTGGAGGAACTAGGAGACATACCAATTGTGCTGGTTGAAGGTGGGTGTAGGCAAGTGTTGGTTCCTCTTCAAAGATATTAGTATCTAACATTCAAGACAACATGATCGAGTTTACCTTTCCACTGCATGGCAAAGTTTGACAGATTCCAGATGACTTTAGCCAGTCTGTTGAGCAGAATATCTAAAGCATCCCGCATGATGACCAACTCGGCGTTGTCGGTCACAAAGCAACTCGTTGCGCCATAGTGAATTATGCCCGCCGCAGCGGGCGCAACGATGCCGAATGCGTGGACATGCTAGACTCTCATCAGTCCGGGCAGAAAGTATACGGACGAAGCAGCTCACAGCCATGACATCCTGGGACACCACACGTTAATACAATACGTCAATTGACGATTTCAAGTCAATAGACTCACATGCCGACGCTTCTTCTCTTCAATCCGGGCGATCTCAAAATCCGAGTCGGTGACATAGAGATGAGATCTCATCTCATCTAAGGCCTCGAGGCTGATGGCATCGATTCCCAGGGCTCTTTCGCTCTCAGCTAGAGCCAACCAGAGCTTACGCCATATACCTATCCTTGATCGTTGACTGAACAGCTCAGACATAGCGGCGCTACAGTAGCGGCGGGTTAGGACCGTCTGGTAGGCATCATACTGGTTGCTGCCTTGGGCTTTGATACGCTCAAGCTCCCCCTTGACGTCCTGCAATTGCTTCTCTTTATCCGTCATGGCAAACACTGTCGAAAATGCCAACCAGCCGAGGAAGTAAAGAATACAGGAGGGGAAGAAAAAGAGAAATTCGACTCTCGTCGTCGGTTTCGGACGTGTGGAAGGTTCTCTACGGTGTGGTGTCTGTCAGACGTCGTTACACTGCTAGTGGGTAAAAAAAGATTCGAGAATAAAAGCGATGCAATGCGCCAGTGTGTGCCTCCCTAGTCTAGCACGTGCTGCTTCCATGGCCGGCATCGCAGTTGACGCCGCTATGGACGCAGCGCTGCGAATGCGCACCAATCAATGCGTTCGAAGTAGGTACAGCCCTGGTTTGCCTTGAACCTGCCTTGAATACCCCTCGGTGGGGTCTGGAGGGGCCCTGGTAGGCAGGTACTAGTAGGTACTAGTAGGTACCTAGAGCGTCTGCGGGGCTCACGCTGCGGGGTCCTGTTGGGGTCTGATCGTCCTGGCCGAGCTGGCTTACAGCACACACTAGGTAAGTAAGTACTTACTTAGGGAAGTCAGTATCAATGATAAAGTATCTAAGTACCCAGGTAGGCACGATGTTATCCCACTAGACCAATGAGGCTGCCTAAGACTACCTGATCAGGTACTTCGTACCTACTCGAGCTACTCTCTAACCGACCTAGCTTACCCTTCGAATCTGCCAAGAGAAGTTTCTGTCGATCAGAGCTCTAGACTACATACTATGTACATACCGGTATTCTCTGAATATCATAAAGTTTCATGAAGGGGTTTAACAAGGCATGTGCATAGCCGTAAGCGATCTGGATGTTCGGCCGGACGAGGGTATAACATCGCGATCCCACACAGTAATACGTGCGCTTTGATTTCAAGCCATTGAGTTTTGAGATTCCTTTGTGATTCACCTCAATCTATAACTCTATCTCTCTTGTTCTCTTGCTCAAACTAAGGGGAGCTCAAAGAGCTAAATTCGGCTGAACAATAACATCAAAGAAAATCATATTCATCTGATTTAAACAATGACATTTTACATAGCACTTGTTCATGAACAGTTACACTGAATTCTTTAGAACGCCATCAAACATTGATCCAATTTCATCACTAGCCAAATTCCTAAAAGAAGACTGTGTAGAACAATGAGGTGGTTGGAATTAGGATGACTACGATATATAGAGAGGCCAATGCTAGGAAAGTAGGTTCATTCCAGTGCTCACAACTCAGCTGCGCTGAAGCTACCCACTATTGCCTTATCTTACTACTAATCTTTATTCACCTCATTCATCATGAGGTACGGTCAAAACGGGGCCAACAACCTCGGTCAATACCGAGTCGGCGGTTTGGGCCACGGCTCTGGCAGCAGCAGCTTCAATCGAAACGTCACGGGAACGGGCTACAAAGGGAGAAACTTCGACCCCAACTTTCACAGTCGAAGAAACGAAGGCAGAGAATCGGGTTATAAGGGCAAAAACTTTGACCCAAATTATTACAACCGGCGGGGTCTAGGCGTTGATACGATCAACAATTTTGTTCGAAACAATCTTGGCCAGCGAAACAGTAGAGAGGGCTATCAAGGGAGGAATTTCAACCCAAACTATCAGAACCGTGGCGACAGAGGGCCCCAAAACCCCTTTCACCAAAGTCACCCTGGCCATATAGACCGGTGTCAGTGTACAGCTCTTCCCCTGCTTTTTCTATCAAACTTTTCCGAGAAAGTCCTTCACACATTACAAGCAGACCGAGACGGGGACCAGAACATGTGCTATTGCGGGCAACCAGGAGGAGCGCAGTGTTTTCACACGATTACAGAGCTTTATCAAAACAGTTTGGTAAATGCAGCGGAGCTACAAACCGAGCTCATTAAACTCTTGGAATTTCTCATGTCTGATAATGAGAAAGATCAGGCATATATTCGCGGAGCCCTAGGCCTGTTCTTAAAAGATAACCCAGACAGCATTCTCGAAAACGTGGTGGAAGCCATGGGTGCAGTCCACATCGCGGAAACCGAGGACCCAGAGAATGATCTGAATGAATTTTCTCTATAATTAGATACAAAAAATAATATTGTTGAAAACATTTATATTGTTAACTGTGACAACTGAAATGTTAAATTATACATGGCTCGGTAAATAATCCCTTAGATAGGTGAATACCTGTTACACGCGTACAAGCTTCACAAGCTGTACTTGCTGACTATGTGTTACACGTGTAACCTCTGTGCTAGCTGAATATGCAGTTCGCCTTGCACTTCGGCCGTACGAAGGACCATTGCAGGCTGTTCATGATCTTTCAAGACATGCAGGCAATATTGGGCAATATTGGAAAGTGAGGTTATACAGACTTCGCTTCTTGAAACAGACCCCAGAGACCCAGGCGGCCTGGGCTGCGAGACCATTTGTATATAGAGTCGAGTCAAGCCACCAACAGCCAAGAAGGAGTTGGTTGGTCAAGGACTCATGCAGCCCTAGTTGATCATTGTAATCTAAATAGCTTCAAGTTCCAAGCCCAGTCATCTACCCTTGTTATAACACCAGACGATATTGTAGTTTGAAATTTACATGAGCTTAAAGTAACTATATAGCCATTAACCATGTTTGTTTACAACTTGCCAAAATGTACCTTATATAACCTTAATATCTTCACATAGTTTAGTCCCAAACTTACTGTTATATGTACCCAACTAGTACGTGCAATTTGACAGAATTATGAGCAGGGTCTATAAAATCAATATGGAAAGAAGCAAGTGTATTGCGCCAATATTTCTATCGCCTATAATTATAGAAACATTTTCCTTTTTAACTGATTGAGAATTGAATGATCGAGTTCTTTTCACCTATTGCAATGACTACTAGCTTTCTTGGCAAGCTTGGTCAGCGCTCGCAACATTCGTCCTCTCCTTTCGTCTTCATCGATGTGGCTGTCCCTGAACTCTACCAGAATGAAGTCGCCACAGTTACGCTGCTGCATCAGTGTAAGGTCTCTACAATCGAGGTGAGTCTGGTAAGGAAGATCGAGATTGCAGGTTTGCTGTGCTAAACCAGACTGGCGAATCTCGCCTCGTACCGTATCAGGAGGGCTATTGTTCCAGACAACATATGCCTCCATTTGAAGAGCCGCTATATATCCCTCCGATTCATGATGTAGATCTCGAGCAATTTTCGACAGACTTAATGCTATATGTGAATCGGGGGAGATGCCATCCTTGGGTTCATATTGCCACTCCATAGCCGCCTCACAACTTGGCGTGTCTTCAGACTGGGGACATCTTCTGCAATTCAGATGTCTAAATACAACTTGGTATACCTCAGGTCCAGAAACAACTTCTAGTTCGGTGTCCATAGTGTCTAGAAACGGGTTATTGTTAGTAGGTTGTGGGGTGGATGACATATTTCTTTCTCAATTGTGTTTACTTGCACAAATATTAATCATCATAGAATTATCACTGAGATTCTCTCCAGCCTTTATACAAAGCATGCAAAACATGGTTTCTGATGGTAAAAGAACTCGATAAGCGTATTGTTCAGTTAGGTGAATGACACCACCGAATGCTAGTCTTTCACGTATCCATGTCAATATAAGTCCTTTGATAGTCAATTGTACTCTTTTCTTAGAGTCCTTAATTTTGAACATTACTTCTAATCCATTCAGTTGGCCTTTGAGCTACGCCTGTCTTCATTTACAGTCGCTCCCGTGACTTACTGGATACTTGCGTTCAAAAGGGGGCTATACCATAGAGACCAATTCTTAGCTGTAGCTATACAACACATCTGACAACAATTACACTATTGGTCATAACAAGGAAGCGTCAAAGACTAATAATAACCTTCGGTAACTTCCTAAAGGCTGAGATTATACGTGGGAACAATGAAAATGCTTTGACCAACAATTCTATTGTTCTCGGACAAGGCTAGCCCGGGGGTCTGCTAATGAAACAGTGTCAATTCTCTTCTTCTATTAAGATCTATATAAGTAAGTGGATTCGCTTAGCCAGTAGTTTAATTTCAACATCATACAGTAATCAAATCTCTTTCTATAACGAAAACGAAAATGACACCAGCAGACGTATCTCACCACACTAGAAATATCGGAGTCAAAGCACCATGGGGTTGCCAGGTGGAAACCACGTTGAATATCACAGGTCCGAAAAGCATAGCTTTCAGCAACATCACACGGCACAAGACGGACCCAGCTATCTGTAAGTGTCGTCGAAATCCAAATAAAGAGTTGGAACTCGCTGAAGAAGAAAAGGTCGCACGTCACGTGCATACTCTTTGGGTTACCGGGAAGTGCGATGCCCTAGAAATGGCGCATGTTTTTGCTAAATTGAAACTCGGGTTACCCGTCCGAGAGGAGTTTGATCTTCATTGGAACGAAGAAACCAAAACCTGGGGGAATAACAACCCACAGAGAGCGAAAGATCCGGCAGTTACTAGTGCGTTCAACTCGTCCGTGGCAATATTTGATTCTACTAATTAGAAAACAGAATTCATATTCAGTAATAAATCGTGTAACACACTCTTATATATATACTTATATCTTTGTCACGCTCTTTTGTTATCAGTGAACTAAGTAGTAGTCTGGTAGGAGTGTTGCTACTTTATTAAGAAAACTTATGTATCTTGGAATGTAAACTCAGGGTAAGAAGTTGTTTTCATGTTTTACACAAATACTACTTAGATGAAACAGCAATCATATTAGTCTGAAAGTCTCCGTAGGAATGTTTACCCTTCGTCTTCGGACAAGCTCAGCCAACTTTCCTGACATTAGATCCCAATGATGTAAATAGCAATCACCTACCAAGACCCAGTCACTTGCAGAAACCTGTCGCAAAATAAAGGCCATGTGTCCGCCATACAGCGAAACGACTTGGTCCCCGGGCTTCATCGTATCCGGCCCAAGCCCGAGGAATCCCTGCTGCGTGCGAAATACCCGGCGATGATGTATGAAGTTCCAAACCCCTACATGGTAATAAACAGGGCTAAGACTAGCGTCACGCACAGCTCTGGACTGAGGCATTAGATCCGGGTAAGCTGACTCTGGGAAGCCGTAGAAAGAAGCGAGCCAGTGGCGCGCTTGGTTTCGTGCGTGTTCCGCTAATGTCTGTAGACCCTGAAGCCGATCACCTAGCTCTCCTAGCTGATCTGGCATGGTCATTGCTAGGCCAGTTCCACCAGCACATAAAGTTATGAAGAATGCAGTGTCGAGCTGCTCAGCACCCCCGATGTACTTTAACGGCGTGCGTGGAAACAGTGGGAACTCGAACAGGTCACTCCATAATCGGCGAATAGGGAGTGTTCCATCCTCATCAGATCGGACTGGTCCGCACACAGATGCTATACCATCTACTCTGAAACCGTCTAGCTGCAGTACATTTGGCTCTATGGGACGCCCCCTTAACGGACTATCGTGGAGCTCCGCGAAATACGCGTAATGGCCGTTGAGGGGTATGCCTGGAAGGAACAAGCGGGCTGGGAAGAACGTGCAGGATTGGGGTTCGTCGAACCGCGGTACCCATGACGGCCACGAATTGGACGGAGTCGGACCGCGCGTATGTTGGACATGAGACAGGACGTCGAGGAGACGAGTAGCTTTACACATCATAAATCTCGTGAAGTCACGATATACCTCCATTACAGATTTTGTATAATTCGGTGTCATCGCCGGGTTTCGTTCCGTCCTCTGAAACCCCCGCGCTTCTGCCTTTTTCCCGAGCCAGATAAATGCTTTCTGCATCGTTGATAATATGCGCGCATTATTCCCCGAGACAAGTGCGTCCATGTTGGCTAACACAGGTTCCAGGCCTTCGTCAGAAATACCCAGAATGGCAAATAGGCGATCTCGAGGATCTGTAGCTTGGAAGTTTCGCATGTTCATCAAAACTTGTAGCATACTGCCAACCGACGACTCGACCTTCAAGGCATGTGGCTTCCATTCCCTGGTCCTTTGCTGATACACCTGGCTCCAGAATCTAAGCGGACTATATGGCTTTTGTAGCCCACGGAGCTCATTGATGAGTGCCGTGAGTGAGAGGAGATCGTAGAAATTGAAATTGGTATTCCCGCTTTGGCAAATACACTCTTTGGAAGCTACAACCTCTTGTATACACCATACGCGCTCAAAGTACGTTGTCTCAAGAAGCTGTACAAGGTCATGCATCGATTGTCTGGCAGCATCAGCACTACCAGCTTCTGCGATCAGACTCTCTAGAAGTACCCGGTTTATCTGCATGTTCGTCTGTTGGGATGCCGATTGAAGGCTATTACCCCCATGAGCCGTTGGAAGGAGCATGGCTCTATACTCGCAGAGCTCGCGAGCGCGTGTCAAGCCTCTTTTAGTGACTGCGGTCTCTGGCCCCAGCCAGACGACGACTCGACTCGCATACTGATATACTGCAATATCTCAATCATCAATGGATGTCTTAAGCATAGGAAGAAAATTATCACAGTATACATAACCCTCCAAACATCCGAGGACTGGAGCAATAAGACAACGACTACCACACGCACTTACCAAGCCTCATATAAGCAACCTGGCGGGCTCGCTCGTCAATATCCTGCTGATTAATACATATGGCATCAACCCAGAGTGGCCGAGGGAGAGTTGGGTGGCGGAGTGCTAGCAAGGCATGCTGTAGATTCGATGTTATGGGAATGTAATTGCCATCGCACTTTATGGGCTGTTGAGCCTTCTCAGTACCCCATACATACGACAACGCTTCGTATGCCAACGGACTATTCGCGATGTCGACAGTGATCAGTGTACACTCAAGGGTATCTGTGCCTGTTCCTGAAGAAAGGCACATCAATCGCGTGAATGGCGAGGCCTTGCCTACTTCCGGCACAGGCGGAAGAGCCTCATAGCGATATGTAGCCATTGGACCGAGAGGATATCTGTAGTCAAGAACACTTTGGCAATCATTCGCATCTCGAAGATCATTACCATCGTGGCTAAGAATAAACTCATACATCTCTTCACCTCGGGGTGCTTTTCCTACTTGGTCCAAGCCTCTTCTCTTGATTCTTGGCAAGGAGGGGGCATCGTATCACATCGTATTTTGTAGTCTAACGAGATGGCCTCCATGATACTAAAGGCTAACCACCGACTTGTGATTGGCTTGCCCATTGACATGTAGTACCTACGAGGTAGGCTAAAGCCACAGTATTGGGATCTAGGCTCCCTTTCAGCTCAGCTGCATCTGAAACAGCGGCTTACCGGGCTTTTCTAAGGCGCACAACTTACCCAGGCGTGTTCCCCTTGAACAACACTTAACGTCTCCCTCGCGTGACCGGATATCCGATTGCAACGGCGGGATGCGGTGGTTTGTGGGTCTATCTACGGTGGTGGTTTGTGGTGGAGAGTGCTCGGATGCCGATGAAAAGATTTGTCATCTCTCACAATTGTCGTCAAGTGTCATGGTTTCAGAAGTTGTGGGTTTACCGGATCTATTGCTTTTTGCTGGCAATCCTTAGCTATCGAGCGATAGCCCCGAGAGATCGATTAGTACAAAGGCCTAGTGTTCAGCCCTGGAAGTAGGCAGGGTTGCTGCGAGATTAATTACCTAGGTGCCTACTACCTACGAGAATAAGTCGTACAACCATGAACATCTAAGCAGTAGTAACCACCCACCACCTGTAGCTACAAGGAGCCTGTGTGTCGTGACTGTGATCGTGTTGTAATTTGAAGTATATGATGTATTGCCGAAGAGCAATGCTTTCTTGTTTCATCGACTTCTGCTCGTGCTAACTATCACTCGATCCCGTCAACTTGTCTCGTCAGATCGGATGTCCTACATCTAGCCGAGAACTACCGGTAAAATGAGACGGACGGCATGACGTAGCTAATGGAGAAGACCCTGAAGTGTTGGAAATCAGGGACCTAGAGCGGCAATATCTCTAGGACCAAAGGCCTCTATAAAAGTCAAACGCGTATGAGCGCTGTCGTAAATAGTGCCTTTGAAGGTAATGCCTAGATGTGTTTATGTTGTTATCTGTTGATACTCTTTCGTCGTGATTGAGGACACATGCGATAGCAGCCATCATAAGTTAAGAATTTTTTTTTTCGCAGGTAGAGTTCACGCCAACGCCGACTACTATAGTGAAGGCTACGGAGATATAGTGGAAAATAGCAAAGCCAAGAAAAACAACATAAAATAAACCTAAAGAATAAATCTGGCGCTTCTGGGTTGCTATGTAAACAGCCATATTTGTTTATTCAAATATCCAAATATAAGAGCTATCTAGGTATTGACTCAATTGAGACGCCTGGCTCCAACGAGGAAATATCCCCCTACCACAAACCTGTCGCCACTATATTCCTCTATCGATATTCGGGGCGTAAGACCCAATTTACTTCGACTTCTTCGCGGCATTGACCTTGGCCCTCACAGCGTACGCGTCATTCATATCCGAGATACCAACATAGCATGCGTAGAGCGGGATAAAGACCCACAGGACATTGAAGAAGACGAGGTACACCCACTTGTACATAAAGGTGCTGAGGTCAAGGTTGTAGTTCATGACGAGCCACTCTGGGCAGAATGTGATCCAGCCGCCGTACATTTCCATAGTCGCGATGACCACCATGACAACATTCACACTCTCCTTCTTTTTCGCAATACCGTAGGAGACATAAGCAGCCAGCGGGCCGGCGATGAAGACAGTCAGTAGCTCGAGACTGATGACGGCCTAAAGAGAAGAGTACTACGTTAGCGAAGATCTGCTTCACATTCGCAAGTTGTTGAAGGCTGAGAATCGGGAGAGCCGGGATGGACGAATGAGGGGTAGAAAAGCGGAGCGTAAGCAAGAGAGATAGGTATGCAACATACCAAGTCGGCGCCACCCCATCGACGGTCGGCCTTTGCGTAAATCATCCACAGCTGGGCCATGGGCGCGTCGCCACCAGCCTGAGGGCCATAGGCCCGATTGGTATGACCGAGGAAGTTATAGGCGGTCGGGGCCAGGGCAGAAGGATTCGAGACGCTCCCCAGGGGCATCCAGGAAAAGAAGCAGTGGTAGAGAAAGCTGCCTTCCAAGCAGAAGTGGATGAGGGCATCGAACGCGTGCCAGATGAACAGGAAGCGGCGCGCTTTGGAGATAGAGCTGTCGAGCGTCGCGACCGAGAGGCCGTAGGCCACGACCAGGATCGCAACGGTCGAGCCAAGCGACCAAAGGGTCACAGGATCGAATAGGTCGGCTGGCAAGGTCTCTTTGAGATGATCCATTATGAGGGTTGAATTGGAACTCATGGCGGTAGGAAGAGGTCGCGGTCGCAATCACAGTACTCCAAAAATCAACAAAAAAAAATCTTTGGAAAAAGAGGCGAGTTCGTAAACGTCGCCAGCTGTGACTGATTACTGTATCCTGGGTTGAACAATCTCGCCCATCCAAGCAGACATCGTCTGAGGACGCGTGGTCCGTGCACAGTTCTATTCCAATACCTTCCTGAAAGGGAAGTAATTGTCAGCAGCGCAATGTCCTATTGCGGCGTGAAATGCAGTCCGTGGCCAAGTAAAAGTTATATTATATAAGTACATCTGATATCAACACATAGCGGGCAACAGTTTGGCAAATTCGAAGTAGATGCTTAGCAACACAAATGTTATCCGACTTGCGCTTCGTGGGAGAGAGATGACGATTTGGATACGTGAAGGAAATGGGCTTGCAGTTTATTGACTGCATTAGTCGATCTTCAATTCGTGGACACAACATATTCTAGTTACCGATAACATCCAGCTATAAGAAGAATTAGATTTCATATGTAAGCTTCTTCTTGAAACACATTTAAGTCATCATTGGGACGATTCACCTTTGGCAACATCGTATCAAATGACAAGAAATTGAGACTAGAAGTTGGCAGACGCCGAGTAATTCGAAAAGACATCACATGGAGAACATTATGTAGACTTGAGCATGGCGAGGATAAGCGGCTTTATTCTAAGCTATCTTAGGGGGTATATTAAGCGTGCTGATGAGGAATCTTCTAGGAGAAAATCCACCCGCATCCGTACCATTCCGAAACCATAGGAAATTGCTTGTCCGTAGCAAGCTTTGTGATCATGATCCATAAATCGTACACTCGGTTGTTGGTGACGCAAGGGCTTCGAAGGAGAGTAGTTTAGTGCTTGGCAGCCTCCTTGTGGAGATCGGCAGACTTGTCGTGCTTCTGCTCGTCGAACTTGTCACCGACGGCATCCTTGGCAGCGGAGGCACTGTTGGTTTCATCAGTATGCTGTAGTATCATAGACAAGTTTAAAGGTCCAAAGCTTACCGAGTGCCGAGGGAAGCATCGCTGTCCTTGGCGACCTGCTTGTTGGCCTCCTTGGAGCCGGTGCTGGTGGCGCCTATTATACTGTTGTTAGCAAAGCTCGAGACTGAGGTGGGAGAGGAGATCGTACTCTTGACAGAGTCGGCAACGTAGTTGGCGGCGTTCTTGACGTTATCCATTTTGATGGGTTGGTTGTTTGGTGTTTGATTTGTAGTGGTTGATTGTTGTGAGTGTGATAAACTGAGGTGGTTGCTGTTGATAATGAGGAATGAGAGATGATGGCAGAAGAGGGTGGGAGAAGGGGTTTAAATACACAATTGACGAGTCCCTGGCTTCAACGATCTGGCACCTTCTCGGTTCACAGGCTCACGGGCAGGACGGGCAAGACAGGCGAGAGCAATCGTCGGTTACCAATGACTTGCGTAGCGCCCGCAGAGGCAGCAAGTAGCTCCTTGCACCGGAGTTGTTCATCATCGTCATAGCAGCCTCTGCTAGGTAAGGTAGTTGGACAAGCCACTACGTCACATGTCATTCCCGCCGTCTATCATTTGTCCCACAAACACGCGGGGGAGGTGGGAATCCCACTCGGTATCGAATAGCATTCTGCAGCTCTGCGCGACTACGTACTAAGTATCGGAAAGAAAGACGGCGCGCGCCTCTATGCAGGCAAGGCAGACGGGCTAAACTCGGATGCCCCTGGATGTTTGACGTCATCGAAGACACGTCGCTGATGTTCATTGTTCCAACCAAGATCCCAACGGCTAAACCAGAGCAGGTACACACGCAGAATAGACAAAGACGGACAGAATCCCATGCCCCTTGACCCGTTCAGACCCGTTCAAACCCGTTCTAGCCTGACATGGGGAATGACTTCCCTATGTCCATCTTCCTTCAGATTCCCATACTGTATGATGTGAAAAATATCCATCAGGCACTAAATTCGCCATTTCGCCATCACCAAGAGGCCATCGCGAAGCTTACCTGAGACTCATGATCAAGGCAGGATGACCAATTAGAAGCAATGACGTGCGATAGGTGGATAATACCAAGCGACTGTCATTGGACTGTCATTGGTCGATAGTCCATAAGCCCGTCCCACCTATGACAACATGACTGCGTGGATGAAGCATTTGCCATCGACACCCATCGACACCGAAACTCAACATTGTCCAAGCCACACGAGGTCTAGAACATCTGGACAGACTCGAGCCACTGTAATTAGGTACTACGGCACCTTGAGGACAGCTAAGCATGCATCCGGACATACTAGTTATTCTCGCTACTGTACGAGTGTAGGCACCTATGTATGTACCAGCGGCTTTTGACGGGCATGCAGAGGGTCTTGGCGAAACGTCGAGGTATCAATCCAACGTGACACATCTACGATCTCGATGAAATCTATCGATCCTGCCGCCTGGCGCTGTTTCCAGGCCACCAGCCACAACAAAAACCATTCTCACTTTAGACCAATGACGTAAGGCGAGACGGAGCATTCGCTCCGCCAGAGCCTCAATCCCCTCGGCCACTCAACCACGCACCACTCAAACCCGCAGAATTCATCCGATCTGCCTATGATAGCCCACGCTACAACATCGAGACCTGCTCTTTTGGGCCAGTTTCTGAAGCTATCGTGGCAGGCAATTATCTGCAATGTCCGTCCTTTGCTGATGGAGCAGGCTGGCTACACCAAGTGGTGACGTCATTACTGCGCTCTCCCGGCAGGCCAAAGCCAAAGAGCAATGACTTTACAGGATCCTAGGTATCCTGTTCTATTATGTACTGTGTATTATGTACTATGAATACCTATGTATCTACCTCATGTATGTAGGTAGATATTATGCATGTAGTTGTGAATGTATATCAGATGACCCACAGGGTTCTCACCCCATATAAATAGACCTCTATATACAGTAGTCATAATGTTAGGGAACTATCCTAATTATAACTTACTACCGATTAATATAATTAGATTGTTAAGATTATTACCACCGCGTTATAAATTAATAGTTAATGATTATTTATTATTAGCCTTATTTTTAGTTTATTATTAGTTTTTCTCTTTTACTTTTCTTTAATTAGAGAGTTTTACGTATGTATATACGCTGCTTGGCTAGGCTTTTACGTTTTAATAAATTTTTTTTCCAACTTTATAGTTACTCTCCTAGTAAATAAACCCTACGAAGTTATGCTATGGATTATTATTAGCTTAGTTTATAGTAAAGTTATCCCTTTTAGTTCCGGTTTATATTTCGTTAAACTTTAAAGTTTTTAGCCTTTATTACCAGTTTAATAGGTTATAGTTAAATAAAGTAATATTCAACTTGGAAATTAAGTTTTATAAAAGATTTAATAATAAATTATTTAAGTTACCCTTAAATTAATATAATAGTTTAAAATCTTATTAAGTATATATATATTATAAGTTATTTTATTAATTTATAAATATTAATATATAACTTTTTAAATGTTAATTACTTTACTTTTATTTTATAAATTATTTAAATATATATTTTATTAAACTTTAAGATTTTATATATATATTAGTTATTATACCTATTTTAGAAAACTTTAATAATATTATTTTATTTCTTATTAAATAGGTAAAATCCTTTTATTTATTTTATAGTTTTTTTAAATGTTAATAAAATTAATAGGAATATTTAAAGTTAAATAAGGACTTTATTAATTTACCCCTTATATTAACTTCTTTTTAATTTTAACTTTTATTATAAAATATCCCTTTTTAAAATTTATTAACCGGTAGTTTATTATTAAACTACTTATAAAATATCCCTTTTTTAAAGTTATTAATTAATATTTTATTATTAAATTACCTATCCTTCCTTAAATTATCCTTTAATAATTTTTTCCTAAAATTTATAAACTTTTTAATTTACCTATAAAAGGTACCATAGTTACCTATTTACTTATTTAAGCAGTTATTAAATTTAACTACGTTAAATATAATTAATAATAATAATAACCAAAACTTTAATAAAAACTATAAAGATTATAGTAATTTTTTTTTAATAAATATAGTAAACTTTATTATTATAATATTTAACCGGTAAAAATCTAATATAATTAATATAATTATTTAAGCTTTTATATATATTTAATAAGATTTTTTAAATTTAAGTAATAGATCTTTATTATTTTTCCTTAAACTTAAAGATATTAACTTTTTTAACCCCTTCCTTTATAATAATAATAGGTTTAAAGCTATAGCTTAAAATAAATAAACTATTTATATTAATATATAGGCTTTTATTAATAGGTTAAAACATTTTATAGTAGTATAAGGTAAGAATAAAGTTAAAGCTATTTGGATAATGTATTTTTAAGCTATAGCTTTTACTTAATATACTATTAAATTTATAAACCTTAAGAAATTAAGCTTATATTTAAGAAATATTAAATAAATTTATAAAATGCTTAAAGCGCGTTTTAAAAAGGATTATAGTAAGGCTTTATATAATCTTTTTTAACGTAAATTTATTATATATAACCTTTTTTAAAGAAAAAAGATCTGCCCCTTTATTTAAGGTATAATTTAAGATATTAAATCCTATAAGTATACCTTTATAAACTAATTAATTGTTACTTTCGAAACCTTAAATCTAGATATATAAATAGTATTAGTTAAACCTATTAAAAAAACTTAGCTTAGGATATTTCTTATAGAAATTAATTCCCGGGAAAGCATCCTAATAGGAAAAGCCCATTAATTCTACCAGACACCTATCATTCCCCCATAACAGGTATCTACCTACTACAACCCAATACAGCTATAGAGGCAGAGGTCAACCCTCCAGAAAAGGCTACTGGAATAACCGCAGAGGATATCGTTAAAATTACCCCTCCTAAAGTTTCAGCCTGTACTTTTCCACCCCACCCTCCAACCTATACCCTTAAGGCTAGCCTTAGAGCCAGATACATCAAGGTTAACCTTAGGGTTAGCCTCTAGGTTAGACATCTTAGGGTTAAAGTCAGTTTTAAAATCAACATTAATAAATAGGTTACCCTCCTATATAATAAAAAAACCGTTACCCCTAATAAAGTAAAATATATTATAAATAAACTATAAAAGAAGAGGAAATCCCTTAATTATATAATATATCCTAATTATATAAGTGGAACGATAGTATAAAAGAATTCTATATAATAGATTTTTATAATCTAGCTTATTAATCCTTATAGATTAAATCTCCTTTTATAGATTAAATACTTTTATATAGTAATATTTTATAAAACTTTAAGCTATTAAATATCCTTAAGTTAAATTAATTAAATAAAGTTATATACTTTAATATTATCCTTAAGAATTTTAATATAGTAATATACCTTATATATTAAATAATATTTTTATTAAATAATTAACTTTATATATATATTTAATCTTAATATTAATTTAACCAATTTTAAGGATTCAATTAACCCCTTTTAAATAATTAAACTCCTTTAATTTATAATATATAATATAAATCTACCTATATAGCTATAGACCAGTTTATAGTTTTTTAAGCCTTAAATAATAATAAAGTTATTTTTATTATAATTTAAAATTTATTTTTAAATTTAATTAAAGAATATACTTTAAAGATATAACTATTAATTATTTAATTATTTATTAATTTATATTTAAATATAGGTATAGGTTTTATATATAAATCCTATACTTATATTACCTTCTTTTTTATAACCTTTATAGAATTTAAAGTTTAAATCCTAATTTATAAAGATATAGAATGTATTAAAATTATTAATAATATTAACTTTATTAAAAAATGTATTTAAATATCGAAATCCGTTATTATATAATATTAATAGTTATTAAGGAAATTTTAAAAAATTAATATTTTACCTTTAAATATATTATATTGCTATTTCTTTTTAAAGGTATATATAATAATAAGATATACGTTATTTAGTTTATATAAAACGTTGCTCTTATTTAAGGATTATAGGTTAACCTTTTTATTAGAATAAATATATTAAATATAAAGTAAATTAATATTCTTTTATCCTATAAAATTATAGTAATTTAATTATATAAAGTAGCGATCCCCTTTACCGTTTCCTTTAAAGTATTAGGATAAGTTAAAGTTTAGGTTATTATATCTATAATAATTCCCCTATATTTTTATTTATAATTAGTTATATCCTATATAGTAAACTTTAAATAGGATTTTATTTTTAAACCTATAATTAATTATATATCTTATTATATAACAATTATTAATAATAATTTTATATATTTCCTTATATATAATGATATAAGTAAACTAATATACCTTTATAAAAATATAAAGCTTAATTACCTTTTACTTATAAAATTTAATTATTATAGATATTTTATTATTAACCTTAAATAATATAAGCTT